TCGAGAATACTCTCAAAAAGTCAACAAAAGTTTAATATGTCGGAAAATTTCACCCTCATCCATGTCCATCACTTTTTATCTATATTCCCTTCCCCGTCGCCATATCAAAGGGGATCCATAGAAGTAGAGCAGCAATTACTAAACCGCATTACATTTCGCATTATGTTTCGCTCGATTTAATATTATCTCAACTCTGAGCACGAGAATATTACGGACTTGTAATCATAATACTGCGAATCTCATAGAGATAATTTGCGAACTAATGAGGAAAGAGTAAATTCTACTGCCATTGGCATTACCTATTAGCAAATTTGCACTATTACCACATTTATGGCGTATTAGTGATTTAATGTCAACCTATATTGGCTTCCAGACATTTCTAGGTATTTGTGAAAGCTCTGAAAATTACCATTCCAAATGCCAGTGGAAAATCCATGAAATTGCACTGTTAATGAATGAAGTTTTCACTAACTACATTCTGTTATATATGTAGAATTCGTTAACCCTGTGTGGATAAAAATATGTTTTTGTCATAAATTTTATTTGATGTAACTTTAAAAGAAAGGCAATATATAATTGTTAAACCTTCTGATATCTTTTTGAATCCATTAAATAAATAGAAAATCTTGTAAAAGTTCATGTATCAAGTAAAGGATTAAGCGGAAATGCTATTCTAAGCTCTCTTTCACTAACAGCACTTCATTTCCCAATATTTTTATACGCTCAGAAGCAAACAGAAAATTGATTATATATATATTTTGATTTAGCAGTAAAGTTTAATTAATTTTTGTGCAATTCTGTGTCAGTGATGTAGAAATACTTCCAGTTGACGTGGGTGTCAGAAAGTTGCGCCAATTAGCAAACTCTCCAGTGAATATTGTTGTGTAAAACCACAAAACAAACAAGAGCATTATTTATGCCGGAAGTTTGCAGAAATATTTTCTTCAGTCTCCAGTCTCACTTGGTAGAATTTCGCTCGAGGCGCAATTTCCAATTACTAAGAAAACGCTAAAACAATGGGGTGAAATGCTGGAGTGTAAATAGGTAAATTTCAAGAGAATAAAACAATTAGTGTAGTTAAGTTTATCAAGAAGAAAGGGAATTGAGTCTATCTGGATTCTTGTGCAATTTCCCGCTCAATTTATTTATTCTCTCGGCTCAACCCCATCTGGGGAGGAGAAAAAATTCCCGCAGACAGGGAGGGAATTCGCGATCCTTGTCACACACACTTTCGCACCCTTTCCACCTTAACCGGATGATTCTAGCTGAGAATCTCGGGGTGTCTGTGTACTGTGGTAAATAAAAATAAATGAAGCCACCCCCATCCGATGCGGAGTCAATGACAAAAAGGCAAAATAGCTCCGGGGGGTGGCTTTCGCCTCTTGTTTTTCCTCCCTGTGCGTGTATGAGTGGAATATTACGGTTTTGTTATTGCTAAACAAACACTGAATCCCCAATAATTTAATCAAGGGACCACGACAATTCTCGCAACCACCCACAATTCATCGCCTTCTTCATACATACATACATGCCTGAGTATATTGCTTCGTGAGGGGTTGGCGAAAGGGGTGGAAAAGGCATAGAATAATTATTTGTTTACGCACAAAAATGTACACACAAACCAGTGGTGAATGGCTTTTGTGTTGTTGGACAGACATTTTCAATTAAAACCCAATCGAATCGATTGTGCGACAACATTTTCTGGACACATCTGTAGAGAGATGCAGAATCAAATTGCCTCGTTTGCGAGCATGTCTCATTTTACGCAATATATCCTCGCCTTTGCCTCTGTTTTTATTTATTTTCAGTACGATTGATTAGACACATAATCATCCAGTGAGATTAAATGGTTTGGAAATACCACACGAAATTTCTCATTTCCTCCCACTCGCACATTCTCCGTCACGAAAGATGATGCTTCGACATCAAGAATCCGTCTTACTGGAAATATGATACACCTTCAAGTGTACACAAGATTTAGAGAGTGTTTTAATTTAATCAAATTTGCTGAATAAACACATTTCTTTCTCAGCTTCTTCGGACGCAGAGCGATAAAAAATTGTCTTTTCTCCTCTCGGTTCATTCAAGAAGGACTCTCGGCGGGCCCTCAGGAAGTTAATTTAGAAATCTGGAGTTGGAGAGCAGAGAAAAGTTGGTTAGTGGAAAAACTTTTCACGAGGCACGAATAGATTTTACCAAATGAACCGAAAAAAGCCCGGAGAGACTTTCAATGTATATAATTCGATTTGAAATGTGCATAAGTTACGATTCTAGTTCCTCTCTTGTTCTACTTTTTCCCTCAATCCTTCCCATAACTTAACGATGGGTTGAATTTAATTTCACTTTCCCCAGAGACGAGATGGCAAATGGTAGATGTGGACAAGTGGATTGACTTCGATTTGTGGATCTTCTTTATCAAAATCTCCAATTCAGATTGGACACAAGAGTGTGGGAGAAAGCCGCAAAGTCCGCTTTTTGACTTTTAAATTTCAATTTCTTCTTCCACATCGGGCGTTGATGTTTTCCGTCGCTGAGCTTTTCCTGCTGGAAAATCGAAAAAAGCTCTTTTGCCATCCCACATCGTCAATTTATTGGTTTTCAGCTGCCGCTTAGACTATATGTGGCCGTTCGCTGTCTGTTTTTGCCATTTTTCCTCCCGCACATTTAATGAAAAATCAATGGATTTCCCTCCACAATGGCCCACTCTCCGCCTAACTCTGGCACGGGAACAATAAATTCCTCTATTGAATGGCAAAGGGTGATACACTAAATGGTATAATATTAACTGGCTAGACAGCATTTTTCATAATACTCACTTGGCGGTGTGAATTTATTGATTTAATTGACATGCTCACATGGGCAGAGTTTAATCAACTGAAAGCTTTGTGCTCTTCTCCACACAATTCCATCGTCTATTCAATTGCACCAAATGCGTTATATTCTCTGCAATTTCTCGATTCACTTTCATGCCATTTCATCACATATCAACTGTGCCAATTAATTGGTGTGTTTTTCGCCGAGGCGGGGAAGTGGAGGAAGATAATAGTTGAGGTATAGAATATAGTGAGAGTCCTCTCAATTGCCATCACAATGCTTCAATTAACTATTACACCGTTTACGTGCTGGTGATTTTTCGAGAGCACTGCCTTCATTGAAAATGAAAAGAATGACGCGCGATGGCATTGTGAGAGGCGCAATGGCAGAAAAACATAATTTACATTGTGTGTACTTTCAATTAACTCATGCAATTAAATTTCTTCGCAAAGCTCACAGAGCGGCCACGTCCATTGAGGAACCCGATAATCATATTCATGAGGGAGTGTGAAGAATATTCTTGAAGATTAGTGGCGCTTTCACAGCTGTCTTCACACTCTTTTCGCGCTCATGAAAGTCTCTCTCCCTATACTTAATGTCTTAATCCGAAATCAAATGGAGATTCCCATATAAAAATTAATGTGAGTGTCCAACAATGTTTGGAGACGTGTCTGATGGTTTTGTAAAGACTGAAGAGAAAGAAAGTCCGAAGAGAAGGTTTTAATGGCATTAATACTCTGACTACCAGATTTTTCAATTCCATAGGCGTATTAATGTTTAACTTGCACAATCTAACCAAGACTATATTTAGGCACACAACGATCTTCGTCAACGAGGAATGACAATCAGCGTAAGGTGCAATTTGACTTACGACGATTTCCTTAACAAATTAATAGATTTTGAGGTTTATTCCGCCATAGTTCAGTGATCCATCAATTTTACTATTTTTCATGGATACAATGTCAAAACATTGGTAAATATGGTGTTAAGAATGGATAGAGAACGTAAATGTTAGTAACATATTTGCTTTATTATTCACTCCACGAGGTGGAGCACAAGAAAGAGTGTATAGAACAATTTGTATTGTTGTGTTCACAATTCCATTCCGTGTATCATCATCAATTCATTTTTCGTCTCTTGAGGAATTTATTGACTTGACGGATGGAATATTTCTCTTTGGGAAAGAATTTGACCGACGCGCCACTGAATTACTCACGATTTAGTTGACAATTTATTCAATCACTCCTGGGAACTTCCTCTGGATGTGTCAACATTCAATAGTTTTTATAGAATATTCCCACGAACTCCTCAAGAAGAGAATCATTCAAATTCCGTGTCATTCAGAGGAACAGTCGGTGTATTGAGTGAGTTGTTAGGAATATTTGCACAAGTGTAGCATTCATGCTCAAGTGTAGCACTTTGTAGTGGCATTGTGCCACTAAGAAGCTCCAACGTGATTTTCCACGCCTATAATATTGATTTTTCCATCACGAAGAGACAATGAATAGAAAGATACACAGACTTTTTCTGCCAACGAAAGCGAAATCCACGATTATAGCGAGAGAGTTGGAAAAGGGTGGGAAAGAGTGTATAGGGAATTTTTCAATGTAGCCGTATTTAATGATGCATAAATCAGCAGAATATGATATGCGACCTTTCTTCTCTTATGTGAATTTCTTCATGGGCACATTTTGACGCTGATGCGATAAGCAATTGTCGGATGACAAAGAAAACTGAATTTCAGTGTGTGTTGTAAGTGTTATAAAAATTTGTTGTTCAAGTGTGCAGAAAGAGGAGTGAAAAGAGGAAAAAAAAGCAAACAACAAAGGCTGCAAACGACATTTCTTTGGACACGGGAAGTCTCCTCACTTCCGCTCTCGCAACGTTTCTCTCTCTCTCCCTCGTCTTCACTTGATATCAAAATATGGCCCTTTTCAGTTCTGGCGTCCCTCATAATAAAATATGCACGGTAAATTGATATTTAGGTTTTAGAGCACTGTCGCGCCTTCCTTTTACCTCTCCTCCTCGCGAAGAACATCTCAAAGACGGATTCCATTATGTTATCCCACATTGCAAGGCCTCTTCGCTGACGTCTTCTTCCCTCTAATAAATCCTGGGAACTCCGCCCCGGAGATCACTTGAGAACCACTTCTCTTGGCGCACTTAAATATCGCACTATTTGAGATTCAGTGTCTCACCCGGCAATCGGGCTGATGCGATAAGAGAAACTGATTGCTGGATGATGGGGGCAAAAGATGAGAAATGCCACTGAGTGATGACAATTGAGGGTCCTCCAGAGAAATGCTGGGGGATTTACTTTGTCGTGTTGGAGAGCAAATACCACCGGAAAATGGGGGGAGAGGTGAAGACTCGCCGAGCATTTCTCCCACCAACAAATCAAAGACTGTGAACCAAACCGAGTGTTGTGTATCTTCAAATTGGAAGAACACAAACTCAATCCCGAGAGGGATAATCTCATAGGAAAACAAGCGAATACAATAAACAACGTAATTGGGATGCATTCTACATATGAAAATATATATTCAATTATCCAATTGTCAAATTCAATCCTCTGTTCCGCCATAATTGAGCTCGTTGTCTCAATAAAAGGCGATAAAGACTATTGCTTGTGATGCACATCAGTCAAATATAAGACCATGAGAAGATATGAAATTTATCTCATTTCTCTCCCATCAAACGACAATTTCCGTAAAACTTCCACATTGGAAGTGAAGGAGGGAGAAATGGCTTTGCTGAGAAAGACGATGATCCAATTGTGGTTCATTTAAATCAATTAAAATTGGTTGAAGTTTAATAGCAAGTCTCTGTTGTTTACTGTAGTCATGCTCTTCGCAGAGAACATCGTCGTTCACTCGTCACTCAATGTCATATAAATGAATTTTCATGAAAATGTGAGGAAACACTGTCACGGCCAAGAGGGGACAAAGGAGATCCTTCAGTTTTCTCTCGATAAATCACCACAATAAAATGTTGATTGATTCATTGGAGGGAAATTGATTCAATCCAATGCATGAGAAGCTTCATTTTCTTCCACCGCTGAGAGAAAATACATTGTGGAAATATTTTGATATTTTCGACTTTGATACGCGCGCGAATTTGAATAGAATTGAGAAAATTTATATGTTTTGTGATGCTTAAATGTAATTACAGTGAGAAAGTGGTCTTTGTTTTCTTGCGCTTCTCCCACTAGACAAACTCACAGAATGAAATTGTTGGATGAGAGAGGAAGGGAGAAAAATGTGGGAAAATTACCTGATATTTTCGTCGGTTCGGACGGAAAAAATTGCAATAAAGATTGAGATTTCCAGGTGATATTTCACCGTCACACTTTGTCTCTCGGGCCTCCGGACTGATTTATATTAACTGCACACGAGCAATGAGATTGTGTCCTTCTCGCTGAGGAAAAATCGTTGCAATTTTTCTAGCCTTTCTATATCTCACAGTCACAATGCCTTCGTAAAATAATCAACTGTACAGCCACATGATTAATTGGACACGATAAAGAGCTCGATGCGAGGTTGAGATGCGATGCCGCCCTCTTTGACCTCTTGACACTCTCACGTCAACTTTATTCCTCTCAGGATCAAGCTTCTTCCAGACACCATCAATTTATCCTCCCATGAGCTTCACTCGCGCACCATCAGTGTTATTGTACACTTCTCGTCCGGGACTTCAATTAAGCACCAAAAGTAATTGATTGCAAAATGCTGTGACTCCGAGAAACGTTCTTTCGGTGTGTATTCTGTGCTGAATATTCCTTATGTGAAGTCACACGCACATCCACAACTTCAGTGTGCACTTTCGAGAGATCACAGAAGAGTATTGTACCCTTCATTAATTCCTCTACACATTAAAATACCTTCACGATCAATTAATCCATTTGTCTTCACCACTGATCACACTCTCGAGTGTGAAATGCACTCGAGCATTAATTAAGGCGCGAGTAATGATGAAGAAAGAAGATCAACATGGGGATAAATAACAGTCGAAGACGCGTAGAAAATGCACAGTTTCGATTGCTAGTGGTTGATGAGGAAACACACACCTTTCTTCCTCACCTCACAGATCACGGGTGGAATTGAGAGTAATTATATGGGTTGATTTGGACTCGTAGTTCACGGGGATTTGACACAAGAGAGCACAATTTTGATGCCTCATCAACGAAGAAACCGATATAAGTGGAGTTGAACAGATGAAATGGCCATTTTACAAGCGCGATCGCGAAGTCTTCACGGAGCAGCACACAAAAGGAAAGAAAGCCAAGCAAGACAGACAACAACTGAACACCTCGAAGCAAACCAGTCGGTGGAGGCTTGAAAATATGTTTTATGAATACACTGAGAAAACGCAGAGGCGTAGTTGCACTAACTCTTTCTCATGTCTGCATCTCTCGATTTTAACTCGAACTCTTTCTAGTCGCTTATCTAATTAAAAGATTCACTCGTGCTATAGTGAGTAAGCTCTCAATTAGTGAGTAATTCAGTATTGAAGAGACTTCGCCACTGGATTTGTGATCTCACTTGGCAATGATGTAAAACTAAAACGATCTCTTTCTTGCTCATGTAAAGGAACTTGCGTTGTAACCGTTTTCAAACGTACTTTTCTGTCTGTTCTTTATTTCTTCTTCCACGACACACATTTCTTGGCGATATTTTGTCTTGCTCAGTGATCTTTTCCCTTCCCCACGGCTGAGCAGCAGCAGAGCGAGAGACACCATCCAGAGCCATCGATCGTATCCAGCGTGTGAGGAAAAAATCAAGTGATCTCTATACGATCACGGATGTTCGGAGAAATTGCTTCTCTGTGCGATTTCAATCCAAAATCCATAGTTTTCGCCTCCATCAGGCAGAAGAGGGACGAAATTCACTTTCCACGATGGAAAGTAAAAGCTAGAGAGATAATTTTTCAACTATTTACCAACAATGAATTAATCATCATAGTCGAATATTTGTGTTGTTTTTGCTTTGCAAAACATGCGCGCTTCCGTGCTGCCGAAGTAAAAGTTTAGTAGCGAAACAGAAGGAAAATTAAAATAGAGGAAGACACTATCTTGAGGTATTGTTAATGTGTTTTTAAATTCATCAACTTCACTTCGTGACTCAAATTTCAAAACACTCTTTTGCACCATGTGCGGGATTGCGAGAGAAGCGCAGAGTGTCTAAAATACGTGTATTTTACGCGACAGTCGACAGCATGGTGGAGTCATGTGTGTTCAGGTGAAAAACCAACACAGATCTCAGAGAGAATTACAGGTAACATCGCGGCTGTGTTTGTTGCCGTACATGTGGTAGGAGGAACACATTTGTCCCAAGAAAACGACGTGAACAGGGTAGAGATAAAGTTATTGGCTTGTTTTCTTGGGTTGTAAAGAGAGGACAGAGACTCCTTCAGCTGATATCGAAAGAAAGAGGCTTATCGTTATAAGACCCTATCTTTAATACTGGAATATTATCCCATAAACAACCAGAATATCCGTAAATCCATCACAGAGTTGAGTTGGATGATTGAATTAACCCATAAGATTAACATCTCTGTGTTGTATTTATTCTGACTGAGAAAACTGTTTCGGGAAAAAGAAATCATTCTGCAGCACTTGAAACATTTTTTGACCAAGTAAGCGTGGTAACCTTGAAAAGACCATGTTTTTAGTCCAATAACGCAAATAACACACTCTAGTGAAAATTGAGTTGCCTCATAAAACATCCTCCATGTTAAGCCAAATAATCCCTCATGATGGGAAATTTACTTAGCAAAACTTTCCATCAAGTGAGTTAACATTTTACCACTTGCGCACATACATTAAAATTTTAATAATAATATCTCAAGCTCAACTTAATATTTGATATTCATCCTTCCACTCCCCTGATTTCTCGCCGTCTTCAGCTGACAACAGACAATTTCCGGCAAGAAATTGACTTTTCAATGACGATATGAGTCTTTGCCGCACTATTTTGATATCTTCGGAACTCAAAAAGCTCTTCAAACTTTACCATTTGCACACACACGGCGTCTTTTCGGTTGGGATAATATTCAAGAGGACACTTACCGGTAATTCCTCGGTACGCCTTGCTGCTCCTTCTGCCCGTGGAGGGGCTCAGAAGACTCTCGCGACGGCTGACGGGCTCTGCGTAGTTGACCTGCAGAAGCTGAGTGGATGGCGGAACTGGGGCCACAGTGACAATGGGCATCGGGGCGGAGGAGGGCGCGAGCGAGGGTCGCGGAGATTCACTCCAAACCGCCTCCACCATCGAGTCGATGCTGGCAGAGCGCGGAAGACGATTATTTTGGTCTCTCCTGCAAAAAATAAGACCCAGATAAGACTTCTGCGATAAGATGATAATGAAATCTGTCCAAAGTGAGGAAGTGAGACAAAAAGAGTGCGTCAGCCGAGAATCGAACTCGGATCAACTGCTTGGAAGGCAACTATGCTAACCATTACACCACTGACGCCGCTATAATTGGGCAAAACCCACGACGTCGCGGAGAAGACACTGGAGTGAGAGGAAGCAATGCCGGAGAGTGTGCGGCGAAAGCTCAAATTTCGCCAACACAAATAGCTCTCGATTTTACACTGAATGAAGCTCCATCAACTTCGTCAAAAGTTAAACTGCAGTCACGCCCAGCAAATATAATTTCTAGTTGAATTTTTGAAAGCTCTCCAGCCACATCAAAAGCTCTCCCCGAGTCCTCAAAGAAAATTGTGGAGGAAAAGTTTAATTGACATCCGAGATGATGGTATGAATGTTGAGCCATAATTAAAATTGTACGAGAGAGCTTCAGGTGGGGGTGGAATATGGCTAAATTGAATTTTCCTAAACCGTTTTCTCTCCTTTGGATATTCTTTAGTGTGAAATATGAGTGTTATTGGATCAACTTTCCCCGGGTATTATTCGCGGATCTGATGGAGTTGTCAGGCTGTATAAATGGTGGGAAATTCAAGGAGTTTGTGTGAGGGGGATTCTTATTGAGAAATTGCATTTCACACACATGTTCTCAGTTTCATCTTGAACCGCCACTCGATTGAATTTCTTCGCAATTCCATTTTCCATTATCACCCAATCTCCTCCGTTTTTCCGTGTCAAGTGCCTTCTATGCAGTGAAAACTCCATTCAGCCATTAATGGTATTTTTGGGGCATTACAGGAGCGAATTTCCCCACCCTTTCATCATATATAATTTTCCATGCAGTAGCGGTCAGAATAGAGACTAAAAGCTTCGTGTTCAACTGATTTGATGGCCACTCAACGAGCCGTGGATGAAAGTATAATTGTCTATATTATTATTTATTCATTAGGCCTGTGTGTATTTCCAGGATCATTCATCTTTCCGCATGGATCTTCCCAGGAGACTCCTGTTAATTGTCACGGAGACTGACAGTATCATATATTTGCCATCAATAATAAATGTAGCGTAAATGCGACATCAAGACGGAAGTCAAGGCGGGAAAATGTAGGGTGAGAAAGTGTGTGACACTCTTGATTTTCTCCACCCCGAGAGTCCCATATCAAGTTGAGGGATCCTACATAAATTATTTACTATTGATCAAAATGTCACTCCAATTTCCCCATCAACACTTGTCCGACACTTTTGGCATTCGTGTGAAAAGGTGTGCATAGTGTTGAGGTGCTTTTCAAGGTAACACAAACTTCAAGAGGGTCTTGCAATTTAATTGCCAAATCGATAAGCAAGCCAGAAAGATTACTTGACTGACCGAAAAATCACATAATCCACCCTCAGATTCACACTTAATTTCATTTCTTGCATATCGTGCAAAAAAGTGGACAGCAAAAAGGCAATAAGCGAGCTTTCAATATTCAAAACAAAGCGATGTTAAAGCTCTGTCTTGTTTTTCCTCCACAAATTGTTCTAATCTCTCTCTTTTGCCCTCTGGCATAAATCACCGCCAATGTGCTTTCCATCGACATTGTTTTTCCCCGAGAGTGATTTTCATAATTCTCCACATATTGCGTTTGAGAGGGAACAGAGCGAGCACAGTCGTTGAGATTGAGGGATTCCCCTAGACACGCGCTCAATCTTCAGCTTCGAAGCAAAGAAGTCAAAATATATTTGGATTTCGTCTCATCCTCGCAAGTCCATCTTCGTCTGGAGCATACACCCAAACAGATGATAATCTCACATATATGCATATCTTGGGAGAAAATGGAGCATTCGACGAGGGGTCTCGTCGCAAATATTCCCCTCAGTGGTTTCTTGTTTACTCAGTCAAAATTTCAATCATGTGCCAAAACGCTGGCTCTTGGCGGATGAAAATGGTTTGGAAACCGTGTCACTGGCTCTGTTTACAGCATCCCTAAATCACGTCACTTCCTGACTGTTCCCATTTTACTATTTACAGTGGTGCTCGAAAAAGCTAGACAGCACAAATGAAAGTTTTTGTCAACAATTCGCTTTACGAAGAGAATCTTTGTGACCAATTTGCAGTTACAAAGCAATTACGATCCTTCTTATCTCTATTTATTACTGAATTGAAATATAATTTCGTCGAAGATTCCGAGACAGTAATAAAGCGAATAATAAACTCAAAATACTCTTCAAAATTAATAAAGCGCATGTAAATCAATTCAATACGTTCAGTGTCTATATGAAAATCTATATTCTCGTGAAAATGTTTGATAGAAAGAAGGGCAAAGATTGCGTCATCGTTCTTTATGCAAGAAACTGGGTTTATTAGGTCAACCTCTGCCAGGGTGGATATTCCCACATTATAATTTCCGTTAGAAAATAGATTGACCACTCATTTTGCAATTACTTAAATACAATTTGAAAGACAGAATAGGAATAGAAATTTTGCTTCGCTGTCAAGCATATTTGGAAACATGTTCAATAAAGCGTGATTTGTAGAAAAAAGATAATGAAAATGCTCTTTTTTAATCATGATGACAACTTGAGCAATAAGAATTTTCCTTTCGTACTTTTTGTATTTAGTGTGTCTATTTCGATCTTTACCTCTCCCATGAAAGTCGCCGCGGAGCGTCGTCCTTGAGGACAGGACTTGACGTGGTCTTGGAGGACTGATTGAGGAGCCGGGCCAGTTTGTAAAGTGCTGTTCCGCCCTGGGAGCTCGTTGACTGACCGGCGCTGGGAGTGCTGCCGCTCGGGACCCCCAGAGTCGCCGGGGCGGCTGCAGCTCCTGATGGCCCGGAAGCGCTGCCGCCGGACATTCGATAGGCTCTCGCGGCGACGACATGAGGCGCAGGAATGCTGATAATAGAATTGTCTGGTGAGTCAGGATAATTGCGCTGCGCCATAATATTTTCAGGTAATTACTGACGACACGGGACTGTCTTTGTTCAGTCCTTGGCTAATAAATTAAATTACACCCGTGATTTCACGTTGAATGCTGAAAGGGTTTTAATGCTGAATCCCACCCACTCCGTGTAATGATTTAATTTCCTCAATCTTCCACATTTCCTCACCCATGGTCGGGAAATTATTGATTTGAACGATTTGGTGGGTGTTTTCCATCAAAAGTTCTTCGTCATCCGAAACGCAATTACAATTTCAAATAAGTTTTTCCAATTTCGCTCTAAAATAAGTTACAGGAAATTCTCCACAATTTGCACGAAGTAATTTGTACTTTAATCATGAACTTGCAAAGTGCTTTAACGCGTTGCCTAAAATATCTTGCTAAACTATTACACAATTATTGCTGTTAGTAGTTTTACGACTGTGGGATGTTAAGGTGAAAGTCCTCGCATGAGGCATGAAGACACGTGTCCTAGCAGCTCCTAATATTCTGTAATTGCTCCATTTGGTGTGTGAAAACTGAATTTCTGGGTCTCTCCCCATTTAATTTGCGGGTAATCCAATTGAGTGCCATGAGACAGTTTCCTGCGGAGCGGACACAAGATTTATGAGCGCACAGTCATTTTCTCCGGCTAAATTGCGCCCAATGAGGGAAGGTGGCTGGGAAAAAGTTCCCATAGTTGAATATTAATCTCGCATCTTCCTCGAAGCTCAACTAGCGTGCTCCCATTCTCTTCGCCTTTCGAGGAAATTGGTTTAAATGAAAATTAGAGGATTTATTGTCACTTTTCTCAGCAAATTTCGCACCATGGCTTTTTGCGAACATGTCTGAGAAAATTGCACTTTAATGAACTTTTCCCCATGCAAACACTTTAAGTGACTTTTCGCGCGATGGAAAACCTCGACGGTGGTGTAAAGAGAAAGCTCTTTATCTCACGCCAAAGTTCTCATTCGCTTAAGTGGTGCATAGTTGGATTTTTTGCGTCAAAACCTATAAAGTTTTCTTTCTGTACGTAAATTGTTTGCTTTTCATTAGAGTGGAATTTTATGTCAAATATTTATGTCTACAAGTTATAAAATTTGCAATGCAAATCTTCACGAGAGGTCAATTTAAAATAATAGCAAAAGGTACTCCAATCCCTCGCAATCTATCATGGAGAGGCGTTCACCCCGTGGAAAGGGGGAGTTTATTGTTGGAAAAATTGAGCTGCTGTGGGATTTCCGCGTAATTTGTCATCATATTGAGGCGAAACACGGTGCAATGACACGTACTTCGCGCCAGGAGGAAAGGTGAGAAACCCTAGAAGGGACGCGGGAGGGTGAGGTAAAAACTCAAGGAGACACTCACCGCAGCACCACAGTTCCGTCCGGATGGCGTTCCAGGTCGTCAAAGGCATAGATATAGGGCTCGGCGCTATTGATTGCGCTGTTGCTCGTTGTCGATGTCGTTGGGAATGTGTACGGAGAGCCGGCACTCCTGCGTCGATAGTCAAGACTCGTGTCATCGCTGGTCAGGGAGATCCTGGGCGATGTGCGTGGCTGGAGGGAAAGACGGGCAGCAAAACCCGTATTGGCGAAGCCCTCTGAAAGATCCACAAAAACCCTTGTAAGTAATTTGGCCAATTTCTTCTTTCGCCAGGCTGTTTTTTTTACCAAACTCTACTTCTTCTAAAGTCTTTTTGTTATCAATCACGAAGTTTTCGACAGGAAAATTGACACAAGGCACAAAAACAGAAAAACAGGATCAGAAAAGCCACAAGCATACAAAATAAATAAAATCTTGAAAAATATTTTGCAAATGAATCGTTTTTGTGTTTCCAAAAATTAATTAATTTGAAATGTTATATAATCAACACATAACATAATAAACTTCAGTGCGTAAATATTTGACAATCATTAAAATCAAATAAATTGTAATTCGCAGAATAAATCGATTGTTTCGCGATAAAATGCACCAAATTAATTATCTGTAATTTCAGCAGGTTAATTAAAATTTTTATGGAGATAATTTTAAACATTTAACATATTTTCACCTTTAAACAGAAATATAAGCTGTTCCAAACTTGCCCGAAGAAGCCCAAAACTCATAAACTAACTTAAGAAGATTGTTCTGAAAGTTAGCTTCTGTTTTTGTGCCAAAAAGAAAGAAAAATCCATGGGGGAAATCCCGCAAATCATCGAAGGTTTGGCCCCAATTTGTGTTAACATAAAAACAACATGGAAATCGAGATGGATTATCATTGATTTGTCCTAAAATACTGAGGGTGAAACCCTTTTTACTCGTGCCTTCTTTAGGGATGAATGGCTAAAAATAATTACATTTAACACAGTGATTTATGGGACACTCTCGCTGATCAGTGAAGTCGAGAGTATTTCCGGGCCGTGTGTTCTCCAAAATTAAGTGAATCAACATCAATCTCAATTAGATTTAGATTCTATCGAGGCTCAGAAGAGAGTTTATAGGTCGATCCTAATCAATTCTCGCTTATGGTGTTCTTTTCAACGGGAAGGGTTCAAGTGTATTCTTTGTCGAAAGCTGGTAAAAGTTCCCGTCAATATTCACCCTTGTGAAAGTTTATACTTTTGAATCACTAAGCATAATATCTAAAACTTCCAAGATATCTTCAACGTGACCCTCAGGAAAGCAATTCCAGTATGTACACTTTCTGATGCGATGTTCAGAGATTTGCACAAATTTGAAGGGAAATGAGAAAGAACCACAGAAATGCACTCGAAAATTCTCACAAAACTTGTCTCCCTGGAAATTCTTCCAAGCATATTCTCTGAAGAAGCGTGAACCCCCATCAAGAAGAGGGTTTAATTTATTTAAATGCTGAATTATGCAAAATATCACATTGAATTTTAATTGGATCACTTTCACGTGTTAGCGAATTTTAGCCATGGCAAATTGGCAGAGGTGGTATTGAGAGATACATTCAGAAATTCAATCAAAAGCCATTCTCTCTCATGTGTTAAGTGGATAATTTAGCAATTGAGGAATGAATTAAAATCATTTCAATGTTGTTTCCGCACCAATCCCTCATCCCCAAAGTGTCTAATGGAGATTTGAATAATTTTCCCCATTGTTCTTTCGCGTATGGTAATTAAATAATAATCTCGTGCGAGTGCGTAGCATCATAATGAATTAATTAATCTATCAATGGCAAAAACACCATTCATGAGTATTGAGGAAAGTCCATGACGAAAATTGCAATTACTCTCCCAATTTCCACAGAATTTATTGTCTTCAGCCGGGAAAATGCTGTGCAGAACGTGTGTGGGATTACTCATAATTGAATTCTATTGAATTCACGAGATTGATTTTTCTGGAAACAGCATAGATGATCAAATTTTCCTCTTTCTGCATCACCAGTGATTCCACTCCGACATTCATTATAAACGTATGGGTTCTTTTTTTGCGAAACATTTTCCCAACAAATTTCCAAGTCAATTTCCATGTGCATCAATTGATTTAATTATAAGAGACAAGCGTGACAACTCACCCGTGTGGAGGCGATTTGGGTCGATTTGCGTGTGCAGAATTGATATTCCGGGCACTATGATGGCAGGCAGTGTTCGGGAGCGTAGAAGTGGTGCAGGACGGCCTCTCGAGGACTTTCCGCCGCATGTCTGAGCGGCCAGGGCAGCGGCAGCTTGAGCAGCTCTGCAAGAGGACATGAAGTGGTGAATCCAGAGAATATGCAAATTGCAGCGCGCACGTATAGTTTTCAAGATAGAATCCACTAAAATTTGACGACTTCTGTAAAATTTTATTTCCATTCAGAAAATATTCTCACGTGTGAACTCGCAACATACTTAGTACGCAACACAGAAGTACTGCATACTGAATATATCTGACTCATAGCTGATAGACATCCCCCACTGAGAGCAATGGGATGAATAGAGAATTTTCCGTGACTTTTGCAATGTGATTGTGTAATCATTGATGGTCATTGACTCAGTGGGGTTGCGATGGAAGTTTCCATCAATATGAAACTTTAGTACGTCCATCAATGGTCCTCTGGCCAAATGAGCCCCATCATCAATATTCAATTACACCCATTCGCCAGGACCCCGGCATTGTTTATAGTTCCCCCATGATCGATTTTCACTCTCACGACCAGCTTTCAATGGAAAAAGTACACGACAAAGTTCTTCCTTACTCCGATTCCTTCTCATTTTTTCCGGCTAAGCAAGATGTACAAGAAAAAAATCAACATCTGCCGCAAATGCTGACTTCTTTTACTGGGAAACACCCAGAGAGAGCAAATGAAATTAAGGCAAAGAAGTGAGTCGAGAACGAACTCCGCGTGATCTTATTTTATTCATAATCCAATATTCTGCATTGTGAGGATTTTTCCACCAAGCACACACCTTCCAAGGAAATTTCCACTTGTGTGGCTGAAATGAAGGCGCACAGTTGGAAATATTCCAGGGAAGAATCGCAAACGAGCTTAAGATGATTCCATCTTGAGACGAGGATCATTTAGTGGATTTCAGTGCTACTTTGGGGGAACTTTTAGTGCCCTCAACGCTAATTCTATTTCTCAGTGCAATTAAGCCAATCCATTGTGGCTGAAGAGAAGGCAAATTTAATTCTTTTCACATGAAAAATTCTCACTTTTCTAGTGAAAAATTCATCTCTTTCATAACCATATACAAGTCAGTTGAGTGAGTAAGGAAAAGCATAAATAACCCAAGACGTAAATTTCTCCCTCAATAAGACTTCTCGCAAAGCACTTAGGCAAGATGCTTATTGAAGGAGTGAAAGTATTCGAGCAATATTGTAAATATTTCAACCACTGTTGTTCTCATTCTGTTCTAAAATTGATTTTTTTTCGCTCATGCACAAAGAAAAACGCAAGGAAAAATGCTGCGAATACGTGATGAAAATTCTTGTGCGGGAGTATTTTGGTTGTTTTATTTTTATAATTTTCACAGTCGTCTTGCAAAACATCAATCATTGACATTGACTAAGTGCTGAACCTTTGGTATTCAACTAATGAGAGAAATGTCCAGACTGAGAGAGGATTATTTTATTATCCACCAACGCTTTATCGTGGTGGGCAATCAAAAGGACGAAGGCTAGAGGAATCCATAGTAAAATAATCTACTCAATTTTAATTATTGCACATTAAGTGAAATTCTGCCTCCCATTTTATTATGAAATAACAGTCAGTCCTAATCCCAAAATAATTAAGACGTATAACTTTTTCGTCTCCTCGTCAAGTGAACAGCAAAAGTATGCTGATGACCAAATTGAATTATTCATATAATTCGTGATGATTTCATCTCTCTTTGTCTCTGGTAGTGACAAAAATATTCAGGAGCGTCCTTTATTATTGACAAAACAATAATAACAGAAAAAAACTGAAAATGATTAAATAATAAAAAGTGGCGTATACAAAATGAAAATATCTCACTGCAGACTTTGAGCTCATTTCAACTGCATTTGCAAGCATGAAAAATCATTGCATTATGAAGAGTGGAAAAGGAAAATGAGGACATGAAAAGTTTAAATTTATCCTCACGGAGTTACATTAAAATTCCTAATTAAGCAAGAGCGCCGGGGAAAAAGTTGTAAAATAGAGCACAGAGCACTGAAGGTGGAGGAAAAAGTGTTAGAATTGTATGAAATATTGGGCATTTTCTCACAATGCGTGATCACTTATGCGCCGTAAGTTTCCAGGAATAGGATTTAATACTCTATTTCCTTACACACATTGTCAGCAGCCATATTTAGTATTTCCCACCCTTTCCACGAGATTAACTTGCCGCTCATGTTGGCGGAAAAAACTATGTAAAATATTCATATGCCAAGCTGCCTTCTCGTAATTTTCAAGCATCACGCCAGGGGAGATTAATGAATAAAAGATTGAAACAAAACCACTTTATGACGCTTACCGGCCACATGGGACGGCGCTGCTCAACCACCCTTAAGGCGTGTTCCCAAGACTTTTTTTGCAACACAGGTAATTCTTCATGCTGCTTTCTGCGCTCATTTCAGCGTGGCAAGATAGGTTCAAATTATCCATCGTTCTGCCTCTTTGATTTATCGCGTGGCGTTAACGTATAAAATCGCAGACGAGGTGGTTTTTCCACCCTCATCATTTTCCACAATGAACCTCTGTGTGGCATTTGATAAACCCAACATCAACATCTTTCAGAGGTTCAAGAATACTTCCGCATGATATACGATGTGGACTACTATTAATTAATTAATCTCCAATTGCATGAGGCGCTTCTCATCTCCATTCACCTCGATGAACAGATAATTCACCCCACAGAGCGTGCAATAATTCAATGATTATCACGCAGAGAAGCATATTGAGCTTGACTGCACAAGTTGAGAGTGCAGAAATCGCTTGACATTTATCAAATACAGCGATGGACTTTGTAATGTTCCCGATGAAAGGGTGAATTTATGATCAATAACTCTAAATAGCAACAACGTTGTGTGAAACTTACAACTTTAAAGTAGAAAAGATACATTCTTTCTGAAAACTCTTTGTTGAACTTTCCCAAAATCATTAATTTAGTGCTGCAAATTTCATATTTCCACGGATGTGCAAACAAGAGCGGAGATATGTTTTGCAGGATTTTCTTAAGCTCGTTTCACACATAATTAAATGACAGGAAAAGTCATGGCACAATTATATGTTGCATCATTTAATTATCCTTGTTGGGAATGTGTCGTCTTCCCTGGAATTCTCTCACTTCCCTCTTTCTCATATTTACACATTCAATTTTCCACCTTTTGCCATTTGCACCTCGTGCACAAGATGTGTAGCAACTTTATTAAATTGAATGAAATCTAGAGTGGGAGAAATTGTTTATATCATCAAATATGGAAAAGGATTTCCTCGGCTCGCTCGCGACGGATTCTTCACCACGTTCCTCACCATGTAGAATCAGACAAATCAGCAAAAGGCGAACATAATGCTACAATAGAGACGACAGAATGAGCTCTTCGGCTACGTTATACAGCTTCTCAAGTTTATTTAAAGTGTCTTTTGTGGATGATTTAGCGCTTGAGTGGGTGGTATATAGGTTTTCGCACAGACAATAGTATTATCCACGTTTGCTGAATAAATCAAAAGACTATGAGAGACATAAAATAAATCATGACAATAAAACCTACGTACAGTGATGGCAAGGAAATATTTTGTGAGTCTATTCACTTCATCCTTTCTCGCCATTTGGCATCTCTCCTCCGTGATGCATAAGAAAGTTGAGCAAAATTTACACTCAAATTTACGACCATCAAATGAACCTTCGCGCCCTGCATTGCGCAAACATAAGGCGTTTGTGAGCGACGCAGGGGGAAGTTGTAATTTGTATGGGTCGTAAATAGAGGTGCTTTTTAATTTTCCCACGCAATTAAATTGGAGATGAAGCTCCCAAGGGTGCTTCTGTGGAGAATTCCAGATACGTTATCCGACGCAAAAGAAGGCGTTGTGACGACATGGCTGGAAAAAGCTTTCCAATCATGTGGAAATTAATTTAATGATGTTGCCTTGCTTCCGCCTTTTTTCCACTCTCCCTCCAAAACTCAATTGGGTGCCTCCGCAATTGACTGATACTGTGTGTCATTGGAAAAGGGGTGAAAATATCTTTCTACATTTCCCTCCCACTATGATTTCATCACTCCCCGACGAGAACTTTCTGCCAATGATGGGTGTGGAAATTATGACGTAAAATTAACGTCAAATGAGTGGGTGATTAACAAGTTTATTTAATAATAGTTGTGAAATGGGTGAAGCAATTCCTCACTCTGCCACTCATCACCAATGGTATAATTGTACTGCGAAATGTACTTCAAGTTGCCTCCACTTTATACATTCACAAGTTCAGAGGAAATATTTCAATCCTTTCGCCATTGCATTCACTCCCATGTCAGTCAGCGTGGTGTAAAATTTCACGTGTACACCACACTAATTCTGTCTTTCTCAGGATATAAATTGGCAGCAATTTGCTGCAATTATAGCGACACAGAGACGGTGCTTTTTTATGTGTCTACGTGGAGGCGCCTGGTGGGTGTGGAGGCGCCTAGTGAGCACTAAAGTCACCGAAATGTGTCGGAAAATCGATATGAATGCGACAGAAATGGTGCTCAATATTGATTTCCACGGGGAATATTGATTATAGGGCAGAGATAGAAACAGAGCTGAATGCGGAAATTAACAGAAAACAGCTCTAAATTTAGAGAAAACAGAAGGAGAGAAACTTTCCTGGGCAAGAGCCAAAATTTGAGGTGGCTTAAATTGTAGGGCTGCAGGCGTGGTAGCTCGTTAAATATTGAGAATTTTCACTTTCCCTCACACTCATCAGCAATGCAGCTTAATAAGTCAGGCAATTCTTCACCCTGTTAGTGTTGTTTGACCCAGAAAGCCTTTCTTGGGATGTGGAACCTATTGTGAAAATTCATGGAAAAAATCTTGTGTTATTTTTGTCTCTTTTTATCATAGAAAATCTATACTTTGATTGCTGCATTTTGATATGGCTTATCTGGGTCAGTGACTTGACATTTCAATTTTAGCATCAGTTGACCTAAAAGCTACGGATTTCAGGTGAAAATTTGTCAAGTTCGCTAGAAATGGGAATCACTTTATAGAGCAAAACATATAAAATTCTAGTTAAGGACGTTTCGACATTTCGTTATGGACGACTCTTTTCAATCCTTTTGAAAAATATCAACTTTACAGAGAAATTTTCAGCACAATTCACAGTGGATTCGACTTGCTGGCGTTTTATTCTGCTTAGGAGAAAAAGAAGGAAGGAAGCTGTCTCAATTACCCATCTGTGGCGCATAGTTTAAGAATAGTACTCACTGTTTCTCCTTTCGTTGTTGACGCTTCTTCTTGAAGGCCTTCTTGACGCGCAGCAGGAGGAAAGCCGCCCGGTCGATGGTGAGACTGGGCGCCCCCTTTTTCTGGGCCGACGAGGCCTCCTCCATGCTTGAGAGACCGTCCTGGTCTCGAACACAAGCACCCAGTGAATTCACCTTTTTAGCACCTTCACCATTAATTCATCACAAAATACTGTGGGAAAATCCCACGAAATTTCGCCACACACGGTTTTTCCACCAGTGCGTGGACAGAGGATCAAGGGGGCAGTTCGGCAGGGAGAGAGTTCTTTTGTGCTGCCTTCACTTTGCTTGTTCGTTCACCTGTCTGGGCGAGTGAAAATGAGAATGAGAATGTATCTGAAGGTATAATTCGAGGACGGGCTAAATTGTGGCTGGAGGGATGATTTTCCTCGGGCGTGGGTTATTTTTTCGTGGCGGCGTGTAAATTATTCAATTCACTACTTTCTCTCTATCACGATGCCCTCTTCTTCTCCCTCTACACATATATGCCTCTCAATTGTAACAGAAATGATTTGATTGTTTCTCTGAATGTCTTGGATTTTGATGGTTTCGCATTGATGCTCTCTTTGTCTCTATATGGGGGTAATTCTCGATCACGACATTTTTCCGGGGGAATGTACGGACAGGGAGAATAACATCATTTTTATCCCCCTTTCTTTCATCATCGTAAACTTGTTTGCCACAACATCGATTTGTTTTTTGCCCGTCAACACTGGTTTTCTGGTCATTTTTTCGATGGTGAGAGAAAAACTTTCCTCCGAAGGAGTGTCTCACACTCATCACACAATTTTCCCATTCATCTGTGACTCTGTGAATGCTATTTCACAGCTTGAAATTTTCCACTCTAAGCATCTAATGAATGTGACTTTCAGCAGTTGCTGATTTTTTCTCTCCTGTTTCTCAATTGCGTCTCAAATGTGAAATTTCTCTACATTTTGAGACTGGTATCTCAATTATTCATCCCCTTTAATTTTACCGCCCCAAGAGAGAGAGAGAGAATAGAGGCAAAGCCAAAAATTGTGGTGAAACATCAAAAGCTCCTCATGTCGTGGCACTCTAACAACCCCTTTTCTCCTGCTGTACAATTCCCTTCCGCCTCTCTTGGTCGTTATCGTGTGTAATCAGAGAATTACAACAAACACTAACTGTGTCAGTGGAAAAATTCTTGGTCAGTGCCGCAAAGTGGGAGGGGGGAGGAAAGGAAAAAGTGCTCCAGAGAATGAAATTCTATTCCATTAAGTTTTCTCATTTCTTCACTCGTTTAATTGCACATGGAATTCTTTCAGAAGCGCATCTAAACTCGCATTTGTCTTGTGCCGGACGGAGAGGGTGTGTTCGAGATGAGCATAAAAAGCCATGAGAAATGCCGTGGAAACGTAGGAAAGATACACGAATGCCTTAGATATAAAATAAAATATCATGGAAAAATGAGTGAGTACAACTACGGAATTTGTTATATTACTTTTGCTCTTGCAACGCACTTTTCCACATTCCGCTTTTCCTAGACTCTTTAATGTCGAAAGCTTTCGTAAAATAGATCTAAAGGATCAGAAAATGGTTGGAAAATTATTATAGGTATTTCCAAGCTCACATGATTTCAAACGGAATGTATTTGGCAGCTCGTGAATTCCTCTGAATTGCACTATTAAAAATACTTTTCAATTCCGCTAACAGGTGAAAAAAATGATTAATTAAATAATAAAATATCAATTCCGAAAAAATATCAAATTGCGTCAAATTGATAACATTATCTTATTCAATAAAAACCACATTACTTAGTGGGAGAAAACATCAGACACACTACGATTTGTCAGCGGTGCATGATGATGCTTCTTTCTTCCATTTTTCACATTTATTCAACTCTCTGGTGCCACAATGGAGTCAGTTTGAATAAGAGAGTTAATCTATTTGCATGACAAATGGCAATGGCAATGCACAAGTCTCACAAGGGATGCGCAACGGTAGATGAATGTCTTCAAAGGGTTGAACAGTGAAGCAACTATTTGCCAAGTCTTTCACTCCCCCGTCCCCAAACTAAAAGGAGCCGAATGCGAGGGGGAAAACCCCTGAAAATTATTTATTTATTGCGAAGAAAACGGACGAATTGAATTAACAACGAGGCGGAGAAGAAACTTTTGCTCCTCTGTTCTATTTCTGATCAATTCGCAATTTTACACGTTTTCATTCATTCCCTTTCTGGTCTGAGCATGGGAGCTTTTTTTCACCCCTCGAGGGATCATAAAACACCCACATTTTCTGACCAGGAAAAAAGAATAACACACGTGCAAACAAACTCTCACAGTTCCTTTTCCCACGCTGTGATGTAAAAAATGTCCTAATAGTGAACGCCGCTGTTGGGGTGGAAAAACGCGAAAAGTTGAGTGTTTGTCTTTGAGCTATTTGGGAAGTTTCCTGAGCCCACCCCACAATCTCAGTCACTCGCGCCTTTCCCGCTTTTCCGTCTGCTTCACACGAGGATCGCGACACGACTGAGGGACCTCAGCGCGGAGCGGCAAATCCTGTTGGCGCCGAAGAGTGAATCATTGGGGCTTACAAATCCTCCCCCATATGAGCTTCTGTAGCCACACCACAGAGGGACCTTGTGTGCAGTTGCTAAGTCAGGACACAATCAAGGAAGAGTGTCTCGCTTGAATCCATCTCAATTTTTCCGTTCCTTTTCTTCTTATTATCACTATTTCAAATTACACACAATTTTACAATTTATCAATCAGCACGGGGAAACTCACTTGGATTTCTTATCCTTGATGGTATACTTATCGTAGGTCTTTGTAGGATCGTACGGCTCCCATCTGCTGGCCGGGAAGATGTGCTTATTCCTCTCGTACCACGATCTGAGCAGGACTTTTCCTGCGTGCGACTCCTCTTTCTCGATTGTCGCATCGCTGATCATGCGGATGTCATCATGGACGTCAAACTGGAACAACGGTCCACTCTTGCCTCTCGCCTTCGTCACAATGAAGTCGTAGAAGGTGTAATGATGAGGCAGAATGAGATCTTCTTTGACGTACATAAGCTGATCTGCCATTACGGTTTTCAGTTCGCTGAATTCCTTCCGCAACAACTCGAGGCACTTCTGCAGGAATTGGTAAATGGAGTGTCCTTTCTTCATAGTCACACTGCGTCTGTGTCCAGAACCGTCCCAGTAGCTGAAGGTAATGGTGATTTCCTGGTCTTTCGTCGCCGCCTGCTGAGCTACCCATTCCTGCCTCAATTCCTCCCGCAATCGGTTCTCCCTCTCCTCTCGCTCGCGATCTGGCAGAAAGGATGTGTCCACATCTGGATTCTTCTTGATCTTCTTCTTGGGCACCTCATCGATGTCCATCCAGCTTCTTTTCTTACTCTCCTCCTCCTCTTCTGATTCCTCTTCATCATCTTCCTCTTCCTTCTCCGCCTCTTCCTCCTCCTCCTCATTGTCTTCCTCGTCCTCTAAATTGAAAGACAGCGCCTGGATTTGCTTCTGCTGCTTGTTCTTCTCAGCCTGTTTGGCCTCCAGAGCACGTAGCTTCTCCCTATCCTTCTCCTCCTTCTTCTGTGCCAACTTCTTCTCGCGCTCCCGCACAATGTCCTCCTGCTTGGCCTTCATCTCATCCAACGTGACCAGACCGATGGTGGAGCTCTTGAGCTGCTGCTCCACTGCATCATAGTGGCTAGCAAATTTATTCTCAATGTTGTGCACTCGCAAATCTTCCTCAATCTTTTTCTTCCTGAACTCAATCTCCTGTTGCGCTATTTCACGCTTCTTCATCAGTTGCATGGCGCGCCCCGCCTCACTGGCTGCTCCTTTGTAGTGAGCCATCTCGAATTGGCTGGAAATTCACTGATTTATATGAGAAAACACCACAAACAACCTTTGTTTACGTTTTCCTCCTCAATGTGTCAATAGTTAACAATTTTACCCGCTACGCGGCGATACTAGCTTACAAGAAGAAACTGCCCGCAGAATTTCTCTAAACAGCTTTTATTTCCTCCATTAATCTATTTCACAGTCTTCAAGCATGACCAGAATGCCTAGTCATCTAATTTATCGTCAGCAAACTGAGAAGACACCCAGGCAAGGCCCCACTTCAGATTTGTGAGCAGAAACTTGAGGGCCTTGGTCCACTGTTCCTCAGAGTTGAATTGGATCTTTATCGAATACGAGTTGCCAGTGGCCGAGTCCTCAATCTTCCCCTTATCCATCTTGTAGGGCAGGCAGAAGCCGGAGTCGCCCTTCTCCACCTCGTCCTTGAATTGCTGCAAACAGTCCAGGAAGGCCACCATGGCGGCATCGAATTTCGTATCCCAGTAGAATCGGATTCCTCCGGTCCCATACAGAGGCAGCTGTTTGCCAGTCTCCAGCTCCTCGATGTACGAGTGATTTCCATACGGCACGAGTTTGTAGCGCTTAAAGGTGAGGTTCATCTTGCGCGCCAGCGCTGAAAGGAGCAGCGCCGTCTGCCCCCAGGCTGCATTTATCTCTGACCAATCCACAGGGGCGGATGGCAGACGTCCAAGCCGGAAGTTGTTGATGGTGCCAAAGTGGCCAGAGTGCCAAATGTGGAAGGTGACGTTGAAGACGTTAGTCTTCTTGAGCCTGTCCAGCTGCGCCTGGGCAGACGCCAGATGATTCTCCACGCTCCGGAACTCGTCCTCTGTAGCCATAAGATCCCGTCTGTGTTTGGTGTACTCGCGCCAGTACTTTACTTGCTCATCCCGAAGGCGCTCCTGCTCCGTCTGTTGATTCTCTATCGATGCTTTTATAGCCTCTTCCTGCGTCTTCAGCATAGCCAATTCAGCCACGAGGCGCTCCTCTTCGCCACTCAAGTCCGTGAGCTCCTTCTCCAATTGCTCAATGTTGGGAATATCCTCAGAGGCCTCAAGTTTCTTCAAATAGCTCAGATAGTCGTTGAAATCATTGTCAGCCAGCTTCAACTGCTGATCCATCATCTCCAGCAGAGTGTCTGTGCACTCATCGCACAGCGGATGGTCAATTTCCGAGTTGGATGAGAGTTTGTCGAAGAGCTCAGCCTTTACCTTCATCTTGTGACTGCCCACGTCGCCCTCAGACACATCCGAGATCAGCATAAAGCCATTCGTTCCTGTTCCGGAGTCCGTCAGTCTGAAGGGTGGCACGAAGTGGTCGAAACTCATAGCCTGGGACTCAAGATCCACGTCGATGTTGGAATTGATGGGCACTGGAAGCCACAAAATAGAAGATTTCAAGGGAAAAGTGGGGGAAAACACTTGTTTGTCTTACGTGAAAGTTCAGCCAATTTGTGTTCATCAATCCTGTCAAAGGAATCGTCAATCTTGATGGGCTGCAGACATCTCTGACACGCAAAGCTCACACTTATCCTGCCGTCTCCCATTTCTTGGAGATTTCACTGAATTTCCTCGCACGAAAAATCCCCTTGTTTTCTTTTACCCAAAGCAAACGTCAACACACTGACGCACAGAGACCTCTGGCGTCACCCTCCCAACTCTGCATAATTTCCCCAATTTCCCTGAGTAGGTCAACATTTTATTTCATTTCTTTATTCTTGCAAAGATTACATGGAATAATTACAATATGAGCGTGCAAAGATGTTAAGAAAAATGTAATATGGCGATCACGAGGCCGTTCGAAACGATTGGACTTGGCCAGATGACCGCTCCATTGAAATGGCAAATTAACCAAGGATATTTATAGACGAGGTGGCCGAGTGGTTAAGGCGTTGGACTGCTAATCCAATGTGCTATGCACGCGTGGGTTCGAATCCCATCCTCGTCGTTGTTTTTTTCCTTCCTTTTCCTCATTCCTTTTTGCCATGATAAGGCTTCGTTCGATGGGCTCTGTACTCTTCGTCGTCGTGGATATCCTTAAAGCACTCCCGGCAAAATAGTTCCCCGTCGCATCCAAGGCACCGAATGCTGGCATCCTCGTTACAAACTGTGCACCACGGCAGCTCCTCGGTATCTCCGGACGGTGGAGGCAGACTACTGATAAACTCCTTTTCATCAGGATCGAGGATCTCCCCTTCAAGAGCGGATTCGGCAAGATAGCGCTGAGCAAGCTTTTTAGCAGCAATTTCCTCGTCCTCACTCTCTTCGTCGACGTTCGCAGTAGCACCAGCAGCTTCTGGGGCTTTGGCAGACTGACTAGAGCCAGACGAGGGAAGAGGATTCTTCTTCAAAGCTGCCAGTCGCTTTTCAACGTCTTTTGCGGGATCGAAAGCCTCTCTAATCGATGCTTCCTCCGAGTACTGCTTCATCAGATCATCCATCTTCTGCTGATCTGATCTCTTGTCCACGGCGAAGACATGAGCGTTTGAATATTCCTTGTATTGCTGTCCTCTCAGCTCTGCCAGTCGCTTTCTCATTTCCTCCTCGGACGGAACACTCTTTGGCTGTCTGTCTTCCCGTAATTTCTCCAGACGCTTCATGATTTCATCGTCCTGGGCAACTCCTTGGGATGCGCCGGCTGTAGAGCCCAACTTCTCAATGCGCCTGCAATGAGTCATCAACTGATAAACTCCTCAAACACATTCATAGAATTATGCAAAGTATACTTCAAATAAGCCTCTGGAACTGGACGTTCGCCATCCTCAGCCTCTTCTGTTGACGACTTCTTCTGGGCATTAAAGCAGGAGAGACACACTTTCAGTTTCCTCTTCTCAGGAGATCCGTCGATAGAGTATTTTATACAATTTTTGCAATAAGAAAATTTGCACTTGGGACACCCCACCTAAAAAGAATCAAAGAGGGTAAATGATTGCATGACACGTAGAGAAATGTGGACAAATTACCTCTTTGAGGAATAATCCGTACTTCTTTGTACACCCACGGCACGACATATTCCTGGAAAGTGCACTTTTCGTAACAGAAAATCCCTAGAAAGAATTCCTCGGGGACCCCTTCTTGTTGATATAGAATGAAGTTATGTGACAGTCACTGTCAAGAATCTCACCACAGAAGGGGAAATTTGTTTTGCTTTTGGATGTTTGGGAAAAGTGCGGAGAAAAAGTGATTTTTCGCCCAGTTATCTTGTGAAAATTGAGTGAAAAGTGCAGCAAAGGGAAGCTATGGATCCCGAAGACAATGGTCAGGGTGAGGAAGCTGAGGGAGAAGATGAGGCAGAGATGCTGTCCGATTCTTCAGGTGGGATTTGCGTTTCACTTCTTAATGTCACTTTTTCTATAATAATTTTATATTTTCCAGTGGTTGAGGATGATGGACAGGAGAGAGATGAGTCTGGCTTCAGAATTGGTGTCTTCAACATCATGCGGGATAGAAATGTGGCAAGGATTTTCCGGGGATTTCGCGGATTCAATCGCGAATCAAGTTCCGGAAGTGAGGATGTGAGTTGAAAAAGTTTGCAGGCTTTTTGGGGATATTCCTAATTGCTTGTTGTCTTCCTTGCAGTCCTTTCAAGTCACAACTCCCTCAAACGAGGAGAGCGACAATTCAGACAGCGCGAGCAACAACCAGCCCCAAAACTTTGACACAGAATTGCCCACAAATCACTCAGTGAGTTTTCCTGGTTCTTCTAAATTGCGGTCCATTTGTTGATTGTTTGGTGATCTCTTTCCAGTATCTGGGCAGGATGGAGTCCGTGTCAGGCGTTGAGTACTATGAGCCGGGGAGCAGATACAAGATTCACATTTGTCCGCATCACACAATCATCTTCCCTGGACAGACTCTGCCCGTGATTCTCTCCACGAGCCAGGCATTTCATCTGACCGCCCAGAGTGGTGAGCACTCGGTGGGACTGGTCTTCCCGCCGATTAACAATGAGCAGTATGGCGTCACGTGCCAGATGTATGAGAAGAATGTGAGGAATCCGCTGTGGAAGTCAGACTTGAGAGCCAAATTGCGAGCTCACCAGCGATTCCGCGTGTGCAAAGGCACGATAAGTCATCCCATTTTGTCCACCTTCGTGGGCGACGTGAGAGAGGCTGAGGTGGAGATTTTGCCTGAGTTGTCTCTGGGCGATCCCTTGAGCGGTCATATTCGTGGCAGCTTGGACAAATTCCTTCCTCACTCGTCACGAATCAAGCTCCTCTACTCTCACGCCAGAGCATGGCCACTTTTTGTCTACGAGCAGTATGACATTGGGAAGGTGATGATGAAGATCAAGCATTTCGTGGCAGCTCACAATCTGGGTAATGAAGCTTTCTGATCGCTGACTTTTAAACAATACAATAACGAAGAGTCTTTCTGAACAGAGAACATGCCCACGGATCCTATTGTATGCTCCTTCTGGTCAGCCAAGAACCTTCCTCTCGAAGAGAGCGACAGAGAGAAGATTTTTGCCACGAATTTCGTGGAAGTGCGCATGAAAATCATCGCAGAGAAGTTGAATGATGTGAGTGGAAAGTATTCCTGATGTGTTTGCTATAAGAAAACTAATACAAATTACTTCTTGCAGCCTTATTACTACCACTGCATCGAGTGCCAGCAGAAGGTGGCGAAGTTTAGTGAGGTCTTCGCCATGTCTAAGGATGGCGTGCAGGCAAGCTACTGCAATCCAGGCGGCTTCATCCACGACACAGTCACACTGTTCGGCGTGGAGCTAAATGCAGTGATTGTGGAGCGCTCAAAGTCTACCCAGTTCAGCTGGTTCCCTGGCTATGCGTGGAAGATCACCGTCTGTGGGCGCTGCCATAGACACTTGGGATGGCAGTTTGTGGCGGAGAAGAAGAACCTCAGGCCACACTCATTCTTCGGACTCACGCAGCGCAGCATTGTGCTGAAGCTGTAAGGAGGATCTTCTCTATGGACTGTTTTTAATGGGCATAAATGCAAACATTTGAGTATTTTGACGCACTCAATAGCCTTCTTCATCCGCCTCCAACTCGAGGAACGTCGTGAGCTTCACCCGACAGAAAGGACACTGACCCATGGCGACGGTAAACATTGTCTTGCTGCTCGGGAGAGTGGCGAAGTAGTGTTTCAGGCACTGCAGATGGAAGATAACGTCGCACTTATCATTATCACAGCGAATGATGGGAATTGTGTTGCCCTGGAGATAGTCGAAGCAGATGTTGCAGGGCGTCTCCACGTCATCCTCGCGCATTGGGAAGTATATGAGATCGTACATCCTCAGGAGATTCTTGTGTACATCCATTTCGACGTCCCAATCTGCTATCTTCTCGTTGTAGATCTCCCGAAGGGGCTCCACTTCGGCGATGGGTCCAATAAACACCAAGGCTACTTGGGACGGAATCAAGGGATCAATGCTTATCTTCAGGAAGATTTTCTCATTGAACTTTATAATCCTGGACGTGGTTTTTGTTGTAATGTTTGCTGGTCCCACGATGAAGCAGAGTTCGTCAATTGTGTGCATATTGTCGTAGAACTCATTCAATTGTTCCAGGAGTGCGTTGAAGTTGGCCAAGTGACTCTCGATGCTTCCTATTTTCCAGAACATCTTTTCCAGCTGTGGCGGCAAACTGTGCTCAGTGACTTTCACCTGAGCCTTATCGGTCACGGCGAATTCCAAATAATGATGCTCATTTTCAGATATTCCGTTGATCTTGATCTTCGAGTAGTCGGCAGTCACTTTAACGTTGTGACCAGATTTCTCGAGAGATTCCAAATTTTCCAGCAGCTTATCAAAGCGCTTTACACTATCCAAAATCTCATCTAATTCACACACTTCTTCACACTCATTCGCCTCGAGGTGCGCCTCCAATCGTCTCACATATTTCTGAATGGATTCCTTGGGATCCGGTGGGAGATCTAGAGGAATTTTCCTGCACGAGTTGAAGACTTCAATTGTAGCATTGCCGGCCTCTGGATATTCCGGCGCTGTGAGGTGAATCTTGAAGGAATTCCCCTGAAATCACAGAGATAATTTATCTGGCGCATAATTCGTTTAATTTTTACTTACCTTTGTCGTAAAGAATCCCACAAATTTGTGTATATTTTCGTCAATTTCCAGGAAATTCTCAAGGAAGTTGTTCATTTTGTTTGTTTACATTTCAATCTCTCTCCCCCCACTCCTGATTTTCTCCCCTTTCGTGAAGTTAGTCGCGAGTGGTGAATTCCATAATGGATGAGTTGTCAAGATATTAGTGTTTTTGGGCTGGAGAAAATTGCTACAAACTGGCCAATTTTCCTCTTCAATTCCCTCAAGAGTGACTCGAGTGGTCAGATAAAGTCCCCAATGAGACTGTGGGAGTGATTATGAAAATGACATATGTGTTCAGTGGCGAAATTGTGCATCTCAATGTTGGTGGAACAAAGTGAGTGGATGGGGGCGCTCCCTTTATGATTTTCCCACATTTTCACTCGTTTCTCCAACTCTTCGTAGGTTTGCGACGTCCCGGCAGACTCTCACTTGGATCCCAGATACTTTTTTCACGGCACTGCTGAGCGGACGAATCGCTAGCCTGAAGGATGACACGGGGGCGATTTTCATCGATAGGGATCCGAGCCTCTTTGGCTTTGTTCTCAACTACCTCCGGACGCGAGAGGTGGATATCAGGAACCATGACATACGGATGCTGAGACATGAGGCGGAGTACTATAATATCTCGCCACTGGTGAAGAGACTTATGCTGTGCGAGGATCTTGGGCACTCTTCCTGCGGAGACCTTCTATTCTATGGCTATCTTCCGGCGCCTAGTATTCCCATCCAGGAGTTCACACCGCCCCCATCAAGCTCCACCGCTTCCACGATGTCCCTGGGAAAGAACACATCGAGCTCAACATCAACTGTGACCACGAGCAACACTCAGGCGCGTCCGGGAAGCATGGTGAGAGTACCAGAGTTCCAAAACACGAGTGGGAGCGGGAACGGGGTCAGTGGGAATGGAAGTCGTCTGGCGGGTCACTCGAGAAATTCTTCGCTAGACCTCAGAATGCGCAATGGACAGTCCTGGGCCACGAATCACTCCCGGACGGCCTCGCTGGATCTCAGGCACTCACGGAACTCCTCAGCGGATCTCACGAAGGCGATCAGGAGCGATGTGGGACTGGTGTTCAGTGCCAACCAAGTATCCGGATGGATGGATCCGATGCGAGTGCAAATCATCAAAGCTCATCTCAACTGGATCTCCGTGGCGTACGCTCACTTTGTCACCTGCTACAGGTATGAGAGCGACAGTGTGGGCAATTAGTGTGTCTAATGATGTGTTTTCGGGCAGATTGAAGGACTCGTCTGGATGGCAACTCGTCTTCACGTCACCCTATATAGAGTCGGCCATCGAGAGGATCGCTATTAATGCCAAAGTCAACGTCTCGACGTCTGGAGAGCAGACGCAAAGCAAGATGGTGGCGATCAGCTATGGCTCACAGATCCGCCTGTGGGGAATCTCTGAGGACGGCGCCAAGACTGAGGTGGGAACGTTTAATCTGAAGGTGCGCGTGGAATATCTGTTCTTCATAGGGAGCCAATTGGTGGCCCTGTCGTCGTCTGGCAAAATTGGGGTGTGGCACGCGATGACACAGCACTGGCAAATACAGGATCTGGTGCCAATTCTCTCCTTTGACACAGCTGGATCCTTTCTACTTCTGGGATGCAACAATGGATCGATTTACTACATTGGTAAAGTGTTAATTGCATGGGCAATATTGACCCGAAGCTAAATCCTTATTGGCTTTCTTGTTTTTTTTGCAGACATGCAAAAGTTTCCTCTACGAATGAAGGACAATGATCTCCTTGTGACGGAACTGTACAAGGATCCCTCGAATGATCACATCACGGCGATTTCTGTGTATCTCACACCAAAGACTACAAGTAAGATTGTCTCTTTGCTCTCCTCTGATCTTAAATTATACTTAATTAATCTCTTGATCGGAGAAGAATGTCTTTCTTAATCATATTGCTCTTGAGCAACTTGAGATGCTCAAATTTTTGAATACTGAATTGCCCTTGAAGAAAGTTAATAAGATTATATACCATTTTGCATGCCAGCACCGGATAGGGGAAGAGAAGGTAATTTTTCACTCATTCTCTCTGCTACTTTGAGAGTTTATCACACAATTTAAGAGCCAAATTCACGAGGCAATTGATTTCTTTGGCATTTGTGGCGCTTTTCTTATATTCGGAATGATATCCAGTGATCAGAGCAGTGGCGTAGTAAGCACGGGACTCACAAATCACAAAATGAGAGAATGCTTTTAACTGTGTTTGATCCCTTCTGATCATCTCTTGTTCACACTTTGAATTCATCATGTAATTTGTTACTGCTTAATAGTTCCCATGGAATTGGAGAAAGAGTCCCTGAAGTTTTAAAGTTTGAGTGAGTTTATTCGGCAAGTCCTTCAGATACTTACTAAGCCACGTGATAATGAGCAATCACAGCAAACTTTTGTCGCTTTCTCGTCACTCTGTTCGTTTTTCTTTATACGTTTTCTTGGATGGCTTTTGAGGTGCTGGCATGACTATGAATCCGCTCTGCCGGAGAGTGTCTGTCTGTCTGTGTGGAGCTAAAAGGGAAGGCGTGCTTCCACGACTAATGAGGCTTCATTGCTTGCAGGCTTATGTGGCAACTGGATTGAGATTGCGTATGGCACGAAGTCGGGCTCTGTGCGCGTGATTGTGCAGCATCCAGAGACAGTTGGACATGGACCGCAGCTCTTCCAGACGTTCACGGTGCACCAGAGCGCCGTGACGAAGGTGACGCTGTCGGAGAAGTACTTGATTTCCGTGTGCAGTGAGTACAATCACGTGCGCACATGGCGAGTTACGCGCTTCCGTGGGATGATCTCCACTCAGCCGGGCTCCACGCCGGAGGCGTCCTTCAAGATTGTGTCACTGGAGGCGGCGGACAGCAACTACAGCTACGCGGCGGGCAACGATTTTGGGCCATTTGGCGAGCAAGACGACGAGCAGGTGTTCGTGCAGAAAGTCGTGCCGGACACTGATCAGCTGTACGTGCGTCTGGCCTCAAATGGGGATCGCGTGTGCGTGATAAAATCCGTGGACTCCACGACGATCACGTCGTTTTGTGTGCACGAGTGCGAGGGATCCTCGCGGATGGGCTCCAGGCCGAGGCGATTCATTCTGTCGGGGCACTGCAACGGAGCTATACAGATGTGGGATCTCACCACGGGCCTCGATCTCGCTGCCAAAGGAGAGAAGACGCAGCAGATGAGCGGCGGACCGAATGCGGAGGAGTTGCTACGGCTGTTGGATCAGTGTGAGCTGAGCAACAGCTACGCCTCCACGCCCTGCATGTCTCCGTGTCCGGCCAACATTCCATCGGCCAGGCTCAAGTCGGCAAATCTGGCATTCCTCAATCAATCCGACTCCGGCGCTTCCCAATGAACTCAACGGTTCTCATTCGGTCAATTGATTTATTATCAAGTGTACGTTTAAGACACATTTTCTTTGTTCATCGAGCATTAAGTATCAAGAAAGGGGGCTCTCGCGCGAGGGCGCTCCTAGGAGGCTGTTTCAATGTAAAATGCATGTAATCCAGAGGAGTTCTAGAGGCCAGTTTCCAGGCAAGACTAGAGATTTATGTGAATTAGGAAGTGTGCTAAGCATTCGAAAGGACAACTTCGCCAGCAGATTTCTCCTCGGGATCATAAGAAATTCCACTTGTATAACGTATGGCAATCTTTATCATATCCCACCTCCTGGAGCGACATCCCCTTGCAAATTTAGGCCCGGATGGCGTCCCTTTTCACGTTTCAATTGTGACTATATTTACAGAAAAAAGTGTAATAATAATAAAAACGTTATTCAAAGGTGGCAAAACGAAGCGCTTTAGAATCACACGTTTTCTTTTCGGAGAGGCTTGAGTCTATCTCTATCTTACAGAAGCGAGAAGGGCATGGATCCTGGAATCACAGTTGCTGGGCGTACAGGTGATTGGCGTAGATTGTAGGCGCCGTGGCAATGGGCAACAGCAGTATCCAGGAGACCAGCCCCAGTACGTAGAGGAACTGCAGGAGGTGCTTCCTGGGGTGACTGGTGAGCTCCATGACATCCGGGAAGCCCATGTGATTGCAGAAGGCGTGCGCCACGAAGGGGGCAACAAAGTGGCCGGTCTTGGTGAACAAGTAGGCTGAATAAATGCCGAATATGTACGTATAAGTGAATTGGAAGCAGGACATTGTCACGGCAGTCTTCACGTCCATTCCCGTCCGCAGACGCTCAATAATGTGGTGGAAGTGCGCCACTGCGAAGAACAGTGGCACCAGGAAGATGGCAGCCGTTGGCGAGAAGGACTGCAGCAGGAGCGGCAGCATGCACGCCCGGAAGGTGAACTCCTCCGAGAGCGGCGCTACCACATGATTCCGCAGCCACAGGATGTTGCAGAAGCTGGAGAACCAGTATGTGGGACGGAAATACAGCCGCCACATGCCGCTGAACACCTGCATGGAGATGGGGCCCAGGAAGAGGAGCGCCGTGAGGCAAAGTGGGATGACGAAGGCCATGAGAATTCCGTCCCGCCGAAAGCCCATGGCCTCCCACAGGGTGACGCGCGTGAGGAGGCTCTGCGAGGAGACCACGTAGAGGAACACTGGCGACACTGACATCACTAGGAACACGCTCAGGAACCTCTTCAGGATCGTCGATGGATGATCCCTGCGAAAAGTGAGGTTACACCACGGGCTCCTCAGCCATTCTATCCGGCTCCTCACCTATTCTCCTTGGAATTCCACATGTACAGGCTGGCCACATAGATGACGGAGAGCAGGAGGCACGTTCCGACTGACTTAGCGGGGGAAATCAATTCCATGGCGTGTGCGATAAATAATATAAACAGACGGAGCAGAGAGAACTGGAGTCGGCGCCGCGATATTTCCCCCGGCCGCGAGCGTTTGCGACCAACTTCGTGCCGTATCCCCGGTGAGAAATCTGGCAGCACTGTTTCTCTTTTGGCAGCTCATCGCGACGGAGTGAAAAAAGGTACCTCTCGAGAAATTATGCAATTTTCTCAACGCTTGTAGTGCGGAAAACGCGTGAAAAAGTGCGAAAATGCGTGCATAAGTGTCCAGTGAGTGGCAGAATGGTGGAAAATCCGTGAAATTGCGTGTGGGTGTGTGTAAAAAAGGCGTCTCGAGACAGTTTGCGAGCAGAGGCAAAAAGGGTGCCCCAAAGTGAATTCTCTCACCGAGCATCGTGCCATCTCGCTCGCGCGCGCACCATCGCGCATAGTGGCATCCCTCTTGTGCTCGTGCTGAGCGTATGCGGTTGTTTTTTTTCGGTACAATTAAAATGGCTGCGACCAGTTTCATCTCCTTTGTTTAGGACGGATCACTGAATTTTAGCCCCATATTTGGACTCGTGTGCCGTGTGACCGGGACATTTGGGTGGACTATCTGCCGTGATCATGCCGAGTGCCTCGTTCACATCATCGCGGTCCTATGTGAGGCGTTCACGACGAAAAGGTGGAAATCGTATAGCGCTGCCATCGAGAACTTCAGGTAAGAAAATGCCTACTTTTCCCAAGGAGTGCCGCCGCGATGGGGCGCCCGTGGGGGCCGAGTGGGGGTTGTCTGTCCGCCAGGGAATCGCCCGATGGGTCGATGGGCGAAGAGGGAAGCCCCTCAAGGGCGCAAGGAGGCGCTGGGTGGAAGCTGTTGCGGGGTTTCTCCCGGCGGAGCCTTCTGCTCTCCTTGGCCCTCTCGTGGGCTCCCTCTCGCTCTCCAGAGACACTCGCTCGCCCGTGAGGAGCGAGCGAGCGAGAGAGAGAAAGGGCAGCAGCCTTGTGGGTGTTGCACGCGCCTGAGCGAGATGGAGTGTGTCCGTGTATGTTTAATTCCCGGAAATTCGACCCCAAAATTTATCGACTCCGGATTCATTTTTTTCCTCCTCTCTCACCACTCTCTCGCTCTCGCTCTCTGGGAATCGCGAAATTGTCTGCAATTCCGATAAATTTGTCATATTTATGCCTCCCTTTGCACCTTTTTCCCCCATTTTCGCTGCCATAGCGTGACGACGATGGATGAGGGCTGAAGAAAGTGTGGCGACGGTATTTTTGTCCAAAATCAATTGCAAATTCCGCGAATCGTCTTTTCAGCTGAGCCGAGGTATGAGGCGAATTGATAAAAAGTGACGTGTAAGAGAGCGAGAGAGTGAGAGAGGAAATGGCTAAGGAAAATAGTGATGAGTGACGTCAAAATTCCTCAAGAAAATTGATCCAAAGTCGGTCTTCTTGGGGCCTCCCTGGGCATTCCCGGTCCCTCGCCGACGGGCAGATAATGACCCAAATAGCACACGCCAGCGAGACTTCCTCCTCTGAGCGACGTCGTGAGTGGAGATGATGGAGCAGTGGAGTGCAAGGGGTCACAGCCAGTGAGGGATTTTCCATAAATACTCTCTCAGGCACCGATTGAAGGAAGGCCGTAAGAAGAGCGGTGGTTATTTTCCATAGAACAACAAGCTGTTTGACCCCAGGCACAAGTGCTCTCCCCAAAGTCTGCCCAATAGGTGCCTCTCTGGGCTGGGGAAGAATGCAGACGAGAGTGTGCATAGTGAGATAAGGTGGAGGAAGTGGCCGATGGCGAGGAGGAAGAGTGTGTGAGACAAAACAAGCTCTCGAGGCGCTCTAGCATTTGACAACGGTGACCTCAAAAAAGGCAAAAAAGAGAATTATGTGGTACATATGTTCCCGTTTTATTAATTGTACTACACACAATTTAGCGCTCCACACAAACACACTCACGATCACACACATGTACAAATAGTGCAGACAAAAACGCTCAAAAGCGGAAAATGGACACATAATATATTGCAGGCTAAGAGTCTCTTTGATTTTATGCTCAATGTTGACGCTTTTACTCCAGGGGGATCGTCACACTAGACTAGAATTCTTAGAAGAGTCGTGCAGTGGCTGAAGAGCGAGAGAAAGCCATTTTCAGAATTCGTGCAAGATTGCTCTCGATGACATATCTAGCGAAGTGTTTCGTATTCTCCGATTCTTATGGGGAAACGCATTATAATTCATCGATGACAAGAGCATTCTTGGGTGGGTTGCATTGGTGGAAAAGTGAATCATATTGGATGCTGTAAAGTACGTCGAATTTGAAAGACGTTAGAGGAGACAAGGCGCATCCTTGCTTCACACTGCAGACTGTAGTGTTTTCGCCTGTGGAATAGAGTTGTAATGCAATGGGAGGAGTGTCATTCACCCCCTGACAATTAAAAGCTGAAAGACAAGATGTGAATGGGAGAAGAGTGTGTGTTGGTGTCTTCTCATGGAGATTCTGTGAGACCTCAACCTCTAACCCAGAATCTGGAGAGGATTTCCCACATGTCTCTCTTGGCCTGCTGTTATCTCGTCATAATCTGAAGATAAATGGTGGCGGATGATGTTTGATTGCAGAGCACATGGACACTGTGTAGAGTAATCTTGGTCATCGAACTATCATGTAGAAGTTTATTCTTTTCTCAGCCTCTGTCGACGCTCTATATTTCGTCTGTGTGTGTTTGTGTTCATTTCATTTGCCTCTCCAGACGAGACATTTTTTCCGTTTACCTGAAGGAGTCTCACTGTGCGCGCACGGTAATAGGAAAAAAAAGATATGGGACAGAGACTGACTGAAGAACCAGCTGTGCTCTGGAGTCTTGAGGTTTTTCCGTCTTAAGTCCTTCAATAGGGCTGTGGGATATTGTAAGAGGTACTCGTATTTGAGGAATTGGGAAGGTTTTTCTACCCTCGAGAAGCCCAAAAATAGTCCCCTCTCAGTGTCAGAGAGGTAGATTTTCCTTTCTTGTCCCTGTTTCTTGGAGAAGATTTCTTGAAAGAGAGAGAATTGATGAGACTTATGACATGCAAATGTTGCCTCTTTGCAGATCCATGCGAGCCACCATGCCAGAATCTTCCAGCACCCAATGTGGGTTCGGCCACGTCGTCCGGTGGCCCATCGACAGTTGCAGCGACTGGGACTAGCGCCTCCTCGAGCAGTAGTCCGGCCAATTCCACAGCCAGTGGTAGTGGTGCTATTACGGGCACGAGCAATTCCAGTAATTCACCGGCGGGAGCATCAGCAGTTGCCACCGCCACGAATGCCGCTTCCACATCGGCGTCCATCGCCACAGCCTCAACGTCTGCGGGCCACCAGTCGCCGTATGACTTGAGGCGAAAAAGCCCATCGGCCAGTCATGAGATCTGCAGCTGGAGTGGACAGACGCCGTCGACGAGTCACCATTATCAGAGCACGTCGATCGATGGTGGATGTTATATGCTGCCAGCTCGCAAGAGACCCAGACGCACCTACTCCACCAGCATTGACACCTGTACACCATCGGCGGCGCAGTATCTGCAGTATGAAATGCCCGATGAGGTGCTGCTGACGATCTTCTCCTACCTTCTGGAACAGGATCTGTGCCGGCTGTCGCTCGTGTGCAAGCGATTCAATACAATTGCAAATGACACGGAGCTGTGGAAGAGGCTCTATCAGAGTGTGTACGAGTACGACTTGCCACTGTTCAATCCCGAGCCGTGCAAGTTTCTATTCGTGAAGCCCGAAGACTCGGATTATGCGAATCCGTGGAAAGAGAGCTTCCATCAGCTGTACCGTGGCATTCATGTACGTCAGGGATATCAGGATAGGAAGTACAAGGGGCGCAATATTGCCTACTTCAATACCGTTCAGGCGGCTCTGGATTATTCAGATGAACGCACCACGGCCACGGGGACTGCCAGTGGTGCCAGCCTGACGACAACCACAGTGTCTCCGGGAGTTCCTGCTTTGGCCAATGCCGGAACGCCGGCCGGTCTGCCCTCGAATGCCGTCCTCGCGGCCGATGAGTCGTGCGTGTCGGAGCACCCAGGCAGTCTCATCTTCCTTCACGCCGGTCACTATCGGGGTGAATTTCTCGTGATTGACTCAGATGTGGCGCTGATTGGGGCGGCGCCGGGCAATGTGGCGGAGTCTATTGTGCTGGAGCGAGAGTCAGAGTCCACGGTGATGTTTGTGGAGGGTGCGAAGCACGCCTATGTGGGCCACATGACCCTCAAATTCTCACCGGACGTCACATCAACTGTGCCCCATCACAAGCACTACTGCCTAGAGGTTGGCGAGAACTCGAGTCCAACGATTGACCACTGCATCATCAGGAGCACCTCAGTTGGTGAGTGTTACACTCCTTATTGTCTGTCTGATGACGCTGTGGCTAACGCTTTTTTCTTTCTCTCTTGTTACAGTCGGAGCAGCCGTTTGTGTGAGTGGCGTAGGTGCAAATCCAGTGATTCGGCACTGTGACATCAGCGACTGTGAAAATGTTGGCCTGTACGTGACAGACTACGCTCAGGGTACCTATGAACATAATGAGATTAGCCGAAATGCCCTGGCGGGGATTTGGGTGAAGAACTTTGCCAGTCCCATCATGCGAGAGAATCACATTCATCACGGACGAGATGTTGGGATCTTTACCTTTGACAATGGAATGGTGAGTCTTTTGAATATGTATGTTAATTATGCAATTATAGGGAAGTTGAGGGACTCTGAGAATTTGATTAGGGTGGATTTAAGGGTGGAACATGTTTCATTGAGCCTTTCTATCTCTTTATATTCTCCAATATTGATTGTTATTATTTTATCAGTGACCAAATATTGGGAAAGTTGGAAACTGACTAAATGTGATATGAATTTTATGGGGAGCTTTGTGTAACTATATATCAAAGATCATCCTCTCAATACAATGTGGATTGTGGTCTGCATGAAAAGGCATAGACCACAAATCCAATTGTTTTGCTGTTGTGCAAAAGGGGGATTGATTTGCGGAAAAAGTACAATAATCGAAAGGAGAGAGAAGAGACTGTGTTCTCATCAATTCCTCCACTCTCGAGGCAAATGCAAATCTTGGATGGCATCCAATAAAAGAGACGAAAGAGTTTGAAGGAGAAGCTCAACGGGGGAGAAATAATGTGAAGAAAACGAGCTTCAAGTGTGGGAAAATGGGAATAAATTTTCATCAGATGGAAAACTCTCAAAGACGCACTGATGAAAAGTGGGAGAAGTGGGCAGGGAAAAGGAGGTGGAGAAGGAGAAGGAAAAGAATATCTCTGTCGATATCAGTCGCGTTGAAAATTAATATGGGCCTTTTTTCCTTCACGTCGTCCAATGTGAGGAAGTGCTTTTTTCTGCTGTAAAATTCTACTTTTTACATTTCAATGCTGAGTATCTCGAGTGACGATGGATAAAAAAGTGAAGAGAGTGGGAGATGAAAAGGCAATTGGAGAATAAAAATGGTGTGTAGTGTGTGTTTATGTGGAGGATGATTCTTAATGCGAGATATACACTCTATAATATTGATTTTTCCTCAGCCACACTTTAGCACAGTTTATCTCAAAGTCTGATGATGTTGCTTCTCTCACTCTTGCAGGGATACTTTGAGCGGAATGACATACACAACAATAGAATTGCTGGCTTCGAAGTGAAAGCTGGTGCCAATCCGACAGTGGTGAAGTGCGAGATACACCATGGACAAACTGGTGGTATTTATGTTCATGAGAATGGTCTTGGACAATTTATTGAGAATCGAATTCATTCCAACAATTTTGCGGGTGAGTTGATGAAGGAGACAGAAGAGAGAGAGAGAGAGAGGAAAAAATGTATATCTTATATTGATTTTGCTCCACACTCTTTATCTCTGAGTGTTCTTTTACTGCAAGATGGTTATCAGAAAGCGGATGAAGGTGGACTCTTTTCGCTGAAGCAATTGTGTAACCTTGTAGTACTACGAGTGATTTTATGGGCAAAAAAGCAGTTATTTGCTTCAAAATTTCATTGCCACATCAAGCATATCTGAATGTAATTGTATTTGCCAAGAACTAATCAGGAAAATTTGATATTTAACGTAATTAACGCAATTAAGCAGACAGAAGATAATTGTCAATGCTGTTTATTTGAGTAAAAAGCCTCTTGATCGATCAATATGAAGGAATTTCCACACATATTTCTGTAAAACTTGACCACGATTGATATAGAGAACTGACTTGAGTGTATTCTGTTCTCCGTAGGTGTTTGGATAACGTCCAATAGTAATCCAACGATTCGCAAGAATGAGATTTACAACGGCCATCAGGGTGGAGTGTACATCTTTGGCGAGGGTCGTGGACTGATTGAGCACAACAATATCTATGGGAATGCTTTGGCGGGCATTCAGATACGCACGACGAGTGATCCAATAGTGCGCCACAATAAGATTCATCACGGGCAGCATGGTGGGATTTACGTGCACGAGAAGGGCCAGGGACTGATTGAGGAGAACGAGGTGTACGCCAACACATTGGCCGGTGTGTGGATCACCACGGGCAGTACGCCGGTGCTGAGGCGCAATCGAATCCATTCCGGGAAGCAAGTGGGTGTCTATTTCTATGACAATGGACACGGAAAGTTGGAGGACAATGACATCTTCAATCATCTGTACTCGGGCGTGCAGATACGCACCGGTAGCAATCCTGTGATTCGTGGCAATAAGATCTGGGGTGGACAGAATGGTGGGGTGCTGGTGTACAATGGTGGACTGGGTCTCCTGGAGCAGAATGAGATATTCGATAATGCCATGGCGGGTGTGTGGATCAAGACGGACTCCAATCCCACGTTAAAGCGCAACAAGATTTACGATGGACGTGATGGTGGCATTTGTATTTTCAATGGTGGCAAGGGAATCCTCGAGGAGAATGACATTTTCCGCAATACTCAGGCGGGTGTGCTGATCTCCACACAGAGTCACCCAATCCTGAGGCGGAATCGCATCTTTGACGGCCTCGCGGCGGGTGTAGAGATTACCAATAATGCCACAGCGACGCTGGAGTTCAATCAGATCTTCAACAATAAGTTTGGCGGTCTGTGCCTGGCAAGTGGCGTTCAGCCCATTGTGCGGGGCAATAAGATCTTCAACAATCAGGATGAAGTGGAGAAAGCGGTGTCGGGCGGTCAGTGTCTGTACAAGATCTCCAGCTACACTTCCTTCCCCATGCACGACTTCTACCGGTGTCAGACGTGCAATACAACAGACAGAAATGCCATTTGCGTGAATTGCATCAAGACATGTCATGCGGGACATGATGTGGAGTTTATCAGGCACGACAGGTGAGTTTTCCAATAATACAGGTTGAATTGTGTGGAAGGGTGTTCCAAAATGTGTGTAATTATCTCAATGCCTCGATCAAATTGTGTGGTTTTGAAATTTTACGAGGGATAATGCGTTAGAAAAGCGTCCGGCTTGAATTACAAAAGGTCGATTGCTTATCTGCTTTCATTTGTACCTGCGATAATGTGACTAATGCATCATTTTGCGACAGGTTTTTCTGCGATTGCGGTGCCGGAACGCTCACGAACCAGTGCCAATTGCAAGGGGAACCAACACAGGACACGGATACGCTCTATGATTCGGCGGCGCCGATGGAATCTCACACCCTGATGGTAAACTAGGGTCTTGTTATTTTCATCATGATATGCTAAATCGGCCGACGAAGGAGAGGAAGTATCAGCACGATCGCACTGGATTAATATGCTATGCACAGGATTTTAGCTACTCCGTTTCTTCTGTTTGTAAGTGAAGGAGACACTATTTTTTCTAGCTCACATTCACTAGCTCTTGAGCGTGTTCTTTGAACTGGACTTTTTATTACTTAATCTCTCAGACATTTCACGATTAATGTATTGTTTTCTTCTATATATATTTTTTTATAAACTCCTAACTAACACTTCACTGTTAATTAGACAGACTTGAGTTTTTTTATACGTATTTATTTGGTAAATTTTGGGAATGGGAAGTAGGAAAAAGAAGCCATGCCTCTCTCGAAGGATCAAACAATCGAAATGAAGAGATTAGCCGGAGAGAGAGTGCAATGTGTGAGAATTTTCTCCTATTGACAGATTAAACATAGCAAAAAAAAAAACAACAGAATAACATGATAACAAAATTGTATGAATGTGTTTAGATGTTAGATGTGTGCCCAGAGTTTCCGATTTGATTTTTCCCGGAAAATTTATAATTTAAATGTATCAACGTTTATATCAGAGAGACTAATATACATACCTAAAGCATAAAATAATATAGTACATCTCCTTTGATGGGGGAAAAAGAGAAATATTAATTTTTGTGTATATATAGTGTGTTAATTGACGTGGAGCAGTGAAAAATGTTCAGCAAATTGCAAAATCAATATATAAAAAATGAGAGATTTTCGTCTTCTAGCGGCTATATATAAATGATTAGTAGTGAAAGATATTCACAGACACATTTTTTAGAGAATATTGAGAGAGAGAGCGTGAAGAGAGCAAGAAGAAAGAAAAGAAGCGAAGGGAGAGGAAGTAACAAGATTTTTTAGGTGCCAACATTTAAATAAATTTCTATTGATGCGCAGAGAAAGAAAGCAAGAGATAAAAAAAATGGGCAAATTGTTAGGAGGTTAAAATGTTATATTTTCTTACGTCTAATTACCGATGAATCTCAAAATTTTTTTATTATCAATTTCCTCTCACAATAAATTCTTTCTCATGTCATATTTAGTGCTTTTAATTTTTAAAAGAAAAAAAATTCTTCCAATTCACTGCAATTCTGCAGTGGTAGTGAAAATGTGGTGAATATTATTTATGTATTTATAGTAAAAAAAGGCGATTAATATGGAATATCACAGAAATATTTTCAAAAGGAATTACACGAATATTGTGACAATGATAAACAATTAGCAATTCAAAATTGCGATAGAGACAAAAGAGAGGAAAATGATATGAAGAAAGCACAGGAGAAATGCTTCTAAATGTGAATAACTATATTTTGGTGAAAGAGAAGAGAAAAGAATCAATATTGGAAGTAAAATATTAATAATATATCCTAAGGGAGAAAAATATTTATTCACGGAAAATTGCATATATGAAGCAGATAAGCAGAAATTCGAGTGAGACGCGAAGAGATGAAATATTCAAGTATTAGGAAACCTATAAAAAAGAAATTATAAATATCGAGATGAAGGAAGAAAATTGCTCGAGGGATTGTCAAGCAGCCCACTTAAGGAGAAATATTTATTACTCAATAATTTGTCTCTTAAATTGATATAGACTCTAAAGGTGAAGCAAGAGAGTATAATGTAAGTTCCGAGAGGAGTGAAGATGGCGGAGCAGATAATAGAATTTCTTTTTCAAGAGTGAGCGTGTAAATACAATAAATGACAATTAATTGATAAGAAAGGCTTACGGAATAAGTGACGTTGTAGTGATTAAAAAAATGAAACTGGCGCGAGAAAGGCAGGAGAGAGATGGAAGCAAAATTATAAAGAAAATACTGTATGTTGTGTAATTGTGTGAAAGTATGTTTTATTTTTGTGTGTTTGTGACTTATAAAGAAAAAGAAAAAACAATCTTAAAATCTACTATGCAAAACACGTTAGACATTAGCCTGTCCCAAAATCCCCATCTTTGAGAGGAGGAAAGCCAGATTGATAGTTAGCGATTATAATTAGTAATGAATAGACAACAAATATTTAATGAATAACTGAAAAATCTCTAAGAATAAAATCAACTCTTAAAGCATTGCCATAAAGAAGATCGATAACCTCTGAGTAGCTCTGAAAACGTAAAGAAAAAATCATGTTTCTAGCAACTAAAGAAATTCCCCACAGAAAATATTTCGAACAGACAAAAAAAATATAATGAAAAAAGTGTTTGTGACGTAGAAGTCTTACAAAATTAAAGAAAAAAAATCACTATAAAAGGAGAGGAAATATTTAGAGAAGTAACAAAATATTAAAAAAAAATTATATAAACTTTTTCACTGTGTGATGATTATCGTGTTGATGAAGAGAGAAGATGAAGAGGGATTTCATGAAATTAATGATGAAGAAAATAATGCAATATTAGTCTCTAAAAAAGGGAGAAAGCAAGAAGGAGAAACACAAATGAAAAAAATACAACTCTTTGTAAAATTACCTATTCAAAGTGAAAAAAATGTGTTTTCTATTCATTTTCCCTCCCTTTTTCAAGTGTTGTTCATTTTGTTATCTTTCCTTTTTCGTGCAACGTACAAGAAATGCATAAAAAAAATATTTAGACATAATTCTTGGAGCAAAGAAAATGAAATTACGAAAAAGTATTAAAGAAGGGCGGAAGTTGAGAAAGTATAAAAGTAAAAATAATCATAAGAGCACCAGTGTTAACTAAAGTGAAATCTTAAAGGAAAAAAATGAAGAGAAGCAAGTAAATAACTAATAATAGATAAATATTAAGGACTAGAGCAGAGGGATTTTTTCTTTGGTTGTTCTTTCTCTCTAAGTACAGTTGCATTTTTCCTCCAGAACTAAAAGAAGAAGAAGAAAAAATGATGATAAATAGCCAAGAAAACAGTGAAAAGTCATTCCTCAATCAATTACTTTTGTTTTCTCGATGTTTTTCTTTCTCTTTCATCGAATATTCAGCAATAGTTGGTGGATAAAGATTCTAAACAATATATAATTGTAGCTATTTTTTATATAAGCTCACAAAAAATACAAACACAATATCGTGATTTTCAATTGAAACCAGGCGAGATTGGAAGTGAAGAGGAAATAAGAATAGCAAAAAATATTACATATAAAGGATAATGAAGAAAAATTTGCAAATTATGAAAAAAAATGTGAGTGTCGTATAGTTGAAAAAAGTATTATTTAACAATTAGATGAGTGAGAGGAGAAAAAGAGTAAATTAGGAGAAGTATACATTTAAAAATAGTGTTCTTTTTCAATATGCAACTCTTCTTTCCTTGGGTCCTCTCAAGAGTGTCCAAGTTTATTGATTTATAAATAATTTATTTGATAAACACCGAAATACAAGTTTTTTTCTACGTAATAATTTGTCAGAATAACACACACATTTTTACTGATTTTTGTTCGCCTTATAAATTTCAACTTGTGTTTGATGGGCATAGTTGAAGGTAAATGCGAAAAAACACAACACACAACAAGAAAAAAAAGCAGATGAAGAACCTTTATATTGGATCAAATCAAATATACGCTTTATTATCACAATTTTTAAGTGAAGGCATATGCAAAATATACATAATATCCATTCTGTATAAACTTATAAAGGATGAAAAATAAAAATAATCAAAAATAGAGTGGTGTAGAGGCGGGAAAAAGACACCGACGAGGATGGGATTCGAACCCACGCGTGCATAGCACATTGGATTAGCAGTCCAACGCCTTAACCACTCGGCCACCTCGTCTGAGAGCCGCAGCGCGCAACATGACTCGTATAGTTTCGATGCGATTTCAGGGTTGTCATCACTTTTGGCGCGCTTTTCTCGCACACATACCCAGTGGCGTAGTCTTGATGAAATCACTCTTCTTGTCAGAGAACTTCTTATTTCCCAACAAGATTCGTCAATTAGAAGCTTTTCGCTAATTGCATTTAATTGAAAAATTTGAGAGATTCTATAATCAAGAGAAAGAATTTCAATACCGTCTAAATATTGTAAAATGCTCTAGAAATGTCTTCCCAATCCCATGAGTAATTTGCCATTGATTCACTTTCTGCGTCCATCAGTCGCGATCCTGGAGCTCTCCTTCTCAATCCATGGCAGATACTTGGCCACATCGGTGAACAAGACGTAGTGTTTAGGATTGCATACGTTTTTGTCTCGTTTCCTAATGCTGAGTGACACAATTCCTCTGATATGCCAGACTTTCTGCTCATCCTCGAAGGCGAGAGAACCACCAGAGTCTCCGGAACAGACATTCGTGCCATTTGTGTATCCTGCGCAGAAGTTGGTGTCCGACAGGAAGAGTCCGAAGAAGTCACGATCGCTCTCGAGACATGTGAGAGTGGGCACGATGGGCAACTGAACATATCTCAAGGAATCTGCCACAGTGTCATTCTCTGTGTATCCCCATCCCACTGCTGTGGCCAAGCGATTTTCCAGCTGTGATAGGCTCGTGTTGGAAGTCCAGAGGCAGATCGGCTGGATGTAGTCGGAGTATTGAATCTCTCGTGAAAGGCGCAAGAGAGCGATGTCATTGGAGAGCAGAGATGTGTCATAACGCGGATGAGGAATGACACTGAAGACGGTGAATTCCTTGGCAGAGTCATCAGCCACGTTCAGGTGATATTTTCCCACTTGGACGATAAATCTTTCGGCAGTGATTGGGCTGACGCCCTCGAACACACAATGAGCGGCTGAGAAAAGAAATAAAACAGGAACAGGTAAGCTATTTTGATTATTTAGGGAAACCCGGGAATTCCCGGGATCTCGCGCGGGAAGACACTCACCAGTCAACACAGTATGAGTATTGATGATCGTGCCTCCGCACTTGTAGCTCCTCTGGCGCCTCTCCAAGTGGAAAATGGCTGCATGCCAGGGATAATCTCCAGGACGAGTGTCCTCGCCGTATGTGATGAGTCCCTCATGATTGATCCTCCTGATTCCGCACTCCCCATTGCCCGAGGATGTCTTCACAGGTGCCTCAAAGTCATCCGTTTCAATTTTATCCATTGTCCCGAGAAAACTGGGCTCCCACTTTGCTGGCATCGGACAGACATCCGCTCCGTTGAGGTGCACAGACACAACGTTGGGGAATTTCCCACGTGGTCTTCCCCGCACGGTGAACTTGACTTTGTCGATCTTCGGTGGGGCTTTGAATGTGCTGATGTAGAAGCTGCGCCCATTGATGTGGATTCTGGCCTCATCCGGGTCAATTTCCATCCGCGCAGGAGCGTCCAATGTGATCTCGATACGGACTTCTGGGATGTTCGGCCAGTTCTCGAGATAAAATGTACCATCCCAGTAGTTTTCTATCGAGCAAAGAGATGATATTGTGACTGAAGTGGGCAAAAAACACAAAGATCTGTGAACTCACCAAGATTCGGAGGACCACCAATCTCACGATACATGCTAATGACACCATTTTTGCACGGATTAAATGCTTCAACTGCCGATCCGATGTAGCTCATTCCATCCTGAGCACGAGATTGAGGGAATTGCACCAGGAAAACAAGGAGGAACACGGAGAAAAATGCAACAGACATTCTCAGATGAGACTCAACGCAAGACTGCGAGATGTGATGTCGATTACTGGGAGACTTTTTGTGCATAGATGATGATAACCTGTTTGCGTAGTTGCGACTGGACACGAGGGACGGCGATCGCTGGGAATTCCAGGGCCTTGAGAATTCGCAAAGCCAACGATTGCGGACTTCGGCACATTATTCACGCGATTCACGCCGGTCGGAGTGTCTTACAGTCTCCCACCCAGAAGAAATGAATCAACAAATTAACACCCAATAACTTTCACTGGGAGCATCTCAGAGAATTCGCTCTTACGCGCTTTATTATTGTGGGTGGACAAATAACTTAAGAGGATGATCAACACTTGATGGCCAGAGAGTGCTTTTTGCGGAAATTCTCGCAGAGTGGCGTCGAGAAGGTCCTCACGAAGTTGTGATGCTTAGCTAGAGCGTGATTCGTGACCCGCAGCCGGATGCTGTACAGCGTGGCGAATCGGAGGTTGAAGAACTCGAAGGAGTTGCTGTGCGTCTTCTCGCTGCGATAATCTCCCGAAGTGGGATTGTCCAGGCAGTGTTTTCCCCGGCAGAGATCAATAGCATAGCTGGGTAAGGAAATGAAGCGAGTTGATTGTGAGTGAGGTTGAAGCTGATCATCTTAGAGCCCCTGAAACCCTGTCTTATCACCTTTCGTGAGGACTTCCAGACCAGCTGGCCTTCACGGTCATCTCGCCGGGCTTCGTGGCCAGGTATCTCATGGTGATGCTGTGACCACCGTGTCTAACGCCGTGGCGATGGTCCAGCTTGCCCGCTATGCCATCCTGGAACACTGTCCAGCCTGATGTTGTCACGAGGGAGGGCGGAGAGTCCAGGGCGGCCAGGACGAAGCTTCCTGGAATTGTAGTGTTGAGCAACTTTGTCTCTCGTCTGGACTTTAGGCGATTCTTCCCAATGCCCGAAATGGCCTGCACTTGAACACAATACACGGAATTTGGCTGGAGATTTCCCAACTCCATAGAGTTTACTGACTGGAGAAAAGAGTTAGGGAGTGTTAATCAGAGGAATTTACTAGTGAGATTTCAGCTCACCTGAGGGACAGTACTTTGGCTAATTGGTAACAATTTTCTCCTGCCGCGAATAAACCAGGAGACTTTGTACTTTGTGATGGGCTTCTCACTCTCGGGCGCTCTCCAGGACGCCACAGTGAAGATTGTAGAATTCCCGGCGATTTGCATTGGTCCGAATGTGAGATTCTGGGGCGGCGGAATGAGTCTCACGTCTGAAATGCATACAAGTAAATCATCAGAGATGGGGAATAAATTCAACGCTTGGCGCTCAACCGACTCTCTGTCAACTGAAAGGGCTTGGTGTACGTGGAGTAGCCTCTCGTGCCGTTTTCATTCACAGCAGCCACACGGAATTGATACCATCGTCCTGGCCGAAGCTTAACATTGCCCACGTGCCTGCAAACACAAGAGGAAGGATTGTAGGAAAGCATAATTCAGTTGAAAGAGAAAAAGTCCTACTTTTTCTTCTCCACCTTGACTTCTCTGTACTTGATCTCATAGACTGGCTGAACTGCAAAGGCATTCCACGGGCCGAGCTTCTGTTCGCTGAAGAACGCCCCCAAGTGCGATCGCCCTTCCACGAGGAACACCATCGGTGCCGTCCTGTTGATGTGCAGCTTGATTTCCCAGGACATCTCCACTGTTCTCACGCCGGGGCGTTTCTCGTGGAGCTGCAAATTGTACGGCATGGGTGGCAGCAGGGGATTGCGGTCCACGCCAGTGGGGCGGATGCACAGAGTGCCGCAGGAGTGGCGACAGCACTTCTGGACATCGGAGCACCGCCAATCGGACCCGTGGCACACGTCCCGACACGCGAATAGGTGCTCATGCTCGGTGGGAATGCTCGGGCAGATGCCAAGCTTCGCCGTGGCCCTCAACTCCTCCATGCACGCCTCGAGATTGCACTGGAAAATGTTTTTCTCATAGTCTTGTGCTGAATTTCAATACTTCGATCATTAACTTTCTTGATCGTCCGGTTTAAAAGGCGTTGTTAGATCAAGGTTTCGCAAGTAGGACATCATTGACTTGATTGGTTTTTTGAATAAGCAAGAAAGTATATTGATTTGCTAGCATAAAAGTGTATTCAAAGCATAGTTTTGTTGTTAGTCTTGATATCTCTAAGATGGTCCCAAATTCTTGAAATGTTTACTGATATGCTAATTCTTACTACATTATCTTCCTCGATTGAGGTGTAAAAATAGGTATGATAAATAGATTTGTTTTTAAATGAATCCAATGTAGTGTGTTACAATTATGTGTATTAATTCTAGGACAGAAGTAATTTAATAGAGCTGTAACTGAGACTTCAAACGGAGTTCACAAAATGATTTATCACAGCGTTGCAAGTAATTGTAGAGCTTCTTTTGCAAATTGTAGGGATTATTATTGTAATACTAACTCCAGCAATTAAATTGAAACTCGAACCACAGATTATCCCATCGAGTGTCGGAATTAAAATTAATCTCTTCTGACGCCGATGCAAAAAGTCTTTCAGCTAAATACGATCATATTGTATCGATCACTTCTATATTGTTCAGCAGGATAAATTTTTTGTCTTCTAACTAATGTTCAGTGTATAATTCGAAATATGTATTAATATTTTACAAACGTATCGCGACGTTATTCGACATGCGGTCAGTGATCCCACAAATACCGCGAGATTTGTTTAGTTTTATCAGTGGAAGACATGGAATGTGGGGTGGATAGAGGGCTTTAGACCTTCGCTAAGAGGGCAACGGAAATGCTCTCATATTGCACAATTTCCGCAAACAAATCACGCGGAATTTTACGGCATTTACTATCGCGCCGCGTCAAACAATTTTTTTTACCACTGGCAGAGAGGGTCATTGATAAGATGCGATCAATATTTACCATATTTGGTGGCTTATCCAGGCATTTGACCTGGCAGCGTATCATCGCGAGGCTATCAGTCGTTGAGTAATTGCCAAATCTCCTGTGTGTCGTTGCCCCATCGATGACAATTGCACAGAGAAGAGTGATTACAATTCTCAATGGCCAGAGTCCCATTTTAGCCCTTTAAGTTGTCTCTTGCGACGTGAAAGATGGATTGTGTGTAAGTGTGGTTGTCGTGCTTTGCTCCTTTGGAGTGTCTTGCCGCAATAGAGATGATTGATCAACGCACTGTGAAGATGACGAAGTGATTGCAATAAATAACAGGGTATCTACCAAGGAGTTTCTTTCACTTCACACAATTCGCAACAATGTTGCGGACCTGCAAGTCTTTCCCACCACTAATTTCATTTAAAATATTGTATTATATCTGCTATTCATGACTCTGTGGTGTGTGTCCTTCGTGCGCACGCAAGAGCGAAATGTTAAACCTGCGTGTCTCCTTCTCGGCCTGGTGTTTATTTAGTGCTGCACTTATATTTTCTTTTTGCGAATCTCTCTCGTGGCTTCTTTGTCAATTGCCTCACTTGAATCACTCTCTTTTCTCTGGGTGTCTTTTTTTCCCTTACACACAATCACAAATTAACACTTTCCTTCACACTTTCACACCATAGCAGCTGAAATGCATCTCCCTTGCAGAGAGGATGAAAAAAAACACACAATTTTGCGGTGGATGAACAGAGATTTGTGTGTGAACACAATACGGATACTTTTCCGCCAATGTGCAAGGAGGAAAAGTGCAGCAAGACGAAGCGACTCTTGCTGCAATGACGAACAAATATTTACACTGTAGTCTGACTTTAGCAGTATAAACAATTTTGGGCTCAATTGTTGATTGTACAGTGGGGGTGATCTTCGCACAAGTGCACACTCGCGGTCATGCTGGCTCGTGTCGATCACCAAACATGATCTCTCTCGCGGGCTTATTTTTCCGTGTGCACGGAAGTATGTGAGGAAAATGTAAACAGGCAATTTTCCATGTTTTGTGTACGGAAATGCCAATTGTCCCTAAACAGTATCACGAACACACAACACCCTGGAGTGGAAAAAGAAACGTGATATTGTCGACTTCTCGCGATGAACTCTATCGCCACTTCACTCGATCATCTGGATATGTAAAGTCACAGAGTGTTCTGTTTTCTTTTCTTTGCTTTGCCCTTCAGATGGGCCGAACAATCGACAATCACGCCACTGGGGAAGATAAGTGTAGAAGATGATATGCGAGGCGTGGAAATGATCGTCAAATTGCACTTCCGAGATCGAGGCACGTGTGCTATCGCATCGACGATATCTGACCAACTGATCTACGGTTTGCCAGTGAGAGAGAGTCATCCGGGGGCTTCGATAATCTGTGGCACGGCCACCGCATACGCTGGCAAGAGTGTGGTGCGGATGTTGAGAGTTCGATTGGTTCTTGGCTCCATTTCAATCACTCCAATACACACTTGCGATCCCACTTCTCCGTGGGATTCTCTGCGCTGTGTGGAGATGGCCTCCCCGCGAGAGCCTACCACTTGCCGTGGGGATACACTTTTTGATTGACGTGATTTTTGAGCGCCAACAACAAGATTCTTCTCATTTGTCTCTCTCCTCGCATATTCTCCCATGTGATGAGGGGCTATGTAGCAAAATTCCACTTGGGGCATCGCGCTCTCCTTTTTTCACACGGCTCCCCGGCCATCTCTCGTTCACTCCTTCGCGCGCCGTGCGCTCACCCTCCCCGCGATGCAAGTGCAAACACAGTGGGCAACAAGGAGGGCAGCAAACAGGAGGCATGATGCGGTGGCAACAGAAAAAGTGCAACAAAGATGCGAAGAAATGATGAAGAGTGAGAAAGAAGTCACAGACATAATGAGAAATTGATATCAATTTTATTATAAATTCCTCTTCTTCTCTGAGCAAATCCGACCACGGGAGGAATGTCTCTCAACAGATGATTCCGTTCCATTTTGCAACATTGTCCGCTGAACAATTTATCCATATGATGCGTATATGATATCGCCTCGGCACCGTAACTTTTCCATCCCCTTTTTTGGGCCGCGTGACAATGTTACACCGCCGAGGAGATCAAAAAAAGAGCTTCGCCGAGAGAGAAAGAACATCACGAGAAATCGAGATTATTGTATCAAATTATAATCGTGAAGTGCAGGAAAGATGAAAGCAGGAAAAAAGTGTCTCTCCTTTTGTGACGATTTGCCCATGGTCACGCGAGAAGTTCTTGCACACATCGAGCCATCGAGATGGCAGTGTTTATAGTTCCAGTGACTGGAGGCTGAACAGCATTCATTGGCACAAAGCAAAATGATAAGAAAAATATTTGCTGAGAAAAAGTAGCAAATGACAATTACGAAATATTAATTGTTCATGAAAAACTAGAGCATTTTCATATCCACCTAGATGCGATTGCGGTCATGGATTGAGAACATATCAGTTGACTCGCGTGTGCATTAGTGTGTGTGCGAGGAGAGATGATCGAAGATGGAATTGAAAAATATTGAAATAAAAATATGTAAATAAAAACTGTTGCAACGGATTTCTTTTTTCCATCCACCTTGTTTGAGAAGGCCTATAAGAGATCTTTTTCGCGTTGATCTTCTTTTTTTTGCGTATGCTCTTAAATTCTTTTGCCTCTTTTTTACCACTGCGCCTCACTTTGTCCGAAGGTGTAGTGAGAGGAGGATGATCACACGATCATAACTCGTCAATTATGACATGTAGACTTTTGCGTAATAAAATAAATTAAATTTAATACTTGTTCTCTCTTCGCACGATCGATGATCGCCGATGAGATCGGTGGCGAGGCTTCTGAAATGGGTGCAAGTGATCACCATTGATGATATGCGGATGCCTTATCGCACTCCCTGCCAGAGGATTGCCGACGATCGGGCGGGGGAGGGAAGGGTTGCCTTTTTTCCACTCGAACTTAATTAATCGCCGAGCGAAAAATTAAAGCGCACCATCCACCTCACTATTGGTATTTTCGCATTAAATTCCACCGTGGCGAGGGAATTTTCTCCTCTGCTGCAAGATCACACGCGAAATGAATAAATGAGAGGCTTAAGAGATGTGCGCCGGGACAAGATACCGAGGGAGCTTCTGATTGAATTAATTTATGTATTAAATAAATATAAATTAAAACTCCTTTGCGTGTTCAATCATCCTCCTTCGTCGAAAAAGAGCACCGTGATTTATATTATTTCTCCCTCTTGGTGTGTGACATGAATTCAATATAAAGGTGCTCTGGTCTCGTTGTCCCATCTTTTCGGCGCAATCTTCATCAAATTCCATTATTAATTTGCAAAGTGGAATGCGCCCGGCCGATGGTGCAATCTCCTGTGCGCCTAACTTGATCAAATATTTTGATCTTATTGGGAAGGACACAAGAATTACTGAATTGCATGAGTGAAATGATGGGCAAACATTGACGATGATTACCGACAAAATGAAGAGTGTGAGAGAGAAGGTGGAATTAATATGCAAATTTGATGAAGGAAAAGAGCATCGAATTTGTGCACGGCGCCAATAATTCCTGTACATACTTAATTTATAGCCACAATTTTGATAAATGAGCCAATAACATGGAGAGCGCTTCTCTTAAGAGGCAGCAGAGACGCGCAGAGAGCAAAGCAGAGACTCAATTTGCACAAAAGATTGGGCATTTCTGATCAACACACTATACTAATTTTCTGCTTAACGTCCTATTAATTAAATACATGTATATGTTGAGCAGAGGTCCTTGCGCATTACCGAAGAGAAAGCAGATATTCAGTTTACTACAATCAATAGATATCTAAGTTTTATCTGTCTCTTGTTAAGTCACGATGATTCGCTTTTCGACGTTCCCATCGGTGTTGGATGAGAATTGAGGGAAATGCATCGATGCACGGATCACTCATCATCGCAATTGGGATGTGGGCAACAGAAGCCAGGAGCCAACAGCCAAAGCGACGACAAAGTTGGATGCTTAAGAGGCTCGCGAAGAAGTGAGAGCAAAAAAGGTGTATTTGGCAAAAAGACGACCCATCCTCATGATGAAACTGAAGATTTTGCCGCGACCCGCGAGAGGAGGTGCTCAGCGCGCGATGAAGAAGGTGAAGGAGGAAGAATTTAGGCGCGAACGATGGAGCTTCTTGTGTTCTCATTTATCCCTGGGAACGGCGATTAATGGTGAGTCTGAGATGGGTGGAATATCTAGCAATTTATGCCATGTTTCAGTATCTTTATCACATGGATGTCAAGTCGCTGCTAATTTATTATCGCAAAATATAATTGAAAGTCAAATTTTTCGCGCTCACCACGATGAGTAGGGGACGTGTGGGGTATACGTGGTGGAGATTGAGAGATTCATCGGGCCAGCAATGCATTTTGCCTGGCAACATTGTATGTGGCGCGATGGGGAGAGACAGAGAGAGCGATCTTGGCGCACAAGATCACAAAATGTCTCAGCTGAATTGATCTCTCATCGATTTTATAAGAGAGAAGGCAATGTGGATGGATTTTCCCTGCGCTCGGTGCAGAAACATGTGAATTTGGTGTGTGGAGGAGGGACAGGAGGTGGGAAGCTGCAGAGAGACTCTCTTCCCTGGGCTGTATATAAAATGTAAAGAGTTGTAAGGAGAATTGAATAATCGAACAAATCAGCGTGTTGGAAATTTTCAATAAATTATTTCATATCCAACCAACTTGGCAGCCGCTGGTAGTCACACAATCTCCTCCAGCATTTCCAATTCCCACCTCTCTGCCACCTCCTTGGCCCGCACAGTACCCACCTTCTGCTGCCCAGGCGGTGGGTTTTGGCGGGAAATGGAGGCGCGCGCGACCGCGATGCAATTGATTTTAGAGAGAGTTATGAAATTGACACACGCGTTTGAATTATTTGTCAATTTATTATTTTAAATTTCATCATAATTTCCACACCAACGATAAATTGAGCGTGTCTCCTCAATGGTGTCTCTTCCTTTTTCCCTCGCCACTGCCACGGAGCTTCGTGCCCAGTGAGCCTCCGGGGCTATCACAGACAAGCAGAACCCACTATCTGCAGTTCAATTAGAAATTTCTTATAGTCCTCTTGCAGCATATTTTCCAAGAACATTAACTATCACCGCAAGATGGGCATATGGAGGACAATTTTATGTGCTCGCTCTGTAATGCAATTTTCAATTAATTTGTCATTTTTCCCTGGAAGATTGACCGTCGTTTTGGTCTCATTGCAATCATGCGGAGATGCCAGAGATTTATTGAGACATCTTACTAAAGAAGGTTTCATTGGAAGACCACTTTTTGCCATTATTTATTAGGTTTTAAAGTCCATATCTATCAAAATAATCGTCTTTTGTTGACTTCAGTCTTGCTTTTTACTTGCTAAATTACTTGTTAATGGTTCTGGTGTTTTGATAAAGGTAATTATGATGACAATATTTGCTTTATGAGTTTCAAATGAAATTTATACGGATATTTGTTGCGCTAATTTCTTTGCAATTTGAGTGCTTTTCCTCGTATAATTAACCTCAATAAATAGGTGAAAAAGTTCTTATGGTTTTAACAGATTGAAATGGCTAAAATTGTGCCTAAACATTTGTTTAGAATGCACTAAAAAGGCGGTTTTGCAATGAGAGCCTCGCATTAGCGCCGCTCATTTAATTTTAATGTGCTAAGAGCAAGTTGTATGCAATAAAGCCAATAAAGCACGAATTGGCAACTGTCAATCATTAATCCAGGGTGGAATAATGAAAGTAATTAACAGTTTAATTACTGTGCAAATGTGTAGGATTAGAGGATTAAGATTATCAATTATATAGCATGGAAAAGTGCATATGAGTATGGTTGGCAGGCGGAGAGAGAGAGAGAGATAATCATGAAAGGCGTTTTGTGGAGAGCAAAGAGAGGAATGTCAATAAATTTAATTTATATTGCCTTCCTTTCGTTTCCTCCTGCCACACACCGAGTGTGTGGCTTGGCGAGAGATCTTATTAAATAATCCAATATGCATATGTGGTGTATTTCTTCAATTTGCGACACTTCTCATTAAAATTATTAATTATGCTCTCTTAGCTCTTCAAGCGCGGGTTGTTCTCCTTTTTTCTGCCATCGCCACTTTGCCCGTGGATGTCCAACTTCTCAATTTGTCATTAATTCATCAAGTTGTGTGTGTTTTTAATGCTTTTTTGATCATTTGCTAATCATTATGGGGGGGCACGTCGGCTCTGGCGTTGGGCCATTTCAGGCCTTTATGGACGCGCTGCAGCATAAACTAAAATAATTATTATGCACATTCTCGGGCTATTTATGTGTCATTATGTTTAATAAAATTATCGATAATAATTGGATTTTACCGTTCGCAATGCATATGGAGAGATAAAAACAGGCAGCATTGGGTAGTATGATTGATGGGGGAAATCGTATAAATATGAATGCGATGCTCTCTATTATTATCTTCTTTTTCTTGTTAAACACCCGGCGATCAAGTGCAAATATTTTCTTTTTTCCCTCCGTCATGTGTTGGCCTTTTTTTGGCGCTGCCACTCATGGGGATAAATGCGTCGGCAAATATTGTGAATTAATTCTTTTGTTGCTTAATCAGCACTGAGATTTAGTAATAACACCTCTTACTAACGCTGCTAAGGAGCATCTCGAGGAGCGCGTGAGCTGAGAAGCAGCGCGAGAACACTTCGCCGCGCTCTTCGGAAATTCCATCGAAAGAGCGCCGAAAAATGGGAGGATGTGATGCAATGGGGAGATGATGAAAAGGCGAAGAAGGGTAATAAAACAAAATGCCATGTCGCGCTGGGGCAAAAAGAGAGAAATCTTTTTCATCGCCTCCAAAGTGGGGCGCAAAAAAGGGGCTCGCCGCGCGCGCGAGCGAGATGGCGACAGTGGAAAATGATCAAAAATGCAAGTCTTTCGTTTCTATTCCAGAACCTTTTATCATGCTTCTTTTGCATGGGATTCTCTCTTGTGGCCATGCAAAACGAAGAGCTGAAGTGAATTGAGTGTTTCGGTGAACTCTCAAAGTAACCTTCCAGGGCCTTCTCTCGGGCCGTTCAGTTTTCGGGGTGAAGAACCCATGATTGGGGCAAATAGACCAAAAATTTATTGTTCAAGGACCATAAATTGGGGGGCTTTTGTCGCTCTCGCGTGCGATCTCTGGCTCTGCGTCATGATATCAATGCCTGAAGCTCAGGCGTCACCTTCTGTACTGCTTTCGGGCGGAGCTGCGGGTGCTTCTGAGGACGAGACTGGGGCGGCTGGGGTCACTTCGCTTGTCGAGACTGCCGGAACGGACGATGATGATGGAGGCGTTGAAGTCTCCTGACTGCTGGGAGTTGCCGCTGAAGATGCTTCGTCTTCTTGTGTAACCGTGCAATTTTTACACTTGATTTTAACATTGCAATTGGAGCATTCCACTGAAAGTGAGGATAAAAGTACAAATGTAAAATTTAAGCATTCTTTAATTGCACAAATCACTCTCAAATCACCTTCTACATTCTTTATCACATTAGGCTTCTGCTCTTCGGATTCTTCTGATGAGCTCGTGTCGAAATACTGACCGTAGAAATCCGAAAAATCATCAAAAAGTATCTGCAGAGTGTAAACTCAAATCAATAATTTCCCTTATAATGTATAATCACTGGGAATCTTACAGGAAATATTGCCTCTGAAGTCACAAATACTTTGGCCAACACAATCGCGAAGATGAGGAGTTTCATTATATCGAGCACACTAATCAGGGAATGAAGAACTTCAAACTAACAACTCTCTGGACGTGTCGAAGTAGTGAAACAGACGCGGCTTGAAGTGAGTTTTCTGCTTTTTATATATGACAAAGGTGAGACTTTATGGGATGCTGACCGTGACCAACAAACATATTTCCTTATCTTGGCAAAGTTATACCAGAAAATTATTGTTTCACTCTGGAATTGCCCTCTAGAAGAGAGCGCAGAAATTATTGAAGCTTTGTTTTCTATCAATATTTATGCAAGTGTCTCAAAACATTTGGTGGGAAAACCCAGTGAGGAAAACACTATTTCCACTGCTCAATCCCATTCCATACCACGCGCCTCTCTGACAGATTATTTTCTCTTATCATTGGCTTTTGTGTTTTATATTTTGCACAAAAGAGGCGAATGTTACTTAACAGCCATGCACGTTGTTATCCTAATTGAAGGCAATTTCCTCGCGCTGATGACGGCCACACGTTGTGTAATTCTCTTGGTCAATTTCAGCGTTAAGGCTGCAATTTTCGAGGATGACTTAATGTCATTGAATATAGCTCTATCAAGGAAATTGCCTCCTTAAATCGTGTATTTAATAGAATGATGTTAAATGGATGTTTCTCCTGTGTTTCATCGGTGTTTCACATTCCTATAAGAATGTTTTTAGTATTTTTCTTCATGCCCAGTCTTATTTATACAAAAATAACACAACTTTTTTTTTAATGAAAAACGATGAAAATGCGATAATTATCACTTAAGCCAGGGGGCAGGAACTTTTTGTGCGATTTCACCCAAAATTTCTCGAATTTAATGAAAAGTGCACCGATCTCAGTGCTCAAAGTATACAGAAAAAAGGTATTATCTTTGAGTAAATTACAAATGTACTGCTCGAAGAGCGATTTCACGAATATTTTATTTTATAGCTGTGCAGAAGGTAATTTAGCAATTTGAGTGCGTGAAAAGCATAAAGCATTCGCATGGAGAAGATGAAATTGTGCAATTGCACTCTTTTTGTGCTCACGATCTCCTTTTATTAACTGTTGCGCTGTCCATTGGTTGGATGATCGAGGAGAGACACTAAATGGGTCACTTTCAGTTTCATTTATCTCCCCATTCTCATAATGCCTCTCTCGGGCCGTCCGTGAGAAGGAGACAAAGAGGAGTGAATAATGTGTGTGGGGGACAATTTTTCAATATCATCCTTCGTGTGGTGCACAACAATCAATTGACAAATCACGCTGCATTTTCTGTTCAAGCACATTTCTTTCTCTCCTTGAGCGTGTATGACGCGAATTGTTGGCAATTTATTGATGATCTTGCCAGAGATCGCTTTGCCCTCTTCTGCCACCGACCGGCCACAATTGCTCCTTGGCCACCTCGTCTTCATGCACTGCCGATAGTTGAGCAACTACGAGGAAACTCCGTGAGAAAATCACAGAAAATCCTTGCAAGAGAGACCCTCAATAGCACAAAAATCCCATCGCATTTTGCACACAAACACGATAATTTGCCAATGAAGGAGGTGCTCGCGATGGGTGAGCAAAAAGAGATTCCCGGGTGGTTTCCTGTGCCTGGACACGGTGATAAAATCCCTCGCTCGGCATCCACTGATCGCCATTGTGCCGGGAGAGCCTCTTTTCTCGTTTTGATGGGCGCTAATAAAAGCGGCGAGTCCGTAGCGTAAAATTCTCACCTCTTCTCTTGATCGCATTTCTGAGGACGGGGGCCCGAGGAGATCATCAAACGGCAGCGCTCCTCGCCAGTTTGTAAACAAATAACAAGTCGTAAAATGATGAGATTCCTTTCTCTTCGTTTCCCATGCTCGTTCATGTCTGTATTGCCCTTCTTTTGTCCCTTTTTTCACATTCTCTCCCCCGTGCAGATTCTACAAAGTTTCAGCATTTTTACTCATTTTTCCAATTCAGGTGAGTCACACTAAAGTGACACGATGATACAAAACTCACAACATCTTGTTATATTTTTTTCTCTTTAATTCATGGGATTATTCATTTACTTCATCGCCTTCAGTATTTTCTCTCAGCTTTTTTTCCCACTCTTTCTCTCTCCCTTTCTTCTCAATTTTATCATGAAATAATGTGTATATAACAATTTAATAGAGCTTTTCTCGCATATATAAAATAATTTCCACAGCGTGTGGTTATGCATGTTAATTTTGTTGAATAAATCTCCAAAGGACCAAAATAGGGAGAAAATGCTGAGCAATTATTCAAAAACCTTTGTTAAAAATTTTTCACATTGTTAATTTCAATATAGTAAAATAGAAATATAATAATTTTAGTTCTTCATATAAGGCACATCAACTCAATCGTAATTTTTCCATTTCACTCCTTCCTCCCTAAAATAGGGGCAATTACAAAAGAAAAAAAAATTGGGGGAGGAAGTAAAATAAAAATTGCTCAGCACTTTGCATTGATGGACAGAGAAAGAGTTATTGTGAATAAACAAATTGGATGGTAGAGTTGATGAAGAGATGCGAAAAGTGACGAAAACTACCGCAATACTTTGAGGGTTAACTGCGAATGCTCTTTTGCACTCTCTATACTTTTTTCTCTCCTCCGGCTGCGCCTTTGTGAAGATGAATGAAAGATTTCTTTGCCTTCTTTTCTCTACCTCACCACGAAGAGTGGCTCCACAGAGGAATCTTCATCTCTTCGTCAAAATATGCAGCAATTTCGTGTGTCTTTTTGCTCCCATGTCATCACATTTCAAGAACATTTACACAGGCGTTTCTTCATCTCTCTAGCATTTAAGCGCGCACATTTTTTTTGCTCTTCGGCGTCATTAGCGCAAAAATTCCTATACAAATATATATATATGCTCATGAATTTTCTCTCCTTCAATGCCTCTCACCCGCAGAACTCTCCCTCCGGAGGGATCAGAAGGACAGAGCAGAGTGTGAATTGTCCTCCCTCATCATTTGCTTGGATGCCATGAAGTGCTGGAACTTGTCGTCGGATTGCCCTCGTCCGGCTGGTTGTTAATCGCCGATGATGAGGGATTGACCAAGCTCTGCAGATCCCGAATTTCAGCCATGGATCGAAGGCTCGCGGACACGCCGTCACTAGATGCCAAGGAAATTGAGAGCGGCGAAGCATGATCCAGAGATCCAACCATGTCTACAAAGAAGAGTCCGTGAGTATTTGTCCATTTTCTGCTCACCACTTCAATTCTTACCAGTTTTGTCAGATTCAGGAGATTGAGCAATCATGCCAGAGTTAGCTGGACTCTTGTATAACTCCAGCATTTGCTCCTCCATCCTTGCAATAACAGCCTTCAGAGCGTTATATTTCTGCTCTTGGGCCTGTGAAAAAAATCACTCATCAGCACACAATTTCGCTTTAATCACACTCATTCACTTACCTCAAATCTCTCTTCAAATTCCTCCTTGACAGTCTTGAGGAGCTTCTTCTGCTCCGTCATAATCTCATCCCGTCCAGTCAAATTGGCCTCCAATTCTGCCAATCTAGCCTTTGTCCTCTCCAATTGTGATGACTTTTGCTCATACGCCGTCTTCAGCTCAGCACACTGCACCTCAAATGTATTCTTCATGTCCTCTATCTCCTTGTCGCGATTCCTCAGACTTGACAATTCGCTCAGCTTGTCGCGACATTTCGCTTGAATTTCACCCATCATGAGGATCTCCTTTTGCATCTGCATACACTCATCGCGATACTGACTGCCCAGATCCGCATGATACTCCACCTGCTGCATCTCATTCTTCAGGTCCATAAGTTCCCCACGCACAGATCCAACCATCGAATCGGCCTCCTGGCGCTGACGTGTCTCCTCCACAACGCGATTCTCCAGCGACTCAATTCGCTGGCGCAATTGCTTGTTCTCCTCCACCTCCTTGTTGTACTTCAGCTTCCAGGTGTTGCAGTCTTTCATGAGGTCCTGCTCCCGCTTATTGAAATCCTGGCGGGAGCTCTTGAATGTCGCTTGGAGGAGTGTGTAGTCGTTTGCCAGCTGCGCAATCTGTCTCCTCAGTGTCTCGTTCTGCAACTCCAAAGCCAAGTTGCTACGGTTCCGTCCGAGTAAACGACGATTGCGCTCCGCGTGCACCTCGCGACGGTGACGTTCGTACTGAAGCTGAAGCGTCAGCAACTGAATTTGCTCTCTGTACGCCGCCACCTGATCCTTGGCATCCATGGCGTGCTTCCTGCTAATGGAGAGCTCAATATAGCGGTCCAGCATGGCATAAGGCGACTGCACTATTGAATCCGCGGCATTATTCTCCTGGGTCTGCTTGATTTTGTTAGTCTCACTCAGCAGATTGATGAACAGATGCTCGTACGCGAGTGGCCATTGCTCGATGGTTTGTGTGTCCCTGTCCATCCTCTCGACAATCTCCATCCTTCCCAATTCTCGCAGTGGCTTTCGAGCAATGGGTTGCTGGCGATAGTGAGACGCTGCCTCCTTAGTAGCCACGGATAAATCCTCTCCATTCTGCTGAGGTGGCTTCACAGCCGCCGCTTCAGCACGCCTGACATCTGGCCACGATCGAGAACGCTTCATCACACGAGCCCCTGCACCAATTCCACCGACTGCCACGTCTGCTGGACTCGTTCCTGCACTGAAGCACTGGCTGGTGTCACCAAGACAATGACTATGCATTCGCCAGCGATTGAACTTGCGCGCAAAGTCCAGCATAGAGCGAGAATTGGGGATGTGAAGACCACCAGCACTGCACGGAGATCCCTCGGCAGCATCGTAATCCTCACAGTCGAGGGGAAATGTGGCATCGTTGGACTGACTGTAGTTCTCCTTGTTGTCCAGTGTCTGATTCACATCGATTGTCTGATCGTTGCTTGGAATATCACCTTCATAGCTCACGGGCGGTGATTTCAGATTATCCACGGAGGGATTCAGCAGTGGACTGCCGGGAATGCTTGCATGTGGCGACTCAATGGACGCCGTTCTTGCCACATCTGCATGATCTTGCACGAGTCTCTCGAACTTGGACGCTTTCAGAGACGGCTCAGGGAAGCGGAACGGCGACACGTCCTTCTTCATCGGCGATGACGGCTGAGATCCAGTAGCTCCGTACATGGCACGGACCACCGACGAGTTGGTGGGTAGCGGACAGAAGGTCTTCATGTTGTCCTTCAGCGGAGTCGTCTCCGGAGTGGCCTCCACGGCCGCCTCTGGCGGCGACGCCCCGCCGACAGAGAGAATCTGCTGACTCGAAGGCAGCGTGGGTGTGGCCATGGGCACAGAGGAGAAGTGTCCAGGCGTTGGGGTGTGTGGCACAGAAGTCGCACTGGATGGCGGAGTGGCCAGCACCACCTGACTCGGCGTCCAGACACTCTCGTACTGGTTCCCTCGCACAATGCCAGTGATTTTATGCTCCGCCGGCAGTATTAGGTCGCCCGCTTCGATGGGACGCGGCGGCAGATTGTGACTGCACTCCGACTGTCCCTTCCCCAGCGAGTCCAGTGTCAGATTGGCACACTCCACGACCACATCGTGGGGCTCCATGGTGCGCCACCGTTTGGTGTTGGTCTCAGTCTCTCGGTTCTCCGTCACCAGCATGGGGTGCATCTTGACTGTCTCCAGCAGAGGTTTGATCGTGTGCGTGAATATGGCCGACTTCTCCTTGTTGCCGCTGTACTCGTGCTGGAGGAAGCTGATGAAGTTGCACGGAAACATGCCGTACAGGCGGTGGAAGAAGTCATAGAAGCCGAACTGCAGGTGCACCAGGTGGTCCTCGGGTGGCCTGCTTTGGTTCTGACTACTCCACGACGCCAGGTGGCTGAACACATCAAAGAGGTCCGGCAGGGACTCCTTCATCTGGTATGGGATCATGGGCAGAAGAGTGATGACACACAGCAGAGCGCTGAACACAGGAACAATGTCCATCTCCGTCTGGAAGGAGGTGTGAAATGTATTATTCTGAAGATGGCAATAAACAAATAGCAAATTCTGCTTACTTTCAGTAATTTCAGCAAATCCTTCCAGAGCGGATGAGCAGTCACTCGGAAGAGCCACGTCGGATGACGAGGGATGATGAGACTGAGGAGTGTGAGTGCCGACACTTTGTCCGATGCCCTGAGATGCTCGGCGATGCGATCGAAGATGAACTTGTCGTGCGGTGACTGCACCTTCACCAGGATCTCCACGATGCGAATGGAGCTGGTCTGGCAGAAGTAGTCCACCATCCCGTGCGCGAGCCATGGATCCTTTGCTGAAATTCATCAACGGAGGTCTCTCAGAAATAATTCTTTATGTGGCCTTGATGGAGTGAATATTTGGAATACGACATTTACTGACTGAGCTGACGATATCCAAAAGCAATGAATTCCATTGATATCACTGAATATAGCGTATTTCAAGGAAAGTGGACAAAGATGGGAAAAGCAACGAATCCGTTCGGAAGTTGTCCGGTGAGCTGAAACCCAGGAAAAAAGCCCGGAAGCCGGACGGAAAGATACTGAGGCTGAGAGTGAGGTTAGACCATTTGACAGCTGATTCTTCTTTGGATATATCGATATATGGATGTGAGTGGGGAGAAAAGTCTTTGTTCCCCGACCACTCTGCCCAGGCTGATTCCCAGGGCCCAGCTAACGGGAGGCGACCCAGGGAGACATGCCTCAACTTACTCTGGCTGAAGCTCTCGATGAGCTTCTTTTTGTTTTCCTCCACCTCCTTCAGATCGCTGGACTCGAGAGCATTGAACATCTTGGCCACCACATCCATCCTGCTGCAGCGCGTCCTGCGGTCTCTCGCAGCCAAATACGAGTATCAAAGGGTTCCTCTGACCACAGGCACTCTATTGGCATACGTTTTCACACCAACAGCACTCTCCACCGACTCTTACACGGTCATTTTTCACAACCACCCCCTTTTCAATCACACTCGCTATCTCTCCGCCTCGATTCCGGAGACGCCAGCGCCTCTGGCGGACCACTTCTGACCACTCGTTCAAACGCCAACGGATATTGTCGCATGATTTTCTATATTCTTATTTCAACATTTTCTTCAATTTTTCCGCCACCAGAGACATATTGGCCCTGTTTTCGCTCTTCTTGGCCACTTCTCCCACTATCGCGTAGAACACCTTGGTTTTCCCAGCACGAAAGGCGGCTACGAGTTTGGGATTCGCAGCCAAGGTTTCTTCGCAAAGCGCCTCGATCTCCTTCTCGTCAGAGATTTGCTTCCAATTATTAGCTTCGGCCACTCTATTGGGACACTCATGGGGCTTTTCAAATAATTCCTGGAGAATGAGGCGAAGCATTTGAAGATTCACTTCACCTTCGTGAAGCATAGTAATCAAATCTCCGAGAGATTTTGACGGTATTGCACTGAAATGAAGGAATAGTGTCAGAAGTGGAAGAATTAATTAGAATTTGCCACCTCACCATTCTTCTATGAGCATCTTGTTCTTGTTGAAAATCGTCAAGAGTTCATTTGTAAGGATATTAGCAATTATTTTCGATGGAAGATCATTTTTTTCATTGGATATCTCAAAAAAGAGCCTCAAAAGATTGTCTTCATTCTGCAAAGAAATCCGTAATAGAGTGCTTTTCTTTACATCCTTCTTCTTGAAGTACATACCACTAAGATTATAGCAGTTTCCGAAGGTAAAGAGAGATCTTTGGTGAGTTTTTCACGCGTTTCTTCGGGTAACTCTGGGAGATTTTGCTGGAAATTCTCCTCAGTAAGCCTCAAAGGCGGTAGATTTGGTTCTGGCATGAATCGATAGTCTTGGAGGACTTCTTTATCCCTCATGGCAACAGTGGTCTTTGAAGATGCATCCCAGGAACGAGTCTCATTGTGAATTCTTCCTCCATTCTCGAGGATTTCAATTTGCCTGGCTATTTCATATGTTATGGCATGAGCTACGCCTCTCACCGATCCAATATTCTTGATTTCCGTTCTCGTGCCCAAAGCAGTACCTTCCTCGTGGACAGAAACATTGGCGTCGACTCGCAAGGCTCCCTCTTCCATCTTGCAAGAGCATGTCTTCAGGCGGGTGAGAATGAGAATGAGCTCCTTCACCAGCGCCGCAGCCTCTTCGCCATCACTAAGGTCAGGATCAAAGACAAACTCCATGAGAGGCGCTCCTGCTCGATTTAGATCCACTAAGCTCTGTCCAGCAAACTCGTCGTGCAGCGATTTCCCACTGTCTTGTTCCAACTGAAGTTGATGCAGTCGCACAGTCTTCTTGTACGGTTTTTTGGTGACGCCTGGCACGAAAACCGGGAAAGTCAGCTGTCCATTGCGAGCCAGCGGAGCTCTTTGCTGAGTTATTTGATATCCAGCGGGCAAATCCGCATAAAAGTAGTGCTTCCTGTCAAACATGGAGACTCTATTGATGTCACAAGCTAGCGCCAGGGCTGTAGAGACTCCTGCCTGGACACAGGCCTTGTTGAGGACCGGCAAAGTGCCCGGAATAGCAGCATCAAAGAGGGAAACATTTGCATTTACAGGAGCAGCAAATTCCACCTGAGCCCCTGAGAACAATTTCGATTCGGAGTCTATCTGGGCGTGAATCTCCAATCCAACAACGCTCTTCCACTTCAATCTGTGGCCAAAAAGAAAATTAGGATCTTGCGTAAAAATTCGTCGACTTTCTAATTTACTCACTTGCTTTTGGGAAGAGGCTTCGTAGAGAAATTCACTCTTTCTCTCCTTCTCAGGAAACATAAGCTTCTTCTACCGCCACTCCAGATGTTAATCATCATCTCTCTGGGCTGATTTTCTCTGGAATTTGAGAATATATCACTTTTGTTTTGGTTTTTCTTCTGGGATAAATATACCCCCACTCCGCCGCATTACAACTGTTATACGCGGGACATGTGACAGTCATAATTTGTGTGGTTATGTGAGACTTTGCGGAAAGGAATCTCGGTCACGAAAAAACCGTCCAGAAAATGGAAAATTCAGTAAGAATACGTGATTTTCGCAGGCTGAAGAACTACAAATATGACACCCAAAGTGTGGAGACAATTACATCGGATGAACAGGTGGGTTTAGTCAAGTATTCGCGCAACATTCCTGATGTTTTCATTATTCATTCTTCCGGGATCATTCTTATTAGATTGCCACAGAACGGCTGGTGGCTGCCCACTTCGATAGGTTTGCAGAATATGCGGCCATCGATCCGGATTTACCTCTGTTGCATCGCGAGAATCACATAGCATATTTGGAGAAGTGTCTCCGGGGGCTTCCTGAAGGCTACTGCAGCCTCGACAGCAGTCGCCCGTGGCTGGTGTACTGGATTCTCAACTCAGCTGCTCTCCTCAATCACCGATTCACCGACAGTCAGCTGCAGCGGACCGTGGAGTTCCTGAAGAAGTGTCAGAGTCCAATTGGGGGATTCGCTGGTGGTCCAGGGCAGTATCCTCACTTGGCCCCCACGTATGCTGCTGTGAATGCCTTATCCATCATCGGGACCGCGAGTGCCTTCGAAGCAATTGACCGGGAGGCTCTTGTGCGCTTCCTGCGAGCCATCAGAGAGCCAAATGGCGCATTTCGAATGCACATTGACGGAGAGCTGGACGTGAGGGGGGCGTATTGCGCCATAGCGGCCGCCAAATTGTCTGCAATTCCCGCAGAGGAGTTTAATTCGGTGTTTTCTGGCACGGCCGAGTGGATTGCTAGCTGCCAGACGTACGAGGGCGGCTTTGGCGGAGCTCCAGATCTCGAGGCTCACGGTGGATACTCTTTCTGTGCGGCTGCAGCTCTTGCTTTGCTCGGCAAGCCGGAAGTCTGCGATCTCAAGGCACTTCTGCGATGGACAGTGAACCGACAAATGGTTTACGAAGGCGGTTTTCAGGGCAGGACGAACAAACTCGTTGACTCATGTTATTCCTTTTGGCAAGGATCTCTCGTGGTGATTGTACAGACTTTGATGGCTAGTGCTGGTGAGTCTAGTGCGCTAGGAAATTTGATTACTTTTAATGTTTGTGAATTCCTTTGCAGATCCTTTCGCAAAAACACCCACAACTCGTCCAATGTTCTACAGCGAAGCTCTGCAGGAGTATATTTTAATCTGCTGCCAAAGACCCAGTGGGGGATTTATTGATAAGCCCGGCAAGTCTGCGGATGTTTACCACACTTGCTACGCTCTCAGCGGACTCTCAATTGCTCAGCATGCGGGATTCAATCTCGAGCCGGCTGTTATTGGCTACGGATCCAATGAATTGCTTCCCACACATCCTGTCCACAATGTCCCTCCGTCGGCGGTCAATGCGAGCTACTCATACTGCTCGCGAAAGAAGGGAAAGTCTCCCTCGGTGGCCACCACGGAGATTGAGGATATCTGGGATGATGACTCGGAACGGGATTATTGAATCCGGGAGACTCTAGACTTGAGGCATTTTTTAGATAGTTTGTTAACGTGCTTTTACCATCCTCGACCATTAGGTGTCCCTTGGGGATTTCCAGTAACTTGATTTCAATAAATTAATTGGCTCCGAAGAGGGAAGGCAGCATTTGAATTTTCCCTTTCGTAACAATCGTCGTCGCGTGGTTGTCCCAAAAGAGCGGGATTTTCGCAGCCCGCAGATGGCGTTGCATGCGCACGCGTTTTTTGACATTTACATTTTAGGTCCGTGGTGGCTCGTCAGAGAGGATTGCAGTGTTGATATTTTCGTGAGAAAAGTGGTGTGAAAAATCAGCTTGAATGAAATACTACGAGGAGAGCGCTTCCGCGAAGAACAGGGCTCAGGATAAGTACGACGCGATGAGCGATGATGACCGGGATATTGACATTGAGAGCGATGTAAGTTTGGGTATATAGCCAACGGGTGGGCCATATACACACAAAGAAAAGGCCACCCGATCGGTGGCAGAGCGTATTTTCAAGGGCACATTTGGCATCATTGCAGGAAGACAACGACTCCGATGGCACTCGTCATCAGCAGAGGAACTCTGTAAATAGCCAGTACTGCTCTCAGGTGAGCCGTAGGGTTGGCTGTGCGGGGGGAAAATTGCCGGAAAAGTCCACTCGAGTAGAGTTCATCGCCATTTTGTAGCTGTTTTTGCACTCGCGTGCGGCCCTCTTTCGCGGCGGTCGCAATCACGTGAAGATGGCCGTTACAAAGTGATTTTCCCCCCAAATTCCACCTCAAACCCCCCATTTTTGGCTCTTTTCTCACGCGCACCGTCGCATTCTCTTTTCCTTGCAGGCCGAGAAGCGGGCTCACCACAATGCGCTGGAGAGGAAGAGGCGAGATCACATCAAAGATAGCTTCACATCCCTGCGAGACTCCGTGCCATCGCTTCAGGGGGAGAAGGTGAGCATTTCTTGTAATTTTCTCAGTAAAAATCTCTTCCTGATTCGGGCGGAGTTGCTTGGCATATAGTTAGCTTTGGAGCTTAGAAAGCCTTGAACTTGAGAACTGGTTTAGGAAGAGGCAGAATTAATAACAAGCTCACAAAAGACTTGTTCGTCTTAAGAGCATTTATTGAATAAATTCTAAGTCTAAACCTTTGCAGGCGAGCCGTGCGCAGATCCTGAAGAAGGCCGCCGAGTACATTCAGTTCATGCGACGAAAGAATCACTCCCACCATCAGGACATTGAGGATCTCAAGAAGCAGAACAACGTTCTGGAAGCACAGAGTGAGTCCAAATTCCCAATGTTTCTCTCCACCGCCCCAACTAACGTGCGCCCTTGTCTTGCAGTTCGACAGCTGGAGCGCGCCCGGGCCAATGGGGCCACATTCAATGGCTCCGAGTCCGGCGAGATGAACCTCAACGTGAACAATTCCAAAGCGGACAGCTCTCGCGGTTCAGAGAGCAGTTCGGATGCGGAGGAGAGCAACTTGAGTGCCCGTCGCAACAAGAAGCTCAAGACGAGCGGCTCCTTCGCTTGAAAGTCCAACTCTCTCTTCGATCATACATTTTTATTTCATGTGTCCATTCTTGTATAATGGGGGTGCGCGGGAGGGATTTCGTGGCCTAACCAGGTGCCAGAGAGCCACCTCGGCCCGGCTGTCGCGCGGGTGGGTGGGGCGAACGTACAAGGACTGATTCACTGATCCCCAAACAGATAGGAATCCGCTTCACTTTTCAACCCCGCCTTTCAGAGACAACCGTGAATTTCTTTTTCTCAATCTCCCCCACTCAGCGCATTGCTCTTTAGGATTTAAGTGTTATTTTTCGCTCATTTTACTGAGTTTTCGTCTTTAATGTGAAATAATTGTTATATTTTCTTCCGAAATTACTTTACGTGAATTATAATATTCTCGATCATCCTTATTTTCTACATAAAACAAACTAATGTTTTAGAATTCTCACATACTGCTGGAGTATTTTCAAGTGATTATAGAGTTTTTTGCGAGTACAAGACAAGAAAACTGATGGGAAACAGGAATAATCACGAAGTTGAAAGGAAATATTTGCATTAGAAGTAGTAATTGAAGTTATTTTACGTTCTATTGTAAATCCTCTATGGAAAATACAAAATTCCAATAGAAATATACTTCAATGTATAGAAAAGACAGATGTTTTGATTGTGTGAATGTAAATTTATTAAATTCCGCACAAAAATCGTTTGCATTTGCATAAATTTTCAATACACGGCGAACGCGGCGAAGTGTCGGCCAAATTCGCCGTGAAATGGAAAATTTGGCCGACAGAAGGCAGTTGGCGTGCCGATTCAAAATGGTGTATTGTTTTCTCTGTGAAGAGGCTTGATTTTTCGCGAAATATTACGTGTAATTGATGAGTAAAGGAAAATGTTTGTGAACAATATCGAGGACAAGGATACCCTGCACACGGCAGTGATGAAGGAGCTCCGTGAAAATGGGATAAAGTACCAAAAACCGAAGAAGCGTCAGATGGGTCAGGTTAGAGACGACGAGATGAGTTGTTTGGGGGCGCTTTTCACCCTTTCTGTGTCATTGCAGGACAAGAGTGGCGGCAGGCGGATATTCCATACACCACTGCATCTTCTCGAGTTGACCGAGGTGTTCCTGGTGAATGGGAGCGTCGTGCAAGTGCCCCACTTTGTTTCCGATGCGTGCCAGTGGATTCTCGACCAAGTCACCACGGAGGGACTCTTCCGGAAGGCAGGCTCCACTGCCCGACAGAAGAGCATGAGAAGCATGCTGGAGAGTGGAAAGTTCCTGGACAAATCTCACCACGTCATCGATGTGGCCAACTTGCTGAAGAGCTTCTTCAGAGACCTTCCTGAAGCACTGCTGCCCACGGGCGTCATTCAGGATTCAATGCTACGGTGTCTCTTCACTGCCAATCAACTCAACACACTTCTTCTGACGTGTCTTCTCTTGCCACCACTCACCCTGAATGTCCTGGCCTTCTTCATGCAGTTCCTGCACACCGTGTCGCTTCACAGTGACCAGAATCGCATGACGATTGAGAATCTGGCCATCATCTTTGCGCCTAGTCTTATGCCACTACCGGAAATGTATCCCACACGCCTCAATAACTACGTGAAGATCATAGAGATGTTGATTGCGAACTCGGACAAGATTGGGATCGTGCCGGAGCGGCTTCTCAGCAAGAATTCCAGCCGCGATGTGGCTGAGAAGGAGGAGAAGAAGCGCAAGAAGCGACGCAGTGGCTCACTGACGAGAGTCTTTCATGGACTGAAGAAGATTGTGGGTGTCAGGGGATCCACTGATGATCTGGACAAGAGTCCGGAGATGCCGGGCGCCACTCCGTGCCTCACAAAGTCCTCGAAGAAGCGCAAGGCGGAGCAGAGTGGAATGAGTGCGAAGAAAAAGAAGCAGATCATGGCGCTTCTGCCCAACGGGAGTCTCCTGCCCAGCACGCCGATGCTGGTGAAGGAGAGCAAGAAGCTCCGTTTGAGTTTCGGCAGTTCACGGCGAATCTCAAAGTTTCCCGGCGTGGAGCCGCCGGAAACCATCACTGAGAGTCACATTGAGCTGCCACAAATGGAGAGACGCTGGAGTGTGGTGGGAACGCCCATCAAGAAGGCGAACTCCCCGGAATTTGACGGAGATGCGACGAAGTACTTTTCTCCCGTAGTCTCTCTGCCTTGTCTCACATTCTCAGAATCCAGTCTCAAGGACATGGGCGTGAGCACTGATCTGGGAGTTGACGGGATGACAGAGGAGGACAAAGACTACGTGAAGATATCCAAGAGCGAATATCAGGCTCTCAATGAGAGAGTTGCTGCCATTGAGGCGAGGATCAGTCAGGAATTCTCACTTCCCACGACTGTGGAAACACTGCCAGCGGATCCTGAACTCGTACAGGATGTCTATGAGCAGACCTTGGAGGAGGCGGAGTCAATTAGTCAGCCGGGCACTGAGGAACTGGCTCGCCGGCTCAGTCGCGATCTCAAAATTCGTCGTAGTGGTGACAGGAGGATTTTCCGGTCGCCGAGCGCCAGGAAAATTGGGACAATTCGCCGTCGCTCTCGTGAATCATCGGCAAAGCTGATAAGGACAAAGTCCTGGCATGTGGGCGCAAGTGCCGAATCAAAGGTGGACTTCTCATTCTACCCCAAGACTTCCCTCAAGCGCGGTCGTCCTAACACCCTCCAGACTGGACTGCGTCAGCCGAGCCCGGTGCCCAAGAATCCCGAGCAGGAAGACCAGGAGATTTGGACAAGTGCCGAAGACTTCTTCGTCACTCAGCCGCCTCAGGCGACGGACGAGGAGAAGATTGTGTTCATCACGGAGAAGCGCAAGGAGGTGAATCCCTTTGACACTCCACAAGCGGCGGAGCGCCGCCAGAGCCTGAGATCGGCCACAAAGACTGATGATGCCATGAGTCCCAGATTCAAGACCAAAATCACCGTCTCGGAAGCCACACCGATGCTTCCACCACGTGGAATGCCGCCCAAGAGGACGCCGCGATTCCCCAAAACACCTTTCGAGCAGCATCAGCAGCTGCCGCCCACGGGCAGAGCCTCGATTGCGCGTCTTAGGAGCCAGAACGCGGGCATGGTGGCGGCCAAGGCGAAGCTGTTCGATGGCCTGGTCGATGAGAGGGAGAATGCAACGCCAAAGAGGGGGCGCTGTCCCAGGGCCCAGCGGCTTCAAGTAGCCGAGGAGAGCAAGACGTTCCTCAAGCCGCCAGTCATTCGCCCGCCCCTGATGGAAAACACGCCGAGGCGCATCGTCAAGGTCTCTCAGCGACTGCACAGCCCCAATACGCCCATGAAGGCGTTCCGTGCCAACTCTCGCTCCCCGCGAGTGCCAAGGAATTATCGCTCTCCTCGCCACTAAGTCCGACACAACAAACTTAATAATCTTATCTTGTATAATTTGCTCACGAATAAAGAGCCCATATTCTGTATTAATCATCAGTGAGGAACATCTCGAGAAGATCCTCCTTGGAGATCTGCTCCACGCCCTCGAGGCGCTGCGGGCACTTCCAGCGGATGAAGGAAGGCAGAACTGAGAGATGAGTGTTCTTATCAGTTCTGAAGGGGCACTTGGGATCTTTCCAGCTGCAAAGAGACAATCCTTATCAGTTCACCAAACACTTGTCTATAATTTACAGCCCACTCACAATGGCCGGTCGCCAACGTCTACGTAGATGAAGTAGGACTTCTCCGGAGCCAAGCTGAGCCCTTGCCGGACATGGGGCTCAGCGTCATTGCAGTCCGGGCACCAGCTGACCCCATCAACTTTACTCCCCGAGAAATAAACATTCACATTCTCTCCTTTAGCGTCCAACTTGCTCATGTACTCGATGAAATTTTCGTAGCCCTGGAGCTTCACTTCGATCACCATTTCGCCAAGGGGAATTTTCTTTACGAATCGTTGAGGAAAAACGGGAAAATTAAACTTTCCGGCCACCAGCACAGGCAAACGCCAGCAAACGCTTTTTAGAAGCCACTCACCGATTCAAGCGCCACCCAGTGTGCAATGTAGTCGCCATCAAATTGTCAACAAGCAAAGCCAGAAAAAGAAAAGCCTCGGAAATTTTCTTCTAATCCCTCGTAGAGTAGTTTTACTTGGAAAAGTTGTGTTGTAAAGTGAGCAGCAGCGCATGGGAAATAGTAAATACCTGAAAGTTACATGAAAAACTCCCATTCCATTGAGATTTTGTGTGTTGAAGCAAAAGCGACGCTTTTGAGGTTATTGGGCTGAAGCTAAGATTGAGGAAAAAACAAGGGCCAGGACGGGAGAGAGATGAGGTGCTGTGTTCCTGGATGCACGAGTGCAAACCTGCACTGGGGAGGAGTGAAAATGAGACATTACAGCTTCTTCAGGTGAGCTCGAAGGGGTTCCTAGAGTCGGATGCAGTATCTCAATGACGTCTGTTTGCAGGTTTCCCGTTGATGTGAAGGAGGCAAAAGAATGGCGGGAAATTCTCAAAGTGAAGGAGGTACCGGGAGTGTCTCAAAAGATTTGCGAGAAGCACTTTGAGCCGAAGTATCTCGAGGCGTTGCCCGGGAACAAGAAGAGACTGGACTGGAGGGCAGTTCCCATGCCAGCTGAACATGTGAAAAATGTAAGAAAACAGACTGGTGAATGCCTTTGAAGGGAATCTCTTATATGTACAATCTAATTGCAGGACATCTGTGCTGGTCAGATTGTGGACAAGCCAAAGAGAAAAGCGCCAGATGTGAAGAGTGAATTCTTCAAGGTTCTACAAGAGTATAAAAGGGCGAAAGAGAAGTACTTCAATCTCTTGGGCATTCCAAAGGAGTTTGAAGATGATTTCGACGATGCGGAGTACTTTGGCATTCACTATGATGGTCTCCCCTGGTGGGCGCGTCCCGTTGTGCAGCCATCCTCGGATGAGGATGTCCAGATGAAGAATGAAGATGAGAATGCACACAAGAAACTGTGCCAAATGTGTGGAAAATTGGAGGTGAACCACGATCTGCACATGCTTTTGTTCCATCCTCCGGAAATTAAGGCGGACATAGAAGTTGAGGAGGTTCAGATTCAAGATGGTCAGCAGATTGTATTTGAAGAATTGGAACAGGATATTGATGAGCCTATGGACACTGATTTCCCCGCAAATGACTATGATGATGATGATGATGATGCTGATGTGACTCCAGTTAAGCAAAATGCTCCGGATGAGAAAAGCGAATCAGGTCAGAAATACATGTGCAGTTGCTTCAAGATTTTGCCCAGTATCAACGCTCTTGTGGATCATATCTCGAAGGCGCGCGACTCCTATCCAGCCCAAATGCACAATCTCGAGTGCACAAACTGCCAGTCGCAATTTAAGGATTTGGGCCTCTTCAAGCGGCACATTGACGCCGATGGCACGCTGTGCTTCAAGTCAGCCAACCTGGTGGCATTCGCTGAGCCGCTCGCGGTGAAGAGGGTGAAGGCAGCGAGACTGAGGGCACTAAATCATGGCGTGAGGGCCTCGAAGCTGAAGGAGTGCGGAGGCTGCGGAATGATGTTTCCCCTCGGACAGAGTTTCATGGAGCACCAGAGAACTGTGCATGGCATTGAGTCGGCGGATGAGTTGGTCAACTATTTGATGGAACCGACAGACTTCAGCAAATTGGACGAGCAGTATTCGAAGGAAATTGAGCATGAGGAGAAGTACAGAGAGAAAGTCAAGTATTTTAGAGAAATGGACATCCCTAGGGAGTTTATGCATGACTTTGACGATCCAGAGGAGTATGGCCATCATGAGGGACTTCCATGGTGGGCGATGCCTGTGAAAATTGAGGAGCATTCGTGAGTATTTCCTAGAAAGCTTCATATATTAAAATACGCTGACTCTTTTCTCTCCTTTATGTCGCAGGGAAACACGGAAGAAGTCGATGCTGCGAAAGATGGTGACTAGGAAGACGAGGAGCAAAGACATTGAGAGCGCAGGAGTGGATGAGAATGCAGAGGATGACGATAATGATGAGGATTCGTCATTCCGGTACGTACAGAGGGACAGAAAGGATCTCTGCCAGTACTGCGGTCATATTCGCGCTCACATCAATAAACATATCAACCTGAGGCACCTGTGCAAGGACAAGCCGTGTGATGACTGCGGCCAGCCGATCAGTTTGATGAAGGAGCACACGTGCATCGGCTATCCGCGGCGCAGGAACAAATATAATTGCACATGCGGAGAGGGCTTTAAGCTGATTGAGACTCTTCACGCCCACGTCAATGTGGAGAATGGAAGAGGCCGCGGGATCCACAGATTCAAGTGTGGCAAGTGCAATGAGAGTTACGACAACAAGACGGACTTTGACAACCATGTTCTGACTCATGCTGGTATTTACCAGTGTGACTTATGCAAGAAGACCTACCAGACCTCGTCTTCGCTGAAGGCTCACTTGAAGATTCACACGGAGGAGCGCAAGTATCCGTGTGAGATCTGTGGGCAGAGGTTCAAGAAGAAAATATACGCCGAAAACCACCTCGAGTTGGTGCATCGTCAGGTGCCAGTGCCGTGCCCACACTGCTTTGGCATGTTCAAGCCCGGATTGTCGCTCAACAATCACATACAGCGACAGCACTTGAATCGGCGCGACTACGTGTGCGATATTTGCCAGAAGTCGTTCAACTCACTCGGGGCGCTGAAGTATCACCTTACGATCCACACGGGCGAGCGACCGCATCCATGTCCCTTCTGCCATCAGGCGTTCAAGACCAACAAGGACTTGCGACGGCACTACGCCAATCACAAGGATCTGACCATCAAGTGCCCGATGTGCAAGAACCACTTCCTCAATGAGGAGGAGCTCAAGGAGCACTGCAACCGGTATCACCGCGGAGGCACCGACTCGCGAGAGCAAGTGATTGAGCAGATTGACTACATTACTGAGGAGATTGTGGATGATATGGCTTAAGGTGAGGATTCCCATTCTCATGACAACTCATCTTAATGTGTTGTTTATCCTTGGTTTTTTAGAGAGTACAATAAACTTTAAGATGCAAAGTTTGGAAACTGAAAATGATAACTTTTTAATCCATCTTTGTTGTCTTGCGTGTAAAAAGAAAGAAACTGTAGTTCAATTGTGAAGGTATTTGCGATCTCCCTTCACCAATTCTGTTTATTGCGTCATTTTCTTGATCTTGGTAATGAGATCCTCCTCTTTAAAGTGCGTCACAGCAAGTTGTCTCAAATATCACTAAAAACAGTGAGAAACTACTGTTCGTCAGAACACCACGTCATCCAGTTTGTGGCTAAGAAGTGTTGTACCTGTGCAAGAGATTTTACAGAATTTGTACGAAGAAATCTTAACAGAGTTATCAGGAGATGTGCTGATTTTATCGGCGGAAGTTTCCCACAATTTCTCCACGAACTTTCCTGCTTTCTGGTCGTTTGCTCGCATATCATGAGTGTTTTTGCAAAAATAACATGATAATTGATATTGACCTCATTCACCTCTCTCGCGTGCGCTCCAAAAAATACATGACATTTGCACTCACCCCTGAAAATCATCTCATACTTCTATCAACTGAACAAGCACTTATTCTTACTCACAATCAAATCTGATAGCATCTTTCAAACTTATTTAAAAAAAAACAACATCATTTAGGCTCCGATAAGAAATAGTCGTGTGATCTCGCTACAGAGTGATGAATAACGTGAATATATTGGCGAAGTTTATGCTAATCTGTTAGCGCATTTTCTTGGGCAAATTTAAGTGGATCACACTGTGTGTTCAGTGTTTCTTATTCAATTTCCCGATGTATTGTGATTTTTATGCTCGCTAATTGATAAGACGAGATGAAACATACGAGGAGAGTTCAATGCGTTGCGAGGATTTGTGGCAAACGGTCGGTGTGTAATTTTACTTAAATATTTCCACACATTTTCCTTTATGTTCTGACTGTGAGAGTGGCGCAATGGGAAAATACGAAACTGTTGGTGTTCTTGGTGCATTTATGATGGTGGCAATGACCGGTGTAACGCTCACAAATAAATTTCACCAAACATCTGACAATAATACTTACGAAAGTGCAATAAATAAGGACAATGAAGAAGATTTCACGAGCACACAATTTGTGCCACTTCAATTGGATTTTCAGGATCAAACAGAGAGTTTAACCAACGATGAGAAAGCTGATTATGTAAAAGAAGTATAAATAGATTTTTCCTTATCAAATCGCAGTGTTGTTGAGGGAAGAAAGTGTTGATTTTTCAGATGATGCTTCACGCTTGGAAGAATTACAAGCAATTCGCTTGGGGTAGAAATGAATTGCGGCCAATCACGCAGAGTCCGCACACGAATGGTGTTTTTGGAAACTCCAATGTTGGTCTCACCATCATCGACAGTCTGAGTACGCTGCATATTATGGAGCTTTATGAGGAATTTGAAGAGGGAAAACGGTGGCTGAGGCAGAGATTCTCCCTTCATAATATTGTGAGTTCTCAACAGTTATTTTTTTTACACATTTTAGTGAACAATTAATGGGAATTCTAGTGAAGTGCGTGCGTTTACTGATTAGAATTCAAATAGTAACGATGTTTCAATGTTCAGGCTGCAGATGTTTCAGTATTTGAGATAAATATTCGCCTTGTGGGTGGATTATTGTCCTGCTACGCCTTGACTGGAGATCCGCTGTTCAAGGAGAAAGCTGTTCATGTGGCTGATAAGCTGTTGCCGGCATTTCGAACACCAACAGGAATTCCCCTGGCAATGGTTAATCTTAAAACTGGGGTAATTATAAACTCTGCACCTTCACAATTACAATAGCATCTCGGCAATGTAATTTTAATATTTCAGATGGCCAAAAATTATGCCTGGGCGAGTGGAAGCAGCAGTATATTGTCAGAATTGGGTACATTCCATTTAGAATTCACATATCTCAGTGATATCACAGGGAATCGTATTTATCGCGACTCTGTAATGAATATTCGTCGAATTCTCAACAAATTGGAGAAACCTGGAGGACTTTATCCACTCTATCTCAATCCGAGGACTGGAAACTGGGGCCTCTGTAAGAAATGCAAGTTTCCTCCAAGTGTGAAAAGGGATTTAACAATGAATCTTCCAGATCACATGTCGCTGGGAGCTTTAGGGGACAGCTTCTACGAGTACCTGCTGAAAGCCTGGATTCAATCTGCTGGTGAGGACGAAGAAGCTCGTCTGATGTTCGACGAAGCAATGCCGCCAATCATTGAGCAAATGATCAGGACATCTCCAAGTGGTTTGACTTACGTGTCGGATATGAAATTCGGACGACTGGAGCACAAAATGGATCACTTGGCATGCTTCGCCGGAGGACTTTTCGGTCTTGCCTCACAAACGCTCGCCAATGAGTGGTCGACAAAGTACATGGAAGTTGCCGAAGGACTCACAAACACCTGTCACGAGAGTTACGTGCGAACGTCCACAAAATTGGGCCCAGAAGCGTTCAGATTCATTGACGGTGTTGAAGCTGAAGCCGTGAAATACACAGAGAAGTACTACATTTTGCGACCAGAAGTGATTGAGAGTTACTTCATCATGTGGCGCTTGACGCACCAGCAAAAGTACAGAGATTGGGGCTGGGAAGCTGTTCAGGCGCTCGAGAAGCACTGTCGAACTGCACATGGGTATTCTGGAATCAAGGATGTCTATGCAAAGGCGCCGCTAAAGGATGATGTGCAGCAGAGTTTCTTCCTTGCGGAAACGTTAAAAGTATAATTTGATGCGGATAAATATCCTGGAGAAATCTTATCAATTTGATCTCTTGTTCTTTCAGTATCTTTATCTGCTGTTCACAGACGATTCGGTCATGTCACTAGAAAAGTGGGTATTCAATACAGAAGCTCATCCACTACCCATAAAAGGAGTAAATCCACTTTACAGAGCAGCTGCTGTGACACCTAGTTTACATTTAAATTAGCACAGAAAACAGTTTTTAGCTTAATAATTTTATTATAGATTAAGCAATAATGTAAAAAAGAACCTAAAAACAATCTTTATAAGGTCGTCAAATGATTTCTGGGCAAATAAATTCCAGAAAGACTGAATTTACCAACAAAAAGTAGTGTATTTCTGCACTTTTCCAAAAGTTGCTATTAAAAGACGATGAATGTGATGATGTTTTTGTTTTATTCTGTCTCAAATTCAATCTACAGATTGATGTGAAATTGAGTGGTTAATTGTAAAATTATTCAATTCTTCAAACCTTCACTAAAATGCTATTTAATACCAATGCCAGCGTCCGAGACATAGCATTGATATTGTCCTACTTAAGAGACACTAATTATTGTGACAAACATATTTTCCTTCCGTGATAATAAAAATAAAATAATAGCGCAGTAAGGCAAAACACCTACTATCACCAAACGTACGTATATGATGTAATTTCAGCATTGTTCTGGAGTTGTGATGAGTATGCATGTTTTGTTTACTAGCTCTCGTGATGTTACTTTGCTTTGGTCATTTTCAATTTCTTCAGCTCTTTGGTCCAGATTGCATTGTTCAGAAACTCACCGAGGATGTAAAGCGCTCCGGTCATGCCAATGACAACGATGTAGAAGACGACGCGCATAGGGAATGAGAGAACTTCGAGGATTGGATACACCCAAACGCCGGAATAATGATGAATTACGTGAATCCAAACTAAGTAGGCGACCATGAAGATGATAAGGCCGAGCATGCCCTCGCGGCGTGCTGGATACTTGCGGAATGACATGAAGAGTTCGATCACAATGCAGATGAAGATGTTGGTGTGCAGTACGTGGTTGAGCCATCTGCAAGAGGATCAGTTGCGGTGTTTAGTGGACATTTTTGGAGCGAGAATAAAGATGAACTCACGTTGGAACGTAATCGTCCAGGAATTTGGGGAAAACCAGCTCCCGGTCGATGGCCATGAGACTCCAAAAGGTGGTGCTCACTGTGGCGGCAAGAGGGAAGGCCAGTGAGATCATTACATAATCCTTCACCCTGCGGATGAGTGGCAATTTCGTGTGGGAGACTTTGTTGGAGCCCACCAAGTCATTGAGGAGAGCAATGGTGTAGTAAACAGCCTGGCATATCTGTGCGGGTGCGGAGAATTATTATCATTCAATGGGATGAAAATACAAACAACACATTTCATTCATACTCACTGCATTGAGGAAGGTGAGGTATTTGAATTTCCCCCCAATGGCTCTCGCCATTGGGTGTTGATCCACGGGAATCTTTACAAAATTGTACTCATATTGAATGGCAAACCAGAACATTGCAGTTGCAATGATGTGGAAAAGGAGTCTCACTGAATTCGACACGGCCATTCTTTGCGTATGATTTCTTATTGCATAAGAAGTGGAATACTTTACAGAAGATAGGCAGCAGATAAACCAAATACCTGTTTCACTTTTACTACAATATCATATTGTTGATAAAATTAAATTACAAAATCTACGATAATGGATCAGGTTATGTTGCTATGTCAAATTTACGGTAATCTTAAAAGCCCATTAACTGTTATACCTAAACCGTCCGTTACATATCAAATGATAAAAGCTTTTATTCTTTCTTTGATTATAATTAATTCCAAATTTCATCATTTAACTACTGAAAGAGAAATGCCATAATGTGATGTTGAAGGTGAAGAGCATAGATACATTTACCGATATCTATAAATAACTACTAAATGCTCATAATGTTTATCTCGCCTGTCTTCGATCCCTTTTATGCTCTTCCGCACGTTCCGCGCCATAAATAATGCCAGGAGAAAAGCATTTATTCAAAAACATGTTATACTATTGATTATTATCCTTATTCACCATCGAGGACTTTCACCATTTGGAGGAAAAATGTCAATATTCATATGTGCGTGCATGCATAATATATACATTCCCCATTTCCATTGAAGCACCGTCGCTTGCCTAGAAGTCACATTGTTGCTGCGACCTGATATGGGATTTTAGTTCGTTTCATCACATCGACGGCCTAGCAAGAGCACCAAAGTGTTGAAAAATGGTAAGAATATCTTATTATTTAGCAACATAGAGGAGGGAAAAACATATCAATTCAGTAATCTGAGTGATTCTAAATGAGAAAACTTTTGTGTATCAACTCAATTACATAATTTTCTGCTTGATACAGTGAAATTTATGTGGAACAATAAATGTTTTTCGTGGTTATTTTTAAACACCCGAAAAACTGTCGTGAGTCAAAATCTTCTCAATGTTTTATTAGTAGAAAAAGACAACTCACGTTGAAAAGGTGCCGGGAGAGTTGCTCGGGGTGAAAATATACAAATCTATAGGACTATTGAGCTTTCAAATTTCCTTGTGATTCTGTGGAATAGCACAATAGTGATGGTGGGTGAAGGCAGCTTTTATCATGCAATCAATAACTCTTCTTGACTCCTTCTTCTCTTCTCAGATGTGGGAAACTCGAAACTCTAATATTCCACTTGCTCTAACCAAAGGCAGAATTTATGGTTTTCTCTCTGTATTGCGTTAGTTGTTGAAAGAAGTAACATTGAATGACAAAGAAGAAATTATGTTGTTAATTGCAGTTGTTTGCGTTGCATCAAATGAAAATGGAACAAGAGGCTAAAGAGGCCCAGAAATCCGTTCAACCTAATTCCTCATCGGGAAATGTTAGTTTTTTTTTGTAAGAAAGGTGTTTTGCTTAGAAGCTTTTAAAACATTGCCTTGCGAGGGTGTGCTAAAACGAAGTTTTATTTACACACAGTGGCGCAGCAAATGTTCTTCATGGGCTTTTTCTAAATGTATCACATATTTCTGGCATATTTACTACGCCACTGATATTGAGTAATCTCTGTGATTTTTTTAACCATTGCTTAAAGTTAATAATAAAAACATTTCGTAGTTTGAGATCGAGCGAAATGCATAGTAATTCTTCCCTTCACTTTGCAACAGGGCAAGGAGTTCAAGGTTCCTGTTGTGTGGATCCTGGGTGGTCCGGGATCGGGCAAAGGAACGCAGTGTGACAAAATAGTGGCTAAATATGGGTTCAGTCACTTCAGCACGGGAGATCTCCTGCGCGAGGAAGTGGCTTCGGGATCGGATCTCGGCAAAGAGCTCTCGGCGCTGATGCAGCGCGGTGATTTGGTGCAGAACGAGCACGTTCTGGCCCTGCTGGAGAAGGCCATGCTCAAAGTGGCCGACTCGACGGTGGGCTACCTGATCGACGGATACCCTCGGGAGAAGGCTCAAGGTTTGATCTCGCAATCTCTCACGCGCAATCATACATGATCACAATTCTGCAGGAGCTGCATTTGAGCAAGCCATCGCTCCAGTGGATCTGATTCTATATTTGGAATGCGCAGAGGACACAATGGTACAACGGATTCTATTTCGTGCCTCGCAAAGTGCTCAAGTTCGAGCTGATGACAACGAAGCTACGATTAAGAATCGCATTCATATTTTCCACACCAACACCGAGGAAATTCTATCGCAATACGGAGAGAAAGTGAAGCGGGTATTTATATTTTTTTCACCCACAATCGCTATGCGGTTAATTTTGTAAATTCACAAACATCCCAAACATCTCATGCTTTGCAGCTACCGGCTGATCGCCCTATTGAGGAGATTTTTGCCGACGTCTCCAAGCACTTGGACGAGTTGTTGGCGGCGAAAAAATGAAAAGGATCCTCAAAAGGATGTACACAGCAACGTTGACTTCAATTTTCATCTCTTCACGAATTAAATTATAGACAATTTGATCGAGTTATGTTAAATAAATTTAAAAATGTTATTTGAACAGATGTGTTTTCTCCATATCAAGGAATCACGTGGGAAGTGTTTATCTTGTTTATATACTTCATCATTTCTCCCATTTTTCCCTCCCCAGAATTCCTCTTTTCGTACTCATCATTATTTGAGTGTAGAGCTGTTGAATTCGCCGGGACAGGTGGCGCAGCAGTCGCAAAGCATTCGAGTGGCTCATCTGGCTGAATGCCACTCAATGGTGGGAAGACTTTCCCAAAACAGTGCGAAAAGTTGCCAAAACGGGGGCTGAAATGTTGAAAACTGTTGGCAAATATGAGACAGACGACAAAGTGATTGTATTTAAAGTTAGAACCAAAAAGGAGCCCGCGTGCATCAACATAATCGACTCCTCAGACAACTTCACTGAGGTTAGAATCCTTTGGACGCCCTTCACGGAAGAGTTTTAGAGTCTAATTCCATGCTTACCTATTTCTCATTTCCCTTTTCTCTGTTGCAGGAATTTACAATTGTACCTGTGGATTCGGCCCTGGAGATCTGTGAGGAGTATGCCGAGAGGAAGTGGGATAAAGGCGTGAAGCGCAGACTGAACAAAGTCTCTGAAGTTCCCGGATCACAGATAAATGAAACCTCTCAAGTCCCAACAGACACATCCAAGAGCTCCAGGTCAAAGCCGAGGCGCATGCAGACATGCGAGATCTGCGGAAAGCACATGAGGCATCGTCATGTGTGCAATCTCAAGCTGTACGGATGCACTTGTGGCGTGGCCTTTGCCCTCAAAGGGGAAATCGACGCGCACGTGAGGGAGTTTGGACACGACAACACTCCTCACTCTCTCCAGTGTCGTCGGTGTCCAGCGCTGCTGAACAGCTCCGATGACTTCGACAGCCACCTTGTGGCTGTGCACAGGATGTACATCTGCCTTCTGTGCTACAAGCAATTCTCCACGGAGGAGCGCCTGAAGCAGCACCTGGACACCCATGCAAACCGCCAGGTGATCAAGTGCAGCGTCTGCTTCGTGGAATTGGCTTCGCGCGAGAGCCTCAATCGCCACATGAAGTGCATTCACTTGTTTGAGGCGAAAATCACATGTTCCTTCTGCTGCACCAGCTTCATCACCAAGGACGACCTACGGTTCCATGTGGAGTCAGTCCACGAGGACCGCAGCGACTACGTGTGCACCGTGTGTGGAAATATGTTCGACCAGGAAGACACTTTGGCACGCCACATGGCCACTCACACCGAACCTAGACCATTTAAGTGTGCCTTCTGCCAGGAGAGCTTCAGGCTGCCCAGGGACTTGCGCAAACACAACTCAGCGCACCGGGAATACATGCTGAGATGCTCGTCCTGTGACTCATGCCATCTCAATCAGCAGGAGCTGAGTCTCCATCTAAAGCGTCACCCCAGTCATAGGAAAGTGCCTCCAGTGCCTGGGAGTTCTTCCTCTTCATCCAAATAAATTCTCTGGTAAGTCTCTTATCCTTTATTTCTCCTGGCCATTGACGCTGTTGATGTCTTCGTGTCAACCCATCCCCAGTCTGATGAGGAAGAGAATTGTGAAAAAGACCAGGAGACAAATCACTCATTTAGCCTTCTTCCTCTTCTGTTGCTGCGTCTTGGATTTCTTATTCTTGAAGAACAGCGCCAACAGGGCGCACAGGAATGTCAAACCGAATCCCACGGTGATGAATAGCACCAGATATGGATACTCATTCATTGCCTTCTCGGCGAATTTAACACTTTTCTGCACGACTTGCACACCCAAATCCACAAGATTGTCACTGAAAAAGCGAAAGAAAGAGAAGCTTAAGTATGGATTGGGAAGTTATTTCATCTCTCAGAGATTCTTACAAGGGCGATTGTGGCACTGGAACTTTGTGTGGCGTCGCATTCTTGTACCAGTCTTGGGCGAAGGTCACCAGAGACTTCACGTCGAACTTCTTAATCTCGTATTTGTAGTATTTTCCCTGGCGGATGAAGATGAACTCCGGCACTCGTTGGATGTTGAAGCGACGAGCGGTGCTGCTGCCAAGAGCGCCTTTGTTCACTCTGGCCACGTTTAGGCGGGTTTTGAGCGTGGCTCCCACGGCCTCCCACACGGCATTCAATCGCTGGCAGTCCACGCATTCGGGCGAGTAGAACATGATGAACCAGTCGCCCGTGGTGGCTCCACTCGAGGCCTGAGTGAGGTGCTCGAACGTGTCGTCTGAGAGCTCCTTTACGGACGGATCTTTGTTGTGCTGGAAGAGCTGCAAGATGGAGTCCTCGTTGAGGGGACCATCGTACAAGAGGGGGATTCCATGGCGGAAGAAAACCAGAGCTGGCTCCTTTGAGGGACTGTAGAGGCGCACCAGCTGACTATTGACTGCCTTCACCACCACAGCGTCCAGTGATTGCTGAAGATCCTCTCGGAGGATTGTCGTCAATCTCTCATAAGTACCGCATGGCTCACAGTCTTTCTTGGCTGCAAGACAATGAAAGGAGCGTTGAGGAAAATGTCTGAGACGTTGAGAACAAATAAACACACTCACTGAACAAAACCACAAGGAAGGATTCATCTTTGATGAGACTAACAAGACTGTGGGGAAGATAATATGTTCAGACAAAGATTTCAATGCTCACGTGGTAAGTTGAACTTACTCCTCGTCGCTGACCAGCTCGAGGTCCACGGAAAATGCCAATGGAAGCAGGAAAAGAAGGAAAACCAAGGACTTCATTGTCTCTGAGCGACACGCCGGCAAACTGTTGCTTGACACCTCGACTGTTATACTGTCATACGGTAAAAAAAAATCATCAATGAATGAGATTTCCCTCCTCATGTTACTGCTGATGAATTAATGATTTCAGTTTATTTGCTTGAGGAAAATTTTCAAGATGTAATCAACCAGTGAAAGGCAAAGTTTCAAATCCAATAGAAAATATTATTAACTTCCACTCTTTAAATGCACAAATTCTGGGGAGGGACTGCCAATTGAAGTGCTCCTGGAAACCTTTGCTCTATTTAACATGACCGCCTTCCTTCAGCTTTCCGATGAGGGTGTCCACATCAGGCAGAATGGATCCAGCCTGGCGCACTGGCGGATCCTCCACGGAGATTACCTCAATTCGAGCCGTTGTGTCAACTCCCAAGTCCTTGGGAGTCACTTTCTTGATGGGCTTCTTTTTGGCTTTCTGCTCGGCAAAGGAGAAACAACATTACAGTAACTTTCAATGTGTTTGGAGAGGAAATCTCACCATAATGTTCGGAAGAGTGGCGTATCTTGGCGTGTTGAGGCGAAGATCGGCGCTAATCACAGCTGGAACTTTGCACTTGATAGTTTCCAGACCGCCGTCAATTTCACGGGTGACCGTGAGACCATCGCCAGTCTTCTCCACCTTCGAGGCGAAGGTGGCTTGGGGCCAGTCCAGCTGGGCAGCGGTCATCTGGGCCGTCTGGTTGGCATCATCATCGATGGCTTGCTTGCCGAGGATCACGAGATCCACCTTCTCGTCCTGGGCCAGCTTTGCCAAGATCTTGGACACGTGGAGCGGCTGCAAGAGCTCGTATTCCGGACCAGCGACTTCCACGTGAATGCCGCGATCGACGCCCATTGCCAGGGCCGTGCGAATGACTTCCTGCGACTGAGCCGGGCCCACGGAGACGGCAATGATTTCCGATGCGATCTTCTTCTCCTTCATCTTCACGGCCTCCTCCACGGCAATCTCATCGAAGGGATTCATCGAGTGCTTCACACCCTCCGTCACGACGCCCAGCTTGTCCGGCTTCACGCGGATCTGCAAGGTTTAATCAATGAGTGATTGTGTAACAGTTCTCGCAAGGTTATCATGACTTCTCTCCCGGGCAGAAGGGCGCAAATCCCATCTTCTATCCTCCCTATTTCCACTGTATTTACCTTCACGGCGTAGTCGATGACACGCTTCACTCCAACTAGAACCTTCGACATGATGCAGAGATGGTCAGGAAATAACTCTAAATTCACGGAGATGAGAGCAAGTCTCAGCAAGTCCAAAGATCTCACACAAATTTCCCCTTATCCGACCTTCATTGACAGCTGCCACAGCTGCTCAGCTGTTATCCCAGTTATCTCAGGCAATATTGCAAAAACGTTTCGCGCGAATTTTCTAATATTATTCTGCACAAATGGAATCAAAAATGAGTATTGTGGTGTTCTTCTGCACGACAATATTCGCTTTGATTGTGATATGTGTATTTTGTGCATTCTGGTGGATTTTTATTAGGTCGAAGGATCATTCTGAGGTTCCCTGTCGAAGTGAGGTCCTTTTCTCCAATTTTCTTTTATAATTGTGACAGGAAGACTATGTATTTTGCAGATAATATTGTGGTCACACCTTCGAGTCACTCATCCTTGAGCCAAACTACTTCCGGACAATTTCACTCCCTCGGAAGGAGAGAATTGGATCATTCCTTTGGACTCAGAGTTGAAGTTCATGGCGTACCTGAAAGGAGTCCAAGAAGTCCTACTTCACCATTGCCTCCAGAAGCTACACTTTCTCCTATCGGCGATGTAGATCCACCTTCTTATGAGGAAGTAATGAGAAATGAAACCAATCACGATTTGACTAATAAGAAATAGTTTTACTGTAAATGTTTACCACCTTAACAGCCTTAACATAAAATTAACTCAGGGAATTTGCCTCATATTATCAGATATAAATTTTTTCTATATTTATTTAATTTATTCGTATTTTTTTTTTATTTAAAAAATATTTATAATAAATAGTACAAGATGCAAAAAAATGTTTTTAAATTAGCAAAATATATTTTTTGTTGATTCTTTTAGTGAGGAATTTCTCCTTATCCAGCATGGGGAATGTTTGAAATGACAATTTGTCGAATGTTCAGTATCGCACAAAAGCCAAAGGAAAAGTAATTGGTTTTATACACCGCAAATGGAGGGTTCCGCTATCGTTTTGGTTATGCTAGTCTGTATGATTGTGTTTGTATTGTGTATGTTGTATTTTCTGTACAAAGTGTCCAATAAGTGCATAGAACTCTTCTCCTCATCCAGTCAGACTCCAAATCGTGGTGAGTTTTCATTATTTTCCCACAATTTTGTGCCTAATGGGAAATCCCCTTTGTAGCCACAACGGAGATCAATTCTCCTCCATGCAATATGCGTACACAACACAGGCAAACTGATCCTGACGAGTGTGATGAGTATAATTTCACCAGGAGGAGAGAAATTGAAGGCGTTCCTGTTGATTTCACGAGGGAAGTCCGCAGAGTGCCTCAAGTGATCTCCAGACCAACAGCTCCTTCTGAATCTCCATCTTCCCCAACCAACGATGTCAATCCTCCCTCCTATGATGAAGTCATGAGGAATGAGAAGTACTACAATGCAAAGTAGTCCTGCATGATAATACTCTAGCGATTGCCTTGAAAAAACTCAGGATGCTAATCTACCTCTTTGTATGTGATTTGGCAACGTATGCTAAATGTTTCTACTTTTCTTTAATGAAAAGTATTTTATATAATATTTACGAATGTACATATTAAATGGAATTTGATTAAATATGTTTTTTGTCAAAAGATTCATTCATGTTTCAGTTCACCAATCAGCTGTTTTGCCAAAAAAAATCCCCTCTTTTTTCATTATCCAAGCTTGCTGACAGACTTCAGTTTTTTATGCGTTTGGAAGATGAGAGAATGAATACGCATTCAATATATATTTTTAGGCAGATTTTGCATAATAAATGGCAAAATGGGTAATGTTACAGTTTTTATTCTGTTTATATTTGTTGTTATCGGTTGTATAATCTATATTCTGTGTAAATCTTGTGACACATCTGGAGAAGATTCGGATGATTCTGAGGAGCCAATTCATCGCTGTGAGTTTTCTTTTCAATATGCTTTTTGGAATCCCGCAGAATTCTGGCACTCATTCAATAATTTTAATCGGCAGCGAACCTTATTATTACATCCTCTGGTCACATCCCTCTCAGGGAGACTGGCGCCGAGAACCTACAACCAAGAGGACCTCCTCCTATAGGTTTCACAGCTGCAGTGCGTGGTTCAGCGAATATTCCCGACGATGAGGAGAACCCAAGGCCTACTCCAGTATTTAATGCAACTGCACCTCCGGAATCTCCATCTTCGCCGGACGACATGAGCCCACCCTCTTATGAAGCAGTTATGCGAAACGAAGCTCTTTACAAGTTTCCGGATAAATCGCCTAATCCGCCAATGAAATAGTCGAATTTATTACCAATATTTTACTTCATTCATAAAATATTACACACGCATAGCTTAAAAACTATGCTGAAAACTACCTCATTTCGATACAAAAGCCAACAGAAAACATACAACCATATTTTCAAATACAATTCTTGTATATATTTATGATGTTCATATTAAAAAATATAATATTATACCTTTACTATATATTTGTACTCATTGTTATTCATCCAGAGGGTCAAGTAGATAATTTCGTCTGATTTTGGATCTGGTGGATAACTAAGCAATTGAGCAACAATCCGAATGTCAAAACACCGTGTTTTCATATTCTCTAAAATATTTTTTTCACGGGTTTTATAGGAAGTGTGGGGTGGGTAGAAAGTAACCGCAATGGATTTTGAACTATCTTTTGAGGAAGTTGCGTTAGGTGCAGCCCGTTTAGTCTTATTTATTATATTTTGCTGTGTTTCTGTCTGTATTTGGATGTGCATAAAAAGATGCAAATCTCAAAAACAAACAACACTGACTACACATATTGAGCATTGGAATAGGCACTCAGGGCACTCATCTCGCAGTAATAAATGAACCACAAGTGTTTTAGCATAATTACACTGAAATTGGTTTTTTTTTACAGATGATGATGTCAATTCGCCTTACCGCATCAGAGATATTCCACTCATAGAAGCCGAATCTGAGGAATTTAATTCTATCAGTGCAGATGACCGCAGAGATACAGAATTTCGTCGTCCTATTGGATTTACGGAAGCAGTAGTGGAACCCTCTGCTCCATATCCTGTGGAGAATCTCATGCCCGAGCCCGCAGAGTCTGTAAGACCAACAGCGCCTCCTGGGGAAATTCTTGATACTTCGCCCGCGCAAGATGATAATCCACCGTCTTATGAAGAAGTCATGAGAAGTGAAACTGTCTGCGATCAGTCAGCTGGGGCAACCGAGGAATCGAATTGTGTCGAATAGATTTAAACCATGACTTATATTACGTCCTGAACTACCTCAGCCCATTTACAGGGGATTATTCGAAGTACAACTACATATAATATATAATGTAGAAATTTTGGACGATTTATTGCTTACGTACGATTTTTGTATGTTATATGAATGTGCCTATAATAATAAACATTAAGCAGAGCTGTAATTGTTTATTTAATGTTCCGGGCATTTTAAGAGAATTATACCATAATTTTTATTATTCCCGCCAGTGCAAAACTAATAGAGAGACTAGAACCTAAACGAAGAAATCAAAACAATTTCTCTTCCATTGTAGATTTCACAATTCATCAGAATCGTGAAGCTCTTTACACTAAATTTATGAAACCTGTTCTTCTAAAATTGATAAAGAGGACAAAGAGTAATTTTTTAGAAGTTAATTGATGGTTTAGGTTCTGGGATCTTCCAAACTCACCAACACATTTCGGCAGCATGAGATAACTGAGCAACTGTCATTTACCGCAGGTTCTGTTGATAGGAATTAATCGCCTTTTTCATAGAAAAGGAAGTGTGTGAATTTTTGAATTAAAGTGCAAATAAATTGCTCGAAATGGATTTTCTATCATTTGATAAAGTTACAGCCGTCATATTGATAATTCTTGTATGTGTAGGCGGATTTCTCGGTATTGCCTTTTGTATAGAATGTTGGATGGATATAGATGATGAGGATGACGGATTGTTACCGCGCATTAAACGTTGTTGCAGTCAATCTTATGGTAAAGTGAATCTGAGTATGGTTCGGAAAATGAAAAATATATATATTCTTGCAGATGATGAAGGCATTACAGCACTTAATCATCTGAATGAAACGCCTCTTATGCAGCCTGACTCTGGACAGTTCCATTCTCTCAGCCTAAATGGAGAATCCAGCCGTCCTATTGGATTTACCGTGACAGGATCTAATTTGCCTTATCCTCTAGAGAATCGCATGCCCCAGCCCGCAGAATTAGTGAGACCAACAGCTCCTCCTCAGGAAATTCCAGACTCTTCATCTGCGACAGATGCGAATCCACCGTCTTATGACCAAGTCATGAGTAATAAGACTCTCTACGACCATCCAACCAAAGACTAAACTATTTTAATGATACTCGCATATCTACCTCATTTTTTTGAAGTGTTTTAACTATGACTATTTTGGGTTAAACTCATGCGTAACTCAATATTTTGAGTTTAGAATTGAGTATATGTATGTTAAATACATATGTATGGATGTGCCTAATATATAAAATGTTTACAAACAAAGCAGAACAACGAATAGTCTTATCCCCTTTGCGCACGAGAGGGTGGTCTATTGACAGTTGCGTAGTTATCCCAGTTTTTCTCGCGATTTTGCTAAAAGTGAAATGAACGATTTGCTCATGGATTCTTCGGAAAGTGAGAAAAATATAACAATTTTGTGGACGAACTTTGATGCTGCTGAACCAACAGGAACGCCAGAATGGGTCAAAAGAGTCCTTCTATTCATTTTCGTTGGTGTCATTTGCGGCGGTTTATACTACTGCCTGTGCAAAAGGCGCCCCAGAGATTCTAGCAACCAGCCTCACGAACGGAGTGAGTTCTCACTTTAGCTGTAGATGACTTTGTAGTGTAAAAATATCTTACTATCAGCTAACATCGTGGGAAATTCCGGCAATCAGACATCCCCAAGGAGGCGGTTTTTCATCTTAAGAGAGATTCAAATCTATCTACGTCAGAATCCTCAGAATGACCCCATGCCAATGCCATCCATGGTGCCCACTGCGCCTCCGGAACATCCACCTCCGCCCGCAGATGATGCAAAACCACCGTCTTATGAACAAGTCACACAAGTCATGGGAGATAAGAACGGATAAGAGTTTTCATTACAATTAAACTCATGCAATAGTAGTCATCTAGGGCCTCTTCTGAAGCCAGTAAAGCCTCAGTCTAATGTGCTTTATTTTACAATCTACCTCAATTTAAAGACTCTTTCTTAAAAGAGCCGATATTACATGAATGTTTAGAATTGTGATGTATTTATTATATGCAATGTGACAATAAAAAGTGTGCCAATTCACAAAGCATTCTTGCGCATATTCTTCAATCCAGAAAATCGCAATTAATTCCATTTTTCCATTCCCGCCAATCCGTGGGATCCTAGATTTTGCATTTCTACGCCACCTGTCTTATCTGTCAGGCAATTTTATACGCAGCAGACGCAGATCAAAAATAGATATTGTTTTCATTCGCGCAATTTGTGTGAAATGGAAGGTTTTGAAAAATTTGCTTTCATTTTTCTACGAAATACATACATATGTATGTATGAATGTGCCTAATAAATATAATGTGTACAAAATAAAGCAACAAATTCTTTAAGTGATTCGTTTTACAAGAAAAAAAATGCAATTTCAAACTGCGGCAGCTCTCTTGGCAACAGAAAAATCCAGTTTCATCGTTTCATCCCCTTTTACGCATGAGAAGGCGGTCTCTTGACAGTTGCCAATTATCGACCCCAGTTTTGTTCAAAGAAAAGTGAACGATTCGCTCATGTATTGTACGATAATTAAGAAGAATAGAACAATTTATTGGCACGACGTAGACACTGATGAACCAACAGGAAGATCAGATTATGTAAGAAATCTAGTCATCATAATCCTTATTGCCCTTGGCCTCTTTTTATGCTGTCTACGCAAAAAGCGCTCCACAGATTCTATCAATCAGCCTCACGAACGGAGTGAGTTTTAACTGTATTTGTAGTTGTTTTCAAGGTTGTTTTCCACTTAAAATATCTAAATTTCAGCTAACATTGTGGGAAATTCCTGCAATCAGACATCCGCAAGAAGTCAGTATTTTAACTTAAATGAGTTGCAGTCCGACCAACGTCCTATTGGAACTCCTACTACAACACAAGAACAACAAAATCCTCGTTCTCCTCACAATGAACCCATGCGCCCCATGCCAATGCCATCCATGGTGGCCACTGCACCTCCAGAACATCCACCTCCGCCCGCAGATGATGCAAAACCACCGTCTTATGAACAAGTCACACAAGTCATGGGAGATAAGAACGGATAAGAGTCTTCATGACAATTAAACCCATGCAATAGTAGTCATCTAGGGCCTCTACTGAAGCCAGTAAAACCTCAGGCTAATGTGCTTTATTTTACAATCTACCTCAATTTAAAGACTCTTTCTTAAAAGAGCCGATATTACATGAATGTTTAGAATTGTGATGTATTTATTATATGCAATGTGACAATAAAAAGTGTGCCAATTCACAAAGCATTCTTGCGCATATTCTTCAATCCAGAAAATCGGAGGGAAACATCGCAATGAATTCCATTTTTGCATTCCCGCCAATCCGTGGGATCCTAGATTTTGCATTTCCACGCCACCTGTCTTATCTGTCAGGCAATTTTATACTCATGTAACGAAAAAAAAATGCAATTTCAAATTGCGGCAGCTCACTTGGCAACAGAAAAATCCAGTTTCATGAGTTTCATCTCCTTTACGCATGAGAGGGCGGTCTCTTGACAGTTGCGAATTATCGATCCAAGTTTTGCACGAAGTAAAGTGAACGATTCGCTCATGTCTTATTCCATAATTGAGGAGAATATAACAATTTGTTGGCACGACGAAGATGCTGAAGAATCAACACCAACACCGGTAATAACTCTATCCATTTTCATTCTTGCCATTGGCAGCATTATATACTGCCTATGCAAAAGGTGCCGCAGAGGTTCTATGAATCAGCCTGACGAGCGGAGTGAGTTTTCACTTTAGTTGTAGTTGTTTTCAAGGTTGTTTTTCACTTAAAATATCTTACTTTCAGCCAACATTGTGGGAACTTCCGGCAATCAGACATCCGCAAGGAGTCAGTATTTTAACTTAAATGAGTTGAAATCCGACCTTGAATCCGACCTACGTCCTATTGGACCTCCTCTTGAAACGCAAGAACAGCAAAATCCTTCTTTTCCTCTGAATGACCCCATGCCAATGTCTTCAATGGAGCCCACTGTGCCCTCGGAAAATCCACCTCCACTCGCAAATGATACCTTAAATGAGTTGCAATCCGACCAACGTCCTATTGGACCTCCTCCTGAAATGCAAGAACAGCAAAGTACTCCTCATCTGAATGACCTCATGCCAACGACAACTCCTTCAATGGTGCACACTGCGACTCTGGATCGTCCACCTCCGCCCGCAGGTGATGCAAAACCACAGTCTAATGAACAGGTCCAGCAAGTCATGGGAGATAAGAACGGATAAGAGTCTTCATGACAATTAAACCCATGCAATAGTAGTCATCTAGGGCCTCTACTGAAGCCAGTAAAACCTCAGGCTAATGTGCTTTATTTTACAATCTACCTCAATTTAAAGGCTCTTTCTTAAAAGAGCCGATATTACATGAATGTTTGGAATTGTGATGTATTTATTATATGCAATGTGACAATAAAAAGTGTGCCAATTCACAAAACTTTCTAGCGTATATTCTTCAATCCAGAAAATCGGAGGGAAACATCGCAATGAATTCCATTTTTCCATTCCCGCCAATCCGTGGGATCCTAGATTTTGCATTTCTACGCCACCTGTCTTATCTGTCAGGCAATTTTATACGCAGCAGACGCAGAACAAAAATAGATATTATATTTATTCTCGCAATTTGTGTGAAATGGAAGGTTTTGGAAAATTTGCTTTGATTTTCTTAATTTGCATATCCATAATCACCCTTGTCTTGATTTGTCTTCTGTGTTGGCGAAGTGGTACGTCGTCAGAGGACTCTGAGATGACCACGCGACACAGACGCCCTGCTCATTGTAAGCGAGGTAGTGTGAGAAAGTGTGATAGCTAGTGAGCTTTGCGCCAAGAAAATACTTTCCTTGCAGCCAGCGTCGTAAGTACTTCTCAGCACACAAACCTCAGACAGACGGATTCCGTGGAATCTTATCTGCCTCGCTATTCACTCAGGACTTCAGAGTTGGATCGTCCTATTGGCTTTACACCTGAAGCGATGGGAACAAATCCTCCATATCCTGTGGAGAATCTCATGCCCACGCCCGGAAGATCACCAGCCGCGCCATATCCTGTAGAGAATCTGATGCCCATGCCTGCAAAACATCTACCATCCCTGCCGAAATACGATATGAATCCTCCCTCTTATGAGTATGCAGTTGGCTATCCGACTCATTGCAATCTACCACCCAAAAAGTAGTTCTCTCCTAAAGACTCTCGAAAAGACTTGAAATACAACCTAATATAATGTGTTCCTGCCGAGAAAATATCTCCCTTGAAACCCTCAAATACATAGACTTATTTGTTGTGTATTGTCGTGTACCTAACAATGCCAAAGAAGCATAAAAAATGCAATAAATTGTCATAAATGTTTCCTTTAATATCCTTCTATGTTATGTGGATTTTTGGGGTTAAATCATAGGGCCTAGATGTCCTGAAAATCCCACAATTTCCCCTTATCTTGGACTGCTCAGCTGTTATCTCAGTCAATTTCATCTTTGATCTCATCAAAGTTGCAATGCAATTGTTTCGTCGCGCGTTTTTGCGAAGAAATTGCATTAAAAATTAACGTGAATGGAAGTGATTGAGGAAATCCTCCTAATTTTATTCATTTGCTTTATCGCAGTTTCATTTGTCGTTGGTTGTCTTCTGTGTTGGACTTCTGGGAAGTGGTTGGAATGCATACAAGATTCCGAAGTCTCCACACGATCTACAAGACCTCTCTTGGGTGGGTAAATCGAATGTTTCTTATAACTGCGTAATAAATAATGTGTTCTTCTAGCTGACACGGTTAATTCGTCGTCCAGTCACACGAGTCACACATCGCTAGGACAGAGCAATTCCGGAGAGTCTCATTCTTTCAGCGCAAGAAGCACAAGCAGACAAGTGAGTCGTCCTATTGGATTCACTGAAGAAGTGGTCGGATCTCTTCAGCACAACACTGTTTGGAGGCCTAATCCTCCGTATCCTCTGGATAATCTCATGCCTGTGCCAATGAGTCCTGCAGCGTCTCTTGACACGCAATCATTCCCTTCAGGCACATGCACAAGTGACACTGAACCTCCGTCTTATGAACACGTTATGAACAATCAGATTCACTGGTCGTCCAGGAACTAATCCCATTGAGTATTTCTTATTAAATCTCGCTTACCTCAATTTTGTATTCCGACCTCATTTACTGGTCAAATTTCTACTCATGTTAATGTATGCAGTGATATTTTTATACTTTCTTTTGCTGATGGAAATGACAATAAAATTTATAAAATTCTCTGTAAATTTTCTGCACATGTAGCATTACTTCTTGGACTGCGCGGAACCTAAATCACGCCGCCACTGAACTTCTCCTTATCCGACCCGGGAATGACAAATGCTCAGCTGTTATCCACATTTATCTCAGCAGTTGGTCCGCGCAAAAGCTCAGAGAAAATGTGAAAATAGTGGCTTTTCACCTTTCTTTTGATAACCTTTCGCACACAAAATGGACTATTTTGACTCAGTGTTTGTCTGCATTGCCATCTTTTGCTCAATACTCGTCTTCTGCGTTCTGTGCTGCAACTCCGGCAAGGAGGACTCTGAAGTACCCATTCATCACAGTGAGTTTTCTCTGCTTGTCTATGGACTTCAGGACGCTAATGGCTCACTTTTATTGCAGCCGACGTTGTTATCACATCATCTAGTCACGCCGCCCTGAGACGCGAGGGTTCCACGGAATTTCAGCCGCTCAGTGGGAATCTCGAGCGCCCCATCGGCTTTACGGCGGAAGTGCGGGGCATTGACTCCCCCAGACCACCGAATCCTCCGTATCCCATGGATAATCTCATGCCCACACCCGACAGTCACATCCGGGCGCCCTCTGACCACCCACCATCGCCCAGGGATGATATAAATCCACCATCGTACGAGCAAGTTATGAGCAATGAGGCTTACTACCACCATCCATCCAGGAATTAGCCTCTCCGGATGAGACTTCACTTCGGCATCTCTTTGAAAATACTCCGGATGTGTTCTGCAATCTCTTTTCGACGTCCTGACCACAGCCATACGATGAATCTCATCTGATATGCAGGGATAATGTACAGTAACAGCGGTTTTCAGTACTTTTAAATGGAATTATTGTGAATCTCCGTGAGAGTGAGATTTTATTTAGATCATTTTGCGATCGTGTGTGTCGAATTCGATGCGCACGCCGTGACTGACGCAAACTCGTTAAAATAGCACCCATCTCTCTATGACTTTAGTGTTGAGGAGGAGTAAATAGGTGACAGCCAGAATGTCTCTGGGGGATTTCGAGAGATATCTCGCCTTCATCCCTATTTTTTGCATTGTTATGCTCATTTGTGTGCTCGTAGTGCGCTTCTTTCAATACTACATTGCTCCACAATTGATCCTGACTTCGCGTAAGTCGCTCACGAAGGACAATGGACTTTTTGAGAACAAATCTCCTGGATTTTTCTTCCAGAATACGAGCAAGACAGACTGAGGAATCTACAGGGACACCGTTTCGCCCCAAACTATCCGCGATATCCCTCCCAAGGGCTCCACAACAGACCAATTCCTATGGAAGAGTGAGTACAATCGCCCGTGGGTGGATTGCGAAAAGCTCAATATCTCTGCCTCTCGACAGGATCCCTTCCAACACTCCCTATCCCATGCACAATGTCATGCCCATGCCCCAAACAAGTCACCTGCCCCAGAACTCTCGTCTCGTCAACAAGAAGCTCGTGGTTTGCAAGATTTTCCCAAATGAGAATTAGACATTTTCAGTGAAAGAAAAACTGCGCGCGCAAATCATCACAAGATCATCAAGACGAGTGTCAAGTTCTGTGATCTGAACCGGAAGAGATCCACCTAGAACTGGTTTACCTCGAGATTTTCTCAAGGAGGACGCACAATTTTCTATGTTGAAAAGCATTCTAGCGAGACAAATTTTCGATCCTGTGGGACTTTTCTACTAGAATCGTGTAAAATCTCTATATCGTACTGATATTTCTCACATGAAGCATTTAAATAAATTAATTCTAAGCCAATAACAGCAAGAATTAATATATTGCACTTTTCAACTTTAACATTATTCACTCCTTACAGCAACTTCGACCGGAACATCTTGCCCAGAGCATCGGCTCCAGCCTGATTGATCTCATTGTAGCCAAATGGCTCGAGTTTGTCTTTGCAGAGCTGAAACCATGCCCTCACTTTCGGATAGGGGCCCAATTCGAAGTCAAAAGCCTCTATTTGAGAGATCGTCACACAAATTGTGAGGTCGGCGATAGTGAAATCTTCCGTGGCGATCCAAGTGCGACCCTTGAGGATCTCCTCCATCCATCCCAGTGCCTCAGCCAAGCGGGCTTTCTTGGTCTCATCCAGTGGAGCTCCCACGAACATTGTTGGAAACTGAAAAATGAGAGTTCACAAGTGATATTCATCCCCCACGAGGTGGCTTTGTGGCTCACAAAGTAATCTCCAGCGCGCTGATAGAGTGTACCCAAGTCAAACTGGATCCTCTGGTCGACCATTGCTCTCTTCTGCAGATCTTTGGGATATAGCGTGTCGTCCTCCGCATACGCTGACACCAAGTACATAAGGATGACTCGACTCTCCCACAGAACCAGATCGTTGTCCTCCATCGTGGGTATGCAATGCTGGGGATTCATCTGTATAAAGTCTGCTTTCAGTTGCTCCCCATTGAGAACGTTAACTGTCTTGAGATCGAAGTTGATGTCTAGGAGCCTCCCACAGAGCAAAACCACTCGGCAGGGCGGACTCTCGGGTAGATAATAGAGTTTCACGGGCATTTTCACGCCCCTGAAACGGACGAAAGTGGTGTTTAGCGCATGGGAATTCGGCACTTCCCACTTCTAATTCAAAGCAAAGCACGTGGAGTACCAGCGAATCAATAACTGTGATAGCGCTCTTTCCTAACCACCCTCATTAAGTATTCAGTATTGAATGGATTCAATGGGTGAACCATTGAAAATTACCACAACAAAATTGCCAATAGGCATAAAAATTTCATAAGGTCACAAGAGAGAGCGCAAATAATCAGCTAAGCTTTCAGCACTAATTCAGAGAAATCAATAAGAAGGACTCCTCACTCGAGCACTTCCTTCCCACTTACTTAATGGATTCCACGATTTTTTGCTGTACCACAGCAGTTGTCTCAATGCAATTACCCAGTTTTGTAAATTACCGACCGAATCTCTCCAATGGCAAGCTCATGCATTGATTTTGATCCTTAAATCCACTCTCTAAAAGTTTATTAGCAAATGAAACGGATTTGTACAAAATGTGGGAGAAAAATTTATGCGACACGAGGAAAAGAATTCGCTCCGGTTGATATCAAACGACACGCTCCCACGAACTGACGATGGTTGAGTTATAACAAGGAAAAAAATGTTGGCGAATGTTTCCACTATTGTTTCTAATGACAACCGACCAAAATACACAAGACACAAAAATAAGGACTCAATATTGCATCTTAGAATTTCGATCTACCCCATCCACACTTTGCCATGCCGCTCATCACTTTGCTCACCTTATTCATTTACATTCCGCAACTTTAATGCAAGGTCTCATGCGCTCTCAGGACAGGCAATTTGCATGGCATATGATTCTCAACCAGTCACCTGACGCTGTCGCACGCCACAAATGTAACGAAAACCTGCGACCTAGTGTGAATTCTAAATTTTTTTTTCCCATCCTATGAAACTTTTAACAATGAACACGTACGCTTTTCTATGCCTTTTATTTTATCAATATCGATAGACTTCATGGGATTCTTTATATCATAAATATTATGAGACACGTTTGTTATTAGTCGATGAGTAGGTTTACTGGATTTTTTTAGGCTTCTTCTCCTTTTCCTTCTCCTTCTCCTCCTCCTCATCCTCCTCTCCCTCCTCCTCCTCATTGGCAGGTTGCATATTCTGGAACTTATCCAGTGCCATCTTCACCAATTCCGCCGCCCTCTTCACTCTCTCCTCTGTTATTTCGTTCGCAAGAACTTTCGACACCGATTTGGCTGATTCTCTCAGCGTCAGGAATGGCAAGCCCATGAATGTGAGTCTGCAGAAGGGCGTCAAATTGCACAGAAGGGCCGTCACGCTGCCTCCCGCCAGGATGAATCCCACAGTTCGTATTAAATAGTCACCAACAGCGCGAAAGAATGAGAGGAAGCTTCTGGTCGAGGGCATGAGAGACCTTAGGTACTCTACGGTTGCAGGTGGCTTCTCTTCGGCGGGCACTAAGTAACCCTCGTAGCCAGTCTGGATTGTGAATCCTGCAGGTTGACCTGCACGAGCAGGCTGATGGTGATAGATTAGGGGAGGATAAGAAACTCCATTGTGTCCACTGTGTGCGAGATACTGCTGAATTGCATCCTGTGGCACCAAACCCGGGGAAATCGCGCCTTCGTAGGCCGAATTATCCACAACCTGCAGCGAGGAAATGATTAAAGTACGTCCAAATGGGGGAATAGCTCACGATCACTCACACTGTATGATTGCGACTGAGCTGGATGACTGTCCTCTTGATCAGTCTGGCTGGATTCACGGTAATAACTCTGTGCATCTGCCTGTTGATGAACTGTGGCCGGATACGCTGTCCTCTCCGCGTGCACCACGCAGAGGAACACGATGGAAATGTAAAACCTCCTCTTCAGCATTTTGATCTGGCGTCTAAAGCACTTCTCATTCACTACTGAAAACACAATGCAGCCGACACCCTGCCTAAATACCCTCCCAGCTAAATCCCTTCCCCAGCACAATTACTCATTCTGAGACTTTCTCACTGGTTCTAAATGATGATAACAGTTTTACGGGAATACTTGGCATTCCGCAAGAAGAAATTTTCTCGGAACTCAGGTACACGAAATTCTCTCGGCCGGAAGAGCGGAAATTTGTGGTTGAGATTACACCCAGAGACACTTTGACTCAATTGATTACAATAATTTCACTCCAAATTCACTCATGACCCAATTTGTTCATTGATAATTTCGTGTGATATGAACCATTGCTCAGACATAAAATATCACTGTAATTACTCATCCCTGCAAGAGTGATTTTACAGTAAGAAAAATAAATACATTATCAATAAAATTATGTTTTCACTCAACCCAGTTTAATGGCTTTGGCAGAGAATTAATTTACGCGTTTCAAATCGCCCCATTAATGTGTTATTTCCACTTTGGCACATCATTATGCTCAAAGACTATTACAAAGTTTCTCATTTCACTCATACGAACAGGTACAAAATAAACACCCTTCTTAGGTAAGTGAGTTGTGCATAGAGTGTCCAGGAAATCAAGCACTGCCATCTGGAAGTAGGAGGTAAAATGTTGTCCCTAGGAATATAATTATAGGGTCAATTGAAGCTCCCGGAGGACAAAGGCAATTAGTATGAAACGGATTGTGAAGTTGAGCGGTTGAACGTGATGTCCTGTGTCAGATAATATCAGTAGAAATAATCAAATACGCTTTTTTGCGGATTAGTGTAATTTCGCAGATGTAATTTAGCATAAAAAAGTGATAAAATTTTCAATTAAAGTGCCAAAAAGATAAATTTGTGACTGAAAAATATTTTGAATAACAATCATTGCATGTTTTGGAATTGAGTAAATTGAATTGTAGTGTGATTAACTGCATTTCGCTAAAACAATATTTTGATACATAATTAAAATTGTTTTGAAATCTGATAAACAGACACTGGATGAGTTGAGATTTCTCCCCCAATATTGCATTATATGCAGTTTAATTGAGCGTGTACAGATTTGTACGTTATACATTAGATCAAAGGACGTAAAGTTCATTCAACTGTGTATATAAAATACATAGCATAACGCCTTCCTTGCCAGCTTCCGACGGAGAATTGTGGCTTCAGAGATTAAAATAAAAACATAAGCAATGCGCTCGTCCCTACTCAACATGGCTTTGCACATATTAATTCTATTGGCGATTATTTCAACCACAAGCCAATCGTCCACTGAACACAACAGTAAATCAAACAATCAAATAAATCGGCAGCTCATGTTTCATGCATTTGCCTATTGAAACGCTTTTTTCAGTTTGCCACTGCTTGAGATATTCAGCCACCGAAGGGCTCGAGTGGGGAAACTTCGAAATAATGCCCCAGGATTTACCCAACAACACCGAGTGCATTATCATCTTCATCGTGGCGGCGAGTAATGAGATAGTGGAGCTGAGATTCATGGACATTCAACTGCGCCAAGAGTAAGATTAGCCGCACCTGCAGAAAAGCGTTCAAGTCTAAAATAGTGGCGGGTGTAATTTTAGCGCGCGGTACTTAGTTGCTGTACTAAGAAAGTACGGAAATTTATTAATAAGTTTCCTAATTAATGCAAATTCGTCACATTATTGATGTCGCCACATGGGCACCCACGAAAATATGCATAGCAGGGCGATGTCGTGGGGAACTCCCGGGACAGCGCCCACCCACGGTATATAAGGCAGCCTCACTGGAAATTTATTTTCACATCTGAGTGAAAAATCATCGATCGAGCTCGACGAGTGCGACGGACAGTTAGTGTGAAGTTGATCTCTATTATGAGTGTGGAAATTGGTTGAGTTTGGCGGAAATTCATCAAAAAGCTCATAAAGTGTGTATTGAATTATCCCACATAATAATGGGTGATGCTGAGGAGACAAAGAAAAAAGTAAAGATTTTCAACTATTTTCTCCTAGAATCAATTGTGCTATATTTTTCTCAATTTGTACTTAAAGAAAAAGAAAGGCTCACGGAAGGCTTCAAAGTGTGAGGATCCTGGAGAATTGGCTAAGGAGCCGAGTGAGAGCACAGCTGCAGTGCAGGATGAAATTGTTCATCCCGAAGAGTCTGAAGCGGAACCCAAGGATCCCAATGACGCCTCAGATAAAGGTGATAAAGCAATCAAAGCAATAGTTTCTAAAGACTTTGTCTCACAGCCAAAGAATGCTTTACAGAGAAATCCATGGCGGCTACACTATTGGAGGAAATCATGAACGAAGGTCCTGCTGCACTGCCGGACGAGAATGAACCCTACGTGGTGCCCATCGCGGTCAAGGCAGGCGACATAAACGCCCTCCGTGACTTGGACGAACGAAAAATCATCGAATTGAAGGAAGCTTTCAATCTGTTCGACTTGAATGGCGATGGATTTATCGATGCTGCCGATCTTAAGAGCACCTACGGAACGCTCGGACAAGAAATCTCTGATGATCAAGTGTCCTCAATGCTGTCAGAGGCAATGGAACCCCTGGACTTTGATGCTTTTGTCGTGCTTCTCGGGTACAAAACCATAGAACTCGATCCCGAAGAGGTGCTCCTCGAAGCCTTGAGCAAATGGGACAAGAATCGCACAGGATTGATCAGTCACGATCGGTTGGATTCTTATAATGAATATCGTGAAATGGTCATTCTAATTTTGTTTCCTTCTCATTTTCCAGCATCAAGCATGATTTGATGAAATTCGGCGACAGATTCTCCTTCAATGAGGCCGAAAGTGCTCTAGACGAGGCCCCCATTGCGAAGGGCACTGGAGAGGGATTCAATTGCCACGGCCCTGCCATGATTGATTATCCAGCTTTCTGCAAGATTATTGGTGGTTTTCGCAAACGCATGAAAACCAAAGCTATGGAAAATATGATGTAATTTAAATTGTGTTGTTCTTATTTTGTGTTTAATCCAATATTTAACCATATATCACACTTACTTTCTAAAAAGTCTCTCTTATGATATGATGCAAAGGGTAATGTAAGTTTTATATCAACATATGTATGTTTATCAAATAAATGCTATGGAGTTTTGTCACTTTTTGATCTTCTCTTACCCTTGCCCCCAATTTACCTTAAGAAGTACAAGTGTCTTCCAGCATTTAACGGCCAATGTTCTATTTTCAGGTGCTTGGACGAAATACGAATTTATCCGCACTTGAAGAACACCATCATAACTGACACCACACCATTTGAGAATGTAATTTGCGCCGCCAACGCATCAATCTTCTTCAACAATAACATCACGACAAACATAATGCATAGCTCGAAGATCGTGGATGCTAAGAAGAAGCCAAAACTAGTGGATGGAAACATCTTCCACATTCTTCTGATGAAGAAAGCCATCTTCAGTTCTGATTCTGTTATGGCAATTCAGATATTTCATCACAATATCACCACATTTTCCAGCGAAAGTTTCTCAATTTCAGGAAAATTTAGATACATCAGTAAAGGTATGAGATTCAGTTATTTAATTCTGACTTCTATTACATGCATTGATCTTGTTTCGAAGATCTTTATCGCACAACCGGAAATCTTCTGTCCACAACGTACTGTGATTACCAGTTTTTGCCACATTCTGCAACTTTTGCGAGAGAGAACAAATATGAAAATGCAATGTTCAGAAACTTTTACTCACCAAGATTCCCAGCGAAATATCCTAGTCACGTAAAATGTGTATATAAATTCATAGGACGGTGAGTGATTTCCTTCTAATAGTTAGAGAAATAATTCATTTCCGTTTTCTCTTGAAAGCCCTCAAAATAGAGTTGAAATCATCTTCGATGGAATCGTTCTTCAGAAAGACAATCGAAGGTATATTTAAACACATTTGTTTTATGCATTAAACTAGAGTAAAATTTATTTTCAAGCTGCATAAATCATCTGGATAAAATAACAGTGTATGACAGCAAAACTCTCAATAAATCCACGACAATCGACGTGTTTTGTGAAGTAAAGTGGAATAAGAGAATCCTGAGCACTGGCCCATACTTACTAATAGAATTTGAGACAAGTTCAAACTATTCATCTTATGGTTTCAGTGCAAAGTACAGGTTTATTGAGCTTGAAGAGAAAATCCATGAAAAAACCAGCGTGTTAAGTAAGGAAGAAGGAATAATTGTGAGAATCAAGAACATGAAACATCCTATTTTTTCAGACAAGCAACATTATTTGAAGACAACTATGCAACCAATAATTACAACAGCTGAAAATTTCATTACCCATCAGCATAAGACACTTTCCAATGTTAAATCGTACGGTAAGAATTTCATTCCTGTCCTCAGAAAGCACCAGAATAGCGAGTGAAATTTTTCAGGATCCAATTGTGATGAAGTGCTTCAGTCATCAGTATCTTCACAGGGAACAATTCAGTCCCCTTTATATCTAGGATCGTACTCTAGTAAAACCCTTTGTCGCTACGAATTTCATGGCAGAGACCAAGAGAAGGTTCAAATATCTTTCAGTGAGTTCAATTTCCCGCCAAGAAAGGGCAAAGAATGCGAAGAAAATGATATTATTCAGATTTATGAGCCAATAGCAAACCACTTCGAGCTTATTGACACACTTTGTGGAGGAATAATGCCCAAACCAATCATGTCCAGAGGTTCTGTGATACTGCTGGAGTTTCAGGGAACACATCTCAGCAACAAAAACAAGGGATTCAAAGCTGATTACGTGTTCTTAACGAGTAGGTATAATTAATTAAAGCCCTCTTCAAAATTTCACAATTGTTCTCGAACTACTTTTAGATTTCGGCATAGCAACAGGACATCAGCTTCAGGACCATTCTTGCTCCTTTGTCTACAACAGCACTGACATGAAAAGTGGCTGGTTCAACTCTCCTAATTTTCCGGGCTCTTATCCAAGGAATATTGAGTGCTACTACTATTTCTACGGAGCCCCAATGGAGAAGATCGCCATAAGATTCACGTACTTTGACGTAGAAGGAATCTATCCTTGTCACATGGATTCGGCCAGTGATTATCTAGAGTTCTCGAATTTTGCGAGTCAAGATCGAAAGTATACAAGGTTTTGTGGGCAGATAAAAGGGTTCACGATTAAGTCTGATGGGAACTATTTCCGAATTCTCTTTAAATCGAATGATTTACTGGATGGAACAGGGTTTAAAGGGTTTTATATTTTTGAAACTGAAAAGCCAACCACAGAAATCAGCATGGAAGATGATTCTAGAGCTTGCAGATTAAACTTAAATTGGAGTTTGAAGTGTTTTATCATTTTTTACATTATAAAAATGCAATTAATGTTGTAGTAATTGGGGATTGTATCTTGTACTCGTGTAGAGTGGTTTCAAAATAAAAGTATACTCAAGCACCTCTTAAGAGTCTCTTTAGCACCACCCTGTGCGCAGTGCGAACCTCACGCAAAGTATATCGAGAAGTCGGTAAATTCCACATCAGCATATCCAGTTCTCGAACCATTCTCTCACCAAAAGTCCTCAAATTGTACGTTTTATGCGCGAAATTTCCCCTTCTTCGGCCTGTCAGATGTGTCATTCTCTCTTCAGAATCAGCGGCGGACTCCTCCTCTCCAACAAATAGTTTTCAATCGTTCTGCTGTGCGACCCAGACTGGGAGGAAAAATCCGGACAAGAGTCAATCATAGGAGAGTTTAGTTAATAGATGTGCATATAAAATTTAAAGAGCTGGCTCAAATATGATGGCGCGCAATATTCTGTACGTATATATTTTTTTCTCCCCTGCAACTTTGTATAGTGTGTGCAGATTCTTACATCACCTCTAATCGATTTTGCTTGGAATCTCGTGGCCTCTTGTAAAGTCAATAAAACAATCATTTTTTGGCTGATTTACAACTGTAAACGTGACAAAAGAGAAGTGTCTCATACGTCCCATACAGATTATGGCGAATTAGAGGTGATTAAGCCGTCGAGGAATTTTTTTTAGAGCTCAGGACGGTCAAATAGATTTTATACTTCGCGTCTAATATTAGCAAAATTATATTGGAGTTCCCACAGAGCGAATCTAGGCAAATCGTTCTGTTATATTTCTCCACCTCTGTGTTTGCGCCGTGTCCAAAATGTAAAATACAGGAGTCACTCGGTTAATCACAAGTGGTTATTTTTAAACCCTTACATTGTATTCTCTTATAAAAATACATGGGAATTCCTTTTAAATGTTATTTTTCCCCGTATTTTTAGAAACAATCCCGTGTACAAGCAATTGCATTTGGGGGCCTTCGGACGCACCCTAGCTGTATGTGGCACCGCGAAAAAGGACATCCTCGTGCCACAGCGAGAATACCATGAGGTGAACGGTGACATTCCTTGTCCTGGGATGCTTCAGGGAATTGATCACTTGCGTGACCCGAGGCTAAACAAAGGCTTGGCCTTTACTCTCGCGGAGCGGCAAGTGCTGGGCATTCATGGCCTCCAGCCGGCCAGATTCAAGACGCAAGAGGAGCAGCTCCAACTCTGCAGAATATCCATTGATCGGTACAAGGAGGACCTCAACAAATACCTTTATCTGGTAGATTTGCAGGTAAGACAATTGACTATTCAATCAAGTGTTCATCCCTTTTCGAGATGATTACCGTGTAATCTCTTGCAGGATCGAAACGAACGATTGTTCTTCAGACTGTTATCAGAAAACGTGAAGGACATGATGCCTATCGTGTACACTCCCACAGTCGGATTGGCTTGTCAGAAGTTTGGTTTAATTTATCGTCGCCCTCGTGGATTGTTTGTCACGATTAATGACCGAGGCCACGTGTTTGATGTGATCAAGAACTGGCCAGAGCCAGACGTGAGAGCGATCTGTGTGACGGATGGCGAGAGAATCCTCGGTCTGGGCGATCTGGGAGCCAACGGAATGGGCATTCCCGTAGGCAAACTCTCACTCTACACTGCCCTGGCTGGTATTAAGCCTCACCAGTGTCTTCCCATCCTATTGGATGTTGGCACAAACAACAAGGATCTGCTTGAGGATCCGCTCTACATTGGATTGAGACAAGAGAGAGTTACCGGAGACGCCTATGATGAGTTCATTGATGAATTCATGAGAGCGGTTGTGAAAAAGTACGGACAAAATGTGTTGATTCAGTTTGAAGATTTCGGAAATCACAATGCTTTCCGCTTCCTGGATAAGTACCGACACAACTACTGTACATTTAACGATGATATTCAAGGGACAGCCGCCGTGGCTGTTGGAGGGTTGTATGCATCAAAGAGACTCACCGGGAAGAGGTTCACTGACCACCAGATTCTGTTCGTGGGCGCTGGAGAAGCGGCCATTGGCATTGCGGATCTCTGCGTGCGGGCAATGATCGTCGAAGGATGCACACTGGAAGAGGCGAGAAATAAGATCTGGATGGTGGATATTGATGGACTCCTGGTGAAGGGTAGAGAACATCTCGAGGGACACAAGGCGTACTATGCAAAAAATGTGGAACAGCAGAAAGATTTGTTGGATATTGTGAAGACTGTGAAGCCCAGCATACTTATTGGCGCCAGTGCTCAGCCGGGACTGTTCACGAAGGAAATCTTGGCGGAAATGGCTGAGAATAATGCCAAGCCTATCATTTTCGCCCTCTCCAATCCCACAGACAGGGCAGAATGCACCGCTGATCAGGCTTTCGAGCACACAGAGGTATTCAGGAGTGAGATTTCTTCAAGATAAGATACTAAAGGCAGTCTTCTTTTCAGGGACGAGTGATATTCGCATCTGGATCTCCTTTCCCACCAGTTGAGTACGGTGGGAAGACTTACTACACGGGACAAGGCAATAACGCGTACATATTCCCAGGCGTGGCTCTTGGAGTAATTGCAACTGAGACTCACCACATACCCGAGGATATGTTCTTAATCGCGGCGCAGGAGCTGGCAGACTGCGTCACTGAGGCAGATCTCATGAAAGGATCTCTTTATCCTGATTTGGCACGTGTTAAGGAGGTGTCTCTGAATATTGCCATTGGCATCACGAAGTTTGCTTACGTTAAAGGTGAGTTTTGAGTTCACTTTTCCACATGAATATGCAAAAGTGCATACCTTTGCTGCGCGCTTCTGAGCAGTTTTTTACATTTCATTTTGCTTTTTGCATAATACTCGAATTTTTATTTGCATTTATAGGCAGTTATCACACAGATGGCCAAAGTAAGTTGGCTCATTCGTGTACAAGAGTGTTTGTTTCTAACACTTTATTAGATTCTTAGATAGACACCAGAAGTGAATGTGCTAATTTCAGCAGATAATTCGCCCTCGCATGGCACAGATAATGGCACTAATTACATTTTTTCTGATCCGCAGGACTCGCGTCTACGTATCCGGAACCTCATGATAAGAGACAGTGGCTCTTGGATCAACTCTACAACTTCAATTACGAGTGCTCAATGCCGGTCACATGGACATGGCCAAAAGCCCCCGTCATAAAGACACGTGAATTAGTTCCCACCAAATTGACGGAACGCGAAGAATAAACGGAGCATTAAGAAGATAACAAAGTAATTGCAAAGTTAATCGAACAACATTTTAGACCAGTATTTTCACTAAATAAGTCAATATTCTCTTGAGCAAGATAAAAGTCAAGTTGTTAGTGTTGTGCCACATTTAAAAAAATTTATTTATGAAAAAGGAAAAACGTTAAACGCGAAATATCTCATTACGTTGTGTTTTATTTCAAATATTTATTTGTTTTAGAGAATTCGTTTCATACAATTTGTAATTTATTTACCCTAACACTGGACGTAAAGTCGAACCGTTCTTAATGCTATTTAACAGAAATTATAGTGAAAGAAGACGTGTTAACTATTTTACAATTCAATTTACAGTACTCTATATACACTCAACGTATTGTAGTCGTTAGAAGTGTACGTCCTGTTAAAGGAAAGTGGACTAGTGTTGCAAATAAATGTCTCCACTTAAAAGAAGTTTATTATTCCCCTAGTAATCCCAATTGTAAATGGCTCAAAGCACTTGAGCTGAGTCTATCTAACAGGTGAGTGCCTCAATGCTTGGGCAACTTGTTAGTGAGGAACCATAGGATGCCCAGAAGGCAGCTGGGCGGACTCGTCACGACAGATCCTTGAGTCAACATCTGCCGTGCATCTTCCAGTCCCAGTTCGACTACATCTATAATCTCTCCGTCGACACCGCCTCCGGAATTCACCTTATCGCCATCAGTCACCTCGCAGTAGTACAGATTCTGCAGAGCTCCAGTCGCTCCCACGCCAGAGCTGGACAGAAGGAATCAGCGTTAACAAGGACTGAATTGCACATTCTTAGACTCACTCACCGATAAGTCAGGACACTCTCTATTCGCTCCACTGGCACATTGTAGCCGCATTCCTCCAGAACCTCCTCCTGGGCAATCTCGACCAGAGCTTTGCTCTTGTCCACTATTCCGGCGCAGAGCTCCAGTGTTATGCCCAACTGCGGAGGATACTTCTCCAAGTCTATTGTGCTGATATTTCCTCCCTGAGCTGAGCTTATCACTCCGTGGTAGACAGCTGAAAACATTCACGTGTTTACTTTTGTAATTCAGGAAAGACTGTGCAATAAATTCTCTCACCTGGCCTAAATTGTTTCACGAGTAATAGCTTCTGAGATGTCTTGTTGAAGATGATAATAGCCACTGAATCGTGCACTTTCAGCAAGTCCCAGCTCTTCTCCTCGCCATTCTGCGTGTAGTACATGCGGAAGGGCTTCACATAAGGCGAATCCTCGGGCAGAGGCTCATAGCGCAGCGCTGTTATCTTGTCCATTTCAATATACACCTGGAAAGTGCTACTGTTTGATCTATATTCCTGAAGAAAACACCTCGTTTGACGTGTTGAAAGCAATTTTCTAAAACCACCTTTCACAAGCTCGATTGTGCGCAAATACATTATTATTACATCACTATCAGCTGAGCCATTGTCAAGCTCGGGCATCAAAGTTCTGTATTGAAAGTATAGAGGTCATTAGGAGTATTATATGCTCAAATATAAGATCAACAAGTGGCATGCTGTGATCGTGTGTTGTGCTGATTAAATACAATAAATGTAATTAACAATATTATAGACCGAATTATCCTGCATATCAATCGTACTTATCAATCCTTTTTATCCCTTTTGCAATGCTTCTTTCCCAAATTTTGCCAGTTATTGAAACACTTGCAATTTTAGTTCAATTTGCTCTGTAAATCAAGCTATGAATATAAAGAAACAGGACAATAAGGACGTATTTAATTATTTCAAGGGATCTAAAGAGATGAAAGAAAATCACATACTTGATCAAATCTGGCACATGGACAAGGTCTATTCAAATTTCGATACTTCGAGTACAGTTAAATACGTTCAATATAAAGTTAAAAGCTACGATTTTTTCTATAAAAAATTATTTTGGGTAATTTTGTCACTCCCGCATTCTATAAATAACTATTGTAATAATTCTGAGACAGTTAGAATTGCTATTTAAAAAAAAGGTGGCCCAACAGGCCTTGTCCTTACATTTTCTGTTGTATGTATCATCGTATTTTACTACATTATATTAGGTGCAGTTGTTACATTATATTACAATGAGGTACTTAAGAATACCGATATCAGAGTGACCTCAATTGCAACTGTATCATTGTAGGGCTGCGAGAGATAACTTTTTTTTTTATCACTACTTGCACTTGAGGTTTTCTCTCAGTGCAGGTTTTCGCTCACCACGTTCAGAGGTTGAGCAAAAGTCGAACAGGAGATTTACGTGAATTTGAATGAGAATTAAAATAGAACACCGAATTTTGCACGTATTACAAGAAAAGTCGGCGTTTCCAATGGCAAATGCGAGTTCATTTGTATCGCATTGGGCACAACTACATGCGCGGCGGTTCACTTACTAATTTGTTGCAGTGCGGCGGAGTTTTCATTTGGGGATCGCGCCACTCTTATAAGAAGCAAAATTGTTTACCGTGATATGAGCATATACCCAACTTCCAGCTTTCTTGTGAATTCAATTATGATACCCAATAGGTGAGCTAGAAATATTGCTAGACACGCCTTCCTATACACAGCGGCTTTTTCCGTCTTTTGCACTGCTGGGCTGTACGGCGAAATAAGCCAGCATTGTGGAAGTTTTAGACGATATTGCAATTATCGATAGTGTAATGCCATAATTTCGAAATGCACAGTTGGCTTGTAAATTTCGCAAAACACGTCTGCAAGGTATATCTCAGGGCCTTAACTACAGTAATACACCCATGGCATGAAGCTTCCGTGCTCTGAAGAATTTATAATGGAAATTGCAGATACATCAAACCACCGCCACAGCCGTCAATTGTGGGAAAATGCATTGGGGTTTCGGGATCATGGGGAGGTGGGAAAAATGTGAAAAATTTTTGAGAGTAGGTAGAGTCATTTTTAATTTTGCCAACTCTGGTGAAACAGTTAATAACATCTTGTACATATCTAATGCTGCAGCCACGTTGGCCATCAGAGAGCCTTCATATCTGTGGCACACAATCTCATATGCGCGAATAATTTGTTAATAAAATCACAACATAGGTTAGATCCTTCGAGCAAAGTGAGATTTTGCAACAATTCCAGCACGGTGTACAAGAGAGTTTGAAACGTGACAGCACCATATTGGTTTGTGATTGAATGATAAAATTTGTCGGGATTTTTCGTTAATTCTCAGCTCGACTGCGAGCACTCAAGTATAAATTAATCCCCGGAATTGGCATCGTAAATAAGTCTATAGCTGAATTTGTCGTTTTCATCAATTTATTCCCCTGCGCGGGTTTGTTAACTAATATTAACCTGCCAGTGAATCCTTTATGCCTCATTCAACTCCTGAGTGGACAGTCGTAAAAATAGAAACGATACATAGGCTGGCGAAGATGAGAATGAAGAAGAGATAAAGAGGAGAAGCGATGAGAAATGCGAGTGGATATCTTATGAATCACAGAAATCAAATGCTTAGAATTTAGTGTATTGACCATCAAGTGGCTCTGAAGATTCTTCCTCTCCACGATATGCTTGCCAAGTGTGTGCTTGAAATTAGATTAATCAAATCGAACGGTAAAGAGGGCTTATCAGCCCAACAGCAGCGACTCAATGGAGAAATAAACAAGATTGAGAAATCGTTCCCAGGATATGCACTCGTGAGTCGCGCCAAAACTGAATGACAGTGTCCACAGGAGATTAAGTATGAAAAGAATTAGCAATAAATCCCATTTGACTTGGACGAAAAATACCCCAAAGCTGAGATGTTCTTAGAAAGACTGCGCAAAGTTCCTCTGTCGCGCATGTTCTTTTTGTCTGTCCCCAAGTCCATTCGAATATTCATACTATATATAGTGAGAGATTTATATAAAACATTACGCGAAATGTTGGAATGCACTAATGAGCGGTTCAGTCAAAGAAATTAAGAATACCTTGTTTTCTACTGAAGCAGTATTGGCCTCCACTCAGATGGTCTTTATCGTGTAAAATCTAGTGCTACACTGATGTATGTATAAAAAAATGCGAATTTTCGGATTTCAAGTGATTGCTTGTGAGAATGACGCGCAGGATTGGAATTCTTCCTTAATGAAATGCCTTTTGGAAAGAGGCCACATGAAATATTGGCTGTTTGCCGTTCCTCAAGGAGATCCAGCATGCAGAACGCGGTCTCTAAGTCACACATTCGGGCCTCCATTCGGACAAATTTAGCCATCCACCGCGAGTCTTTCTCACAGCCCGCCGTCAGAATATCCCAGGGATTGTTCATTTAATCAATTCAAAATTGTAGATAATTATCACACAAGCAAGAGCCTCTCCTATTCGGAGGAGAGAGAATAAATTGTGGTTTGGCTATAACGACATGTTAAGACAAAAGTTGGAGGCACAATTACAGTCGGAATGGGGAAAACACGTAGATTGAAAAAATCATTGGTCATCAAGCGGGAAAAAATATCATCGGTTAATACAAGACCTTTATACGCTTCTTATATGGCGTAAAACTTGTCTGTCAATCAATTAACGATTTACATGCACGCCTTATAAATAAAATTAGGAAAAATGTGAACCAAATTGAAGATTATCGAGTAAAGAGGAGAGAGATCACAAAAAATCAATTGATTTCTTCAGTCAGGCTATGTGATTGACCTATTCTGTCGATCTCACACTCTCATATGTGCCCTCGCCACAATTATGAATAAGAACAGTGAACCTATTCGACTTCCAACGTTCCATCCACACAAAAAGCATAGTTTTACATACACCGACGAGTCTATCAACACACTGCATTATAGGGATCAAAGCCGCAACTTGTGTACAAAATTCCAAAAATCAAGCCAATCAGCCTCCCAAAACGCGCCTATTTTGCACTCAAAGTCGGCAATTAAACCTCATTAAAACAAATTCACACAGTCAACAGATAACTCTCGATAAATATGGGTAGGAGGTGTGTACTATATTGAGCGCATTTATTTAAATATCAAATCAATGCCAAGCCCCAGAAAAAATTTAATATGTAAAAGAACCGAAATTTATTATTTTATTATAATCAATTTGTATTCAAATCAAAGCGTTATAGACAGTGAAAGAAACAAATTGAATATTAATTTTCGACTGATATCAGCTCCTAAGTTATGATCTCAATATAGTTTAGTATATTTCTCAATAAGAAATTTCATCGGCCCATTGGCGCGGTAATTTATTATTGGACACACTCTCAAATGGCCAAAATAGAAGTTTAATTCTTTCGTCAGCATTTTAGTAGTGTTTCCGCCTCTTCTTAACGGTAACGAAATATATCAGAACACTAAATGATCACAAATTGACAAGGAGATTTATTCCAAGTACTATCAAGTCTATGAGGTGATGAAATTCTTTGAGGAGAAATATTGACTCTCTGATAAAGGCATTTTAGTCCAATTACTGATTTCTGAATATTCAGATAATGTGGGATCGTTCATCACGCTACAATTTTCCCAACACCCGTTATCATATCTGCAATTTGGCGACTTCGGCAGTTCAGACATGCTAAATATGCAAATATGGAAACTTTCGATTTACGTAATCAAGTTTGTGCGTTGAAATTCTATAAGAAAATTATCATCTAGAATCTAGACTGATCACAGTGCTTGTACTTGAGATTCATTAGTATTTACTCTTATTTCCAAAATGTTATTCCAAACATTTCAGGCAAAATTTGTATACAATTTTGAAGATATGAAATCTTTCGAGAGGCCAAAGTAAGGCACTTTCTTAAGACGCTCTTCTCTCGGGTATTTTGTTGACTTACGCGTTCTCAACCGGATAGTCTGAGAGCGTTTGCCCAGTGCCTTGCGCAAGAATTAAGCTTGATTATATCCCACCAATACGTGCACAGCGAACAGGAGTGCAATGGCAAATGCAGACGCGAGGTGCCCTTCACCGGCCAGGAGAGACTCATTAATTACCAGTGAAATTTTCAGGACCACATGAGCAATCAATAAAATCATGCTGCTACATTGCATGGTGAAATTCGCAATGTCAAAAAGTGTGTAATGCCAATTTTTTTTGCGACCCTCGACAAAGAGCGAAGATGTATTGTTGAAAAATGCAAAATTCATTTAGATACACATCCCCGATTATATTCCCGAGCCTACATATGCATCGTATATACCTATATACATATCTGAAGAAATGCACGAGGCTCGAAAGCACCACTTGTCTACCTTGCCAGCAGCGCTGTTGAGCACCTGTATAAATCACATAGGGTACATAATAAATTGAATATTTACTTGCACGATGAATACCACCAAAACGGTGAGTTCTTTGAAGTGTTGTAATGCAACTGGTCAGGTGATGAACACCCTATATATGGATTATACTCGGCTCTGGCTATATACGTGGGGCCATTTTTTCCTCAGCTCCCCGGCAGAAGGTAGGAAAAAAGAATGCATATGATTTTTCTTGTTCTCCGCGCGCTCTCCACTCGCATGGAGTATTAAGTATGATTTGAGGAGCACAAATATTTATATATTAAACGAACTCCAGCGCGAGATTCATCATTAGTTTGAATGATATACGCAAATTTTACAATAAATAATAGTGCTGCGCGAAGGAACATTAAATCATCTAAATATAGTCCTTTTTTCACGGCGCGAGTGTGAGAAATAATTGGATTAATTATTCCACCGTGCTTCAATTGCTGCTAATTAGGCCGCATAGCATCCTGGCAGCGATGCTGCCAGGATGCCACTGGCATCACCGCCGTCCCCGAAATTCATTCTTGACTCTCTGACCGTGGTGGAATAAATGAAATCTCTCAAAAATATACTGAACTAAACCGCCAGCAAACAAGACTAACAAGTAAAAAGTCAATCGCATCCCAAGAAAGCTTGTTTTTTCACACGCAATGGAACCCGTTTTGGATTCATCTCTTTTCTTGATTCTTGAATTGTAGTCTTATATGTAGTATACTATATACATAGATAAGTGTGTGCATATAAGAAGTTCCTTTTCTTAATACGATTTTACCATTTAACCCGCGTGATCGTCAAGAATGCCGTAATGTTCCTCACAACCACTACCAACGCCACAAATAAAATCTTTCCCTGTATACTCTCCACGGGCTGTATAGAGAGTACCAAAGGCAGATTGGAGGTTCTCTATCCTCTCTGCCTCTGTGTATAGTTCGGAGCGTTGCTTGTGGCGCGGTTTCTTTCCAAACAGACACTCGCCGTCTCATTTTCCAATTTCACTCGCTATAGTCATCTCATTCTTCAGATTTCAAATCGAATTAACTTTGTTAAAATTCCAATCCCATCGAGATGAATCAGTAAAAAAAAACGCCAGCCAGATAATCTATCGATGGAGCAATACAAAACACAACTAGTGTTTCTGATTGGGGATGTTACATTCAACAGGCGAGCGATCAACAGCAGAAAAAAAAATTCTACCGATTTTATCTACACATATTGGAATAGGATGATTGTGTTAAATAGAGATATTTCTCTTCATCTCTGATATACATAAATAAGTGATGGGAATTCTTTCTTCTCTCCTATACATTAAATCTCACCGCCCCCCAAAGGAGAGAATCACCTCAATGCTCATCTCCCTGATGGTCCATCTGATGGTGCACAATTTGCAATTTCACAGAGCTCAGCCACTATGTCACACATCTGCTGGGCATAATTAATTTAGTGTGTGTCCTTTTCCATCGTGTATCAAAAAGTAGCGTGAGAATATGATTACGCGCTCTCATTCTATCTCGCTATACACGCGTTTATACCCACTCTCTTAGTTCATCAGTTTCTCTATTCCACACTCACACAAGCGAGTCAGGGTAGAGGAAATGCGAGCTCCGCCTCAAAGCCTGAGGTCTTGCCGGAGGTCCAACATTGCAAACAGTAGATTTCTGCCTGCCTTCCGGCTTGCATGTGTTCGCTACCATTTTCGATCTCTCTCCCTATCGCCTCGCCACTATGCGTGCATTAATTGCGGATAATCCCACTGCGCTTTATCGATAGACTGCTGGTGAACTTGCATCGATATCCGGATTATTGTGACAATAACAAGTGCTTCGTAAATGGGAAAAAGAGCGTATAATTGAGTGTTGGGAGAAATTGGCGTGAAACATTCAGAAGGGTTGCTTGCTCTCGTGAAGATTATGTTGTGCGATATCAATTATGCAAGATAATTCTGTATGTGAACGACCAGAAATATTAATGATCTTATACAAACAACATCCTCACTGTGTGAAATCAAGTGGTGAAAACTTTGCACAGCTCTCAGCGACATTCTGTGGAATATCTTGAGAATTGAAGGAAGAATGTTCTCAACGTCACACTACATGATATGAATAATTTTGTGAAATTTCCCTCAGTTTCTGTGCTCTGCCAAGAGAAATCCTATACCTTTAGTGGCCTCCGTGACACCTTAATTCAGTGTGTGTGCATGTGAAAATGCAACAATATCTTGAGGACAGACACTGCACTTGTCGCCCGAGCAATGATTTCAATCATCATTAAGCACATCTTCTTCGACGACAACTCCTTGGAGTGGATTTAGCCCCAAAGTGTCTCCACGATTGTTCCCAACAATATGGGAATCAACAATTTCCGATCTTGGATTTGTGTTCTTGCACTGTTGATTGAATTTGCAATTCAAGTGAGTGAACAATCATAAGATAATCACTCTTTTATCTCCCCGGTGAACAAATATTTACGGACCATTCTCAAAAGCGTTTACAATAAAATTAAATCGCAACTTCTTGAGCTGCGAGATTGGAAGCGGCTGGAAAAAAGGCCAAAAGAGTCTATTAACCGCAGAAGAAACCACGGCTCATTTCAACATAATGGGGTAAAGAGGAGCTATTTCTTTCGTTTGGCGATTGCGCCGCTCTTCTAATTATCATGAGATATATAAGGAGGCAGAAGAAGGCATTATAAACCTTTCTTCATATACATTAAAACATTTTAGTATTTTACATTTATGTATTCTCTCGCGAAAACAACTTTTTGTGCCAGCGGAACATTGAGAAAAAGCTCCTTGATAGAACCTTCAAAAGGGCTTCCACCCAGTGGATGAATAAATAGTGGTACAACCCCTTCTTTGCCGTGCAACTCTTTGTTCCAGCCTATAATTACCTTTTATTTATTTATGCATTTAATTACACGCATATGAAAATTAACTTCCCATTTCAATGCGCCCTTTTGATAATTAAAAGAGAAATACCAGACTTTTTCACTCACTCAATTAGCATGGACTTCTTGAGGAATTGTATGAAGTACAAGATATTGACGAGCTTTATCACTTAGCCGACGCTCGCAAGTGGGAGAAGAAATAAGGCTAGTAGTACTCTTTCGCTATATACAACAAGTTACCAAAAGAGATAAGAATTATTCTGAATGGAATTTCTGTCAATCTCCAGACTGCCTTCTGCTGTGTAAAATACATTCCGAGCTATCAGCGAATACAAGTTTTTATTGCTTAAAGTCGCATGGGTCTTTTCCAAGCGCACTATCTTTCGAACAAGAAAGGGTAATCATGACTCATTTTCATTAACATCTAAATTATCAGTAACGGAATTTTAATTCTCTTCCGAGTGAGAGAGAGAGAGAGCGGCTGTAAAATTAGAGTCAATTTTATTGCAATGGCCTGTTTGAATTGAACACCCGAAAGATCTCAAATTGATACATTCGACCGTTTAGCCACCGGCTCCACATACATACATATTAGCGTCAAAAGTACACATCGTCAAGAAAGGGTGAAAGCAGGTCCCCTCGAGGAAGACTTGCAGTATGACTCTCCGCCAGCAATTAAAATTAATCGGCGCTTCCACGCGACTCTGCAAGAGTTAAAGTGTCAGTGAAGAGCATGAAGACGATCTTTGTAAATCACTTGCAGCGCATGAGATTTCTGCCGTGAGCGAAAGGGAGGACAGCTCTTGATTTAAACGATTCTATTTTACCTAAAATAAGTACAATCATCTTCCCTCCGTAAATACTATGTGCGCTCCGCGAGGTGAACATAATGAGGATGCTAATTAAGTGCAAAAGACATAATTTCCCCATTATAAGACATGTAATAAGGTAATAATTCAATTTTCAAACACAGGTCTCCTCGTCAGGGTACTTTGAATTGCAAATCTTGGAAATATCCAACAGAGACAATCAATTGTTGACGGGATATTGTTGCGGAATTCCGATGGAAGTCAGAGCTTCACGATTAAATGGTGAGGATAGTTTTGCCACATGTCCACAGCTCATTAATTCAATCTAATGGATATTGATGCAAACCTCTTCTTCCCAACAGGATGCCCCTCTTGCGCCACTTCCTTTCGACTGTGCCTGAAAGAGTACCAAAGTTCGGTTCCAACTGTTAAAGGAGTGCTAAATGGATGCTCTTTTGGGAATGCCAGCACAGGTGTACTGGGCGGTTCGAGCTTTGTGCTCTCCGATCCAGAGATCAGCTCTATTGTACTACCATTCTCCTTCCGATGGACGGTGAGTCTAGCATTCTTACAACACAATTTCTCTCTAGTCAAATGATAGAGAAGAGAGGAGCTATTCTTGGTTAAAATTTAACTCGCTGATATCTTCATTTAAACACGAATTCTTACCCCAAAACAGACTGCAACAGCTCCACTCTCCCCTATATGCAATGTACTCTTTTTTGTACGTTGAAAAATATCGCAAAAAATAGAAGAGTATCTGCAGTGATGAAATATTTCCCATATCCGCGCCTCACAGTGTCTCTTTCTCTTTACTGTTTCGGCTACAAGTTAAGTATGATAGATAATGCCTACAAAACAATGGGCAACATTCACGAAGCAATACAAAAAGTTTGCAATGGCTCTTGTAGGTATACATTTTCAACATGAAATCAATACCCCGTTTTCTTTGAAATTTCCTTTCTTCCTGCATTGTAATGGATGGATCAACTATATGAAAATATGGGACATATGTATAAATTGGCTAAAGGATACACAATGTTTCATCTCTCCAGTTTGCCAGTGTTCTTATTGTTGCTTGAATTTTATGTTGCACTTTTGCCAATACAACAAATCTCATATTTCAAATCGTGTAAAGTCTTTCTCTCTCTCTCCTAAATCTAATAACATTACACATCATCACAAGGGTTCAGCAGAACACAGTACTTGGATATAGAATTAGCGAACTCATGAACTGCAAAGTGCATCAACAACTGAAGATGACATGATGGTAATAAATTATATTTACCATGTAAAATATTCATGTGTCACTCTCATTAGGCAAACAACTGCCATAATGAACCATCATTACCTGGATTAAAACTTTAACGTTGAATGCACAGAGCAAGTCATTGGTTTGAAAGAGAATAAATCACTATGAAAAGCTTCTCCTGAACTCAAGCTTATGATTGCAATGGCTCTGATGCCTCCCTTCCAGGAGCCACCCGAGAGCGAGAGAGAGAAAGATCGTTACAGAAACTCCTCTTCAATTTGATCTGTATTTCCGCAGTTGCTTCTTCAATGCTAATTTATAAGTCATTCATAATAATTGGAAATATACTAGCATTATGGAGAAAATATGTTTTGTAATGGAAATATATTTGTCTCACGACTTATAATATTGGCTACATATGCACAGAAGATACCTGTCATACATATTTCAAAATCAACGTCTCCCTTATCTTAAATAATCAATTGCAATAACTTAAGCATAAATGCGCCTCTCAGAGGGAAAAAAATAAATAAAAATAGTTGATTCTTTTCACAATGTATGAACCACACAATACCTCTATAGTTCAAAAGATAAATATATTTCCTTTTCAATGCACTCACGATGGTATCAGTGCGCGTGTTAACATAATGTAACATAATGTTTTGACTGTGTGAGTGCTGTTAATCTATTGGGTTTACGATGCAAAAACAGCAAAAATACACTATGCTAAGACATATGCGATAGTAATTCTCTTTTTCACAGTTTTCATTAGTGAGACTAGTCAAATAATTATAAGTCGAAGAGCAATAAATTACAATTAGTTTAAATTTCGTTGTTGTGTATTTCCAATTTGACTTTGATTGAATGTAAATTTTTATGACTCTTCGTTAGAAAAAAATGTATAATTATCCCCCTATATATATATGATGCTTTTGGGTGTGCTCGGCTTTTCAGCCACGAGATACCTAACTGTTTTGACTGTTGGAAAATCTATCAATTTTAATTATTTAATCAGGCGAATAAATATTTTCTTTTGAGTCACACATCAAAGCTCAATATTTGGTCACTTGCAAATCATTATCGATGATTTTAAATCTTTCAGACCAACTATAAAAATCTTCTAATCATTTGACACATCTTCAATCAGCACTCAGCCAATGGCTGATGCCTTCGTCCTGTCTCTTTACTTTATACGCCATTAAAAATCATGAATACTGAGCTGCGAAAAATAGTTGTGCTTCGGATAATTAAGCATGAAAAAAGCAATAAACCATTTTACCCTCTGCACTCGAAGCATACGCCAAAGACTTTAAAATGTAGAGAGATATTACAAAATAATTCATTATATTTGCTCTTCACAATATTTCTTCTTATAAGCACAAAATGCAATCACATCTCGGGCCTCCCTTTAATCTTTCACCCATAGCCAAAGTGAGAAGACGGTATTCCGTACATGAAAATTGGAAATATCAGCATTAATACAGTGTGGAAAGTTAAATTGGCAGATCGACTGGGAGCTTCAATTTGAAATGCAAATGTAATCATGAAGGAAATATAACATCACTTTCTATGCTCATTATTGCTTATTGCAAAAGATTTTGAGCACATAGAATAGGCGAAATTTGAATATACAAGCATAAATAAGAATAAGCCTTCATCTGGGAGCTCTGAAAAATTTAATTGACAAGAATTTCCACACATATTTGCATTTTACATGTCATCTCGTTAAATTCTCTCATTTTACAAACCATAGTATGTACATATCTTTATTCTGACGACTGCAGCTCAGAATTGCAATTGGAATGAGTGAACTCCATCCAGAGTCAGTGGGCTTTTTTTCTCTTCTCTCCTCAATTTTCATTCATGCTCTTTCCCTCGAAGAGCAACACTTTATCGGAAATAACTTATCAGTTTCTGCTTATTTCCGTTGAAAAAATAATACTTTTTGACATTCAAATTGCTACGCAAGTCAAACTGTTGATAAGTTTTCTGCAAAATATTGTTCGCCTGACTTCGCGCAGGCATATGTGGAATGGAGAGTTTGTGATCTCCGCGGGAATGCTCATCAGGCGAGGAATTCGATAAAGTGATACAATAAGTTCAACATTCTGTGATAATAAGAAAATATGCTCGCATCTACTGCATATTCATTAGAACAGGAGGAGAAGAGATATGAGTGCAGAAATAAAAATCGATGTATGAAATTGTACAATTTTCTTTATGTATCATCTTCTTCAATAAGTTTTGAAGAGACTTATCCACGTATTAAATACGTGTTATCCCATACATCCGATGTTCGTGACTACTTCATCGTTTATACTGGCATCGTATAGATATATACAGTGAATATATGTATCGGGTGTTCTTTGCTTGTTCCTTTTGTTATTTCATTCTCTCCTTCTCCACTTAATTTAACGTTAACTATTTTATCTGACCGTCCAATAATTTCGCTTCTTCTTACTCATGTATGCAATTCTTTTCTGAAAGTATATTACAACGGGCCATCATACCACCACTTGTTTTGACATTTAATCGAATTTTTTCACGATTCCCAATGTAACACCTCGACGCGTACTGTACAGAAATCAAATTAGGCCCATTTGAGAAATGAACAGCAAGTTCATTACCCACACAGATGGAGCATCTCCCTCTCTTTGCCATCGGCAGGAATTCCATTCGCTTCCCTGTGCGCCACCATCGAGCATTTTGCCAACATCTCTGGCCTTTGTCCTACAGCCTTTATTTTACTCTCTTCCCGAACAATTTCAGATTTATCTGATCTTTTGTGATACATTTCCTACAACAATATTGACTACATGTTTTGATGGGTTTCATGTAAGCGTTGTTATACAACTTATCTAGAAGATCTCATTGGTCAGCATTTTCCAATCTCTCAAGCTCTTTTCGCTGTGCACAATGAAATTCGGTGAATTAAAATGTTTGACGGAACCTTCTCTATTGACTCTTTTATTTGGACATCTTTTGTTGCTGATGTCGAAACTAATATTTGTGATTTCATTTCAGAAATCCTTCACTCTTATACTGCAAGCTTTGGACTTGTACAATGCGTCATATCCAGGTAAGTTTCCCAATGATTCACGCCGTGTGGCAATCCGAGTCCTAACCACTTAACCATTTCTAAACAGTTTCAGAACGATTAATTGAGGAAACAACCTTTTCCGGAGTGATATTCCCATCACAAGAATGGCACACCCTCAATCCCAAAGGGAAGAACGCCAACATCACCTACAGGTGAGACAAATCAGCATCTTAAATCAATTAGACTTTTTGGGTGTGACACATTTCTTTTATCCACTTCTAGGGTTCGCGTTCAGTGTGATCCGAATTACTACAATACAACGTGCACCACCTTCTGTCGGCCCAGAAACGATAGATTCGGCCACTACACTTGCGGCGAGAAGGGTGACAAAGTGTGCCTGACAGGGTGGCAGGGTGTTAATTGCGAAAAGGCCATCTGCAAGCCCGGCTGTGACCCGACTCATGGAAAGTGCGACAAGCCTGGCGAGTGCGAGTGAGTCAAAACCTTACTTAAATAAATCTCTCGGCTTTCCTTTCCCCCAAAGTTGCGAAAAAACGCTCAACTCTGTGCACGATTTCGCGAGAGACGCACGTTGTTAATCATTCCCGGATGGATTTAGAACAGAAAGGGGTTAATTTCCGACTAACCTCTCGCCAGGCAATGTATAAATATTTATACGCTCCCGGAGAAATGTCACTGAATAGTGTGAGAAATTGTTGCATAAGAATCAGTATTAGAGCCGCGAGAACTGAACAATAGCATGTCTCGGAATTTTTTGCAAGTACATTTCGCGATAGCTATTGGTCTTGTTTGGCTCAGAGTTTCTCATCTCTCCTCAGTTGTTTGGCCTTTTTTCCACTCCTATCCCTCTCCTGATAGTACTACATTAACAGTAGATACAACCAATCTTACACAGAATGTGCACTATACATATATGAGTATTTCCCCCCATTCAAAGATAATGGACAATGCAAATACTGTATACTGTGATATAGTAGAAAGTAACAAAGTCAAATTCCACGTGATTGTGCGAGAAAAAGAGTAAAAGTCAAAGTCGCAACGACTGCAGGAATTGTAAATTGTAATTTAGAAGAACTGCTTAGGATGTTAACACTCTGCAAAACTATTATTTCTCCTCCATCTCTCCATTATTTAGGCCCTTTGTGCCATCGGGCACGGCGGAACATGCCCGATGGAGACACACAAACACACAATTGCTAGTATTTTGAATTAATTAAAGTCTCGCAATTAATTAAGGAAAACACCAACAGTATTAATCGCTGTGTAAAATCAACCCATTCTACCTTCATCAAGTGTTGTCCTGAAACAAATTTAAGTCATACCTTTTGGTAAATGGTGCAATAATGATTCTGCAACAGAGCGCTGTGCGGTATTTGCGATGCAACAGACATTTACAGTAGGATGAAATACCACCCAATTTTAAATTAAAAGCAGAGACAGAGTGAAGAGAGAAAGGAGAGTTCATGACATCGATGTACGAATGCTTATCACGAGTGATCACAATGTTCAGATTTTCGATACGAAATTATGACAGTCCAGGACCAGAACTGCATCGATATGTAGGACTTCCATATATGGAGGGAATAATTAATACATAAACTACACGGCACTTGAGTTCTTTTATCTCTTGCTCCCTCCTATTCGCGCGATTCCCGCACTCGATACCATCGCGCCCATGAGATTGCTGGGCTATGCCGTGGTCATCAAATGAGGAAATTGCATAGTTCCACAGTTACTGGTCCATAATCACAGTAGGAAAATTGATCGAAATCGCTACACGATGTCAGAAGTTTACTTCGGCCTCCACTCAATCATCTGTTGCATCAATTGCAAGCACACTAAAATATACCAAACACGTAGTTCCCTTCCAACTGGCAAGGCAGATTTGTCAGATGCTCTCATCGGCTATTGATCCGGTAAATCACTTACCTGACCATGTCTCCGTGCAGTCACTGATATTTCTGGGATCAGCGCGCAGTTGAGAAACTTCCCATATCGGGGTGTGAATTGTGTCAAGTGTGGTCGTCCTTTTGCTCGGCCCGCGAGAAACACAATGAGAATTTTATTGTTGCAGCGCGGCAAAAAGAATAAGGACAATTTAGCGTCACAGGTGTTATAATTGTACAGTTTTATTGGGGTGGGCAGAGCCTTTGTATGCAGTTGCCCTGTTAAAAATTGTCTTGCTGGCTGGCAATTTCACATACGTTAGTTGCGCTGATATATTATATATCGGCCGCAAAGACAATGGGTGCAAAGTGGACGAAGAAAAATTACCAGTAGAAAATGCGAGAGCAATTCAATAAGATTTATTGAGCGGTAAAGTTGAGGAAGATTGCTCTTTTCACATTTTCCGTGTAATACAACACACAAATGGCATTTTATACACCCAACTGTTGTACATTGTGTCGTACCGAAGGCACACTGGTGGAAATTTGATCGACTTTGTAGTCAATTAGGCACTCAGTGAGGTTCAATGCTAGGGAGAGACTCTTAGAGAGCGGTCCCCGAACAATTTATATACCGACTCCACTATATTCATTTCATGTCCATAAGAAAGGAGAGTATAACGCTTGAAATTCAAACTGAAAAGCCAACCACATAGCAAAACTCGTGGAATTATAGTGTAAATAACAAGAGAAGATAGCACTCCAGCATATTTTGAATGGCTGCACCAAACGGCAGCAATGGTTAGTGCTCCGTTTATGGTGTTGCAATTATTCCACGATTCTGTCCAATTTGTATTTGCAATCACCAATCTATTGATGATGCGCTGAGTGGGCATAACTCTGCCCTGTTCCCACTTCTCCCTCCACAATACCCACCGTTGACTTATTACCACTAAGGATTTGAATATATTACGTGAGAAAATCATTTTTCCCGCCAACCAACAAAGGTCCTCCTCCAGTCATTAGAAATTGACTCCCTTTAATGGGAGCTCAGCCTGGAATTTATTGTTTTGCCGTGTGGCCGCGAATTGAAAACTCCATCCACCGTCAATTGTGAGATGCTGTGCGAGAGATAGCACTAATGCCTGCAGATAGTTTAATTTCAAAAATGAAAAATTAAGTCATCCTTTTATTCAAGTAGTGGAACTTGGCAATACTTTGCATTTTACAATATTGAAGATCGAAAAGATATGGGAAAACGTGTTTGCACTCCTTATAAAACCTCTTGCATTCTACATATAGCCAACTTCTTCACAGCTTCGCAAAGCTCTAATCGATCGTTCTAGTTTCCGATACACCGACCTCCCACCTCACAGTTTCTAGCGGCAAATAATAAAAACGCTGTAATCGCTCTTTAAGACCTTCCTCAGTTTTTCACATGTGAATCGACTTCGTGCGGAGATCAAAGGGAAAGGGAAGGACTAAAGACATTTACAACGTGTTACCCTTCTAGATTAAGATTTTCTGTGTTCGGAGATTTTTTCCTCGATAAAACATCTCTCTGTAAACCATTCCAGGTGTCGTCCGGGATGGCGAGGTCCTCTCTGCTCAGAGTGCATGGTCTACCCTGGCTGTCGCCATGGATATTGCAACGGCAGCCCGTGGCAGTGCATCTGCGACACGAATTGGGGAGGAATTCTCTGCGACCAAGGTGAATATGTCATGCAAAAATTCCTCCTAATCAAATATCAATCCACTGCCCCGCTGACTTGTCAGCCAAACACACAAACGCCCCTCCTGGGAACACTTGTGATACCGAGGGTTGCATCTGGGGTAGTTATAAATTCAATAGTTCATCTAATAAAATATAACAATGAAATCATTTTCTATACAATTTCACCCTAATCAGTTTTTGCTTCCACTCTATTTGTGAAGTGGATTGCGGTCCTCAAAGGATGATCTATTAGTCCGGGTCACACTCATCCCCTCTCGTGAGTTGTGTTTGTTAATGATACAAAAGACACACATTTCACCCTCCTCAGTTCACACAACTCACTTTTTTTCGGCGGCGCCCATTTGTTAACCCAGAGAAAAAAGAACATGTGTGAAATGGAACAAGTGCAGCAGCACTATAGAATCAATGGGTTTTTGAAACATTTAGAAAAATACTTGATACACTTTCGCTTCTGTCGCGACAAAAAATCGCGCAGCAACATTTGTTCACTCACACGCCAAAGTTCACACGTTGTGAGATCATCGGATTATCCGGGGCTATTATCAATTCAGTCTCGGCCTAATCACTCTCCAGCCAGATAAATAATTCATTTGCCGTGTGTGTGTCCTTTTCCCCGACAAGATCTTAATTACTGCGGCACCCATGAGCCATGTATGCACGGCGGAACGTGCGAGAACACCGCACCCGATCAGTACAGATGCACATGTGCCGAGGGCTTATCTGGCGTACGATGCGAGATCGTGGAGCATCCATGTGCCACGCAGCCCTGTCGAAATGGCGGCACGTGCACCCTCCGGGACCCAGCCAAGTACGATGCGGCCAAGAACATAAGCGCCGTGAAGGATCTGCTGCCACCCACGGCGGTCACGGTGCGCAGAATGCGCGGAATGAGCTCGATGGGGAAGCCCGTCAGAAGCAGAGACATCGACAAAGACCACCTCATCCCGCGATCCCCGGCGAAAAGCTCTCCCGCTTCCCCTCCCGTCAGCGACTTCATCTGCTCCTGCGCGCCAGGATGGACAGGACCGACCTGCGAAACGAGTAAGCACAGCTTTTTTCTGCTATAATTATTCCAACGATTTGAGCGGATTTTTTCTATAGTCGAAAACTAACGCATGTCTAATTCATTTTTATTTCTTTAAATGCACTGCCTAATTATAAATTGCGATTAAAGACATTGCAACTCCTTAACACAGCCTACAATGTGTCTTCCTCTTCGGTGTGTTGAATAATGTAAGAGATTTCAATATGTATAAAATACGCAGCGCCCAACATTGATCGCCGCAGACATTTTTTGTGGGCTCCTCAATTCATGATTGTTCGGTGGCGTGAATGAATATTCAGGCGAGAGATGCTATTGAAGAGAAAACTATTTGCTTCCGAATTCATCGTTTGGTCTGCGGGGCCATTTAAAGTACAATCAGAGTCATTGAAAATGACGGTTGAAGAAAGGCGCTTCCATATACTTATCCATTCAGCGGCCCGGAATAAACACATGAATTTAGCCTTTTTTTCCACATCACAATCACTCAATCTCTCCGGCACAGATAAATTGGGGAGAAGCGCGCAAGTTATGTTAATATTAGAATTAAAACGTATTTAAATGAAAACATTTACCTACATGACGTACATATTGTGGCTGTCGTGACCATATATAAAATCTCCGTGTAGTTCACAATTTTGTGTAGGTGTACCTAATGAGGCTCACACTCAAAAGCGATGTTCACACTACATTTTAATGCAAAATTCCGCCTGTGTAATTGCTTTTAATCGGATTTATATTTTGTGTTGCTTTCACACTCCATTTCTTCACCACTCTCGGTCCCATTGAGGAGCATCGGAGACGCCGAGTGTGCATTAAAATCATGTTTAATTGAAAAAGAAGCACTCTGCGCGAGGGCTTAAATAAAGTCGTTGAGAGGCGACTTTTAAGAAAGAATCAACTGTGTACATAGGGCAACAATGAGCATAAATCTCTCCTCCACTTCTTGTCGTGTTAATATTGGCCATTTGCTGTGCTAGTCACACAATCGTTTGTTTTAATTTCATAGAACAACGCCTGAATTTTTATAAATGCCCTTCTTGAGATATGCATACGCAAATGGTGTCTGGCGAAGAGGTACAATTCTCTCTACCACTGCTCTTTCTCTCTTTTGCATTCGCAATTATGCATATAAAGCAAGGACAGTGTCAGTCACTGGCAAGGTGTATTTCACAGTGAGAAAATCCACAATTCTCCCAGTCAATCTGTGCCTGAAGCGCCTTCCTCTTATTACACTTTAATGAATGATTTATAATTTTAGACACGATACAAAAGGTATATACAAACACACCATTGTTTGGAATACATTATTAGTAACTTTGAAAGCAAAGAGAAAAGAATATTTGCTTTAGAGAAGAAGAATCCCAATGTTTGAGCTATATTCCTCTAAAAGTCTCTCGACGCGACTGGTAATGTACATTCTGTTTCTAATCATAAGTGGTATTAATGGTATAACTTTGAGCCTCCTTTTTCCCTCCATTAACAAAAAGAGGCCCGAAACGCGGTCTAACTAACCATCTAAAAACGCCTTCCCAACTCTGCTTCCCACCAGACATCGACGAGTGCGAAGGGGGGCCCTGCGAGCACGGGGGCACATGCATCGACCTGGTGGGCGGATTTCGCTGCGAGTGTCCACCTCAGTGGAGCGGTGACTTGTGTCAAGCGGGTAACTTTCCCATGTTAAACCAAAATGTTCTGGATCAAATTTCTAATTACACGCAAAATACCGCAGATGTGGATGAGTGTGAATCGAACGCAGCATCACCGCTCGGGCCGTGCATTAATGCTGAGGCATGCGTCAATAGTCCGGGCGCATTCCGATGCTTCTGTTTGGACGGCTGGACGGGCCCGACATGCACTAAAGACATTGACGACTGCATAGGACAGTGCAAGAATGAGGCAACCTGCATTGATTTGGTAAATGACTACTACTGTGCTTGCGCGTTGGGATACACAGGTGAGATTGAGATGATAAAAGGGGTTCAAGTGGAAAGAGCTATAGGGGAGAGCGAGCTCACTGCGGTGCATCTTCTTCCTTTGCAGGGCGAAACTGCGAAACGGATATTGACGAGTGTGCGAATACACCGTGCAGGAACGCGGGAGAGTGCGTGGACATGATCGGGACCTTCAAGTGCATCTGTCCTGTGGGATTTTCAGGGACACTTTGTGAGGTAAGAGAGCCATGCAATTAATTCTTCGTCTATTCGCCATTTTTTGACCCTAACTAATCGCCCCATTGCTATTTCCCGCAACATCAGATGAAATAAGAATTAATCTGCAGTCGTTATGCATTATAATAATTCACATCTCGCCATGCGAGTTATGTGTTATTATGTATTTATATTTTTATACAAAACTATTACAAGACGGAATACACGAAGTATACCGCGAACTCTTGTACACCCAATATTTCAATCATGCGCTATCTTTTTCAATATGAAATTACACTGTTCATTACTGTGACTACTATATAAGTATAGCAGCCTTTTGATATATATAGCTCGCGATGGACCAAAGTGTTGATCATGCAACAGAAGAGAAAAGATCAAAAGCACTGTTGTGGCAATAATTCCATAATTTTTCTCCTCGCATCGCGCGATGATCTACATTCTCTGATGCTATATAGCACACGGGCGCGCTTTTTTGTGGGGAGCTGTGTGCTATTTTATTTTTCTCAATACCATTGTTGTTTGGGAGCGTTTTAAAAACGATGAAAACAAATACTTGTACTGAGAAGCGTGACTTATTTGACGTGATTTATTAGGAAAGGCAAGTATTTTACCTATTCATATCTTATTTCTCAGATTATATGTAATGTTTCAAAAGAAGGAGACTTAGCATTCGACGGCGCACAATTGGTTCTCGCATGTTGACAACAGAGTAAATAAGGTGGTAAGAAGAATAGGCGAAAATCCCAATGCTGAAGACATGAATGAAGCTTTTAATTCTCCCAAACAATAACACCATTTTAGAGGTGCAACATTCAAAGGAATTAGTCCTCTGCCTACGGGAAGAATAATTTATCACAAGAGAAGAGATATGGGCCTTTAACTCTTTAGTGGCTTGTGAATGTGTGCCCGAGAGGCAGGTTTTTTCGCATCTCCAAATGGCCCCTACTGTTTCCTCCTCGACACGAGAATTCACAGCTATTAGTCTTGCTGGCAAATGCTCTTGATATAAACTGTCATCTATATTAACACTCTATGAAAGACTTTTAGATGACGGTTAATCTTGTGCAACAGCACACATGCGGAGGCTCACCAGAGTGATACATATTGCCGATTATTACATATTTTCAACATGGGAGAGAGAAGGAGGGAAAAAAATTCAAAGTAATCCGATTAAGGTATTTTACATATGAGTTCTCAAGTAAAAACAACTCAAACACAATCTTCTGTGGAACATCTCATTTACATGCCTATGGCCACCTCTCAAATGAGTGTCATTTTTCGACAGTTATGTTATAATGAAAAGTGCTATGTGCTCACAAGAGTCCGCGGTGAGCTGAAAGCCTGTAGCGGCAGTGAAATTCTCCAAAGCATCGACAATTCCCCCCGTGGATCCCAGGTCTATTCACTGTCACCAAATTATCCACATGAGACAGATCGCATTCAATTTGAAAAAAACAACCTTTTAGGAGGCATTGAGACCTTCTTTTCGGTGCCGATTTCTTCACTCCTGGAAACCCTTGACACGTTGCTAATATTTGCAGGAAGCGAAGGACTACTGCACACCGTCGCCGTGCCTGGAGGGGCAGTGCCTCAACACGCCGGGCGGCTACTACTGTCACTGTCCGGCAGGACGCTCTGGGAGGCACTGCGAACTGCCGCGGGTCTCCTGCCAGAATCCACCATGTCATGGTAGCGTATTAAGCTTAGTTTTTACGCCAAATGCCCCTGTAAACGACCGATGTTGCTTCCGCATGCAAAGAGATTGTGATTAGAGTGTCACTACGGCTGATCACGCAATGCCGTTTCTGCATTTTGGCCACGCGGAGTGGAATTAATTGCACGGTATTTTGCCAAGGAGCAAGATGAGTGGTATCGTAGTGGCAATAATTAGGAAAATTGACAGAATATATTTTCGCGAGAAACACATGTGGATACATGTATTATTGCGTGGCGCATTTCTTGATTAACGACACTTCTATTTTATTGCAATCACCACGGGAATTCTGGCGTCCCTGCACTCGGGAGAGATTCCCTCGTTGATTGCATTCACGACTTTCTGCCGAGATACAATTACAAATCTCCGCCACGCCATGTACATTTATAAAGTAATAAGATATACATATCTATTTCACAATTTTCTTACCTCATGACACTCGTAAATCACGAATCTTTGATAAAAATAATTATTACATCTTATTTCACGAGGGCAACATGGGCCAGATAACTTCTCTACGTGCCTCCCCACCATCTTATCTCGCGTCTCTCTATGACTGCATTTCCAGATTCTAGCTGCTCGCCACCACTGACAAATGCCACGGAATTATCAGTTCCCTGCAGCGGCAACGGTCAGTGTGAGACATTCATGAATGGACTATATTGTGTGTGTCAACCTGGCTATACGGGTCACTTCTGTGAGCACAGTAAGGCCCCCATAATTCACAAGAGCCTAATAGGTGGATAGATCCCAACAAATTATTTGCCTTTCTCTCTCTCCCCCCCTCAGACTTGAACGAGTGCACACCTAATCCTTGCAACAACGGTGGGATCTGTTTTGACGGAGTCGGAGACTTCACGTGCGAATGTATGCCCGGTTGGGCAGGTAATCAAACCACTTTTCCCCCCTTCTTCATTTCTCACAAAATTCACATGACCCCTGCTCACCAGGTAAAACTTGCTCCGAGAGGATAACTCAGTGTCTGCCAGGTCAATGCCTAAATGGAGGCACATGCGTCATTACACACTCCAACTCCCAGTGCTTATGTGCCGGCGGCTGGGGAGGCGCCTTCTGCGCCGATCCCCTGGATCAGTGTCAGGGTCAGCCCTGTCACAACGGCGGCATGTGTGAGTCCGGGCCGGGCTGGTTCAGATGTGTTTGCGCGACAGGATTCTCAGGCCCAGATTGTCGCATCAACGTGAACGAGTGCTCACCGCAGCCCTGCTTAGGCGGAGCGACGTGCCAAGATGGAATAGGCGGTTTCACATGCATCTGTCCACCAGGGAGACAAGGGATTCGCTGTGAGATATGTAAGTGTATCCTGTATCCTTCTAATTATTGCTGAGCCACTTTTTCTCCGTCAGTGCTCTCGGATCCATCTTCAGTGTGCTACAACTCATCAACCCTTTCACCCTACAACCCCCTCATCATGATCAACAGCTCTAAGCAAATCGTCCTGGACGAGACCAATTGCAACAGTTGCATCTGCTACAATGGGAAACCCAAATGCACCAATATTTGGTGTGGTTTGCCCAATTGTTCGCGCTCAACACGCGGAAATGTGTCAATGAGCTGCAACACGCATGAAGTCTGTGTTCCTGCTCTCTTGGAAACATGTCTCTCACCACCTTGCGATCCGCGAGGCGACTGCAGAGCTCTTGAACCCTCGCGACGCGTAGCCCCACCAAAACTTCCCGCTCCGACGGAATGCTGGCCCAACCAGGCTGTACTGGGCGATCAGTGCTCTCGCATCACCATCCTGATGGATCCTAAGCACATTCCACAGGGCACGACAGTTGAGGGTGTGTGCCTGCGCCTGCGAAGACTCTTGGGCGAGCGACTGATCAAGATACCCCAATCGGACTCTGCAACAGCGTTCATAGTTGTTCTCTGTGATATCAAGACTGGAAGCAACGATACGATAGAAATGACCCTGGTAAGTTCTGTGAGCAAGATTTAAATGTAGAATTCAAATTGCTAATTGATTTCTAATCTAATCCTACTAGTCGTCTCCTGGAAGTGGTTCTATTGGCAGTGCTGCAATAAGAGACGCAGTCAAGATCCTAGGCGAAGTGCTCTCACGCCAGGGAAGCAATTTGAGTGGCTCAAATCCCGAGGCGGCTCCCTTCGTGGCGGTGGTGGAGGTGAAGGTGGAAACAGCCTTGGTGTCCAACGAGTCTGGCAATTCCAACTATCTAATTGCTGTAGCCTGCGGAAGTGCGATCGCAGCATTGTGTATAGGTGCCATAGTTACACTTCTACTGAAGCAGCGGATATCTGGACAAACGGGCTCCGGAGTCAATCTGTCCACCACCGTCGATGTCAGTCGTCACGAAGAGGAGAAGTCCAACAATTTGCAAAATGAAGAAAACTTCCGCCGATACGCCAATCCGCTGAAAGGCAGTGCCAGTTCCCTGAGAGGTGCCATGGAATTGAGCCTGAATCCAGCACCTGAAATAGCGCCAGTAAGCAGTATAGCCGGTCCAAGTGTCCTCCACAGATCGCAACCTCTGTTCCCATCGTGTGATCCTGACTTCAGCGAGAAGGACTCTGACAATCCGGCTGGGCACAGGGGATCGCAGAATCTCCTGTTCAAGGCCCAAAATCCTGACGTTCAGAAGAACACAGTGGGAACCTTTGAGACGCCCCACAAGGATTTCGGGAAAAGGGCCATCAATTGCCAAGCCCTGCCCACAACTAATCTCCTGCCCGCCGATTCAGATGGGCTCACAGTTCACGTTTGAAAAAGAATCCTACAAGAATTTTAGTTAGATTTTGCCCACTTAACTGAAGAACGAGAGTTAATCTTAATTGCCACTCAAGTTGCCATTTTTTACTTCCATATTGCACGAATAGATAAAACATGTTTTTGCAGATTCAACTTTTTGTACTCTGTACTCAATGTAAAAGATGACATACTCTCAAGAGAAACTGTTTTACGGAAAAGTGTGATATTACAAATATTTTTTTTTCTTATGGAAGACGAAATAAATTTTCAGAATTACTTTGTAAATATCGATATAGGAGGAATTTCTATAAGAAAAGCTGAAGAAATATATGAAAAAAGTGAAAACAATGAATTTTAGTAAATTATTAGGGATACATAGGAATTATTAATGTATTATATAGGGTAGTGATTGTATTTAAACGAAAAACAAGCTTGTGATGAATTTATAAATGTAACATTTCAAATTGTATTTGAATAAAATTAGCCATATTGTAGAGTAGGTACTTAAAAGTGATAGCTTTAAAATGCTAAAACGAAAAGACACATCGAACATCAACATGTGTGACAAATTGCACTTTTTTACATAATGTATTCTCCCCCTCCCCTTTATATAAATAGATTGTAATATATTTTTAGTATTCACGAAGCGGAAATTCCTTTAAGAAAAACAATAAGTATAAAATGAGAAATAGAGAAATGACAATATTGCAAAGCGTGTCTTCCTTTCCTCTTAAGTTAAAATAACAGAGAATGGCCTGAAAAGGATGCAATCACTAGTGCAAAGTATTTTTTTTTAATAGTTTATTTATCTCTTCACCCCTAGACAATACAACCACTCAATCATTCAGGATTGTATTTATTTCCACGAAATCAAGTCTGATATAAAATGAAGAATAATAATTAAGAAAACAATAAATGATGTATTACCGACTATTTTATGCAATAAAATAAATCTATTTTTAAATTTCCCCAATGATCCCTGGCGTTTATCAGGGCACTGCGCCCTCACCGTTCGCTAAAACATTTCTCTATCTGCATTGAGAACTGCCGATAAGCTTCACACTACACCATTTATTTATTGAGCTTGTGATAGAGGGTCCTCGTGCGCTCTAATTTTGGCAATAATTTGATAGAACCCAAGGCTAAATTTGGATTATCAACTGCAGCGAGACGCAAATAAATGGAGCTGTTATATTTGCTCCGCAGACACAGATTGAATGCCAACAGTCTCAGAGGGAGTGAACACTTTCAGGAGGCGCTCTGTGTATTCCGGAAGATAGAAGAAGCTGGAGAAGGTCAACAGTACCAGAATGATCGCAACCAATGTATCTGAATCAACGAAAAGGAATGTCATTGCATGGTATTGGGTAACAATTGAGATAAAGTGCGATGCTTACTGACAAACTTTCTCTCCCAAGGCTCCAGAATTGATATACAAGTGGCCAATGTGTACTGATAGTAGCAATTCTCTACGTATTTCTTGATACTGCCTAACATGATTAGTGTGGAATGTCTTAAACTTACAACTGCTAAATAGATTGGCACTACTTTAATGTTCTACAATCACCGAATAACCCAGAATCACTGTTATTTCTTATCAGAGTGAACGATGAATCAGGAAAATATTTTGGGCTGTAAATACGAGACTGACAGTTCTCCAATGGAAACACCTACAATCCTCCCTTTCTGACCCACGCCCAAAAACGATAACATTGCCACGAAAGAAAAGAGACAGCAGCCTTTTGCTGTTCATCCACCGATTCCCGATTCAGACAGTCTGTTGACGACGTTTAGATACGCTCTCTTATCATAAGAAAGTCCATCTGGACTAAGAGAGTTCATTGTAAATCAATATCGAGATGATTAGTGATAAATAATCACGGCAATTATGCTAATGCAAAGCAATTTCAGATATTAATCTTCACTTTCAAAACACGCATTCAGGGAAACGTTAAATCAATCAGTGAATTTCAGTCGAAAACCGACCAAGAACAATGACACAATTTTCCAAATCCAAATTTTTCAATTTAAAATTCTACTTTTCCTGTGTCATCGTTGCAATACTAACTTTATTGCTGATAAATTCACTACAGCAGTTATGGAAGGCTTTTCACACAAAATCATTTGCATTCACAGTGGATACGAATTAGTAAGAATGTCCCTTTTCTTTCCATTTTCCTCGGATGATAAAGTGTAAAATTTATATTAATAGTTTGGATTGGAACACATCATTTCCTGCAATTTCCGTCTGCGAAATTCTCAATGGTGAGAAAATGTGGGATCTCAATGAGGAGCACTTTGGGTCAGACAGGGACAAATTCCAGGACGATTTGGTCGCAGACGTGGCCTTCTTCAAGGGTGTCTGTTCCTCCTGCAAGACCTGCGTTCAGCACATGAAGCCCGAGTGCCAGACGAACTTCTCAGTCATCATCGACAAGTTCAGGACTAAATGCGAAAATCTATTGACAAACTGTGCTTGGAATGGAGTGAATTTCACCTGTTGTGATGCATTTTTGCCCCTTCAGACGGAATTCGGTCACTGCTTCACCATCAACAGTGCTCACACTGATCCCGAGAAGCGCATGAAATTGATCAGCAACCGCGAAAGTGGGCCAGGAACTCTCAATTTATTCGCCCTGGAAGATGTGCAAATTCATCTGCACTCCCCAAACGGAGTGCCGTACATTAACACGGAGCACGATCTACAGGAGACCATTCTGTGGGGCCTACAGAAGGAGATCATCTTCAGCACAGCTGAAATATTCAACGACGCAAATCTAGAAGAGCACGATTTTTCGCAAAGACGCTGTAAATTGACATCGGAAGCTATTGATGCTGCGGAAGTGAGGCTCTACAATATTTATAGCTACTCAACCTGCATCACAACTTGCGTTGCAGAAGCTCAGTTATCAATTTGCAACTGTACGCATCATCTAATGCCTAAGAATCTAATTAGTAAGTGATCTACAAAATGTAATTCACATGAAATTCACACTCACTTTCCTTTTTGTCCATCCATTAGAAGATTATAATGAAATTTGCACGGTTGAAGGGCTTTTGTGCCTGACGGAGAATTTTGGTAAGAGCCTCAATAATAATTCCTTAAATTAATGAAATCTCATTCATTTTTCTTTAGAAACATTGACAGAAATTCGGAGGGATTGCAAATGCTTTGCATCGTGTGAGGAACCAGAATATAATATTGTCTATTCATCTAACGAGTAAGTTTATTGAAAATTCATTTTTTATTTCTTGAAAAGAAAAGAAGATTTTTCACAGCTATTTCGGAGAAGATTTAGGAAGTCCAATAACTATTACAATGGGTTCTCTTCCGACTACAAGATACATAAGACACACCGTCAGAACCACTCTGGACTTTATAAGTGCGTTTTCCTTTGTCGTTTCGTATCCTGTAAATACTAATTTCCTTATTATTTTCAACAGTATCAGTTGGTGGAATATGCAGCCTTATCTTTGGGTTATCAATCATGAGTGTTCTTGAATTTATCGAAATGTTCTTTTGGCAAATTATTCGGCTTGCTAAAAAAGTCCGGAAAGGTCGCAGTAAAATTTCCAACGGAACATTTTAAATTCACCTCTTACACTACTTTAGCGCCACGTATGATTTCACCAGAGAACTGCAAAACAGCAACATAACCTAATTTTCTCGTGTTGATTGTGGGCACTGTTTATATAAATGTTTATGTTGCCAAAGAGCAGAAAATGAATGTGTTTTTGAGTGATATTCTGCCTCTTTTTGCGAGGATCAACAAGGATCCAACAGTGATACATATTCAGAAGTTGAACGACCTTTTGGAGCGGTCAAACGATGGATTTGCCGGAAAGTTTTACGACAAAATGCTGCTCACGCTCTTGCCTCAGGTGGATTCTGAGGAGATCCGGTGAGAATTTCATACAAAACTAATAAATATTTCCTCTAACTGAGATTTATTCATTTAATTGCAGGAAGAAGCCCGAAGTTCAAAGGCATCTGGTTGCAACTATGGAGATTCTTCTGAGAAAGATTAACGTGGACAACATCAAATGTTTCAGCACCGTTCAGATTGTTTTGCTGAGGCAGATCTATGATTTCAAGAGCGGAAGCTTGGCCCAGACGTCAGAGGAACTGAAGACAGGCGTTTTGAGTTGTTTAAGGACTCTCTTAAGCAGAACTTTTAAGGATGTTATCGCGGAGTTTTTTGAGCTCAAGAATCGCAAGATTATTGCCAACCTTCTCTTTGCCTGTGTTCAAATCATCGAGCAAGAAGTCTTTGCAGGATTGAAAATCGAAGCAATCAACTGTATTCTGAGCTTCTTGCAAATCCACGATGAGGCAGACTTCGATGACATCGTCTTGAGGAGCCAAATAGCTGATGTGATCTACACTTTACTGCCCAGGATGCTGAAGTGTTTCATGGAAACCGCCATTGGGGATTCAATCAAAGGACATCAACTGGTTGGTGTCAGCATTAAGGCGATAGGCAGGATAATCTGCTTGATATTGGAGAGAACAGAAATGGATTTTGTCGAGGAGCCAATTAATCTGGAGGACTTCAAGAGAATGATCCTTGCGAAAGATGATGCGCGACCTGAAAATAAGGATATTCTGAAGCAACCATTGGCAGGAGATTCAGAGGGAAAAATTCTGCGCAAAGACCCAGAGTGGATCAGAGCTGTCTCTAAGAAGTTGAAGCCTTATCTGGCAAAATTGTTGGTATTCACTCAACATGATCACGTCAGCGTTCGTAGAGAGCTTTTGGCGGTGTGTGAAAATTTCTTGAAGAAGTGCGCTGAAAATATGCTGGATTGCCTTCAAAGTCTCCTCGAAGTGATCTTTGTCATGTCATTCGACGATGATGAAGACATAGCAAAGCAGAGTTGCAACACTCTTGCAAGCCTTAAGACTCATCCAAAGAACAATCTCCTCACTAAGAACGCTGAAGCCACAATCAATTCTGTTCTTATGACTCTGCCTCAGAGTATTTTGAGAGAAGATGACTACAAGCAGGTCCTGGGATTTTCATTGTTGCAAAGCGCACTAGAGTTCATCTCGTCGAACGATCTTCTCGCGCTGATAACAGATGATCTTTTCCTTGAGAAGCTGACAACAGTGATAATTCTCGGAGCAGAATTGAATACTAAGCAAGAAGATTTGTTGGCAGAATCCGGAGATAAATTCTCATGGCGTCTTAAGAAGTATCTAACAAATCATAAATGCCAGCGAGCCTTTGATAAACTGTGCTCAGCATTGAACAAACCTGAGGTGATTGGAATAATTTCGGGCAATTTCTTAAGAATCCTCGAAATGCGAAGCTCAACCAGTAATCAAGTTCTAGTGATCATGAACAATTTGTTATCCTGTGAAGAGAATCAACAAAGCAGTTGGATGATGGAATTTCTACTTGAATTACTGAAGGACATTCACTGGAATCTTTGTCTACAACTCTCAAGTGAAATGCCAAGTGAGGAAATTCTCACGAGAGAGGATATCAAATTTAATGTCGTCCATTCGTGCCTTGTCTTGGAAAGTGTTGGTCTCTGTGCGAAGCGAATGGGATCAGTTTTCCATCCTTATCTCTTCAAGACATTCCATCGAATCCTCGCCAAGGCGGGAAGCAGCAATTATTGCGTGCGAACAGCTGCTACCATGGCTCTGGAGGACATGAAGGAGTCTTTCAACGCAGCAACAATTGAGGAATTCGTGCACAGCAATACAGATTACATCATATTCTACGTGAATAAGTTCTTGAAGAAGAGTTACACGTACGACGATGGATTGGGAATGCTGCAGATAATATTGGAATACACTGCAGAAGATGCAATAACTCACTTCTATTTGGAGACAATTTTGCAAAGTTTGCTTCAGGATGGCGAAAAGATCAAGGATCAACAGAAACTGAAGGCACACTTCAAGATATATCACCTTTTTCTGCTAAAGATGCTCAAGTGGTCGGAAGAGAACAACAAGGAAATCGTCAACGAGGAGAGTTCTGATGAGATTCTGCAGCAGTGGTTGGATATCCTTAATCAGGAGGAGGAAATTGAAACTGAGGAACATAATGAGACAGCGCCGAAGGAGGAAATCGAAGAAACCGAGAAGATAGTTCCAAATTACGTGAAACTAACCGATGAGATGATGAGGCTAGTCATCAAGTACATCTCTTCAAAAGATCAGGACTTGTCTTTGCTTTCCTTGGAGCTGATGACAGTCGGCATTTCTGTCCTGAGCGGATGCGAAGAGAAACTCCTGCCAATTGTACATCTAGTGTGGTTTCCACTGTCTGAGAAATTCAAGTGCAACAATCCTGTGATCCTGCGACAGTGCTTCCGATTACTTCTGCTCCTTGCCAGAACATCCAAGGACTTTATACTCAAGCGAACACTGAGCGATGTTATCCCAACAATCAACCAGTGCCTAATTGATGGTTCAGTGAAGTCTGCGAAAAATTCCCACTACGGAATGTTCATGTAAGTGTTTTCCTTACTCTCTTTGTGGTTATCAGAAAGATAAGAATTTGCGCATTTCTAGATATACTCAAGATTTCAAAGTCATCTCCACGATACTGTCTCAATATGGGAAACTGATCTCCGACATTCAGATGCAGGAGAAGAGTCTAGACACAGCCATAGACTGTGCTTTGCTGTACATGGAGAAGAATCAACATACGGAACTACAGAAGATGTCACTGGCATTCTGCAACTCCCTTCTCAACTACGATGCACCAACCATTTACTTGAGGCTTCGCAAGTATCCTAATTTCTTGGACAAATTGAAAATCAAGCGAGAGTAAAAGCCTAATTATATATTATCCTTGTTGCAATTTTTAGAAAATGTCTTTTGGTGTGCTCACAAAAGATTGAAGTTCTTCCTCTAGCTTATCAAACATGTTCCGCAAGGTTTCATGGGAATTGTCTTTCTTGTCCCTAAACTTCAGAATATCCGCGACATTTGCGATAAAGCTGTTAAATCGTGTTTTTGTTCTATCAATCTCTTTTTTCTGCAATCCAATCATTCGGAATGCACAACTTAAAATTTCATCTTTGTTAGCATCGCCTGGAATATGGAAAAGGTATTAGAATATTTCAACAAGGAACAAATAACCTGCAGAATCTTACGCTCTGTCATGATGTCCAATTGCTCAATTGATCTTCTCAAGTCTCTGCTTGGATCTCTTCTGGGACTGAGAACATCCTTGAAGGCATCAGCAATGCTAATTCCATGAGATTGAAGGCTTCTGTGCATATCAGATCGTGCTGAGCGATCAAAAGTAGATGAAACTTGAGGAAAAGATTCATCAAATATGTTTTCAGCGGATTTTGAAGTTGAATAGTTTGGCATTGACTCATCTTGTAGATTCCTGCTCTCATCCAATCCCATGCTTATGAATTCGGGCGAAGATTCCTCATCGATATCACTTAAATGCTCATCAATTCTAGTCAAACTTCGCCCTCGATTAAATGCCAATTGATTTGGATCAACTTCACCCTCCTCAAATAGATCCTCTGTGAACATTTCATTGGATTTGAGAATGCTGTCATCCAGTTCTGAGCTTGAGTAGAATGGCATTGACTCGTTTAGCAATTGGTGAGATTCGAAAGATGATTTTATGCTAGAGAAATTAGGCATAGATTCATCTTGAATATTGCTTTTATCTATACTACTAAATTTCGCTGAGGATTGCGAAATTCTCTGATTTCGTCTTGGTGTATATTTGCTCGATAAGTTTGATCTCTCTACAAAAGAGCTCATATCAGGGAATGATACCTTATCTAGATCACTCACGAATGAGTTGTACAGATCAGAAATTGCTGAAAATTCCCCTGTTTCTATGTTAATAAATTCAGGAGAAGATTCATCCGCAATCTCACTCAGTTCTTCAATTTCTTTTTCCCTATGCGACTGTCTGAATGAAGGATGCTTCTCATTGAAAGATGACGCAAAACTGGAGTAATGAGGCATTGATTCATCCTCAAGATTGCCCTTGTCAGTACTGATCAATTCCGGTGAAGATTCTTCATCAATTTGACTGAATTCTTCAGACAATTGGGAAATATCCTTTCTCTTTTGAGGATACAATAGATTTGAATCCACTAATGCGTCCTTAAACAGACTTTCTGTGTCCATTTCTTGAGATTGTAGAATACTTCGATCACGTCCGGATGAATAACGACTAGATAAATTTGATTTTTCCACAGAAGAACTCATATCAGGGAATGATACCTTATCTAGATCACTCACGAATGAGTTGTACAGATCAGAAACTACTGAGAATTTTTCTGTTTCAGTGTTAATCAACTCAGGAGAAGATTCATCCGCAATCTCACTCAGATCTTCAATTTCATGTTCCCGGTTCGCGTGTCGGAATGAAGGATGCTTCTCATTGAAAGATGACGCAAAACTGGAGTAATGAGGCATTGATTCATCCTCAAGATTGCCCTTGTCAGTACTGATCAATTCCGGTGATGATTCTTCATCAATTTGACTGAATTCTTCAGACAATTGGGAAATATCCTTTATCTTTTGAGTATACAATTGATTTGAATCCACTAATGCGTCCTTAAACAGACTTTCTGTGTCCATTTCTTGAGATTGTAGAATACTTCGATCACGTCCGGATGAATAACGACTAGATAAATGTGATCTCTCCACAGAAGAGCTCATATCAGGGAATGATACCTTATCTAGATCACTCACGAATGAGTTGTACAGATCAGAAACTACTGAGAATTTTTCTGTTTCAGTGTTAATCAACTCAGGAGAAGATTCATCCGCAATCTCACTCAGTTCTTCAATTCCTTCAAGATCTCTGTGCGAATGTCTGAATGAATGTTGCTTGTCGCTCAAGGATGATTCAAAACTAGAATAATGCGGCATTGATTCATTCTGAAGATTATCTTGATCAATACTTGATTCGTGATGCATTAAACTGCGCTCACGCGATTCTCTGATACTCTTGTTCTGACCAGATGCTTCTTGATTAAAGACAGATTCCACATAGCTCGAGTAATCTGGCATTGATTCATCCTGGAGATTCGACATGTCATCACGACCAGCGCTAACCAAATTCGGTGATGATTCATCATCAATAGCACTCGATTTATCTGCAAAAGAGCTCAATTCTGGGGCGGATTCGCTTTCTAGATCACTGACACATGTTTTAGCGAGGCTAGAGAAGTGTTCATGTCCCGTACTGACCAAATCCGGTGAAGATTCATCATGAATTTGGCTCAGTTGGTCATCAATTACAACTGCATCTTTTCTTCGATATTGAATAACTTCATCAATATTTGCCACTCCTTGCACAAATAAATCCTGTATGTCCATTTCATGCGATGCCAGAACACTCTGGTCTCTATCAGATGTAGAGAGACCAAAAGATGACGCTTGAACAGATGAAAATTCTGGCATTGATTGCTCTTCTAAGTTTTCTACAGAACTCACGGAAGCCAGACGTTCTTCAATTAGTTTCTGATAATCGCGTCTTGGACTCCGCAGACGGTCAGTTTGCATGATAATCCGCTCTCTTCCTGTTCTTTGCTGCTGCTGAGATTCTTTTCGGAGCTGCGAGAAATTCTTGCAAATCTCATTATCAAGTTGTTGAATTAACTTCACAAATTCATTGACCTTCTCAATATGCGTTATCTTGCTGGCCTTTAATCTTGTCAGAATCTTCAGAGTCTTATCAATTAGCTCATTTACTCTCAGAGCCTCGACTGTATCAGCTTTTGTGGTACTCGAGATAATTTTCTGATTTGACCGAGCTGAAAGTGGTCGTTTCGACTGCAATTCAGCAGGAGCTTTCCCAATAATTCTTTCTGAAATTTGGGAAGGGATTTTTCAGAAGTCCTTTTGACTAAAAGAATTGCACAAGAAGAATAAAAACCTCACCAGTTTGCACAATTCTCTCATTCTTCACATTCAGTGGCTTCAATGATTTCCCGTAATGAAATTCAATTTTGGAGCTCGATGGATTGTTTATGGCAAAGTATTCCTTTTTATCTCGAGTCAGTTCATATGTGAAGGCCGGAAGGATTTTACTGATTTTCGTGAATTTTCCAGGACGCGAGGACATTTTCGCCGTTGGTGTAAAAATTAAACAAATTCAAAGCTGTCATTCCCGCGACTACTCTGTGCGGCCTTTTCCGCTCGACTACCAGTGACACTCGGTAGTTCATCGCCTGGCGACACTGCTTTTTCTCGTGTAACTTTTTAGTGATTATATTATTAGTGGAAATGTCTGAGGAGAACCCCAGCAATAATGTAGAAATTAAGGATGAGAAGCATCCCAAAGCTGAGGAGTACAAGAATCAAGCAAATTCCTTCTTTAACAGTGAGTTCCGTGATGCTAATCTATCTGCCATGAGTCACATAACCACAATTTGTGGTGTCTTTTCCGAGAAAATCAATGAAATTCGCCAATGTCTTGTTGTTTTGCACCCTGCAGAGAAGGAGTACGACAAGGCCATTGAGTGGTACACTGAAGCAATTAAATTAGACCCTGAGAATGCCGTATACTTTGCCAACCGAAGTCTGGCTCACTTGCGGCAGGAGAGCTATGGCTATGCCCTCCAGGATGCCATTTCAGCCGTCAAGGCGGATCCCATCTACATCAAAGGTAGCGCAAAGCACTCTCACATTGCTCATCCACAGCATAACTAACGAGACGTCCTCCGTTTGCAGGCTACTACAGAAGGGCGGCGGCTCACATGTCCTTAGGAAAGTTCAAACAAGCCCTGAGTGACTTTGAGTACGTCGCCAAACGACGACCGCAGGACAAAGATGCTCAAATGAAGTTCAAAGAGTGCCAGAAGATCATCAATAAGCAGAAGTTTGAGAGGGCAATCGCCACAGAGAAGAAGGAATTGTCACTGGCGCAGATGTACAGGGATTTGGATGGCATTTGTAAGGCGCTATTCATGTTTGCCACGTGTGTGTGCTGACTTTATCAAATCTTTGCAGCCATCGAGGAGGATTACTTGGGCCCCAAGCTGGAGAATGAGAAGGTGACGGAGAAGTTCATGCTGGACCTCATGGAGTTCTACAAAGCGGAGAAGAAACTCCACCGGAAGTACGCGTACAAGATCCTGTGTGATGTGGACGAGTATTTCCGCAAGCAACCATCCCTGGTGGACATTAAGGTGCCGGACGCCTCAAAGTTCACCATCTGCGGTGACATTCACGGTCAGTTCTTTGACCTGATGAACATCTTCAAGATCAATGGACTTCCCTCAGCCACGAATCCCTACCTCTTCAACGGGGACTTCGTGGATCGGGGCTCTTTCTCAATCGAGTGCATCTTCACACTGTTCGGTTTCAAGCTCCTCTACCCGGACCACTTCTTCCTGGCTCGTGGCAATCACGAGAGTGTCACCATGAACCAAATGTACGGCTTCACGGGCGAAGTGATCGCCAAGTACTCCAGCACAATGTCGGACATGTTCACCCAAGTGTACAACTGGCTTCCACTCTGCCACTGCATCAACGACCGCGTGCTCGTGATGCACGGCGGCCTCTTCTCGCAGGACAGCGTGTCCCTGGACGACCTGCGCAAGATCGAGCGCAACCGCCAGCCACCGGACGAGGGCCTCATGTGTGAGCTCCTGTGGAGCGACCCGCAGCCCCAGATGGGCCGCGGCCCGTCGAAGCGCGGCGTGGGCATTCAGTTCGGACCCGACGTCACCGAAGCCTTCTGCCAGTTCAACAAACTCAACTACGTGGTGCGCAGTCACGAGGTAAAGCACCTCGGCTACGAGGAGGCCCACAATGGAAAATGCATTACAGTGTTCTCAGCGCCTAACTACTGGTAAGGACTCCATCGGACCTTCTGGCTTATGATCCGAGTTAACTAATCCCGCTTCCTTTGCAGTGATACAATGGGTAACATGGGAGCCTTTATCACAATCAAGGGAGACGACTTGGAACCTAAATTTACAACATATGAGGCTGTGGTGAGTACAACTGAGCCAAATATCCAGCGCATTGAAGAAATTAATTAAAACCTCCCTCTTGCCTTGCAGCCTCATCCAAATGTAAAACCAATGGCATATGCAAATTCGCTGCTGAATTTGCTGATGTAGTCAATATTACAATAGCATGTAAATAGATTGGTTTGTACACGAAATTAGATATATAGATTGATATTTAGGTAAAAATGGACAGAAGGACAACAGCAACAATTTTACACCCCATCCTCGATATAAAAGAAGCCCACATTTTAGTTGCTCAATACATTATAAAATTTTCAGTTACACAATTTTCATAATTATAAAGAAAAAAAAACAGAATATACTTGAAATTTTACTGATATCTTAATAAAAATGTGTTCTTTATTTGGCATGGATTTCGGATTGCGCTTTCGAGAGTTCAAGAGCGCGCTTTTTTCTAGCAAAATATGCGCCACGAGCGGATGATCCGGGAATTGAGGAATGTCAACAATATTTTTATAAAATCACTTCGCGAAAGTGGGGAGAGGAATGTTAAATTTTATGCGATTTTTTGTCACATAAGTTCTATTCATAAAATCAATCCGTTATAATATATTCATATGTTTCCACTAGCTTACGCGGAGATTAGAATCGGGCTCAGATTGGCACTGTAGAAATCTCAAACGTCAACCAAAACAAGTGCGTGTCGCAAGAGCGCTTTTCTCTTTTTGTTCCTCCTCGAGATAGTGCACATCTCTTCGTCTAGCTAGAATGTCCGGAGGCAATAGCCTGACGATGGACGGCGAACTGCGGTACATGGTGCAGTGGTTCAATGAGTGGAGTGAGCTTCAGCGACAGGACTTCTTGCCCATCCTCCTGGAGTGCCTCTCGCCGGAGTCCTATGTGAATGGACTCGTGAGCGGAATGGCCGAGGCGTCGTGCAATGACAAGCCGATGAGTCTGTTTCAGTGTCGGGTGAGGCGCCCACTTTTGCTCCCAATTCGCCGCCCAATTAATTGACCCTCTCTGTCTAATCTGATTAGGTGAAGCTCTTCCGTGAGTGGTCCAGCAAATGGCCCCAAAACATCAAAGAGAAACTAAGTGAGAAAGTATCTGAAATTGATCCCACATTTGGAGACAAGTTCAGCAGTGAATTGGAGGGTTTGCAGACAAATGGAACCGAATCTGCCGAATCGGAATCCAATGATAAATCACCGACGACTGCTCAAGAATTCTAATTGGGACTCTACAAGGCATTCCTTCAGACCCTGACTGACTTCATGACCATTTGCGAACATCGAGGATTGATCCTCGGCATTTATACGGAGAATTTCTTTAGCAGCTCTCTCTTTTTTTCTATCTATTCTACCACTAAAGCTTATACATATTTATCATTCCCCGAAATATTTATGATAAAATAACAATAGTAAATAACATATAGTGTCACATTCCATTGCAGAACTAGTTGTGATACCCAACATATTCCCAAAAAAAGAGAAAAATCATTAGAAAATCATTTTTCCTATTATCAAATTGTATCTTGGAGTATATCAAATTATCGGTTTTTGATAGAGGAATATATATATTTCTTTATAAATCCCTGAAATAAATTTTTTTTGAAAAATCTACAATAAATTTGGTGTGTTTTCCGACTCTGGTTGCGAGTAGCGGAAGTTTAAAGTGAGGGGATCTGTCACTTCTATAGCCACCTCATCTTTCGAAACGTCAGAGTCCATGGGGAGGAAAGGTCAGATTGCGAGTGTAAGCAAATAAATCGCGGAAAATGCGGCCAATCATTTCAAAATTGCTCATCCTATTCACCTGCATATTCGGCGTGCGTGGGATTATGTTCAATCTCCTGCCTAACACGCAAAAATGCCTGAAAGACGAGATGCAGCCCAAACAACTCGTCACGGGCGACTACGAAGTGACAGACTTACCGGGCCAGAAGGTTGACTATGTGGTAAATATCAATCAGGAATCCCTCAATAACTACCTTCCGGCACTTCTTGCTAAATCAATTTCATTGCCTTGCAGATTAAGGACTCCAAGGGACACATTTTGTCACAAAAAGATCAAATATCTAAGGGGAAATTCACCTTCTCATCCGAACACTACGAAGCCTTCGAGATATGTTTCATATCCAAAGTATCACCACGTAAGTTCCGCCGATTTCTCCTCGTGTTTCTTGCTAGTGGCCTAAGAAATTGACAAATCTTGGCCTTAAATCGCTAAACGGTGTAATTTATATCCGAAAAATGCTTGTCTTCCAAACAGATCAACGTGGGCTCACTCATGACGTGTTCCTCTCTGTCAAGAAGGGAGTAGAGACCAAGAGCTACGAAGGGGTAAATATGTCTAATATATTCAACTGATCTCATTTCATTTATGTCTTAAAAATGCGTAAATGTCTTATTTCTCTTTATGGGTAAAAAAAATCTCAGTTCTTTCTGGTAAATATAGCAGATAATTTGCTAGTTTTTGTATGAGTTGTTTGCGCACTAAACTGAGTTTGAGATTCTTTTTTTTTTCAATTCCATACTAATTCCAATTCCACTACGGAGAGTGAAGTAGTTTCTGGCGATTAGTTCCGGGAACATACATATTCCTCACATCTATTTATTCCTGAGTTACTTTTGTATAGACACTGTTTCGCTCTCCCTTGCTGAACTTTGCAACACAGCGTTCTAATCCAATTTTCTCAATTTCTTATAGTATGGCGAAGCGGCTAAGCTGAAGCCACTGGAGATCGATATGAAGCGTCTTGAGGACTTGTCAGACTCAATTGTACAGGATTTCGCCATCATGAGGAAGCGTGAGGAGGAAATGAGGGATACAAACGAATCCACCAACAATCGCGTGTTGTTCTTCAGTATTTTCAGTATGTGCTGCCTTTTGGGTCTGGCCACATGGCAAGTCCTCTACTTGAGGCGATATTTCAAGGCGAAGAAGCTTATTGAGTAGAGAGATAGTTCAATTTACCGGGTGTTTCTGTTTCCTCAGCGTACGGTTAAGTGTGTGTGCATCAGAAATTTCGAATAGACATTGATGATCATTATTATTCCGCGATATCACGAAACTGTAACTTATTGGGCAAAAATGTTAAATTGTAAGAATTGTAAAGAAACCACACAATTTTTGGACTTGATTTACGACTTTTCAGATAAATAAACACTTAATTGTACATTCAACGCTTCTTACTATCATTTCGTTCCACTGAATCTTTGCCATGAAATTGCATCGAGTCTGCAAGGAATAAATTAACTACGTTTTGCATCTACACCGACAATGTGTGTCACAGAAAATTCGGCAATGATAGCGAAGGTGTGCTGTTCCTTGAGCACCGGAACGAAAACCGGCTTTTGACTAAGTGGTATTTTTTATATACCAAAATATCAATTGGAAATCATTTGTCACCAAATACGTTAAGAATTTATTTGAATCCGCTTTGAATTCCGGTCATTTCGACCGTATTTTTTATCAATGTATCTCATCGCGGTTCTTAATCATCTTTGGTGCTTTTTCTGAGTGACTCTTCTCACTTCCTGGGCTTAGTTTTACACTGCTGTAATTTAAACATAATGACAAAGACTTTTGGAACCTAAACCGGAGCAATCCGGTCTCTAGTTAGTAACTTGAATCATCCTCTTACTTGCAACCCACCATATAATTAAATCGACCAAACTGAGAAAACGAGCAGATGAAAAAATATATTTTCAAAGTCATTTCGCGGTTTTTCGAATGCCGCAAGCACACCTCAAAATTAACCGCCTTTTTTCGCGCTTTTCATCAAAGACTGGCTTTCAGAAAAATTATAATGATGTTAAAACAAGATCTTGCGGGTATGCATGAAGAATTCTTCTGCCTCGAAGGAATCTCTTGCGGGAAAACATACTGAGGGGATTCACCGTGTGGCTCATTGGCAAACATGACGAAGACAAGCAACAAAATACGCAGAAAATCCCGCGCATCGCTGGGAAATATGTTGTGTTTTCTTTTGACGACAACATCGTCGCTGAGGCCGTGCACTTTCACGCCGCGCGTCTCCCACGAGATCATGGTATTCCCTTTGAGGATTCCAGTCCGATCAACCGTGAGAGTGTGGGGAGAAAAAGACCCAGAGTGGGGATTCCTCGTGTGGTTGATCGTTAAGTCTGGTCATCGTCTGCAATATCTCCTCAACACACTCTTTGCTTCACGGTACATTTCGAGCATATACAGTCTCATTTAAGCGCTTAACGAAATCACAAGTCTCTTAATCACTCCTCTTCTCCACTATAAAGCCCACCAGCCACCGGAAGAACGGACTCATAGTGTTGAAACCAGTGCTCAGTGCTGTGTGATTAGGACAAAGAATTATAACTTTTATTAGTGGGAAAATGTAGAATGTGAGCAAACTCATTCCTTTTCCACAAACACTGCCAATCAATATACTCTCGGGGAGGAAAATCGCGGTTTTTTTATCAGATTATTCCGCAATGACCCGAAAAGTAATTTAGTGATTTCATTGCTCATCTCTTTTTTCCTTCTGCTGTTTTTCACAGTCAGCAATAAAGCGTTTTGTGTGCCGAGAACATTTGCTATGACACTGGAGAGGAGATAATTTCGCATAAAACATACAATTCTTTTTACAATCTTACTACGAGTTTGACTTGTATTGTGGATTTAGTGTAGACTTGAGACGAGTGAGTGCACCTTAAAGATGACCACTCTGTGTTTGTTGCCGATTTTACTTTGCCTAGCAAATATTGGTGAGTATCATGGGAATCATTCACGTGTAGCTCGTTTCACCGTTAGTACTTAATGCTTCAATAATGATGATTATATGCAAAATGTTTCTGGCAAATTAATTTGAATGAGTGTCTTTGACCGTTCTTTAGCATACACGTGGGATGATTTCAACTATTACGACCATTATCCCGACTTCTACAGACCCTTCAGGCGCTACGACAGCCCGGAGGATGATCTCTTCGACAGACCGTGCCAATGTATTAAGTTAAAACACTGCCAATCCTTCATTGACATTCTCTCCAAGACCTCTACCAGAGAAATATCACCATTCCTGGCTCAGAAGTTCAGAAAAGCCTCCTGTGGCTTCCGGAATGCCGAGCCAGTTGTGTGCTGTCCCACGCCAGCTTCGAGATTCGGCAGGAACAACCGAAAAAGGGAGCACACGAGCACAACCACTGAGGAGACTTGGGTGTGGGACGTGGAGAAGGAAGAGAGTGACACGAGTGAGGAGGGATTCGGAGGCTGGCACAGACCTCACAATCGCTTTGATCCCAACAATTTCCACCATGACCATCACTATGATTACGACTGGAAGCCAAATCGCCGAAGACATCACTACTATCCTCACTTTGAAGATCCTCACACGAAGAAGAACTGCCCGCCTGGCTTCTCTAAGGAGTTCGACCTTCCTAATACCGTGACACCCGTCGCTCCATCCCTAGATTCGCCAGGAAGTGCAGAAACAACCACAAGCAACAAGCAGTCTCTCGTCAACTCCGATCTGTGCGGAATTTCGGTGAATACAAGGATTATTGGCGGCGAAGACGCTGGTCCAGGACAGTTCCCTTGGATGGCGAGACTAGCGTATCGCAATTTGAGTGAGTAATCGCGAAAATAGCTCAATGAGCGCGAAGTTCATGGAGAAAAAATACAAGGTTGCAGCAAAAATTATGAAAAACCAAAGAAATACGCCAAGATTGTGCCATCGAGATAAGGCTAAAAGCTACAAATTAACAAGTGTATTGGAGTGCGCGCGTGTGTGCCTTCCTCAAATGACCACATTTTGAAATATTTATTTTCTTTATACCAAAAAATTTTTGTTTTACGAAATTCGCTCACATTATTAGTTAGAGAGTACAAAAAAGTTGTCGGATCATAAACTTTCGATTTTCATCTCGTAAAATTATTCCCTCCAAATGTACAATCAATAATAAAATCACGGACACAGAAAGCATCGTGAAATCAAGTACATGTGATATTAAGATCATGGTAAAGTGTCACCATATAGCATGCCAACGAATGCCTTCTCTATGGTACAATGAACGCCAGAAAATCGCAATAGTGAAAAAAAATTAGGTATTTAAATCAACTTCCGCATCCAAACCATTGTTCACCTGATGTGTAATATTTCTGCGGCGCCTCAATTTATGAACTTCTTCTTCCACACAGCGTCTGGACGGGTAACTTATCGCTGTTCTGGGTCAGTAATATCGGACAGATATATTGTGACGGCAGCCCATTGTGTGCGCAATCTAATTGATGATCTTCAAGTGTGAGTAAAATGAATGGAAAAACATCTTTGGAAAGGATTAATTTGATCTGCTTCATTGTACCTGCAATTTTTCACAGTGTTATGGTCCGCCTCGGCGAATTGGACACGCGATCAGACATTGATTGTGATCCACAGACATCGCGGTGCACACAAGCTCAAGACTTTGAAATCGAAAGGATTATCCCGCATTCGGGCTACGACTCACCGAAATATGCAAATGATATTGCTCTCATTCGACTGCGACGACGTACAAATTCATGTAAGTCGTATTTCGATATTTAATTCACTGAATTATGTTTTAAAAATGAGAGTAAAAAATCATCACTCAATTACGACGACACAGTCACAAATTAATAGGAGATTGTGGGGTTATAACGGACATGTTTTCCAGTATATAGGAAAAATTGAGGTGAAGAAAAGCAAAAATCAAAAACAGCTCAGTTCTCTCTTATACAAGTAACAACTACATCATCGTGACCTTTCCATCTGTGCTTCAATTTACACCGCTTGTATTTTATATATGGAAACTGAAGATAAAACGAGATTGTATCTTTCGCAGCTTTTATCAGTCCTCTGTGCCTCCCCTCGGGACAATACGCTGATGTTCTTCAGAACGAGGGAACTAGAGCCATTATAGCCGGCTGGGGATCGATGACCGCAGGTAAATGCCAAATAAAACCTTGTAGTAATTATTATTATAGCCTCTTTTCTTCACAAAAGACACATTCGTCATAGTTTTTATCAAATCACCTCAATTAATTAGAAGTGTTGAAATTCTCCGTGAATATTAAATCCGTGATCAGATGGCTTACGCAAATATTATGCCGTATTATTGGAATATTTGATTCAAGAGTGAAGAAACAAACATCATCATGTATGACATTGAGACGAGGCGAAGCTTTAAGGATGAACAATGTGGGGAAAAAAATCCCAAAAATATTCACAGTGCCAATATTTGAACACTCTAATAGAAATTTCTGTGGTTTTTCGCGGAGGAATTCTCTTTCTAATTGTCTCCGTGTGTCTATTGTCAGCCAGCAACACTCCGAGTCCAATGCTGCAATGGGTGAGGCTGCCCATTGTGGGTAATACAGGCTGTGCCGAGGCTTATCAGCGCTTCAGCGCCAACTCCCGCACGCCCATCATCGTGTCACAGTCACAGATGTGCGTTCAAGGCAGAGAGAACATGGATGCGTGTCAAGGTGAGGAAGAGTCAAATTCATCTTTCGCCCTGTCTAATTTAATTGCCTTTCCAGGCGACAGCGGAGGACCTCTCATGAGCGAAGGCATCCCCGGATCAGAGCGATACATTCTGCTTGGCTTGGTCTCCTTCGGGCCCAGAACGTGCGGAGTGTCCAACTTCCCGGGCGTTTACACACGAATTTCATCGTATATTGACTGGATAATGGAAAATATACAAGCTTGATGTTCATTTTATAAATGGTTTATAGTGGCAGACTCGAATTTTGTGATGTTCTCGGTATAGATTTTGGATAAAAATCTACCTCAATCGTGTAAATACCTCCCCAACAACATTTATAGTAGTTATAATAAATTCTATTTATATATAGAGTAGTTAATATCCAGTAGAAGTAATAAAAGAACTCAATATAGAGAATGCAACTATCGTGACATTTTATCAATACTCCACACGATTTACCACCTCAATTGTTATCACAGACATTTTTCCTTGCTAATAACTATAAAAGTGTAAAGAAATAAATAAATCAAAAGACTTCGCAACAAAGCAGCGATAGAGATCCATTTTTCCGAAGCTCATTAAATTACAAACATTCTGGGGAAATACACACTTCACGCTAAGATAGAGTTTTCCAATACAAAATTCCCACATAAAAAAAACGTCATCTTTATCAATTGGCAATAGAAATTGAGAAATTTAAAATTCCCAGCTAAAACTGCAAATGTGTGTGCGCATCTTCATTCATTTTTCTCTCCTCGAATCTACACGAGCATGAAGATCGTTGGCTTCAATACCAACTGTCGCAATTTCCTTTTCAGCGTTGTTTTTATATCACTTCTGCGGTAAACATATTCAATACTGATCAATTAAGCGTAAAATACCAATGAAATCAATCTGATGAGGCTTCAGAATAATTTATCAAGCCTGTTTTCAATGAGACAAACTTGCTAAGCTGAGTGTAATTCCCACAATTGCAGTTCCTGCGTCTACAAAGTCGAGATCTCGAATCAAAACTTGCGTTTTTCAGTCAAATTTTTCACGTATTCTTGCAAGAAAGAGACAGATTAGTCTGATAAGGGGAAAAGGTACAATTTAATACGACAAACACTCATGCAGCATGCGTCGTGGTGGGAATTCTGTCACTCCATTCGCCACCCTGTGAATTAGCATACACAATCTCAGCTTTTTGCTTGTGCTCCGTACACAGTAAAATCTATAAGATACTGTTTGTGGTCAGCCCAGCGACTGGTTTCCAACAGTCGTCTGTGAGCATTCCGCAAGTGCTCATCGTCTCGCAAGTTCGGTGACAATTTTGCGTATACATTGGATTTCCTATTTTCTATAATAGCATTTCCCTCCTAATTCCATTATGAGTGTCCAAATAAATTACCTCTGCGCCCTGATCATTCTCTGTGCAAATCTAGTTAATGCGGGTAAGTGAGAAGAGGTCAAGTTTACACGCGCAATCCCAAATCGCCACTTGATATTGCGACACGCGATTAAATCCGCAATGTTCGGGAAAGCCTGAAGAGGGAATATTTGGTGAGAGAAATTTCCCAATATTTCGATGGGGGGAAAAGTGTGTGTTGTGCGGGATAAAATGCTGAAAGATGCGTCATTCCAGTAAAGTCGTCCAACGACTTTTCGGGGGATTTTCACTGCAGACACTCAAGTTGAGTCTTTTTTTCCTGCAAGACTCCCATACAGTGGCAATGTTTCTTGCTAAACCTGCTCAACAGTGGTCGTGGAGCAAGACAACGATCTGGGAAAATACATCCATTAACATATTGAGTAGTCTTTTCAATGTCAAAAATCTGTCCAGGCACTACATAGCGTACATAGCATATGTATCATAAGTGATAGAGATTCATTAATTGCCAAGAAGACACATAAAATGCGTGAAGAAAGGCTTTTCCGCACAGAAAACCGGGAAGTTTTGCCGAGAAAAATGCATCTCATCCAAGAAATCCTTGAGATTAGCACTTCATTGCGAGTCACAAGCAGTTGTTAATTGCCTTCAGAGAGCTCATTAGTATCTCACATTGTCTCACTGTATTGGATGAGACTTTTACTCACATGATCTCTGCTCACTAGACTATACAACAACCTACGGACAATGCTACATGCCCGATGGATCCACGGGAGTCTGTGTCAATCTGCACGAGTGCAAGCACCTGTACGAGATCCTCACGAGCAAGCGACCACTAACTGAGGACGATAAGCAGTACCTTCGCGAGAGACAGTGCGGCTTCTTCAGTGGCACAGTTGGAGTAAAATCCACCTTCGCATCAGAATGTCGAGCGTAATGTTTTAATTGCTCTGTCTTGTAGGTTTGCTGCGAAGTCGAAGTGAGTAGCAACTCAGGTTTCAGCAATAATGACCTCCTGCCCGATCCCAATTCGGGTCAGTGCGGTATCGACACCAGCAATAGAATTTACGGCGGCGAGGTGACCAAGATCGACGAGTACCCGTGGATGGTTCTGCTGAGGTACAAGAAGCCCGGAAATCGCTTCGGCTTCCACTGTGGCGGCGTATTGATCAACAATCGATACGTTATGACGGCCTCGCACTGTGTCAACGGTCGAGACATCCCCGCTGACTGGACACTGTATCAAGTTCGTGTTGGAGAGCACGACACGGGCAAGGATCCCGACTGTGATCCCGATAACGACTGCGCTCCCTCACCCAAGGACATCATAATCGAGCAGAGAATCCCGCATCCTCAGTACGTGCCCTCATCGCGAAACCAGAGGAATGACATCGCTCTCCTGCGACTCGCTCAAACTGTGCAGTTCAATGACTTCGTCAAGCCAGTGTGTCTCCCAACGGCTTCCTACTTGAGGAATGACAATTTCGTGGGCAAATCCATGGACGTGGCAGGATGGGGAAAGACCGAGAGTGGTAAGGTCACCTTAATTCTTACCATAAGTTTAAGTTTAAGGCCAGGAAGTTCAGGGTCACGAAGAATTCAATTTCAGAGATAAAAACGTCAGTTGATAAAGGAGTGAGATAAAGGCCAAGACGCTTTTGCCCCTCGCAATTTGTGTTCCAAAAGTGTTTTCTTATGCAAACCAAACCAATCATTTTTACCCAAACTTTCCCTTTCAGTGAGCGCCAGCAACGTGAAGCTAAAGGTGAGAGTGAATGGCGTGAGCCAGGACTCTTGCAACTCAATCTACTCCAGACAGAATGTCGTTATCGGACAAGGACAATTGTGCGCTGGCGGTGAGAAGGGCAAAGATTCATGCAGAGGAGATTCCGGAGGTCCCCTTGTGGCCCTGGGTAAGACAACTACCGTCATTTGGATTATTTATGTGCAATATATCTCAATGATTCTATTCAGATAACAAAGCGGCGAGACCTTACTGGTTCTGCGTGGGCCTGGTGTCCTTTGGACCATCACCTTGCGGCCTGGAGGGCTGGCCAGGTGTGTACACAAGAGTGTCTGAGTACATCGACTGGATCTCTCAGACAGTCCGTGCCTAAATTCGTTGTGATGCCACATAAAGAGAGAAAACGAATATTTGTACTGCTGTTTTATAACTTCCGATTAAAGGCATTTTAAAAAATGTATAAATACTACTTACACGAGCACTACATCCGATGATCGTGCATTCCCTTCAGCGAATTGGATATCTTGATGGTCTTGTAGTCACTTCTCAGCTGAATGAAGTTCATCACCACGGACTTGTCCAGCGAATTGAGTGTTTCTCCGCCGCAAACCTCTTGCAGATTCTCATGCTTCACCAGCAACAGATTGCACAGGGCGTGAAGGACGTCGAATAGCTGCGTGACCAGGGGACTCTTGAGCTCTCTCACGCACTTCCTGTACTCATTCACGTCGCAAATTGCACACATCGCACCCGCCGTGTTGTACTGAAACTGCTGCAGATGATCGAAGATCACACGATGCAGCCTCACACCCAATTCTGTCATCACCGACGACAGATTCTCGCCATCAATGCAGCACTGAATCTGCTGGATGGCCGACATCAGTTGCTGCACGACGTGGTGACACGCCGGAGATGCCACAGTGTCAATGTCCGTGTCTGGTTTGAAGTCCGACTTCCGCTGCTCACTCTGCAGATAGACCTTCACCCATCCGACCAGTGCGTTGATTGATCTATCCAGTCCTGAGTCCAATTTGCTCTCAATCTGATCCAGCATGATTCGCTTCTTCTCCGTGCAGTCAATATATCGCGGAGTTGATCTGAAATTAACATAAAAGCCATTAACACACAGACAATAAGGTCACACAATTGAGGCGAATCTTACACAACGCACGGAAGAATGCTCGCACTGTATGTCTTCTCCAGCAGATGGACAATCGTGTTGCTCTTCTGTACACAATCAAAGAAGTATATCTGCGGATGATTCTTGCTCTCCACGAGTGGAATGGCATTGAGACCCAGTTCAAGGGCATAATCAACGTGCTCATGCATTAAGTATCTGAGGAGAATGTCTGCCAGACGAATGGCATTTGATGGCAGGACGCTCTTATTGGACAACAGACGACATCTCTTGAATGCCACCTTGGACTCTTGCAGCAGATTTATCGCCAACTCCTCAGACAAGAATGTCTCACCGCCATAATCCTCAATCTGGGCGATATTTATGTTGGCTCTGGTGCCAATCAGCGCCTGGACGTCGCGCTTCAGATCATGGAAGCGTTCAGTCTGCTTCTTCTGATGCTTCTTGCCTCTGTAGAACTCTTGCAGCTCCGATGAACACTTTCCATCCAAAACTCTCGCCTCAGTGTCAATATACGTGGCCAAATGCTTAGCGAAGATATTCATGGTGAGCTTGGACAGCAAATCATCATCACTCTCCATCGTGAACTCAGACAGATCACTGGAGAGCTTCATGGTGCGGGAATACATATCATACAGCGTCTTCAAGTACTTGTCCTCATCGCGACGATCCTCCAGCTTTGTCTGGGCGTATTGGTTGATCTTCAGTTGGTAAATGTTGAGGATGAACTTGGACATGACCTGATCCGGACTGGCGAACACCTTCTTGATGATCGTGTAGTGATGTCGACACATTGGCAGAATGCCGCCGAAGATATCCTTTCCGCCATACGTTGAAGCCTGACTTTGCTCAATGTAGGCATCAACACACTGAGAGTATCCCTTAAATTGCGATAAAATCGTCGCGATATGTTTCATATTATCAATATCTTCAGATTTTTGAGCTCTGGCAAACTCCTCAATCAATGCTCTTTCAATTTCATCGTATTTCGCCTCGATTTTCTTCTTTGCCTCGCCAAATTTGTCTGACGGCAGATCTTGGGATATTGTGTACAGTTTCTGGATGATATCAGCCGCCTCGAAGAGCTTACTCTTGTCGCTGAACACTTCATTAATCACCCTTCCGGGAGTGAGAAATTCACTCATGTGATTCAGCAGTCGCTGTGCTTCAACAGTTCTGCTTCTGGGCGTGTTCACGTTTTCCAACTGCTCGCCAAGGTGGATAATCTTGCCGGCGACAGAGTTGATCTTCTCATCCAGCTGATGGAACCAATCCACAGAGACCTGATGCTTTTCCTGCAGCTTATCTATGTTGGCACCATGGAATTTTTGCTCCTCTTTCAAAGACTCTTCGAGTTTCTCACACTTTCTCTGCTGTCTTTCTTGCAAGATGGTGAGATCCTTGATTGTTTGCACAAAGGTCTCGTGCAAGAGGTCAGGATCAAACTCTTCTGGGCCCAATTCATTGCTGGTCCTCCAAGTCAGCCTCTCGATGAACTCCGCCACATCGAAAGGCTCCTGCAGCAGAAAGAACAGTTGGAAATACTGTACCAATTGTTAGGAGAGGAAGAAGACTACACACCTGTTCCAGTTCTTCCATGTGGGACATCATCTTGGCCAGGAAATCTAGGAAATCTTAATAAATAAACACCCCACAGATTTTTGTTGTCACCCACACTTTGACAACACTGTTATACTGCCCGTCAGCGCCTCTGGCGGCGAGAAGCGCAGCCAAGTGCAAGAAAAACTGATCGAAAGTGCTATAATATGACATCACGTATGGCAAGACCAGCTACGTCAATCGTCTTGACGAAAGGAAAAAGTCGCCATTGTTCTTGTCAACTTTTGTACAAGTTTTTCCGTGATAATTTCTTCAGAACAATCCATTCTTTGTGCTTAAGTCACTGCTAAAGAGAATTCTACGTCCTCCTGCTCCATCACTAACCATTCGGTGTCACGAACAATGTCTGCTATGAGTCCCGAATAGTAAGTTGAAGATGCCTTGTTTTGCGCCCCGTCCCGTCGTCGAGGTGGCCAATCGTTGCCACCTCCAACCTCTCCTCATCCCATCGTCGCTCTTTCCTCCCAACTCCATTCAATACTCCGTGTTTTCGCTGTCGCTCGACTCTGCTGTAATGCCAACCACGAGGCAATGCCCCGTGGGTGAGACTCTGCCCCCGGGGGCGCTCTGTGGATCGCCAGCAAATGGAGTTTTGATGATGCAAAAGCCTCATTTTTCACTGCCAAGTAGCGCTTTACCCATTCACTTCAGCGCAATTTACGATACGAGACGCGCATTTGATGAGTCATCCGGAAGAAAAGTCATCAGAAGAGACTCCCGAGTAGCGACTCGCGTGGAAATCAGCCTCATTTTCCCAAACACACTCATTCCACGAGACGGAGACACAAAGACTTTGACCCAGAAATGGGCGTTTCTTTGTGACCTCACATTAATCTGCGATGCATTCTAAATACAATCTCCCTTTTTCCAGTGATTATCTGTTTAAACTCCTCCTAATTGGCGACTCTGGCGTCGGCAAATCCTGCCTACTGTTGCGTTTTGCGGTAAGTTTGCCAAACATCCCACAAGCAACGAAATTCCTCCTTATCTCAAGACTCTATCAATGCTTTGTTGCAGGACGACACCTACACAGAGAGCTACATTAGCACCATTGGCGTAGATTTTGTAAGACTAATCCTTTCTATTCAACTCTTCGATGACGAGAGTAATGGTTTTCTTCTTCTTGCAGAAAATTAGAACAATTGAGCTCGACGGAAAGACCATAAAACTACAAATTGTAAGTTGCAATGATTATCGACAGAGTGTAGAAAGAAATAGTGAAACTTCATTGCCAAAGAGTCTGTTGTGTGTGTATTCCTGACTTTCGGCTGTAGATTAGACACGAAGTGAATCCTTTAAGGATGTTAATTCTTTAAATTGGAATATCAGCAAACATTGGGAACTCTAAATAACGATATTTCTATAAAATCATGCATTTTCCATAAATATCAGGGTGTTAGGAAATCAGTTTACAGCTTCTAAATACGATAATCGTGCAGTTACAATTATGATACACACATTGCGCACATTACCAATGTAATAAACATCAAAATATGACTGAATTGCACACATGAGAATTGGTGATGAAAGCAGCAGTGATATAATAAACCCTCAGGATATTAATCCTTCCTATTTCGGTGGAAATACAAGGTTAGACGTAAACCTTGTGATATTTGCCATATAAAACTACAGTGTAACACACCCACAATATTGATTTGGTGATGTTTCGGTATACATATTTTGCTCTCTTCGGAGAAATACACACTGACTAACATTTTGGCAATGACTAACCTTGAGTGGAATTCCCGGAAGTGTTTTATACGCGTATTTCAAGACTTCTCACATAAAATGCTTCTCTTTCAGTGGGACACTGCTGGCCAGGAGCGATTCCGTACGATCACGTCGTCTTACTACCGTGGCGCTCATGGTATTATCGTTGTGTATGATTGTACAGATCAGGAGTCATTCAATAACGTGAAGCAGTGGCTGGAGGAGATTGAACGCTATGCATGCGAAAACGTCAACAAACTTCTGGTAGGCAATAAATGTGATCTTACAACCAAGAAAATTGTTGATCACACAACGGCTATGGTGAGTTTTAAAGCAAAGAGAGATATGATATATGACTAGATATCAACTGAAATATTCTCTGTTTGCTAACGCAGGAATATGCGAGTCAGTTGGGCATTCCATTCCTTGAGACGTCAGCCAAAAATGCCACGAATGTTGACCAGGCTTTTATGACAATGGCTGCGGAGATCAAGAATCGCGTTGGACCGCCATCCAGTGCAACAGAGGCTGCAGGAAAGTCGGTGAAGATTGATCAAGGGCGTCCAATTAGCGATACCAAATCGGGCTGCTGTTGAAGAGTGTGTGTGTGTTTCAAGGAGGGGAAGGAAGAAAATATGCACCATCGGCATTTTTATAATTTACAATACCATTCTTTTCTTTTGAAACTGGAAATCAGAAAGAGCGCGAAAAAACAGTTGAGGAGTTGAAAGAGTCCCAATTCAGCTACTATTACTTTAACATATTACATTTAATAATAGGGAAAGGAGGAGCAAAAAGGAAGCATCATGAAATAAAAAAGAAACCACAATTTTAAGATGAACTTAAAAAAAGGAGGAAAATTGAAGAATCGAGGGAACTTGAGAGAGTATATATATAAATTTGGTATGGCAAAGAGAAAAAAAATCCAGGATGATATAATCGATTGATCAAAGACGATAAATGTATTTAAGAAAAAATTAAATATTTCACACATAATGAAGTTCATATAATTTGAGCAAGTATTGATGGTTGGCTGAATGCAGCACTTTATTATTAAAGAGTCACGTAGATTTCAAGAAGAATAGAATCTGAGGTGTGTAAAGTATTCGAGGGCATCGATCGAGGTATAGTTTGAGTAAATGTGGGTGTACTGAAATCTACTTGATGTTTAATAATGAAATATATATAAATAAAATTATAATGAATCAGAATAAGAGTAAATAAAGGATAAATTGATAAATGAAGTACATTTGTGAAGATGGAAATTTAGATTCAAATAAAATACACACGTAATAAAATTCTATGGGTTTTTTGTATTCCTTTTTTTCACATTGGCGCTGTTAAATTTTTATATAGGGAAAAGTCAATGTTCTTTTTCAAAGAGTTTGTTATCATTTGCTGACACTTCCTCACAAATCTTCACACAAGTAGAAAGACAAAGAGTGTGTTATTAGCATCATTGCCTTTTATTGTTCCAATTCATAGCAGATTATTTTATAAAAGAATTATATGCATTAGGTCTAACTAACCAGTGGTATCTCAACTAGTTTTCAACATTCGGTAAATAAATTTAATTAATTAAACTCAAGTCTAAAGTATCTCTGTTATAAACATCATCATCCTCTGGCTGATCTCTCGATGTCTTTGATGTCCCTTCACCGGCACTCCTATCGACTTCTTCGACTCTCTGCTGCTTAGACGATGGACTGGTGGATTTGATTGGCGGCAACTTTTGCCTCTTCGGCAGAGGCACATCCTGCGAGCTGAAGTTGGAATCTTGGGAGATCTTCTGAGATCTCGACACTGAATCAGGATCCATTTCGCTCTCCGCCGAAATATTTCCTCTCGTTGACGCTGATGTGTTGCTCTTCAGTTGATCCTCCAGAGCAGCAATTCGTCGCTTCTTCGAGTTCAGCAGCAGGACGACTTTGGACAGAAGTTCATTATCCTCCTCGTTTTTCCCCTCCACGAATTTCTCGTACTCCTTAAGGCACTTCTCATTGACTCTCTGTAATTTCTCCAATTCTTCTGATTTTGCTGCTAACTGTCTTCGCAATTCCCTCACAATATCGATCATGCTGCTTCGAATCTCTGTGTCCGGAGTCTCAGGTAGTTGTTTCATATTCACAGATCCATAGAGAATTCTTATATCCTCAACCATCGTCCATCGGAAACATCCCTCCGTCAATTCATAGGTGAATTTCTCCGTGATCGCTGTTAATGCCTCCTTGGTGTTGCTGAGGAAGTTCTCCAAAGGCAACTCCAAATCTTTGGACTTACTTTCAATCTCCCACATTGGCAGAAATCCTTTCCAAGCGGTCTTTTCCGGTGATTCCTCCACAATCAGGAACAAGTTGATTCCGTCTTCTGTCCATTCGCTCTTCAGGAAGACCTTTCGATCATCCGAAAGCGTGATATTGTTGAAATCAACACTGTTGTAATCCATTTAACAAACCAAACAAACTGACATGCGGCGGAGCTTTAAAGAACTTAGAGAACCGCGTAGCAAATTCGCACAGGAAATACAAATTTGACAACATATTTCAGGACGAGGAAGAGAAGTTTGTTTCACAGATGCGCTCTAATATGTAATAAAGATTAGTAATCGAACTGAATTAATGCACAGAGATCAATTCTCAACTTTACAAAAAAGATCCCCTCAGAAATATCCACTCAGAAGAGTCCACTCTCCCCTAAGAGATTAGTACTGCGTGAGGTGTTGGGCATGTCGGGTAGCCGAAGGCGTTCGGGTATCATCATCAGCTGTTTTTATGTACTCCGCTTCGCGCCTATGTACCAACTGTCAGCTGGCTTTGTAATATCTTGACCAAAAGTGCGTGAAACTCTGTCCGACAAAATATCATTAATTGCACAATTCCGTGCGACATAACATTAATCGCAATGCAAGTGCAGAAGAAGTGATTCAAGTGCTTTACAGTTTGTCTACGACTTTAGCAGTGGCTGTGCCAATTTAGTAGCAAAATTGAGGTGAGGTGAGATTTCTTTCATTGTTTGGCCATCTTATCAGTGCGACAGACTAGTAAAATTTTCCTTGTTTATACTTAGCAGCTCACGAGAGAGAGAGATACCGAATGAATCACTGGGATTATCGGAAGCTCAAGCACAGTGGCAAGCAATGGCCCAGAAAGAAGCTGCTGCTGTGAGTGAGAATTCTGAGACGGAATTGCTAAACACCTTCTGGAGTAACTACAACCACAAGCGAACAGCAACAGGCTCTAATGAAGAGGTAATGATATTCGACAGAGGTGAAGCGCAGAATTAGAAATCACACAACCTCTTTGTTTTCCACATTTGCAGTACATTTGGTTGGAATTGTTCCTCTTTCACCTTCAGCAATGCCAATCGTCGAGCATTGCGAGCTTCGAAAAGAACTTCCCACACAGCTCCTCAATCTCTAAAGCCCTCTCGAATATTTTCATGTTCCTCAATCTCGCCGCAAGTTACGACTATGAGGCGAAGAAGATTCGCACTTTGATCCTCCTGACACTGCATAAGATCGGAATGAGGGAAGTTGACGAAATGTTTGCCATATCGATTGTCAGGAGGTTGAAGAGCATGTCAGAAATTGGCATTAGTGATACAGAATATCTTCTGAAATTCCCAATTCTCTGTCCATCGATCAAATTACTGAACTCATCAACCAAATACAGCAATGCCATTTCGCCAAAGAGCTCAAATCCAAGTGAAAACTGCTTTCTGCAGCAGAACAACATTGAAAGTCGCGTTCTGGAGTATGAAGACTATCTAACGGATGAATTTAAGGAGTTTTGTGATGTTAAGATTGATGATAAAATTGAATTTTTGGCTGTGCTGAGCACTCTGCACCAGATTCTAATGATTCAGGGTGTGGATGAGAAAGAAAACTACTTGTTCACAACAGAGTGCCTTAAAATTTCCGTTGATGGCATCACAGATCACACTTGCAAGAATTGCAATTCAGAGCTCATTTGGATAGACATTCTCTCGATGGTGCTGCAGAATGTCTACGCGAAGGAAATGTCCTTAATGCACAACATCCAAATGAAGGACGTGGTGAAAGGTCTGATTATCAAGCATACAGACTCACGCAGAAATGCCTCAACATTAGTCTACTACTCTTATCACTTGTTCACCATCATAAACAACACCTTCTTTGTGGAGAACGAACAAGAGAATGGCAAAAATGGATTTGGAGACTTCTATTTAGAAATAGAATCACGAAAAGAACTCTTTCTCGAGCTCTACAGAAACATAACGGAGAACAATCCAGAAATGAGTGCGAAAGTAATCAATCTCTGGATAGAAATTTATGTGAATTTCAAAGAAATCGAAGTGAAGCAAATTAAGCAGCTGCAAAGAAAGCAAAGTGCCAACAAAAAGTACTCTCAATCTCATCATTTGCACAAGCAGCAACCGTATAGAAAGTTCATTTGCTTCCTAGAATGTCTTCTTCTGCACGTCCTGCCCAATTGCATGGCACGACATAAAGGAAAAATCCTGACAACACTCAAGAATATCGGGATTTGCTGTTGCAATTGTGCACGATGGTCCATAAAAATCCTCTTGGATTTGAGTACAAACGATAAAATTGCCACAGAAGTGCTTATCTTCGCTAGAAAGCAAGTGATATCGACAATATACAGAAATTCTCACTGTCGTTTGTGCTTTGAGAAGACCAGCTCACAATTTGCAGATGATGATTTCGTGAATATGCACAGAAATGCATTTGTCAACATTTCTGAAGATATCTTCCTGCCTCACTTATCGAAACTGGCACACTTATTGCCCTTCTCTCTGCAAAGTCGGCTGCTTTTGGATGTTTTGTGGCCATTCTTTCTGCAAAAGTGTCGCAAATCAAACTTTGAGAATATCGATCAGTGCTTCAAGGCAATCTGTGGATACTTAAAAGATCCGGTTCTGATAAAAATATTCCTCACTGAGGACACGCTGGAATATTTGATCAGAATGATATCCATCCCAAAAGCCTTTCCCTACATTTACACCATTCTGCAAAATGCCCTGCTTATGGACACTGAAGATGAGATGCGAAGCTTAGAGAAGAGAATTCTAGCAATAATACTGGAGAATACAAGGATTGTTACTCAAGTACTTAAGATTTACATGCGGAAAATCTATCCGCATTGCATGCAATCGGAAGAAGCGTTGAGAGACCTGAGAGAAAATGCTATAATAAAACTCTTACTTTCAAAATCCATAACAGTGACGCACGTACTTGAAATGGCTGTTTTACAGTGGAGAATTATTAACAGATTGACCGAAAGTGATTTTATGCAAAACAATCCAGAATTTTACACACCCAAAGACACATTTGATTTTGCCCAAATGATTTTGTCATTTCTTTTGGGAATATCGAGAACATCAGAGCCAAATCCATTGAAAGATGCCAAGATTGAAACTGTGCCGATTTATGGAAAATATTTTACTTTACAAACAAGAAAATCATTTAAAGTGTCTGAGGAACAATTGACCAAGAAAATAACAATATTTGCAGAAAGATATGACTTGAATTATGCCAAAATATCGTCTGAATTGATGTTGAATGAACAAATGGACAATATAAACAATCTCAGCTTTGGTGAAGGCAAACAATCATGCACAGAAACAATAAACCAAGAAATTAAACAGAACAAAGCCGGCTCAATGCTGGAGAAATTCAATAGATTCCTCTTCAATGGTGTTATCGGCTTTGTCAATGATCAAATCGATAAGAATTCGCACAAAAGCGAAATGGTTGAATATGAAAATAAACTTTTCGATCAGTTAACAGTCAATGAAGATGCTCAGAGACATATTTGGGCAATTTTCCGGGCTGTATTGAACACCTTTGTGGCATCTCACGGCAAGAGTGACACTGGTAAGTGAACTTTCTAAGGCACGCCTGCGGTTAATATCGGCACTCTTTCATTTTTCCTCCAGACAGTATTAAATTTCCACCCATTTCTTGACCTGTCAACACTTTTTTGCCATTGTCGCATTAATGAGGAGTCGAAGCCCTACAAATAACTCTATTTATTCATGCACAAGCTAGTCTCAGTTTCGCACTGTCGCCCGTAGAAGCATGTTAGAGCCTCTTGCTTTGCCTAGAAATCCGTGTTTTATTGGCAATTAATTGCTAAATTGTCTTCTTACAGACTTCAAAATGCTCTTCGCTCTTCAGGAACTGAAAAAGCTCATCCTCCAGCACTCACTGGATACGTGCAATTCCATGGAAAGTGCCAAAGCAATTGTTCGTGCCTTAGAAACCATCCTATGTGTGGGAGAATCAATTTGTGAGTACGAGTTTGTCAGGAAATCAACGGAAACACTCAAGAGAAGTGAGGAATCCGGTGATGATGACTTCCAAACACCATCACAGAGCATTGATTTTGATTTCGATGACGACAACGCCAGCAGCTATTTAACAGCTGAAGATCGTGACACTCTTTGTGATTCTCCGAGTTGTGATAAATTTCAAATCCACGTCCAAAGTGAAGAGAAGAGTTTTGCAATCAATGAAAATGTCTGCAAAGTTATAGTGGAGATTCTTTTTGAGATTTCTGAGCTGTGCATCAAAAATCCATCAATTTGGGAGGATCAACTCTTGAGATTATTCGTTAAACTTCGCAAAGTCAAACACTTGGAAGAACTCACAACTTTCCTCATCAAAGGATTTTCTTCAATTCTTGAATTCAACGATAACAGATTGATTTATCTGCAAAATTCAATATTGGAGTTGATTGCAACGTTGGACACGTCAGAGGCCTTAGCTGCTTACTTCAAGCTCTTCACAGCTATTGATCCGCCAGTGGAACTGCTCCTGGCGAGACTCACAAGCCTAAGCACAGCTAAAAGGGACATCAATGTTCTGGTTGAAGTGAATTTTCCAACAACCAAAGGTTCGTATGATTTTGTGCATTCAGAGAGAGAAAAACTAATAAAATCTTCTTACAGATGATTTGCTTCCCGAGAGTGACCTTATTTTCTACGATAGCATGCAAATGTTAAAGATGAGGGCTTCCATAATTGCACCCTTGGATTCTGTAGCCTTCACGCCATGGAAAACGCAAGGATTTACCGTGAGTTTATGGATGATTTTAAAGGAATTCCCCTCGGTAGAGAAAATGCAGGATATCCGGAATTCAAGGGACAACAAACAACTCAAATCCAATCAAAATACGACGCATATCTTCACCATTGGCACCTCGAAACTCCTGTTGTCCATTCATTTGGACAATGCAGATCCCAGTCTATTGCACATCCAGTTGATAAAGCCAAGCAAGGCTGTAATCCATGAGAGTCTGGATGTTCACAAAGTGCGATCAAACTGTCCAGCGGGGATGCAAAGTATGTTGAACTTGACAAAAAGTGCTTTGAGAAATAACTGGGCTTTCATCCAGAGAGACAGTGATCAAGGAGACTTTAGAGCTGCATGCATTCAAACATCAATTAATGTGAATCTTCCACTTCGTCAGTGGACATTTTTCACTTTCTCAGTTATTCCCAACGATTCTGGTATCATCATAGACATCACAGTGAATTGCAAGGAAAAGTACAATGCAATAATTTTCGCGGAAGAAATTCACAAGTCCATTAAGAATTCAAACATCAGTCTTTTGGCTGTGGGAGATTCACAATTTTCGCAGAAAAATACCTTACAGCGAGTAAAGTACAGCATCACGAATCTTATGCTATTCCGGGAAGTCATTTTTGAGCCTCCCATACTTGCGAGTTTCATGAGTTTGGGCCCAAATTGTAATAATCTCATCTCCGGACAAATTGGCAATTCAATACCCAATTTTGGCTTCATCAATCCACTTTCATTCAAGACACATTTACACATCAGTGTCAATGAATCAATCAGACTTCTTCGAGAACACCTGATTCTCACCTTCTCTGCTGAAAATCCGTCAATTGTCATGGAATACATCACAAATTGCAACATAGGAACACCTCTGCACATCACAATGAAGAACAATGCATGTCAGGCTGAGAGAGTAAATTCCTTCTATTGTGCAATAATGCAAACTGGAGGACTGTCATCGCTGCTCTTCCTATTTGCCAGAGTCGTTGAGGTAACAGACAACTCAAGACTCCAAGCAGCGGCTCTCAGGATTCTCCTGAATGTGGCGCACTCGAATGTCGAACTGTACACAGAATTCATCAAAGGAGAATATCTCAATAAGATTGGATCGGTGTTAAAGAGCAGCAAGTGTTGCAAAGACTTCCTTATCTTGCAATGTTTTATGGACACAGCATTCGACAAGCCAATAATGTATGAAAAAGTCGATGGATCCTTTGGATTGACATCAAATAACAGCTATTTGATCTATCCCGAATTGGTGATCTTCATAATAACCTATTACAGAGATTGGCACACAGAATCCGGCAGGGTTTTGGAATTTACACTTAGAATACTGAAATCTCTAGCCTCAAGAATGTCAAAGGACTTCAACATCAGGCAGATGATGAATGTTGATATCCTTCCGAATCTCATAAACTTCTGCAAAGTATTCTTCGTGGGCGTCTCTCCGCCCATCAATATTACAATGAAATCGGCAAAGTTAATTGTACAGATTATATCAGGATTTGGACCAACACCACCATCAACATCCTTCATTGATGAAATTGCGAAACTTCTACTGCTTCTGCACGAGCCAAGTTACACTTATGTCACTCAGGATAGAGGAAATTACTACTATCTGCTGTCTAAAGCCACACCCAGTCCACCAAGATTCAATCAAATCGTGAGAACGGCAGAGAGGATAAAGACAAAGTTCCATTTTCAGCGTAAGAGAAATTCTTCCCCATACAACGCAATAAAAAGGAAAGTGAGGAGTGTCTCGATGGACTGCTTGTGTCCAGATACAGAATATTATGAGAGAGGATCTCAGAAGGAGAATTTCCAAGAAACTCTCAGTGAAATTGTCGATTTGGCGAAATCCGACAGTAGAATTAACAAAGTCTCCATGAAGGATGTGACAAAACTGGGAAAGAACATGCAAATTGAGAAGATCCTGAAAAGTAAGAGGACATTGAGGAAGAGCATAAGCTACAATAGGAGTTCATTTGAGTTGGGAATCAAAACTTCACCTCTTATTCAATCCAAGGCCAATTTGAGATCTCCGCTCACAGCTTCAGGCACATCAGCTGTAAAGGATAAGCCGAGTGTGGCTGTGGTTCAAAGAGAATTGCTCAAATTACTTCAAAATTTCATTGTTATCATGCCGGACAATGCTATTGCCGATGTTCTCTCCCATTATGTCACATTTCAACTGCTCCTAATCTTGGCCAACAATCCTAGTGGCGATGTGAGAGCAGAAATTGTCACTCTGCTAGCAAATCTCTGTGATCGCATGCCTCAGGAGAGAATATCCCAACACTTCAAATCAAACTATTTCTCACACCTCGCTAATCAAATATCAATCTACCCAGCGAATTACACTCTGATGATGTCCTGTCGAAAACTGGCCGCTTGCTTGCCTGAGTGTGCAAAGCAGAAACATAGAATAGGAGTTGTTTTGCTGATAGCAATCCTCCCACAATTGCTTCATGCTCATGAGCATTCCCTGAAGTCATCCTTGCTAACAATTTGCAATATCTACGAGAAATACGAAGATGATCGATCATTTTATATCGAAAGCGGACTCATTCCTTCGCTTGTGAAGTGTGTTATTGCTCTGTACGTTGAGCAATCGCACGTTGACTTCGCTCGAGGAATTGCTTATCATGTTCTTTTCACTATTTACTACTTGTCAAAGATGTTTCTCACCGCTCACGATGTTAAGCATCTGCAATATCTGTGGAATTTATTGAACTATATGGATTATACAGAGAGAGAATCAAGCTCTGAAGTTGTGCGTCAAGGCGTAAGAGCGGCACAAGCCAGAATAATCAACGGTTTGTTAAATGCTTGTCAGCAAAAGTACAAAACCCGCAGGATTATTCGATCGATTATCTACATTAGAGGATGCAGCTTATCTGTGCCAGAAATGAGATCGCGCTTTCAGAATCTCCTGGAACGCAGTATAATGTTTCTGCAGTCGAAAGGTAAGACACATCTTTAATCTAGATAAAGGAATTGACTCAATTATCATTTCAGACTCCAGACATGAACTCCAGAATGAGGAAAACGAACTAGTGAGATCGATCATACGCTTGGGACTCGTTGGACGAATGAAGATCGGATCAATGATCATTTGGTCACTCTGCCCCAGTCGAGGAGTGGACTTAAAATTCTTCATAATACGCTGCCTATCATATTTGATGAAGTCCAAACATGTCATTACCTTTGGCTTCAACCTATCATTGGTAAGTGAAATCAGTGAAATTATATTAAATGATCTACTATTCTTCTCTCTTTATTAGATCAGGACATTGGCAAATCACTTCCACTCAGTCGTGAGCGAAATGCCTGGCCTCGTTTCCACAAGCCAATTCATAATGCTGAGCAAATTTGTGAAATTCATCGGAGGTTCTAACAGTGCATCGAGTGCAGATGTTGAAAAAGTAACACTGAGAATTGATGAGATTAGCAAGGGATTAGATATTACTCACTTGCCGGAAATCGAAAGAAGCATCCATGAATTTGAGTCTATAGCCTTGTCTTGCGTGGAAACGTCCCTGAAAGTCACACGGACGTACTCTGAGCTACAAAATACTGAAAGAAGAAATTTACTGAATCAAATGCGCTGCGAGAAGACCTCAAATTTCAATTGGAAATATTTCATCAGCCAGATGACACACGAAGGAACTCCCTTCTACAATGAGAGATTCAACAAAGTGTCCTGGGAAATGGACGACACAGAGGGACCAAGCAGAGTGAGACTCAGACTAAGAAGATGCAATCTCACAATGGCTGAGCGCTTTCTGCTGCCCGAGGCGAGAGAAAAGTACAAGAATATATCTCGTCATTTGCCACTGCAGTACTTAATTGAGTCGCTAGAGAGAGAGAAGAACGCATTATCCGATCAGGTGCTTTACAACTTCTCATCGGCCTACATTACTGCGGATTCGGAGTTTCCGGGAGATCTTGTGGTCACGGAGACCATGATTAAATTCTTCCCGGATGATGAATCTCAAGAGATTATCATTGTGGAAATTGCCAATATTCTGGACATATGGCTGAGGCGATATGAGCATCACAACAAGGCAATTGAATTATTCACAGTGTCGGGAAGATCACTTTTCTTCGTATTGCGCGAATTGAATGATCGCAAAATCTTTGCAAAGTATTTCTCAGACAAGATTTGTGACTCATCAAACACTAAATGGCACTATTTTATGCTTCAACAGTGGAGAGATGGACAATTGACAAACTGGGAGTATTTAACAGCTTTGAATCAATTGAGTGGCAGATCATATCAGCATTTAATGCAATATCCTGTATTTCCATGGATCCTGGCGGATTATCAAAGTAGTGTCTTGGATCTTACCAATCCTAACATCTACAGAAAACTGGAGAAACCCATTGCAATACAGCATCCTGAGAGCGAAGAACACTTCAAGGAGTTGTACGAATATTTGGCTCAGCCCGGAAATCGGAATGTATCCCACTTTCCATATCACTACAGCTCTCACTACTCCAACTCTGGAACAGTTCTCAGCTTCATGATCAGAATCCCACCATTCACGAGCATGTTTATCAAATACCAGGACAACAATTTCGATCTTCCCGACCGCACGTTCTTCTCAGTGAGACACGCCTGGCGTCTAGCAAGCAAGGACTCACCTACAGACGTGAAAGAGCTCATTCCTGAGTTCTTCTCACTGCCTGAGATGTTCGAGAATAGTGAGGATTTCGACTTTGGCGTAAGGCAATCCGGTGAGCGGGTGAATCATGTGACTCTGCCTCCGTGGAGCAACAATTCGTCACGATTGTTTGTCCTGATCCACAGACAAGCCCTCGAGTCAGACTATGTGAGAAGTAGACTGCATCTGTGGATTGATTTGATTTTCGGATATAAGCAAACAGGAAAAGCTGCAGTTGCGGCTCTGAATGTTTTTCATTCAGCCACCTATCCTGAATTTCCTGAGCCTGCATCAACAGATCCTGTTGACAGATCAGCCTACACAACAATGATCAAGACATACGGACAGATGCCTAAGCAAGTCATAGCGTTTCCGCATCCACCAGCAACTAAATCTGACCAGATTTGCGACTATCAGGTAAACTATTTTAATATTAGTTTTGCAGTTCTTTTAGAAGTAAGAAATTCCTTGTTTCAGACCTCCTTTGCTACGTGCACTGTCAAGGGTCTCAAGTGGGGAATTTATACAGGATCACCACAGCTTCCCATCCCAGAATGTGTGGCAATTTATCAGCAAGTGGAAGTGCAACTAAGTAAAATAATCTGCATGGAGACAACTAATGCAGCTTATGGTTTATCATGCTATGAGAATTACATGCAAGGAATCGAAATTGACACCTTCTATTGCATCACATGGAAACATGAGGATAACATCGTTAGGATACGATCAATCGGCGAGGATATTTCATATGCAAAACCACTGTTTCAATCATCAAACTTTGATCCCATCACCAGTTGTGGCACTCATATCAATTCCAATCAACTCTGGTTTGGTCACCAATCCGGCAGAATTGTCGTGTACCAGTGTAGTGACTTCATCCCTGAGAAACTGAACAAAACCCGGTACTTAATGCACTCTCCGCTGGCCAATACCATGTCCTACAATTCGGCATTCCGCATGTGCAAATCCTCAGGCACTCTGGGAAGGAAGATAAATGAAACCATTGGCAAACAGATCAGAGATGTTGGCAATCTAAAGTGGAAAAAATCCACGACGCTACTTTTCCACGATGGAGAAGTGACTGGAATAAGCCTCTGTGTGGAATTCAAAGTGGCCGTCTCCATTGGAAAAGATGGCAAGACAGCAATCTGGGATACAAACACTCTGGAATACATTAGGCAAATTCCTCCGCCAAACACATCATCACAGCTGCCAATCACTCTCGCAGCCATCAGTCCAACATTGGGAGACATCGTCACTATTCACTGCAATGAGAATATGAGTGGAGAAGCCTTGTCAGATACTGAAGTGGAGGTGGATGATGAAAGTTACGAGGTCACAGAGTCAAACATTGATGACTTCGTGAAGATCTCGATGAATCTGACTGGGAAGACGCTTCTGCGAGTGCACACCGTCAATGCCAGTTACGTGAGTCACATAATGCTGAATGAGAACATCCTGTCCGTGTGCTATTCCAATGTGAAGGAGGGAACAGGAATCAATGTGATAGCCACAGGATTGGAGAGAGGCATCGTGAAGCTCTGGTCGAGTTGGGATCTCAATCTCATTCGCGAAATAGACACACAAATGACCGATGTTGTAGATATTTCATATTCGACATATCAACATTTGATCGTTCTTACAAGAGACAACATAATTCAAGTGTGGGAATCTCCCTGTCTTTTGGGAAATGCTCCCAAGTTTCCCCAGAGTATTTTTCGAAACAGCCAGTGGAGAATATTGTGAGATACTAACACCTTGTCACAAAATATAACTAATATTTTTAGAGAAAAAGTATTTTAATTATTGACTTTACATAAGTTTAGAAGGTTTTCCACATTTGGTTCGGGCTGTTCCAGCAAAATCTTCCTCAACTCCGCGATATTGACTACAGTGGCGGTAACAATGTGAGGGAACATGAATGTCTTGCCAATCTTGTAGTTGAACAGCAATCTCTTGCTAATATAATCACCATGAAGACTCACATTTGCAATTTCAACGTAAGCATCTCGGCTGGAGGAGTGCATTTGCAGAGAAACTCTCATCATTTCGGAGCTGTCCAAATGTTCAGGCACTACGTTAATAATCCGAAAATGGTTCCCCAATTTCTCATAAATTTCCTTCAAATTACGCATTATCTCATTAAATCTTTCTTCAGCTTCAGCACAATTGCCAGATGCATAGAAGAGTTGCACAGAATTTCCTTGCTCATGCTTGGGCGTGTAGCATTTCCCATTAGCAACAAAGGCGAGAGGCAATTGAGTTGAAAATACTGTAAGTCTTGCAATGAAACTTAAGAAACTCAGCATTGTTCCTCCTCCGGACAAGTGCAGAAGATTGATTTTGTTGTCTTCCTCCTCGAGGACTTGAAACAATCGGTTTTTATCTACCCCAGCAGCTTCGACGATCACTGATCTCACGAAGTCAGGATTGGAAAAGAACTCATATCCTTTCTCCTTGAAAATTCTCTGGCAATAGTTGGGAAAGACAAACTCAAATCTCGCCAAATTTCCCGTTGTATAGAGATTGATGTCATCCGCAAGTTTCCCAGGCGCTGAGGATTTTTCCTTGTTCAGAAACGTGTGCAAGACTTCATCCTTGACTCGAGGGTGAATCACATTGGGAACTTGCAAGAATATGTTGATAAACTCCTCTTCGAAACCATATGAGTTGTCTTTCAATTTTGTCAGTGAATTCCTGACATTTTTTCCTTCCGCTTTGAGTTTCTCAATTTCTTCCTTCTCAAGGTTTTTGTATTGCTGCTTTAAAGTGTTCGCAATCTCTGTCCTTTTCTCCTCCAGAGAATGTAATCTCTCTTGAAGACTTTCGTACTCTTTCCACTGGGAATAGAGTTTATTGATGTCCACTGATGACTTCCTCTTCATAAGATTGTCCTGAAGGGCTTTCTTATCTCCCAAAACTCCTCTAAAGTCCATGTAAGGATGCACAGAGGCATATTCCTCACGAGCCTTATCTCCAGTAAGATACAATGCTGAGAACTGCCGCATCTGTGATGACACAGAGATGCTGAGACGCCTCAAGATCATCGCAAATCTATTGCAAAAAACGAAATTGAAATTATTTATCAGAGAAGACTCCAATGATATCAGAACTCACAAGAAATCCGCTACTATTCTTCTTGGAAACTGAGGTTATGAGTTTGTTTACAGTCGTGACATTTTCTGACAATTCGCCGGCCTCATCGAAATTTTATCAGCTTATCAGGTATTTATTGATTTCTATTACGCCTAAAGTACTACACACCACTTGAGATCATTTTACTATTCGGAACTTGTTTCTTTTTCTAATAGTTCACAAAATTATTGTTTAAACGGTTTAAAATATGTGACACAGGACTTTTTAAAAAATTTTGTGAATACATATGAGTCACGCGGAAGAACATGCCACAGCAAAATACACAATAACGCGAATAACATTGAGAATTTATTATCGTAAAAATTCATATTCTCAACCTATTCCCAGTCAAGCGATTCAGTCACCTTACCAACGTTCACGAGTGCGGGCTTCAATAGCAAATCACGCAAATCACCTGAGAATGAGTTCGTCCAGTCAGCATATTTTGTACGGGGGCCCCGATCCGGACCCCACAGATGGTGAACAGTCCCTTGGCGAGTTCGTCCTGAACCGTCTGGATCGATTCAGCGAGCAAATCGTCTTGGTGAGTTACATTTACTTTGCATCACGCCATGAGGAAACCACGCAATCATCTTTTTCAGATTGATGGTGTCACGTCAGAAGAGATGAAGTATTGTGAGCTGAAGGAGCGCAGCATCCGATATGCCCAGATCTTGCAGGATGCCGGATTCAAGGAGGGCGACGTCATAGGATTGTGCAGTGAAAATCGCCTCGATTTCCCATGTGTTCTCTTCAGTGCTTTCTACCTTGGAGTCACTGTTGCGCCGCTCAATTTAACATATTCCGATAGTGAGTACACAAAATATACAGCTTGTTTAAATGCAAATTCACCTTCAATTGCGTGTTATCATTTGCATTTGCCGTTTATCGTTAGCACCGATAAAGCGACTCACTAATTCCCTGAACCTGCTATTGACTTTTGAAACGTCTTGTAACTCTTATCAAATGTTGGAGATAATGTTATCAATATTTGACTATTTATTGCTGTATTGATAGAGTATCAATTAGAATGACTTAACGGTTTTGCAAGGACGGTAAAAATGTCCCTTTCTTTGCAGGTGAACTTCATCATGCGCTCAACCTATCAAAGCCCAAATTCATCTTTGCTTCGCCGTATGTAATCGAAAAGATTGCTAAAGTCGCTCAGCAAAACACTTTCATAAAGAAAGTTGTAGTGTTTGGAGATGATAATTTCGCTCTTAAAGGAGTCCAAAGCAGCAAGGATTTTCTCGAAAACAAGCGAATTCCTCCTGTGAAGAACTTCAAAGTGAAACCAACAAATATTGAGGATACGGTCGCCTTAATTCTATGCTCAAGTGGAACTACAGGATTGCCAAAAGGAGTTCAGCTGACTCAATACAACATTCTCATAGCAATAGCACACATTGGGTAAATCAATTCTCCTGTGCGATCATCTCTACACGCTAATCTGTATGTCATTTCAGGCTGGGAATCTTCACAATTGACATGCCTCGCCAAGATATGGTGATTCTTGGAATTATTCCCTGGTTCCACGCTTTTGGCTGCTTGACTCTCTGCGGCATGTCGCTCTCTGGAATTCGCATGGTTCTGTTGCCAAAGTTTGAAGAATTCCTCTTTCTGAGCTGCATTGAAAACTACAAAGTCACGCAAATGTTTCTCGTTCCGCCACTGATGGTCTTCCTGGCCAAACATCCTCTCGTGGACAACTACGACATGTCTACTGTGGAGGAAATCATTTGTGGCGCCGCCCCGCTTAGCAAGGAGTTAGAAGAAGCCGTCTCTAAGCGCATCGGAGTGGTCGTTAAGCAGGGATATGGAATGAGTGAAATGACTCTCAGCACTTTGCTGCAGACCCACTTCAAGAAACCCGGCAGTGTTGGGGATCTCAGACCGGGAATGTGGGGAAAAGTCATCGATCCAGACACAGGGAAGCTCTTGGGGCCCAATCAGCCCGGAGAGCTGTGCTTCAAGGGATCTCAGAATATGAAGGGATACATTGGGAATGACAAAGCCACGAAAGACACTATCGATGCCGAAGGATGGCTACACACAGGAGATATTGGCTATTATGACGATGACAAGCAGTTCTTCATTGTTGATCGTCTCAAGGAGCTCATTAAGTACAAAGGGTACCAAGTCCCACCGGCTGAAATTGAAGCTCTCCTCCTGACCCACACGAAGATACGAGATGCAGCGGTTGTGGGACTGCCAGATGAGGCTGCAGGCGAACTACCATTCGCCTTCGTGGTGAAACAGGCGGGAGTTGATCTCACTGAGAAGGAAGTGATTGATTTTGTAGCAAAGAAGGCCTCTCCGGCAAAGAGATTGCACGGAGGAGTGAAATTTCTCGAGGAAATCCCCAAAAATCCGAGTGGAAAAATCCTCAGACGCGAATTGAGGACAAAACTCAAGACCATTGTAAAGTCCAAGTTGTAAGAGAAATTCCTCAAGATATTTTTTTTGCTTATATTGACACTTTTTTATGTTAAGAATTAATATGATTGATTGCCTGTATACTCAAATTGATTGCATAAGTATTCAAACATTCGATGATGGTTGTACGAACTTCGTTTTTCTTCGTGCACCATTCGCACTTCTAAGCGCAGAGCAACACTTTATGGTCATAATCTTGGAGTGGAAGTCTCATTTCGCCTCAGTAAAGCGAACAGTGCAGCCCGTGAAGGTTGTTTCAATTGCAAGTATGAGCGACGACGACAAAAACATTGTGTACGGTGGACCACGGGTCACGGATTTCACGAAACTCGTGGGATCCCTTGGTGAATTGCTCTATTTTCAACTCAACAACAATGAGGACAAAGTGGGAATTGTAAGTGAAAATCGACTTAATCTTTATGACCCGAAAGGAGATTGATAACATTTCTCTCTACACAGATAGACGGTCTCACTGGGCGGAAAATTACGTACAGAGACATCAAGCAGAAAGCCCTACACTTGGCTGAATACTTTCGTCAAAGTGGAGTCAAAGCCGGAGATGTTATTGGGATATGCAGTGAAAATCGTCTGGAGTTTCCATACACTGTGTACGGAGCATTTCTCGTTGGGGCCACCATAACAACAATTAATCTCCTCTATACCGAACGTAAGTTTGCGTGCAATACAAGATAGGCTGAAAGTACAAGTGTTTATTAGATAAGAAGACGGTTCTCTAGAGCGTAACCAAAGTAACTAAATATGCTAAATGCAAGGTAAAAGCATTGAAAAGAAAAGTAATATTTAAATATAAACATATGAAGCACATTCAATGCTAATTGAGGTATATTTTAATTACCCTTCCAGGTGAAATGATCCACACACTCCAACTGACACGGCCCAAAGTTATTTTCGGGACTGAACTTGCCGTTGAGAGGCTTCTGGATGTCGCCAAAACATGTCCATTCATTGAAAGAATTATTCAGTATGGAGACACAGCAATTGTAAATGGCGTTACAGTCTTCAATGATATACTGAATGACAAGAGATATGCAAAACCTGAAGAAGATCACGTTCACCCACCGGAAAACCTCGATCGAAGTGCCCTAATTATGATGTCGTCTGGAACAACGGGGTTGCCGAAAGGAGTTGAAATAACTGAGCGAAATATCCTGGCTACATTGGGTCAATCCGTGTAAGATTTGCTCATCAATTCTAAAACCTACAATTCCTTATCCTTACATTTTTCTTACAGGGACGCAAGAAATGAACTGTACCAAGAGGAAATGGAACTCGTAATCCTTAGCATAATTCCCTGGTTTCACGTTTATGGACTTATGACCCTGATTTCCTCCTCAATTGGCGGAATTATCCTCATTTCACTTCCACGCTTCGAAGAGCACCTCTTCCTGAGTTCCATTGAGAAGTACAAAGCCACACATGCTTTCATGGTGCCACCGCTAATGGTTTTCCTGGCTAAACATCCTCTAGTTGCCAAGTACAATTTGACTAGTCTCCAGGAGCTGTACTGCGGAGCTGCTCCTCTCAGCAAGGAGGTGGAGAAGGCAGTTATGGACAGGATACCCAACTTGAAAGCCATAAGACAAGGGTTTGGCTTATCAGAGACAACCCTCAGCGTCTTGTCCACGCGAGGAGTGAAAACTAAGCCGGGAAGTGTTGGTATAGTTACCATCGGGACCTACTGCAAAGTTATCGATCCAGAAACTGGGAAAATCCTCGGCCCCAATCAACCAGGTGAACTCTGCTTCAAAGGACCCCAAATAATGAAGGGATACGTCGGAAACAATGCTGCTACCAGGGAAACTATCGACTCAGACGGATGGTTTCACACCGGCGACGTTGGATATTATGACGATGATAAGTTCTTCTTCATCGTGGACCGCCTAAAGGAGCTCATCAAATACAAGGCTTTCCAAGTGCCACCAGCCGAGTTAGAGGCACTGCTTGTGGCTCATCCTAAGATCGCTGATGCGGCAGTTATTGGCCTTCCAGACGAGAGTGCCGGTGAGCTTCCACTGGCCTTTGTCGTGAAGCAACCCAAAGTGGATGTCACGGAGAAAGAAGTCAAGGACTACATAGCCAGCAAAGTGACCAACTACAAACAACTACGAGGAGGAGTTCGATTTATCAATGAGATACCAAAGAACCCGAGTGGGAAAATTCTTCGACGCGAATTGAGGCTGCTAATCAAAAATCCACAGTCCAAGCTGTAAAGATGTTGCGGATTGTATATCAGATTAATTGAGGTGATAGTATTTTTCTTGATATAATGATTTTCAGGTGACTGTATTGTGGAATTATAAAAATAGAATTCTTAACTGTGGAAAGCCACAGTGTCAACAATCATATGCGAAGATCGTACTTTGTGTTTGTTTGTAGTGCTTTATCAAAGCGATAAGTCTATCACTCTCTGATATAAGACGCTGTTGCTTACTTCAAAGTCTCAGTATTTGTGGAGTTGTCACAAAGTTGAGAATGGTTGATGAATCTTTCGTGATTTTCGGTGGACCGTGTCCAATTGACTACACAGTGAACAATAAAAGTTTGGCAGAACATGCATTTAAGAGCCTTAAAGCGAATGGAAATGATGTTGCAATTGTAAGACACCAAAAGAAGTGAAGTTTCAGTGTTATTATTGTTCGATTATCACTCCCTCTCTTTCTCCGTTTCTTCTACGGCGCAGATCGATGGAGTGTCCGGAGAAATTATCAGATACAGCGCTCTTTTAGACAGGGCGTTGACTCTGCTGAAATACCTCCAGAAGAAGGGCATCGGCTCAGGCGATATCATTGGAATATGTTGCGAAAATCGACTGGAATTTCCAGTTGTGGCGCTCGCCACGATCTTCGCCGGAGCCACACTCTCGACCCTCAATCCCAGATACGTTAATCGAGAGATCAAGCATGTCTTGGATCTCACAACACCGAAACTGGTCTTTGTCACTTCATCGGCCTTGGGCAGCATCATGGAAGTGAGCAAAGGAATGAGGTGCATCAAGGAAATCATTCAAATAGGGAACGAATCGGATGCCAGAGTATCTGGAATTGCAAGATTTGATGAGATTTTACGTGATCCGAAGTATAGAATGAGCCAAGAAGAGTTCCAATTGCCTTCCACGAGCAGTTTGGATGCTCATGATGCATTTATCTTGATGTCCTCAGGCACAACGGGAATGCCTAAAGGAGTTGTTCTTTCGGACAGAAATGTCTTGGAAGCTCTCGCTAATCTGGAGTAAGTTACATAACACTTTTAATGATAAAACACTCTAAAGAAATTTCATTTCAGAGAGACAAAAAGATCAATGTTCACCATACCGAATGTGTGTAGTATGGGAATCTTACCGTGGTTTCATGCCTACGGTCTCGTCACGCTCATCAGCATGACTACTAAAGGTGTAAAAATAGTTTCTCAGCCTAGATTTGATGAGAAAGCTTTTTTATCTTCAATTCAGGTAAATCGCAACATACAATTCACTAAAACTTACTATAACATCTTCTTATTTTCAGCAATATAAAATTACACATATGTTTCTGGTTCCTCCATTGATGGTGTTCCTGGCTAAAAATCCAAATGTTAAAAACTACAATTTAACTAGTTTGAAGGAAATATTTTATGGCGCTGCTCCATTAGGTAAAGACATCGAGGATGAAGTAAAAGAACGAATTCCCAGTTTAACTAAAACGCAACAAGGCTATGGAATGACAGAAACTACTCTAACCGTCTGTGGTGCAAGAGATGAACGTCCTGTTCAAGGCAGTGTAGGCAAAATAACAGCAAAGACTTGGGGCAAAGTCGTGGATCCAGAAACTGGAGAAGCTCTTGGACCCAACAAACCCGGAGAGATTTGTATCAGAGGTCCTTCTGTGATGAAGGGATATTACAAAAACCCAAAGGCCACTCAGGAGACTATCAGGAATGGCTGGCTGCACACCGGAGATATTGGATACTACGACGAGAAGAAGAACTTCTACATCGTCGATCGACTGAAGGAATTGATCAAGTACAACAGCTTCCAAGTGGCTCCTGCTGAACTGGAAGCCTTGATCCTGACTCATTTAGCGGTCAAGGATACAGCTGTTATTGGCATTCCCCACCCGGAAGCCGGAGAACTCCCTGCAGCTTTCGTGGTGAAGAAGGAAAACTACGAAGCGACAGCTGAGGATATTGCCAAATTCGTCTCTGATCGGGTATCAAATCCCAAGAGATTGCGAGGGGGCGTTCATTTCATCGATGAAATACCCAAAAATCCTAGCGGAAAGATTTTACGAAGAGTCTTGCGTGATAGAATCGCTTCTCTCAAATCCAAATTGTAATCTTATCTATTAGCTTTGTCGGTTAAAACTAACTCTTAAGTTTGGTTCATTATCATAAACTTATGATCTCTGGCATTTGCAAAATCATTCTCATTTTACTTTTTCGATTCGAAAACTACCTTTTTGAGTTTTATAAAGTATAAAGATACACATGTCTTCATGGTGCCTTCGTCAATGGTTTTTCTGGTAAACAACACCCTCGGAATGAATACAAGATTAGCAATTTAGAAAAAAAATTTAAAAAAAAATCCTGGTATAATTCAATTATGCGACTTCTGCTTCAAAGAACCAAAAAGTATGAAGAGATGAATAGGAAATAAAAGACAGATCAACGAAACTATCGACTTAGATAGATGGTGCCTCACTGAAAAGCGTGCATTTACAATGATGATAAGAACCTATATGCGAACTTTCTCTAAACAAACTGAGGCTGCTAATCAGGAGTCCACTGTCAAAGTGGTAAAGATGTTGCGGATTGTATGTCAGATTAATTGATGTGATAGCTTTTTATCTGGTTTCAATGACTTCCAGATGAGTTTTGTGGAAAAAACAGAATGCTAACGGATGAGACCAACATCAGTTAGGAGTATATCATAAATGGTATTTATATTACTTTATCAATATGATAACTCTGCAACTCTGATATTTAACGCGATGTTGTTCGCCTCAGAGCCTCAGTATTTGAGAATTTGTAACCAAGCTGAGAATGGCTGAAGAATCTTTCGTGATTTTCGGTGGACCGTGTCCAATTGACTACACAGTGAACAATGAAAGTTTGGCAGAATATGCATTTAAGAGCCTTAAAGCGAATGGAAACGAAGTTGCAATTGTAAGACACCAAAAGAAATGGAGTTTCAGTGTTATTATTGTTTGATTATCACTCCCTCTCTTTCTCCGTTTCTTCTGCGGGGCGCAGATCGATGGAGCGTCCGGAGAAATTATCACATACAGCGCTCTTTTAGACAGGGCGTTGACTCTGCTGAAATACCTCCAGAAGAAGGGCATCGGCTCAGGCGATATCATTGGAATATGTTGTGAAAATCGATTGGAATTTCCAGTTGTGGCGCTCGCCACGATCTTCGCCGGAGCCACACTCTCGACCCTCAATCCCAGATACGTTAATCGAGAGATCAAGCATGTCTTGGATCTCACAACACCGAAACTGGTCTTTGTCACTTCATCGGCCTTGGGCAGCATCATGGAAGTGAGCAAAGGAATGAAGTGCATCAAGGAAATCATTCAAATAGGGAACGAATCGGATGCCAGAGTATCTGGAATTGCAAGATTTGATGAGATTTTACGTGATCCGAAGTATAGAATGAGCCAAGAAGAGTTCCAATTGCCTTCCACGAGCAGTTTGGATGCTCAGGATGCATTTATCTTGATGTCCTCAGGCACAACGGGAATACCAAAGGGAGTTGTTCTTTCGGACAGAAATGTTTTGGAAGCTCTCGCTAATCTGGAGTAAGTTACATAACACTTTTAATGATAAAACACTCTAAAGAAATTTCATTTCAGAGAGACGAAAAGATCAATGTTCACCATGTCAAATGTGTGTACGATGTCAATTTTACCGTGGTTTCATACTTTTGGCCTTGTCACCCTCGTCTTCTTTATTACCAAACGTGTAAAAATAGTTTCTCTCTCCAGATTTGATGAGAAAACTTTTTTGTCTTCAATTCAGGTAAATCTAAATATACTATTTTAACTAGTACAATCTTTCAATAAGAGGGATGATCTGATTTATGTTGCCAAATATGTGTATTACTGAAATTCACTTTAATATCTTCCCACTTTCAGCAATACAAGATTTCACACTTCTTTCTTGTGCCTCCTTTGATGATATTCCTGGCTAAAAATCCTAATGTTCAAAACTACGATTTGAGCAGTGTAAAGGAATTATTTTGTGGAGCTGCTCCATTAGGAAAAGATATTGAGGATGAGATAAAACAGCGAATTCCTAGCTTAACTGAAATTCAACAAGCTTATGGAATGACGGAAGCTACATTGGCATTAACCGGAGCTAGAAACGAAAGTCCTATTGAAGGTAGTGTGGGTAAAATAATAGCGAAGACTTGGTGCAAAGTCGTGGATCCAGAAACTGGAAAAGCTCTTGGACCCAACAAACCCGGAGAGATTTGTGTCAAAGGACCTTCAGTAATGAAGGGATATTACAAAAACCCAAAGGCCACTCAGGAGACTATCAGGAATGGCTGGCTGCACACCGGAGATATTGGATACTACGACGAGAAGAAGAACTTCTACATCGTCGATCGACTGAAGGAATTGATCAAGTACAACAGCTTCCAAGTGGCTCCTGCTGAACTGGAAGCCTTGATCCTGACTCATTCAGCGGTCAAGGATACAGCTGTTATTGGCATTCCCCACCCGGTAGCCGGAGAACTCCCTGCAGCTTTCGTGGTGAAGAAGGAAAACTACGAAGCGACAGCTGAAGATATTGCCAAATTCGTCTCTGATCGAGTATCAAATCCCAAGAGATTGCGAGGGGGCGTTCATTTCGTCGATGAAATACCCAAAAATCCTAGCGGAAAGATTTTACGGCGAGTCTTGAGAGATAGAATCGCTTCTGTCAAATCCAAATTGTAATCTTTGCTATGAATTAACCTCTTAAAGCAGTCCTTTTTTCAAAATCTTATGATTTTGATTTCCTTATTAATTGGAAAAATTATACTTATTTTATCTCCATACTCTAAAAACACATTTACCTAACTAGTAGCAAACAAATCGCAGACACCGTTAAAGACATACATACTAAGCATAAATTTACAGTGCAAGCTGTAAAGATATTAAAATTCCTCAGTTTTATTAAAATGCTAGTACTTTTTTCTAAGTTCAATAACTTTCAGGTTCCTAAATTGTGAAATGAACAAATATTAAGTTTTTAGATGGGCTCTAAACGTTTTTCCAACAAAGGATCATACTTTGTTTTTCTAATTTGCATGTAATATAGATAAGAAAAATTGTTATAGAACTTTTTATGGTCTTCAACATTATTATATATAACGCAATGCTGTTTGCTCAGAATCTTAGTATCTGAAAAGTTTTCTCTAACTTAAGAATGGCTGAAGAATCTTTCGTGATTTTCGGTGGACCGTGTGCAATTGACTACACAGTGAACAATAAAAGTTTGGCAGAACATGCATTTAAGAGCCTTAAAGCGAATGGAAATGAAGTTGCAATTGTAAGACACCAAAAGAAGTGGGGATTCAGTATTATTATTATTATTTTTTGATTATCACTCCCTCTCTTTCTCCGTTTCTTCTACGGCGCAGATCGATGGAGTGTCCGGAGAAATTATCACATACAGCGCTCTTTTAGACAGGGCGTTGACTCTGCTGAAATACCTCCAGAAGAAGGGCATCGGCTCAGGCGATATCATTGGAATATGTTGCGAAAATCGACTGGAATTTCCAGTTGTGGCGCTCGCCACGATCTTCGCCGGAGCCACACTCTCGACCCTCAATCCCAGATACGTTAATCGAGAGATCAAGCATGTCTTGGATCTCACAACACCGAAACTGGTCTTTGTCACTTCATTGGCCTTGGGCAGCATCATGGAAGTGAGCAAAGGAATGAAGTGCATCAAGGAAATCATTCAATTAGAGAACGAATCGGATGCCAGAGTATCTGGAATTGCAAGATTTGATGAGATTTTACGTAATCCGAAGTATAGAATGAGCCAAGAAGAGTTCCAATTGCCTTCCACGAGCAGTTTGGATGCTCATGATGCATTTATCTTGATGTCCTCAGGCACAACGGGAATGCCTAAAGGAGTTGTTCTTTCGGACAGAAATATCTTAGCAGCTTTTGTTTTTCTGGAGTAAGTTATGCAATGGCTCTAATACATTCTCATAATAGCTCACTAATTAAATTATTTTCAGAGAGATAATTCAGTCAATGTTCACCATACCAAATCCCTGTACGATGTCAATTCTACCTTGGTTTCATACTTTCGGCCTTACAACACTTACGTATTTCATTTTCAGAGGTGTGAAAATAGTTTCTCAGCCTAGATTTGAAGAAAAAGCCTTTTTATCCTCAATTCAGGTAAATCTCAACATCCAATTTACATAAACTCACTATTAAATCTTATCATTTTCAGCAATATAAGATATCACATTTATATATTGTGCCTCCCGTGATGATTTTCCTGGCTAAGAATCCTAATGTTCAAAACTACGATTTGAGCAGTCTGATAGAAATATTTTATGGCGCTGCACCATTAGGAAAAGACATTGAGGACGAAGTAAAGCAAAGAATTCCGACCATTAAAATTATCCAACAAGGCTATGGAATGACAGAAACCACCCTGACTGTCTGCAGTGCAAGAGGATATTATCCTGTGAAAGGTAGCGTGGGACTTGTCACGCCAAAAACTTGGTGCAAAGTCGTGGATCCAGAAACTGGAAAAGCTCTTGGACCCAACAAACCTGGAGAGGTTTGTTTTAAAGGACCTTCAGTGATGAAGGGATATTACAAAAACCCAAAGGCCACTCAGGAGACTATCAGGAATGGCTGGCTGCACACCGGAGATATTGGATACTACGACGAGAAGAAGAACTTCTACATCGTCGATCGACTGAAGGAATTGATCAAGTACAACAGCTTCCAAGTGGCTCCTGCTGAACTGGAAGCCTTGATCCTGACTCATTTAGCGGTCAAGGATACAGCTGTTATTGGCATTCCCCACCCGGAAGCCGGAGAACTCCCTGCAGCTTTCGTGGTGAAGAAGGAAAACTACGAAGCGACAGCTGAGGATATTGCCAAATTCGTCTCTGATCGGGTATCAAATCCCAAAAGATTGCGAGGGGGTGTTCATTTCGTCGATGAGATACCCAAAAATCCGAGCGGAAAAATTTTACGAAGAGTCTTAAGAGATAGAATTGATGCTCTCAAATCATAATCTCAATTTTAATCTAGACTATTTGGTCTATGTGTTCTCCTCCATTCTTAGTAAGATATAAGAATTTGGTTATCTCAAATATTAACCAACCCTTGACCCAATGTTCATATAATCAGAACTGAGACAAGAGGCATAATGATAATACTGTTTATTACTGTTTAGACATCTGAGAGAGTGGGTTGTTAAAGCACGGTGTTAAGAGCTCATGAAAAGTGAGTGCAATAAAATGGGTACTGCGGAAAATAATTATCTTCTCTATGGGGGTGAAGTGTGTGATAATTTGGCGAAAAGATACAAATCTCTGGGTGAATTTTACTACCACAAACTGCAAGATGAGGCCAATGAAGCTGAAATTGTGAGTGAAGTCCTCAGATTTTCCAACAATAAAGTGCAAAGTTGGTTTTACTACCCGACAGATTGATGCAAAATCTGGTCAAAGAGTCACCAGGGAAGAAATGAGAATTGGAGCTGAACATTTAGCTGAGTTTTTGAAGCAAAACGGTGTCCAGACAGGAGATGTCGTCACTACACTCAGTGAAAATCGATTGGAATTCCCAGTGGTAATCTTTTCAGTGTTTTACTGCGGAGCTTCACTCAATGCTTTGAGTCCCTACTATACTGAAAGTGAGAAAATGCTCTTGTTTTCTCGATTTTACACATTCAATAGTTTTGATTTCCCACTCCAGATGAGATTTCGCATGCCCTAAAGATAGTGCAACCAAAGATAATTTTCCTAACGCCGGTTGTCCTGGACAGAGTAAGAAAGGTCTTGCAAGAATTAAATCTAAAAAGTGTTGTAATTAAATTTGACGAAGAAAATCTAGAAAACTCCAAGGAAAACCATGTCCTAAACTTCAGAGATATTATGAGAGATATAAAATATAGACCTAAAACTGAAATTGTACCTGTGAAAGTGAATCCTGAAAGCGATGTAGCCTTCATTCTGATGTCATCTGGAACAACAGGACTACCAAAATGTGTTCAAATATCACATAAGAATGTTTTGAGTATGTTTTCAGGGACAATGTAAGTTCAGAAGCTTGTTTACAAGCCACTTTATAGCCTTATCTTGAGGCGAGTCTTATATAATTCACTGTAACAACAATCATTGCAGATACATTTTTACTGATTTTCGCGAAAGAAGAGATAATGTTCTTCTGATAACACCATGGTAAACTTATCTCTCTTATATAGAATTTTTAAAATATATTTTTGAACTCTTTTTTGTGATTAAAATAGGGTCCATACTTTTGGCTTGATGGCAATGCTTCGCCTTGTGGCTTGTGGGGTCAGAACAATATCAATTCAGGGCTTTCAGGAAAAGTTCTATTTGCAAACAATCGAGGTAAGATTTCCACATACCTTTATAATGAAGATTTCCAAAAAAAAAGGGTCAGGAACTCCGCCAGGACGGTCAGGAAGTCGAGTCGGAAAGTTTCAATGTGTGTTGTTTGCAGTTTTCTTAATATTCCGCGATTTATCGCTTCACATTTTCTCCTATTCCATGTGAAATTCACTGCTAAAGGTGCTAAAACACTTTCCTTAGAGAATCACTTAAAAATTTTTATGCGTTTTAGCTTTTTTCTATCGCGGTAAACACAATCGGTGGTTTCCACCGATCCTGAGACGTTCAATCACGATCGCAGCTGGACGAAAGTTGACGATAAACTTGACGAAGAATTTTCTAGCAGTTTTTCAGTGCATGTTTTGGCGTGTATCTGACGAATTTCTGAGCAAAATTCTACAATTTTCTTGGGAAATTCACAAGTAAGGACGTTATCAGACATATGATTTTACCAGAAAAGTGTAGAAATGGAAAGAGAAAAGGATTTTAGTGAATGTGTTATGCTTGTTATTACATTTTAACGCAGATATTTGTGAGGTGAGTCTTGGGGTGTGATTTTCATGTTTTTATGGACACAGAAAACACAGCTGATATCGCTGAAATTGCTTCTTCGTATCGTGTTTGACTTTCCTTCCTGACCTCCCAAACCAATCTCTCGGAATTTTTCTTCCTCTATTAACTGGTCTACAGAACACCTCACTTTCCAGGACTACAAAGTGTCTGTGTGCTTTGTGGCACCTGCTTTGATGGTGTTCTTCAGCAAAGCCACTATTCTTGATCAGTACAATCTTCTCACATTGAGGACTATATATTCTGGAGGGGCTCCGCTGAGCAAGGATATAGTGGAAGGCATCATAAAGCGTCTTCCAAATGTTAAAGTCATTTACAATGGATACGGCTTGACAGAGACATCCGCTGGAATCCTCCACGCCAACTCAAGCATCAACAAACTCAACAGTATTGGAGTCCTTTACAGAGGAGCGTGGGGTAAAGTGATCAATCCGGAGAGTGGAAAGGCTCTGCCTCCCAATACTCCTGGTGAGCTGTGTTTCAAGGGGGATCAGATAGTTCTGGGCTACAGGGGGAATGCAGAGGCCACGAAGAACCTGATCGATCCTGACGGCTGGCTTCATTCTGGAGACATTGGCTATTACAATGAGGGCAGGGAATTCTTCATTATTGGCAGATCTAAGGAGGTCATCAAGTACAAAGGCTTCCAAGTGCCTCCGGTGGAGTTGGAGACTGTGCTCTTGAGTCATCCAAAGGTGCGCGATGCCGCCGTCATCGGGATTCCGGATGAAATCGCAGGGGAGTTGCCAATGGCTCTTGTGGTCAGAAACACGGGCGTCGAAGTGAGCGACAAGGAGCTCGTAGACTTTGTCAATAGCAAGGTATCGCATCCGAAGAAGCTGAGAGGCGGTGTAAAGTTCATATCCAAAGTCTCAAGGAATGTAAACGGGAAGATTATGCGGCAAGAATTGAAGAGCAGATTTGGCATGATGTCTAAACTCTAGTCATGGAGGGTTTTATTATTTATATTCGACATATTTTCAAAGTATACACTACTTTTACTTAAAAACATCTGGAAAAGGGGTGTTCCAAAATGGTTTTCTCTCGGCTTTAGCTATTTACAGTGGATTTATTGATTGATTATTCGTTACATTATGCTTCTAAACCGTGTAGTGTACGTAAATGGGTCGCAATTTCTATCGCTTTTCCTTTAACCTTCATGTAATCTGTACAAAATCTATCGTATTGCCGTTCATAGAAATTCTAATGCACCATACAAAAAAGTTTTCAAACTTTTCACGATTGTTATGGAGTGGTATTGTATGGGAGTACGCATAGTGAGATGTTTCCATCTGCTGTTGTCTGCAAATTACATATTTTATGCATATCACATCACAATATATCACAGTTTTGCAAATTTGAATATTTTCTACATTTTATGTACGTTTTGCAGAACAATTTTCCTACATCTACAAGTTGATTATATCCAACAGGATCAAATTAATATTTAGCAAGGAAAAAAACTTGCAAACTTTTTTTCCGAAATAAATAGACTCTATAACATTTTTCTCTTCCTTCATCTTCCTCTTGCTTCTCTGGATTCACCAAGTAAACAATAACCACGTTTCACGTTTTTGATTAAATTCAAAATATAACCCTACTAAAGACGATATGATTATTGCGCATTGTTATAAATTAATAAAAAATTATTATTGTACATAATAAAAGCACACAAGTTATTTGATTTCTTTTGCATCTTATATCTCAGGGATAAAGTGGAAAATATTGCAAACATTTGGTCTAAAACAATAGCTTCTGATATGGATTTCTTTTTTGATATTTCAAATAGGCCAAAATCAGTAAAAAGAATTTTAAAGTTTTTCTCCCAATTTCTCTTTCGATATGTTTTTGAAATTTTTCCTACCGCAATAAAGTTTTAATGGATTTTAAAATGTAAATTAATTAGAAAATTGTTTTTCAGCCATGTCTCAATGTCATTCCGCGGCGATAACAAAAGTATATCTTGTTACTCATTCAGTCTTCAGTGTTATTGCGTTTTCTTCATATTCCAAGATGCTCCTCGTTTTTCCATCTATTCACTTAATTTGTATGTTCGTGGGTGAAAAAGTCAAAAATCTAGGAAGTACATAAATATGTCAGTAAATGGACTAGCAAACAATGATTCTCGGATCCTAATAGTATAGTCTAAATACGTTATTGTTAGGGGCCTTATGTACACAATATGTATAGAATATGTAAGTCTTCAGTGGATGCTAAAATATTTAGATAATGTTGTCTACTGTTTTCGTCTGATTAACTTTTCAAGCACTAGACGATGTCTAAGAGTAATGTTACAGATACTTCCCTAATCCCCTACTTTCATGCTCTTTACAATGAAATGACTAGATTCTCTGCATAGACAGACCCTATAAGTTTATATGTGATTTACTGTAATCATCTGTGTTTGGAACACTTATTGCGATGGATCGATAGTCTCGGCGTACACGCACGAGCTCTCTTCACTGCACGAGCAGCATGTGTCGGTGTCTTCACGTGAGGCGTAACAGTCACTATTTTGATCAATAAGCTTGTCGTTTGTTGCGTAGCTATCGTCATTGCGATTGAATTCGAATGAACGCGTGGTGGAAATCAATCTCGGGTTTTCTCTTCCTCTCTCGCTGTGATCGGGCAGTTTCTTTTTCTGATGGCAGTGTCGCGCACATCTCACGGGTTGTCTCATTGAGTGGTCAGAGCACTCTGAGGAGCAGGTGTAGATTAGATTGTGTTGATAGTCCGGATTAATGATTTGCTGATGTGACGCCAGAGCATCGCAACTACTGAAAGTGACAGAGACTGCATGAAGAATGTGATTTCTTGCTGAAAACTTAAGCATGTGATGAAGATCTTACTGAGAATTGTTGCAATAGTTGACTTGCTGTTGGTTGTGCCGCTGATAGTCGGAATGTTGATTCGGGTGGCATTGCTTATGTTTAGGAACGTGGGGATTATTTGGCATATTCGGCACACAACATGTAACATGACCTACAGTTTGGCAGCATTTCTGATACTGAGCTCCCGGATACGGAAGCAAGCTATTGTAAATGTTTTCCGTGTTGATTTGCTGATGGGCATCCCACGGAGAGTAGCTGGACACTGAGTTTCCGCAGGAAGAGCCACTGTGTCCTGACACTTGAGAGGCAGTCATCAGCCTGTGGGGAAACAATATTATACTATGTGATCTAATTCTTTGCCACTGTTTTTTGAACTCACATTCCAGAACAAGACTTGGACGCTTGCTGACCACCTCGCTCAATGTTCTCCGGAGTGTAGAACAAGGCTGGATTGGCAGTTCCTGGAATAGGAGGGGGATGCTCCGGTGGTGGTGGTAGAAAATCTGTCCAATTATTAGGAACAACTGTAAGTATTTGACCACATTTAACATACAATCAACACAGTTCACAGGTGAGTTACGGTTCACTTACTTTGCGGAAATTGTGTATACGGTATTGAAGGTTGAGGTTTCCCTTGAATGGCGTTGGATGTGGGGCTTGAGGCACCTGATGAGTAAGGTTCTCGACTGCAATTGGATCGTTTTGTGCAAGTGTCGCTCGATGAGCGGCTGCTTCCGCTTGGATTGCCATTGCTGATAAGCATTGTTGTGGCGTAAGGAGTTGGATTCTCAGGTGACTGCAAGGGAGATAATAAGATTTACGTTGGGAAATTGAATTGGGGATTGAGTGGTTTACCTTTTGGCAACTGTAGAATGTACTGAGATTGCGAGTGTCCACTTCTGCATAGTCTGTGCCTATATCTCCATAAGATCCGGGAGCGTTGGATGAGTTGACTAGGAGTTTAGCTTCACTTAATCCGGAGTCTTTGTCTGTGTCACCTGCGCGCCAGCCTCTATCAATCCAGATGCTCTCTTTGCCATTCAAAGCTAAGGCTGTTATTTCACTAGCATTGACACTGGGAACTGCACAGCAACATTAAAAATAGTGAGATAATTACAATCAATCAAGGTGCAAGAGACAAAATTACAATCTTACCATTCAAATGATTCATTCCCTTGCTGAGTCGGTGCTTCTTGCGGAAGAATATCATGGCTGTGCCCGAAGCTACGATTATTGTCACAAGCATAAGAATTAGGAGAATCATGAACCACGGCTCGTGCACGATGTCACGCTTCTGCGGCTCCTCGGACGTGGAGGCGGATCCGCTGGGGTGTGCGCGTGGTGGTGAAATGATGTGTGATGGATCCATGAGGAGGGTGACGGGCTGCGAGTACGGACCGGCTCCAACTCGAGTGTAAGCCACAATGCGAATATTGTATGATGCGCCTATTGTGAGATTGTTCAGCATAACAGACATGGTGGTGGAGTTGAGAGTCATTTGAGCAAGGATTTTCGACGAATTGCCAGCTTTCACTTGGATTTTGTACCCCAATATAATGCCATTGTGATGCTGATTCTGCGGCGGAAGCCAACGTACCCAGCCGGCTGTGAGGTTCAGCATGCCCGTCTGTACGTTGTCAGGTGGTGCAGATGGAACTGAAGTGAGATATATGGGCGAGAATGAGGTGTGTGTGTGTGTGAATTTTGCATGGAAATATTTCAGTCAATTTACCATCTTCTAATGTCTGGACGATTTTCGAATTGCTCGGCTGACCCTCGACACTCTGGTAAAATGGGGCGATGAAGAATTCGTATTTGGTGAACTTTTTCAGATTCGCCACTACATGTGACTCAATTTTGGGACTCATGATGGTGATAATGTTGTAATTCTGTGAGCCGCTGCTCACGTCGCGGAAGCGCAGATACAAGCCCTGAATGTACTCATCGTTGAAGGTGATGTGTAGTCGCCAGTCTAGTCGAATGGATGTAGAGTTTGCAGCCACGGCATTAACAAGTTCAACAATCTGCAATAATGAAGACATTGAGAATGAGCGAGAGACGCCCCATTTTCGTGGGCCATTGTTGTGCTCTGGGTGCGGAAAAGCAAATTAATTCGGGAGGAAAATGTCACCTTTTCACTGAGAACAGCACGAGCTGCAATTAATTTTGATTGTGGTATTATTTCACTCCTGGCGCCCAATGTCTTGGCTGGGTGAGACAATAGAGACGGTATAGAGAGTCCATAGATATTTTCGGCACGTACCAAAAATACATAAGAAGTCGCTGGCTTCAGTTCTGTTATCTGTAAGGAAATCGTGGATGTCCTTTTGTATAAATTCAACACAATTACTCCGTCTCTGCGCGACTTACCGTAATTGTTTGATTTGGCACGCGATGGGCCGCCACCACCCACCCAGTCTGCAGATCCGAACTGAAATACTCGACGGTGTAGCTGAAAAATGCAAAATTATACATGTATTAAATTTCATGGGGAAATTTAGTCGTAAAAAAAAAGTTTTTCGCATAAAAATCGTCTCGATGGGCGTGTGTGATGAGTTGGCTGGAGTGCGTATGTATGTTGAAGACAAATTAGTGCAATATTTAATGGACATATTTAGGGACTCACCCAATTAGTGTGGACGCTTCCTCGCTTTGATTCCGCCTCCACGAGAGCGTTATGGCATTCTCTGTGATATTAATGATTCTGGGGGCCGATGGGGGTGCTGGAAAAGTGCTGGGATCGGGAATTCGGTGAAATATTGGCGAAGTGCTCTTTTTCACGCTCAGCGATGCTGACCACGACGTTTCGCCACTCTCTGAAGACGCTGTGCAAGTGTACAGCCCAGAGTCCGTGGATTGTAAGTCTGAATAGGACATTTTAGTATTATTTTCATAATCGATAATTCGTGGGTTTATGTAGCTAATCAAGCGCGCTGTAAAACTCACTCGTTATTCTGAGGGAGCCGTTCTGTTGTATCATAAAATGCCGCTGCCCCGCACTCAGCGCCACCCCATCCTTGTACCACTTGATATCGGGTGGCGGGCTTCCGATGGCCTGACATGGCATCTGAGTTGCGCCACCGAGAGGCAGTGTTTGGTTGCTGGGGCCGATTTGAATAATTGGGGGTGGTATGTCATCAACGGATGTCACCTGGAATAATTAATGATGCACTGATTAGTCCATTAGTGTCATATTGTTTGATATGTGAAAAACAAAATAGCAAATTAGGTGTACACCATTGCACGTATATAAAACAGAGGTACATTGTCATGCCGTTGGCCAGTGTGCATATCATAATTTTATTACTCAACTCAACCTCCCGCAGGCACATTGTCAAATCACCAGAAGGGTAATGCGGTGGCAAGTGGGGAGCTTTGATTTTTGATATTCCGACATACATACACGAACGAGGATATAAGTTGAGTGTTTTGGGGCCTTTGATTTATGAATATACTTCCTTAAATTTATTATGAGCTGCCTAAACTCTGCATTGACCCTAATTGACCCCAAATGAGAATATTGCCGCTTTATCCGAATGTCACTAATTAGGTAATGTCTGCCTAAATGACATCGTGTTATACATTGCAATTCGCACTTCACGCAGAATGATTAATACCTGCAGAAAGGCACGCGTTGTCGCGGAACCAGCTACACTTAAGGCTGAACAGACAAAGTATCCGGCATCTTCCTTCTGCACTCCGCGAATCTGCAGGGCTCCTTGCGATGTGATATGTATGTGTCCGTATGAATTGTCCGGAAACATGAGCATCTGCGATCCTTCCTTTGTCCAGAACACCGACGGAGGTGGGTTACCTTTGGCGAGGCACTCAAACAGTGCGATTCCATTGAGGCCGACCTTTTTGTCTTGTGGCCGAACAGAGAAGCTCGGAGGTGCTACAAGACAAGAATGTGTGTTGATTCATAAATCTAAAGAGGCAAGATTTTACCACAAAACAAGTCATTTTTCTCTTACAATTGACAATCAAGTGTGCTCTAGCGCTTATTTGTCCCACGCTATTGTGCGCCTCACAAATGTACATTCCCTCATCCGTTAGAGCCACATTCTTTATTATTAGGCTCTTGTCACTTTCCAGTATATCCGCCCTGGAAGTGAAAATAATTGATATACATTTTGCTGGGCACACGGTGTGAGAGGAGAAGAGGAAATCCGTGTATTTACCTTCCCACAGGCATATTTCCATCATCTTTTCGCCACAGTATCTGAGGTTGAGGGTCACCGCCCACGGAGCAGTGAAATTGAACAGTCTGTCCACTGAGAACGGTGACATCCGTGGGCTCCTTATTGAAGTATGGCTTCACTGGAGAGTGAGAGAAGAGAGAAAAAGAAATACTGTATATTGAAATTGGTTCGCGCGTGAAGAATATGATTTGAATGCATGAAGAGACAATTACCTTGTACAGTGAGCTTGGCGTAGGCACTCTCCCTTGTACCTACAACATTCTGAGCGGTGCACTGGTATCGTCCTTCGTCAAGTGGGCGCACGTCGTTGATCAGCAAATTTCCCCCGTCCACGATGCGCATCCGAAACGTCGGTTGGTTGCTGTGCACCATGTCTAAATCCAGAATCATGCCATCTTTCTTCCATATGAGTGTGGGTTCGGGGCTTCCCTTTGGTGGGCCACACTCCAGCAGGGCCGTCTCTCCGGCCGCAACTCTCGTGTCTTTGGGTTCCACTCGAAAGTCTTCCCTCAGCACTGCTCGGACAAGTAATGTGGGTGAGGAAAGAGGCAATAAATAGCCAACATCTAATAACTTTTACTTTAAATTCTGAAATAGTCTTTTGTGTTAATTGCTCCTACTACTAAACACCATTTTCCACGCTGTTTGTCGCTAGGGTGCTGTTTGTCATCAATATTTATTATTACAAGTCTATCTGCATTTGTGTCTGCAGTGACATTTAGTAGAATTTATGGTTGAAAACCCGTGTTTTGTACAAATAAGCATAATTTTTGATTAAGTGCTTACACTTATCTCTCCAAAGATCAATACTATGCGCTCCCCCTCAATCTCTTCGACTCAACACGAGTACAAGAGTGGCTTTTTACCTGCAATTTGCAGAGTGGCATTTCGACTTTGTGCCTTTCCAGCAACATTTTTCGCCACACACCAATAAACTCCAGCGTCTTGCTCTTTTTTCCCATGAACGGTGCGCAGGAAGAACAGGGATCCAGATGGTAATAATACTCGATGTGATTTATTGTCGTTGGGACTTGTCTTCACCGATTCGCCATCCTTTTGAGGTGGGGTGGGAAAATTGCGTTATGATATTTATACACAATTGGGCGCCATTCAGGGTTAATTTACCTTAAACCATTCAATCGTGGGCTCCGGTCGACCTTCTGCCTTGCAATTGAGTGTCACAGGCTCGCCCTTGGGCACAAGGATATCCGATGGATGTTCAGTGATTCTCGGTGAGCGATATTGAGCTGCAAAGATGATAGAATCAATATTAATTTTCAATTAAAGTTGGACAAAATTCATCTGGCATGTGAAACACGTTTCCCGATCTCTCTGAATAAATGGGGTTGCGATGCTGCACACTTTACATTTACTTATTATCTCATGTAAAGGATTGAGATTGAGAAGAACAGTGACAATTAACTCTCTACGCTAAGTAGAATGTCTGCGGATTGTGTGTATATATTTTTCTCCTCTATGTACTTTCGTGGACACATACGGTGAGTGTATGTAAAACAGAAATAAACAATGTAGTTATTTTAAACACTGGCTAAGAGCCCAAATGAAAGTGTACTTTTAGCATACCTCTTAAACACTTAATAGTTAAATACCATTCCATGTGCATATACTTCCACCATGTACTTATGTCTCATGTTCTGAAACATTAAAGACGAATAGGGTGAAGAAAAACCTGCTAACTTGCGACTATATAATTTGAAAATTGCATTAGGATTCATGTTCATCGTCATGTCATTCTGGCTTTGTCTCTCCACTAAATTAACACGATAGTTTTCACAGTGATTTCGCGTGAATTGAACAGTGCATGTGAGGTTTAATATTTTATGTCTGGTTGGAGGAAATTTCCAACTTTTCTATGCTGTACATATTTCCCCATTTGACTTTTTTACTGCGCGACTCTCAAAATAAATAGAAAGACAGCTTGTCTTCTCAAGACAATCCTTTTTATGTTCGCCTCTAAATTCTAACTCTCGCGTCTGTTATTCTAAGGTCTTTTCTCATCTGTCTACCATATCTTGTGGGTAATAATACTATAACTGAATAATTTGAGAGAGAAGTAAATATTTACCTCATAAATATAATTCATTTGCCTGCCATATACGGTTTTATTTGCATTTTGCACCTACGCATTCACACCTGATTAACATAATTTCGTTGACCTATGATGATTACCATTGTTATGCACAGAGTAACTCAATTATCTTAAGATGTTGCACACAGGTTGGGTTGGAAAGTGTGAAAAAACGTGCTCAAGAATAAGCATCAACTACACAGTTTGTCGTTCTCTCTCGATTACACCGCGATATCTTAGTCGTAACAAGAAATAATTTCAGTAGAATGATTGCGATTGTATGTAATTTATTCATAAATTCTGTATATAACATGTTGAGAGAGATTGAAATACTTCGACACCCTTCTGTTTTTCCACGAAACTCTTTTGCTGATAAAATCAACTTGCGTGCGCCATCCTTGGAGAGGACGAGTGGGGTGGGGGTTTCGTGAATATAACTTTTCCTTCTACTTTTTAAATGACTCATTATAATTAGATTAGAATTGTATTCACGTTGGAATTACATCCAAAATTAACCTACTTATCAGCTGTTTTACGTTACAATCTTAACAAAGCAAATTAATACGGGCTATGTATAACGTGTGGTTGTTTTTGGGAGGGAAGATGAATGGCAAATTAAAATAATCCCTATTTTATACCGTTTGGGTATTTTGTAGGCCTATGCTTACTGTAATTACGACTTTTCACGCATTCGCGGTCTACGGAAAGCTGACAGGATACGGAAAAATATTTTCATTTCAAAAGGTGGTAATTAATTATTAATTTTCAGCCAGTCACTGTGGGCATGCTGTATATTTCCAAATATATCATTTAGTCTGGCATAAATTGATAGGGAAATCAGGTACTGCGCCAGCATTTTACATTCACATACTATTTGTTGTGATATTAAGCCGCGCGCATAGCCAGAGCTGAATATCAATTATGATATTCGTATGAATTATACTGGGCATCTGTCGCTCTGCAGCAATGTTGTCACATGTGAATAAACAAGATATAGATTTGGATGCCACCCACTATATCATTTTCGTTGCTGCGCCGTGCAGTGTAGAAAAAATGTCAGTTGGTGGGCAATGGCAGTTGAAATCATTTCAATCCCGGCATCGCGTGTGATAACTCATATGTGCCATGCGACTAACAATACCATCGTGCGAGTTAAAAATATCTCGTAAATTAGCGCACACGAAAGAATGCATTCCATGATTGCGGGCTTGTTGTACAATCTCAAATATTCGCGCGGTGACTATAGAGATTAGGGGATTTTAGTGGGAATGTCAGTTGGCACCAAACAAGGGACAGAGAGTTAATTGTACATCTCTTTATTTGGAATTGAGGAGTTGTGTAAGAAGGTACAAGAATTATGACTGGGATTTTATTGTTCAGTGTGTCAAAAATAATCGAAAAGTCGCAACTGACAATCTTAGCATATCGACTCAACAATGGTTCATGACCACATTTATCTATCATTCATTTGTAACACACAACTATAAATAATTCATGTGAATAATGAATTCAGAACAGATCTACGTTTTCGTCTCTTGCTGCATACATAAGTGATTTGGGTAAATAAATACACCTCTATGCTGGGCTGCTCCAGGTAAATGCCAAAATCTTTACACGACCGTACAGACGAACGTGTCTGATTTATTTTAATTGTTTTATATCATCCTATATCCCCACATTGTATGCACATGTGGTGAGCATTTGCCTTTGAAGAGTCTCTCTCTACTGTGGACACACGATGACGTTATGTTGTCGCTGATGGCTACATTCGAATCTATCCTATTTGTCTTTAACCCCTTTACATGTTAATCAGAAAATATATATTTCAACAATACCATTTGCTAATTTTTGTATTTGATTGTTAGCGGCTTCTGATGGCAATCAAGAGCAGAAAATTGAACAGATGAAGGAATAACTACTGTCTAATCGCTGCAACTGCTTCGCGAAATACGACAAATGCTTATTAAGCCGACGATCGCAATAGGTATGATGGGTGCATGATAAATTGAAGTAAAAATATGCAATGGTCATTTTCATATATGCAATGTCCTATTTCATGCATTGCATGTTAGGGACTAAACGACAGGAAGGTAGTAAATCATAATTTATTCATACATAACGAATAGTGTTACATTATTGGGCAATAACATTCGCCTATATTATCGCCCATTTTGACAAATATTGGAATATTTTGTCGCTGATACAATATATGATACCCTCACGAGTCTCCTTCCCACTCCAAATTGAGCCGTGAAGGTTCTCTTCTTTCGCTGGGATGTATCAATAATAAAACTATGAGCGGCTCAATCGCGAGAATATGTTGGGTTTCTAAGAGGGACTAATTAGAAAATCATCCAGCATTCAGGGGGAGAATGATTGATTATAAAAGCTTTCGTTTGTACGAGCACACGTACCGGCATCTCAATAATTTGATCAACTAATCAAATCTGTAGGAAAGTACACATATTCACGGAGATGTTTCCTGATGCATATCTCTTTGATTGTCATAGGTGTATTAAAAATCGTGATTCCACAACTTTATGTGCCTTCCTCTTGTCTGTATCAACTCACTGGTGCTCATGTGTTTTGAGAAATGTTCTTCTATCGCGTATACATATGCGTATATCATTGTGAAAAAGCGCCGTCTGTATGAAATATTTTCTTGCATTTCTTCTGAGTGGGGGGGAGGAGAAACATAACAATATTTTCTCTTCTCCCTTGATAATATAGTGCAAAACTCACAACATATCATCTTACCGAAGAATCATGTAATACTTGAGCGAAATATATTTCGTCAGGTCATACGAAATGTGTTCTGTCTAATGGTTTTCCCCTTTTGCACTCTTACTTCATGTTTATCGGTATCAGCACGTACCATTGCGCTGTATTTACTGTACATCCACCTTTCGCTTCCCCCGTGATATATTAGGTACTTTAAGAAAATGTCACATTTTATACTGCGCCGTAATTCTAATGAGAAGTACCGCTTTTGCGCGGTAATTAGAAGAAATGACGCTAAATATAGAGACATTGGATGGTAAAAATTCAATTACTTTTCCTATATACTTTTCGCCTTTCTTGATGGCCAACATCTTGTCAAGGATAAACAATTATCAGTAATTATCATCGCCAATGTTGTCACTAATGGTTATTGTTTCGACAAAAATTATATACCGTCGCGCTCAAATCGCGCCGAGAGTTAATTTAAAGGGAAATGCTGCTAATGCATTTGCTTTGCCAGCGTAAAGTGATTTGGGAATGTACATAGTGACAGATTGCTCTTGGGTTCGACTTATGTGGCACATAAGGCACATATTTTGGGCCGAAAAATTCGGGTTAAACCGATGAGGTGGAAAGTCTTAACCAAAGATAAATAATCCGAGTGGGAAAAGTTCTCAATTCATCATATTTCAACATTTTATGCACAGATGCGCATGTATATAAGTTCCAGTAAAATTTAGTTAAATAATCATTTGCTCGTGAAAATAGGACCATTTACTCGGTGGATAAATAAACCACGAGCAGATTGAAATATCTTCTCAATGGACTGTGCAACTTTTGCTGCTTGACTTGGGGAGGGAAATATTAAAAAATTTAATTAGTTTAAATGATAAATATTTACATGAATCCGTGGCAACACACAGTGAAAGATGATCTGCCGATATGATCGTATTCGTCGCAAGGAATAAGTTCATAGTTGGTATATTTTTCCTGGCTAGGCTTCACTTATACTCGTAAATCTCTGAGTGCGAGGGATATTTACAGTGGAGTGTAATGTGCAGTATAAATTGTTTATATTCCATCTCCTCATGCGTGTGGAGATCTGTGCAGAATATGCAATATTTCATTGATATCTTCAAACGAGTTTTCTTTCTTGTGAATTGGGCAATTTTATTAGTGTATCACCTTTCTGTTACCCCATAAGTAATCGAGCAGATTTCCACATTAGGCAGAAATGGATAAAAACTATAAAAGTCCATAAAGAGAAATATCAATTTGATATCATAAAACTGTCGCTCAATCCCGTCATTTGATGAAAAGTCACATAAAAATATCACAAGTCATAAATCACTCACCATATTTGTAAATATGTGTGGTATTTTGGAAATGGTAAAAGTGTATTCAATGAAAAGTCAAGAGGTAAATATATAGCCCCGCCATGTGCACATATGTTACATACAATAAAACGATAAGCCCAGGCTTAATGTATGTTATGATAGTTTCCTCAAGACAGAGGAGGAAAAAATTGTCGCTTTTCTCGTCCAAACATTAGGCTGAGAGGTGGAAATTTAATTAAATATCAGTGAATTTTTACTGCTGGGAGAGGAACGCATTTTTGCTCTATCTTAATTCATTCGGAATTCCTATGGAGGTCTGCGCTGTGAACGATAGATTTTCCTAATGCTTCATTTTATAGAGATAATGATGCTCTTGAAGTTCTTTCGCAAGTTATGAGAACTTCTTAGTTATTTATGGTGTTTAATTCTAAAGAAGTGGAGCATACAGCGAATTGCTGTTTGCTTTCACGGCAGTCTTGCGTTGATAACGTGAAAAAATCAACGAGAAATAAATGTGACAAGAATTAGTGGAGAAGTAAAAGGAATTGTTCTTGGACTAACATATCAAAATTAGATTCACGACATATTGGTTGATTTCTTCGTATGGTCTTGTACGAGACATAACTGCTTCTCGGAGATTAAAAGAAAATAAAATTCAAATAGCTGAGAGGCAACGTTTCAAAAGCATTTCTTTTTCTGGAACGACGTTCCTTTTTTCTCACTCTCCAAATAGCGAGAATAGTTTTGACAAACAAGCCCATTATATATCGAATAGTATGTAAACTATTTATTTACTTTGCCTTCTAACAGCCGAACAGTGAAACAGAAGAGAGTCACAGAGAGTGAAAAATTCAGCTGTTTGCGATAAACAATTAAACGACAACTAATAATTTAGGAGGAGGTATATTAAGATCATTAGTTGATTGTGAACTCACCGTGGACGTGGATGAGAAATCTGCACCAAATAATCAGGAATGATAAATTTAAGTTCATTTTTCTGAATATTTTACGGCCTGTCTGCTCGATGAATGTGTGATGCCGACGGTATTCCGGTAGTCCTCAAATTTGTCCACCCATGGCAATGCTGGTGTTTTTTTTAGTAGTTTAGCGGCTCTCCACTGACAATTTCACTCACAATCCTCACAATTGCACATTATTCTTCATACAAACACAATTAATCCAGGTCGTTGAGGTGTCTTTCACTTTGAATTATTGATTTTGCATCTGCAATTCTTTCCCTACTTCACATGAACAGTCCCAATCCATGGTAAATGAGGGTGAAATATTCGCACTAGAGTGTCCTGTTGTTGAGAGATAAATTACTTTATTTTTGTCTGCCATCATTGTAACAATGTCACCAGCGAATTACTCTAATGAATTGGGCAGAGAAAGAGAGGATTAATTATAACAATTAAACAGAATGATTAAAGAGGATTAGGAGGAATTTTCGAGCAACAACAATTGTTTAATATGCAGGTAGGAAGTTTGACGGAAGCGCCAGAGTATGCACAATATGTTTGTGAGTTTCGGCTTATACATGGGATTTCCTCTAATTAAAACAACAATAAATGCAGTATTTTTGTTGTTCCAAGAACTAAAACAATTTTCACTTTCCTAGAGTTTATCTTTTGGAGAACATCCAATTTAGTCAATTATGTTGAGCACGACTCAACTGCCTCGGCTAGCGAGTGTGGCAATTTTTCTTTGTGTAGAAATTCACCATCTCTAAATTCTTTGCTTTGGTGGGGCTTTTTTTTGCCAATCCTCGCGAGCGCTTCTTTTTCTCCTCTTCTCGCGTCCAACAAGAAAAATGATGCTGAGGTTGAGCGTATAGTTATGCAAAGTGAAAAATAATTTGATGGTATATTGTTGAATGATCCCTATTGATTTCTGATATTTTTCACATAGGGCAGAATGTATTGAGGATTGTACGTTGCGGTTACAAATGGCTTGGTCTTTTGCTTCAACTCAAATTAGATAGTCATAAATCTAAATTTGTTCATCATTATATGAGCTGAAAACAAAGATTGTATGATTAATGAGTCACTTGTGAAATAAGGTAATCATACAACACCAAATAGTGGCATTCATTTCAATGATTTACATAAAATTCTCATTATATTATTTGGGTCTCTTTCATATAAAGGTGGAGAGGCGAGAAAAAAATTCAATTCTATTCAGCCAGTCATCTTCAGATTGAGTACATTCGCCTGAAGAACCTCAATTTTTATCACATTTTATGCTCATTCAATGAAATTTATCAGCGAGAGAAAGAGAGATGGTATGAATGAGGCGAATGCAGTAAAATTATATGGCTGAGGAAATCTGATGGAATAGAAAATCCTCAACAATACAACTCTTGAAATATTTGATGAAATATGGCCATAACGGATGGCAGGAAATTTATATTTCAACTATTTAGGAAAGATGATTTCATAAAAAAACCATTAGAGTGTTGAATAGTGACAAAAGATTAAAAATATTACATATAAATACGTCTTATGTCTGGTATTTCTTACAGCTCTATCACAATATTGAGCTCACATAATTCACGGATTATACCGACATAGGCGCACACAAATCCTCAATCTACTCCTCAAAAGCGTATCAAGCAATTTATGAATATTGAGTGAAAATGCAATATTTCCTCCTCCACTCAAGGATAATCCGGTATTATCGTGGGAAATGAAATTGTAAAATATCACACTGTGATTTTTGGCAGTTGATTTGGTGGCGAGACAAAAAAAGGGCAGAGTGTGTATATCCTAATTAAGATTGCGAGGAATGCGAAGAGCGAAGTTCTGCGAAAAGGGAGGTAATTGCACAGAAAATTAAATTATTGTACCGCACATTTGTTGATTATATTGCGGCCGGAGAATCCGGTGATAGTCAGTCTTTTCACGTACAACAAATGAGCTCGTTGGTACGAGTGAAGTCCGTGCGAGAGTGGGTGAAAAATGTATATTCCTTCTCCATGGAACTTTTCACGGATAATTACAAACAGTTTCTTTTTTATACAATGCCACACAATCCACGTAAATCCATGACGCAACCTCTTGATAGCGCGGAGTCCCACAGCGAACTGAGTACGAAGGTTCCAGTTCTGGGAAAAGAGACCGCGTTTGAGAGAGTCGTGCCAGGGGCGAATTGGATACATAAACATGCGTTGGTATATGAGAACAAAACGCATAATCGCGGGGCCCCGAGAAGAGCACACACAGCAAGCATTCGGATATGAAATAGAGAGGCACACGGGGGCACTTGGAGGGGAATTTGTGTATGTATTTGACTTTATGTTGTGCTGAAAAGTGTTAATATCTTCGGCTGAAGTAGCATCAACAGCGCGCAGTGGGTAGTGCGCAGAAGTGCAAGGGGTCAAAATACTAGGGAAATCGTGTGTGTTTTGTTTTAGATACTTAGCATTGTAAATATAAATTCGGAACACTAATTGTTGTCAAGATAATTCCCAATTTCTGAATATGTCTATTAGCAAGGGACACGACTATCTCAATATGAATGCCATGCCTTTGGGAGAGTCGCGATTTTGGGAAGTCACATGCACGAATTTATAGGTATAACGTACAATGAGGAGAAGAGGGACTCTATTTGGGATAATCAACGTCGTATGGAGAGAAGGTGGGTGTAGAACAAAGAACCTTCTTGGAAGGATACAAAATTGCCGAGCCGATTCATTAAATTAAATGATACTTTCGCGAGACTTTGGTGGCTCTGAATATTACGCTTCTGCTCTGGCTACATTTGAGAGCTGAGATTTCTTCATCCCAGCTCTACTGTTATTATGCAAAGTTCGCCAGACCCTGTCAGAGATGTTAAAATGAAAAATATGGGATTTTCAAAATAATTTAATCAAATGCTACACAGGTTATGGGGAAGTTTTCTTGCACAATAATTTAAGCTTAAGATTTTTTCCCTCAAAGACATTTATTATTTCTAAAAGTTTTAATTGTAAATTTTGATATTTTTCATAGGCCAATTTACACAAGACTGTGAATCCCTTCGAAGATATTTTGATTAATTCTTCACTGTCTCATTTTCGTGTATGTTAACTTGAAATCCCAGATACTCTGTTTAAGCTCAGCAACGCGTCTCTTTCTGTCTCTTTGCTGCTGCTCCTCGTCTTATTGCAGAAAGTTAAAATAAAATCCCACGATTTTATGAAATGAAAATGCCATTGATTCTGTTTATCATTTTGAAAGAGAATATTTTTGCGTGGGTCGTTCTTAGTAATTTTGCAATAAATAACACCACCGAGATGTTTGTAAGTCTCTTAATGCACCATATATATGTATGCAATGTCTTTTATATCTACAGTGTGCGCATTTCTTTTCTCTCTGCGAATATATAAAATCTTAATTTTCTCCCTGTCTCGTCACCTTTGCTCAAGGAAGACCAGCCAGCAGCATTGCGGGGAGTAGGAGTTTTTCTGTCGCTCTTGGTATAATTTCTTATCAAATCCATTATCTGACACTTCTGTACCTCTGCAGTGAGCTGGGGTAATGCCATAAGCATAATCTCTTAGACTACACTACGTAGCGAATTATTTTCTTAAAATGTTTTCACACTGACATGACAATCTGATAACTTGCTATGTATGATAAATTTATTGTCAGAGCGCATTTCTTGAAGTGGAGTCGAGAGGAGAGAAGGTAGAGAAAAGCGATTACAGAAGTCATTCAGGAGGAGATTACGCGTATTCCTCACAATTTTGTGGATTTTCATGTCAATTCACTTGTGCTTCGACGGGTGGCGCATTGAAATGTTGTATCGCAGGTGAATTGTAGACATAAAATCTTGTTTAATCACCGAGGAAGATCGCTTCGACGAGGCACAGTTCCTGGAGCCCTAGACCTTCACCTTCCCTATTCGCTTCATGCCTAGACTCAACTGCCGTCCAATGAGTGGTGCATGAAAGTTTATTACTAATTAAATATTACCTTATTCACGTAGAAGTGTTTCAAGATTTTATTACTTTCTTGTACTCCAACACAATATAAAATCAAATTAAAGGTTGATTTTTCCTCTCCTGCGCCTTTGTTTCTCACCCACTGTTCGCTGTTTGCCTATTGGTCGGACGGGCCACGTTACATAATGTACACGGGAGTACATATATCAACATAGATTGTAGTACGTGCCAGGATTTTAAGTACTCGGAAGTGATTCACTCCTCTATGAGCAATACCGTGAGCGCTTTCACAAAATTTTCTTTCAATCTTTAGCTTCTCGATCCCCACAGATTGGTGTCTTGTTTTTCTCGCTCTCTCCTTCGTCATCCTTCAAATATTAGATTTTCTCCCTGATGGAATTTATCAGACATTTATTTTTATGAGCGCGCGAAGAAATTTTAGAGAAACACTGGATGGAGGAGAGGGCATTATTGGAATTTTAGGGGAGTTAGCCAAGTGGCAGCGCGAAAAATACAGCTCATCCCATTGTCTTGTGTTGATGTTGTGTCGTCAGCTTAATCTCCTGCCATTATAATTTGTCGATCTCCAAGATTGAGCTCTGATTGAGGGCATTTGTGAGTTTATAAACACCGCGCAAGACAGAGTACTGCAATACCTGAAGGAAGGAACATTCCCAGTCAGAAGGTTAATGGTGTTGCGATAGTGGGTGATCGAGCTGACGATATATCAATATTGTGATTTTGTCACGAATCTATGTACGAAATTATACTATGTACGAGAGTAAACGAATTTTTTCGCCTTCCCGCTATCTCTGCCTCCTGAAATGTGGTGGAATATAATTTTATTTATTTCTACAGCTTTCGTACAATAGAAAATTATCGCCTGTAAATCTATGAAATATTCCACTTTTATGTGCGATGTTTAAACCCCCTTCTTGGACTGTTTTAGCAACCAAATACCATTATAGTAACCGTAGCTGAGGGGCTAGTGAATGTGCAATGAATTAATGGTCTCATTGTTTAGATCCGTGTTCTCAAAAGACGCCAACTATAGTGCAGTTTGCGCATATAATTACTATTATCTGGCTATGCACTGGACAATTGTTTGCCAACCCATAGTACATCAGAGAGAGAGCTCGCGAAATTTTATTTTTCGAGGTATCCGCGCGCCGGCAACTGTATCAGAAGGAGAAGTGCACAAGAGAAGAAACTCCTCATACACAAGAGAGCGCGCGTTGAATATATGTGCCTTTTATTTCCTATAGCAACGATGGAAGAGACCGATATGTTGGCGATTTTTCCTTGACTTTGCTCGCTTTTTCTCTGGGTGTACAATATAAAAAGATCCTCTCTCTCTCACTATCATGCTTTTTTCATGTACACACTAAACCACCGCACAAGAATGGGGGAATATGGTTAGTGTTGAAAATGTTTGAAAACAGTCAACTTCTACAAATGGAATATTTCCCGGGAAATTGGAAAAGTGTCTCTAGAGCATAAAATTTGGAATTATTGCACACTTTTTTCTTCGCAACACGCTGAAAAGTCTTTTATTTGAATCATTTGGCATAATGGAATTTTAGGAAAAATTTCCCTGAAGACAGCTGATGCAGCAGCATCCTCCATGCAGCTTAGATTGCATTTGGAGTTGCTGTGAAGTTTTATTAATGCTACGTTGCCTCTGGTTAGTTTCCGCTTTATCTTCACGATGCACCTTTTTATATCTCGTCATTTTTTATCCAATGAATTCCCCCTCAGTCCGATCAGCACACCGCGCTCTCCCTCTTTCGCTCAGTCTTTTCTATCTACCATAAAAATCCTGATGCATATTAAAATATGCGTATAGAGTGCTCTTTTGACGCCCAAAGGCGCTCTCTTGCATTCTTTATTATCCGAGTATGTTAATTCTACGAGAAAAAAAGTATCTCATTACACGTGTATGGACATATAAATTAAGTATCTATAATGGACTGTTATTATAACTTAATAAGTATCCTAAATCTACGGTCAGCTCCCCTTTGATTAATATTTTATATCAGTTTGGTGCATAGGAAATATGAATTATTAATGAGATCCGCGTGAAAAGCTTTATGTTTCTCATTTAATTGCAGGCAAGCTGTCCTCATCGCCAATTTGTGCTGCATGTCCCTGCAAATGCATTGGACCACTGCAGAGGCCAGTGGCTTTAATCGGCGTTGAACAGTATTGACACACAATAATGAATTCTAATGATGCAATTGAGAATACATCGTTTGTAAATGAAGATTTATCAGAGGAATATGAGCACTTGATCTCATTATGCTGGGATTCAGGAAATATGTCTGCCACTTTCATCACCCTGCAGACGATGGAAATGTTCGTGGTGCCGGAAATAACGGATTTGCGCCCAATGTTTTCCTACACCCACAATCTCTTTCGTCAACTCAACCCTATCGTGGTGCTGGCGAGTGGCCATGAGAGTTTTCTGCGTGAGATAATGACTCTCCTGAAGCTTCCTGAGGAGGCTGACCCCAAAGATTATGTGAGCGCGGCGAATCAGAGTGGCCGGAATAACTTTGTGGTCTTTCCGCAGAGTGAGAAGAGTGTGGGACAGAATCGCCAGCGCCTGTGGAATATCAATCTATCAGGTAATATTTGGTCTAAGCACTTGGGGGTTAATTGCCATGCTGATGTCGTATACTGGGTGTGTTTGAGATGGAATTCCTAATACTCAACTTGCTCTGTGATCACCTAACAAAGCCAGTAACGTTAAATTGAGGAGCGACTCGAAGGGGAACACTAATCACATTACATACCTATTTTCCCGATTTGAACATATATGTAGGTGAAAAGGATAATAATTATTTGTTGCTTTGGTGTTTAGATAGTGGCGCAAAAATTCTACTAATCAATATTGATCATTGTGGAAATTCAATTTGCAAAATTTTCCCTCTGAGAACCCTTGTATTTGTCCAATGAATCTCAATTTCTCATAAGCTCAACTAGGCGTAAACTTGTTTATTCGTTTTTGCATAGGTTTCCACAGTGAGGTGGAGAAGCAGTCGTACTTGAAGACCCAGATACCGCCACATCAGAAATTGGTGATTCAGAGTGCGGGCAATTTGCTGAAGTATATGGAAACAAATTGGAAATCCATATCGCCGCAAGACAATACCAACATGCCCATAATCACATCGCTAAAAGTGTTCTCCCTCAAAAGTCAAGTCTTAATCGACGACTCGTCATATCTGGCACTGGAAATCTTCAACACAGCTCCACATCCGTCGGGCTTCAAGAAGGGTCTCAAAGGTACCGAACAGACTGGCTTTTCGCTCTATCGATTGCTAAATCACTGCCAATCGAAAATTGGCTGCGATGAGATGAAAATGATATTTCAACAGCCGACTAATGAGATTTCCGTTCTCAACAAGAGATTTGAGACAATCGAGTGGTGCATGAGTGCACAAAATGCTGGCACGGTGGAGCGTTTGAGGAAAATGCTGAGGCACGTGTACGAGATAAGTCGGTGTTTTAGGAAAATTCTCGAGAATCCCAACAAGATGTATTTCTGGAAAATCTTCCGCACCAGCATCACAAATGCCTTCCATGTAGCCGAATTGTGCCGCGACAGCACACAGCCTGGTGAGAAGTGTGGAGTTGTTGGAGATTTGCGCGATGCTATAGAGAGTCAGGTTGACATAATGGTTGTGTTTATGGCAATCAACGAAATTATTGATTTTGACGAGGGTGTCGCACAGAATAAATTCACCGTGCACATGGGTTTCGACGCGGAGTTGGATAAATTGAAGGAGTACTTCAAGAGGATACAAGCAGACGTTCCGGATGATACCAAGGAGGAGATCAGGCGCCTTTTCCCCGCTTATGATAGCTGTGAATTTACATTGGTGCCCGAGATGGGCTTTGTCGTGTCCATTAAGAGCCCCCTCAACAGTCCTGTGAGCATTGACTCATCTAGTGCGAGTGCTGCGAATGGTGGTTTTAAATTCCTCTATAAGACCGAAGGATACTACTACTACAGTGCTCCATACTGTGTGGAAATGAATACGAAGTATGGGCACATTCACCATGACATCTGCTTGAAGGAGCAAGAGATATGCAGTGAACTCATCAACTCCATGGCGAAAAACATCGGCAAATTGCTCAATATTGTGAAGTACTGCGCCCAATTGGATTGCTTCATGGCATTCGCTGCCGTGGCGGCGACACGCAAATATGTTCGACCGCAAATGAGCCAGGATAAAGTGGTGAAAATTGAAGCAGGGCGCCATGCACTGCAGGAGGAGTGCGATAATTTCATACCGAATGACATTCATGTGGCGGAATCGAGAGAGAATCTCATAACAATAATAACAGCACCCAATTCAGCCGGAAAGTCCATTTATCTGAAGCAAGTCGGAATTATAGTGTACTTAGCTCACATCGGATGCTATGTACCTGCCGCCTCGGCGCACATTGGCACCATCGACTCCATCTACTCACGGATTCACAGCACTGAGGCTATGCACCAGGGCGCATCCTCCTTTCTCTATGATCTCCAGCAGATGGGCAAAGTGATGATCAACTCAAGCAGTCGCTGTCTCATACTCATTGACGAGTTCGGCACCGGAACGAATGTCAATGAGGGAAAGAGTCTTCTCGTGGCGTGCATTGAGGATTTGTCGAGGCGAGGCAAATCGGCACCCATTGCCCTCTTCTCCACCCACTACATGGATGTGGTGGATCTGTGTGAGTCACGTGAGATGGTGAAGGAGATCACAATCAAGAGCTACTTTGATGACAACGGCAGGCTTCAGACGACCTACAAGATTGTCGATGGGCGTTGTCCTCTGCAGTACGCTAATGAATTGCACAATATTCGACGATCTGAGGAGGGTCTGCGGGTGTTCACCGATGACAGGCTGAAGATGATTCAAGACACAATGTAATTTGGACAGAAATAATCGTGGGAGTGCTTTTGAAAAACTTGTGAACTAAGAGGCTTTTCTGTTCTATCCGTTGCAGGAAATCCACTGGCCAGCCTGACGCCGCGAAATTGGTGAAAAACAAGACAGTATGTGCGTTTGAAGTGATGAAGACATATTTGGCGTCAAACAGAAATATTGATGAGACCATTAAGAAGTTCTATGAATATGAAATTGAATAATAATGGTGAGTAATTAAATCATTTCTCCTTCCCTGGCAAAAAGTATATATTGTGGCAAAAAGAAGTACAATGACAGATGCTGTGGTTCGCATAATCAATAGTTAAGGGACACTCGCAGAATAGTCGCATTGAATGGAGGAGAGAAAAATGTATATACGCAGTTATTGTGTTACTTTTGTTACTCTTCCTAGACTCTTGCCAACGTCCATTGTTCTTGAATACAAAAGCGAGTGCGAGAGAGATTGAATATTCTTATGAGACATTATGTGCTAAAGGCGAGGAAGACGGCTTCCATTTTCTCCATCTAACTCGCAAATTCAGTATATCCTCGCTTTTATTATTAAAATATAGCGAGTATATGCAGGTACATTGTGTGGAATGGGAAAAGTCATGGGTAAATAGGGTAAATCTTGCTCTTCTCCAATTTGAACACATATAATAAAAGTGGGGTACTATTTTACATAATTAAAATCCAACTTTGGACATGCTCCTTTTAATTTGAATGGCAATGTTTCTTTCATGGCTGTGATTTTGAAGTCATACCAATTTGAATAACAGTCGAGAGAGTGAGAGAGGCACCGCGAAGAGACGGTTCTCAATCTTGTTGTCTTAATAGGAAAAGTTTTATGTATCTACGCGTTACATTTCCAACTTTTTAATCTCTCAAATTGTTTTTCATGCATTACCCGGACGGTAATGGTATTTTATTGGGGCACATTTCAGCATCAAAATCAATTTGTTTCTCTCAAGGAAAATGCCGGAGATAATTAATAAGAATGCACTCACCTGAGTGTGTTGAAAATATGAACTCTGCAATCTGTGGAGTGAGACAGTCGCGCAAAAGCGGGAAAAAGTCAATAAAGTGAATAAATGTCGATCATCCTACATGATCCAGTTACACGTTTCATTTCGTGATATTTCAGGCTCAACTTAAGGCGTAATGAAATGTTGTTAGCGGCGACAGAATGTGCGCAAGTGTTGGGACTTTTGCAGGGTGTCTGTCGGTGAGAATTATTCATTTTAAAATTGCAGGTATGTGTGATTGAGGATTTATTCATTTCACAAATTTAAATATGTAATATGGAGTTAGACAGGCGTAGGTTTGCAAAATATAAAATTGAGGAAGACCTGTTGCCAGCGCCTCGATAAGAAGTCTCTCTCTCTCGGTGTCTCTGTTGCTGTCTTTCTGGGGAGTGGTGGATTTTTAATTAGCAACTCTACAGCGATTACTCGATGGCAACTAATTTCAAGAGTCTAAATGCCTTTTGTAGACATTTGCACACAGTCAGTGAGTGTGGAATTATGCAAAAGTGGGCGGTAGTTCTAAATATAATGTGCATTGCATGCGAGACAACAATGATTTTTCCCACAAAGAAGACATTATTCTTGCACACTGTTCGAGATGTGTCTCTCAACTGCTGGTGTGGCGTTTAGTGAAGAGGTGATGCATGAGGCATTCTGCGACGGACAGCAATTATGGTAATCAAATAAAATTGATTACATCAATTAAATTTCTCCACTTCCCAAACACCCCACTTCTATGGCGAAACGTTCGCGCATTGGCACTACTTTTAAGAACTCTATGAGACAGAACGTGCGGTCATAACTTTTCGTCACTCTGCCGGCGGGGGGAAGTGTGAGAGAAGAGAATTGAACGACGAATTGGGTAATTGTCTTTCTCCTTTCTTGTTGATTTTTCAACGTAGTGTAAATGTAATGACTAAACTGAAGTTCATCTGTGCAAGGTCTGCGTGAATGTAAATCTTCAAAGTAATCGGCGTCTTTTGAGCCGTGCTAGGCAACTCTGGTAATAAATGTAAATATCCGGAGGCATACAATATAACTGCATTACCACCATTGGCTCACCGCACGGCGAAGTCTGTGTGTCACTGGTTGAGAAAATAAAGCTAAGGCGAGCGGCCACGGAGTCTCGGCGGGGGACGGAAACACACGGCCACAGAATGCATCTTTTTTTCCTCACAGAAAAGTAAGAAATTGAATTGGATAAGAAGCCGAGTGACTCATAGGTTCAATTGAATGTTGTATGTTTAATATAGCGTGATTGGTAAATAATTTAATTGATTTGTAGTAATTTGAAGTGACTGCGAGAAAACACCTCCATTTCAACAGTCTCTAGTAGATGAATAAAGTGGGAAAAATACTAATCTTTTTAGGCTACTGATATTAATTTGACACACTTCGAGGAAGCTTAGATAATTGCATCAGCTTTATTTTCAATGCAAGTTTAGCATTTTATATGAATTCGTCATGAGTAGGTAAATTGTCTGTAATTTTAAATTTCCAATTGAGCATGATATTTTCTTTAGTTGAGTGCCTTCTCTGAAAACATAACTACAATCCCTGGTCCATCACCAAGGGATTGCGGTGAGGCGATTCAGTTGTTGTGAAATTTTTCACAACACTTGCGCGTGCTAATTCCGTCTGCAAAATACCAAATTTAATTCCAATGCAAATTCTTGGACTCTCACCAAATGGCAAATATGAGCATTTCGGCCGCTTCTGGCGCTCCTCGGTGAATCTCAGCGGATTGAACAGCTCTGGATCGGCATAGATTTCGGGATCGCTGCATTTGATAAATCACCGTCAAGGCTTGTGTAGCTATTGCCCATTCTAATTTCGGACGTGGATACTCTGACACTCTCTCTGGGTGGATGGAGTTGATGGGATTTGAGGACGGCTGTTCCGGGCTGCACGACAAATGGCTCCTTTTGTCCCAGCAATTGGGGCGTCACATAGCGTTTTGTGCAGAGCTTGTGAAGTGTCTGAGCTGGAGCGTTGATGTGCATTGTCTCGTGTGTGACCAAATCCAAATGCGGCATTTCGCATTGATGGCCTCAGAGGAAAAAGTGTCTTCGAATTTTTCCCAAACTGTCAGAATTGGATGGTGTAGTTTTTCCTGCACTTGCCAAATGCGAACGAGTTGCCAAAGAGCAAAAGGATATAGCACAGCGCTAAGAGAATGACATCGCATGACCTGCAATGTGATCCAGTGTCAAATTGTGTTTGTCCTGAAAGCTCAGCAGTATTTGCAGCATGTCGTCGTGTTGCAATTTTTGACTCTCCCGGGATTTTTCGTTCTCCTTTATTAGCCTTCTGGCCCACTGGACTCAATCTCTCGCGAGATGGAGGAGAACGAGGAGAGCTCCGCGAGATATTGGAGGAAAAGAAGAAGGTCGTAAATTTGAAACCCATCCACAGGGATGGTCGGAAAATCTCCTTGCCCGTTCGGATGAATTCACAATTGGCATCTTCGAAGCAATTTGCCTCCACGCTAAAGGCGCACGAGGCCACATTTTCCGTGGTGAATTTCGCTGAGAGCTATATACATGGAGATAAAGAAAGTAATGCAACAAGAGACAATTAAGACACTCTGATATAAGGGGGGAATATATGCCAATTTAAATGCGAGACTGCAAAACCTACACTCTTTGACTCAATATCCGTATCATTGCGCTGTCGTTCAATATACTTAATCAATTTATCACATGCCGTTAGCATAAGTGGAAATATTGATTTCATCTGCAAAAGAGAGATGTATTTACATAACAAAATCAATCAATTGATGCCGGACGGAGCAGGGGGGAGGATAGAGCAAATCAAGCATGAAATGTAATTGAAAGTGCTATGAATATTCCATTACTTTAGTTGTTGTGAACATGGGAGACATCACAGCACGACTTAATTTCCATTTCTGCTCATCTGTTCGGATGAATGGATTGCCAGACAATAAGTCGTTGGGACCATCATTTCCCGATACGAACGCTCGACAGGAACGATGTAAAGTCTTTGATTAGAATGCTCTTCAATAGCTGCTCCATGTCTCGCACCAATATTGCCTGCCTGAAGACTTTGTACAGCTCAATACGAGGGAGGTTTTGGTATTTCCTACATAATTGTTCTCGTGCATCTGCATTTTTTAATTATGTTGTCCCAAATCACTCACTTTTGTGCCATTTGTTCAAGTTGAATGCCTATTTGTTCTTGTTTGGGTAACAATAGGAGCGAGATTGCCCACGAAAAATTATGGTTTTTGGTCAGAGTACAGCATTTCTTTGCCAAAATGAATAATTCCATTTCTGCCACAGGTACAAAATGCCACAGATAATAAGTACTGCAGTCAGAAACATTTTCTCTACAGTGTATAGCGCGACACGGTATGGAGTGAAAAGCCCGCCGGAAAGGCTATATTCCGAATGGAAAAGTTGAAGTGGAATTTGTGACTCAAAAAGACGTTATTACAGAAGGCCATTAAGGAGCTTTTTTGTTGGGAAGACTCTCCTACTAATGAAGAGGAAATGATGCGTCTAATGTTAAGGAGCAAAACATTTAGGGAGACGTATGAAAAGAATCAGCATAACTTGGCCCAATTGTTGGGCACGAGTCAGAAATTTGTATATTTATTTAGGGGTTATTGGATGTGACACTGTAATATAAGGTGGCGATAATGGCAAATTGCGTATTGTCATAAATAAACTGAGGAGGGAAATTCGCGGGTGAATTTCATCCGAGGCAGTTTCGTTCGAGAAATCATCACTTTAGACAATAAATTATTAATCTAATTTGCTTCGGGGATGTACTAAATAACAACTTTGTACATAATTTATTTAAATGAAATTTCTCCGGTGCTGTTCACTACCGAAAGAGCATCCATGGTTATGAATTTTAATTATGCTGGCTGGAAGAGAATAGAGCCCAGTCTGTATAATCTCAATGGAGAGTGCACGGATGAAAAAGTAATGAAATTGTAAAATAATATTCTCGCCAAGGAGTACAACTATGTTGGTCTCACTATAGGCTTTTGGTTAAACCCAAAATTAGTGGGTAGATTTTCAGTGGATTTCACCCTTTTCCTTCTGCTCGCCTGCATGACCGGTGAGAGCGATCGATATTAAATGGAATTTTTATTGATTGCGATTATGCTATGTATTCCATGCGATATATCTGGCATCCACACATATGTTTTAACTCACTAGATGGGAGTATTAGCAATAAATTCTATGTAATCCTAGTCATATGTTATTTTAGACATTTGCTGGAGAGAAAAAGAAAGATTTGGCCCCCGAGTCCAACCAGTAAAAGTGAGTTTTTGCCTGTCATCCTTACCAGCAATCTAGAAAGGATCCCCATTTATATCCCTTCCATTATGCTTGCCTTTTCTTCCTATCAGTTTCACTTTATTCTTATCGGGAATTGTACCTTCTCAAATGCTGGGATGGCGCTTGTGAGCTTTCTGCTGAATCTTTTTCATGCTTAAATTGTAGCAATATCATCTAATGATGGGTATTTGAAAAGCCGTGTTGTTTGCAAATTTCCTGGGCGAAATTGAGAAACAATTTATTACAATCACTGACCCCAGTGAATGGTTAATCAATTCATAGATTGAAAGGTGGTGGGTGTGGAATACCATACAATTGGACATATTGAATATTAAATTAACACTGCGCACAGTCAACATGGAAGTTAATTAATTAATTTAAATGCATTTCCTGCTTACTTTTGATTTTTTAGTCCCGAACCTCAAGTACTACATTTGTATGTATGCGAATCCTGCAAAAAAATCACTCGACTTTCTCTTATGCCCTCCAGCGCCTGTTTATCTCCTTTTCAGGTAGAGCAGGACTGAGGCTGTATATATAGGCGCTACATGGCGAAGGTATATCCTATGTTGTGACTGTTGAGTGGGGAGATATATAATACAGTGAGGCACAACACACAAATATTTCGTTTGGGGGAGCCTCCCTGAGGACTCCTGAATTCACAGCGAGAGACGATGATGCGTTTCCATGACGATAGGACACCCTTTTCAGGGTATAACAGCCGAATACTACGGCTCGACTCATTCACAGGTTTAGTTTTATAATCTCAATTTCTGACTTCCTCTGTTTTTCATGATAATTCCTATTCCGGGCGGGTGATATGGATATACTAGACGCAGAGAGGCATAGTACTCAGTATATCATTCCCTCTGCCGTGCCTGCAAATAATAGAAACTTTGCCAGATTTATTGATTATCCTGCCGGGTGTATTCAGAGCCCAGCTCACGCAGAAAGATATCGACTGGGGAGAAATTAATGTTTTTAAAGTGTTTCTACATAAAGCATTGGGGAAAAAAATGGATACATTAAGAAAATATTATACAGGGACTTGAAGGAGGCGAAAAAGGGCTCTAGTGTGAAATTTATTAATGCACATATGGTGTAGTTCCAAGGGTTGTGACATACAACGTGTAATATTTTGCCTCCAGACCTACACGAAGTGTGGCTGAAAATACTCCAGAAAAATATATAGAAAACAATTTGAGAGAAATATCGTATTTTTACCTTTCATGAATCTCTCTCACACCCACTTTTGGATGTTGCCGTTTGGGTTTAGCAATTCACCAGCGGGTATAGATTACACCATGTCTGCGTTAAAGCTCCTTATTCTATTTAAAGCTCTCTAGTCACCCTTGGCAAAACACTATGGAGAGAATTTATATGCTCGGCAAATGCTATGGTATGTTTGCTTAGGTATGGCGCTGCCGCTTAGGCTTATGCTGTTAAGTGAAACATTTTCAGAATTACGATTTAATTACGGCAGTGTACATTAAGGGTGTTCCTCTGCGACGACCGCCCCCCCCCCGTCAAATTTACGAGCCCCTGATATCATCCCCCGAGAGTGGAGGTGCTCATTATTAAAATACTGCATTTTTAATTGTTGAAAATGTGGCTGAACAAAGTGTTCACGTCGCGAAGAGATTTTATTTCTAAGTTGTCCGTCAAAATCACTTCCAATTTGAAACTGCAATTAAACTTTTCTTCTCCTCAAATCTCCGCAGATAATCATGAGTGCATCGGAGAAAAATATTTTCCAATTAACTTCCTTCATCGTCAGGGTTGAAATATTAAAAGATAGAACAAACCCGATTTTCTCCAAACTCCATCAAAGTTAATTACTGCTTGTCTGACGATAGTTTGCTAACGCTCAATTATGGGAGAGTGAAAATAGTGGATAGCAAGAGGAAAGAAGTGGGAACTTTTCCACATGCGGATTTATGGTAGAAACTGGTGAGTTTATATTACAAACTTTCTTGAGGGGGCGACACAGAGAGGAAGCGAGAGAGAGAGTTCATAAAGGAAAAAGAAAAGTGCATCCAGTGAAATATGCACTGGTGTCTTTCTCATCTATTGGCGACCAAGGGGGTGGCAGTGGGAGATATATTCGATCTGTGGTGGAAAGTTTTTGAGAGAGCGGAAAGTGCCCTCAAGGACTTGCAGCTGAATAGATTCCTTTCTAATGATGTTTTCCCTTCAAGTCAAATTAGTCTCTCGATACCATCATCCGCGCCATAATACTTTTAAAGTCAATAATGGACCACTTACCACTCCCGAGGAGTATCGATTGTGTGGCCTATTAAGCGGGAGTGTAGGGTGAAATCAATTAGGTGTAAATTTCAGAGACGCATGACGATGCTCGGATGTTGAAGTACCAGAAAATTGGGAGAGGAAGCACATGGTGTTGACATGTAGATGATCAGCCAGTGATACTGCAGGAGAGCACATCAACTTGAGCCCCATAGACTCCCCTTTACTATCAACTCCTCATATCGTTCACTGCATATACACTCCGCACAGGAGTCAAATGATGGAATTTGTATGATAATGTTATGTGGGGTGGATCCAATTGAGCATCCTTCCTTGCCTTTCTTTTCATGGGATATACAGAACTCAATAAAACTTAATTAAAGGACCTTAATCTGAAAAATTGTACCATCTCACGTATTGATTTATGGAATATACTCTCGTATAGAGTGTGCAGAAGGGAGAGAGAGAGAAGGGGA